CTAGCAGCAAAGGCTGATGTTAATGCACCTGGTACTAGTTATGGTGGACGAACAGCACTCCAAGCAGCAGTTGAGGGAGGCCATGTTGGGGTAGCGGAGAGGTTGAGACATGCTGGGGCAAGGTGACAATCCCCTATCTTGGCAACGAGTTATATTAGACCGTTCTACATACTGGACATTTCAGTGCGTGTCGTTTTGGACCTCACGGCTGAAGGCGCAATGCAAGCCCCCAAGAGCCTCTTTCTTTACTTGCCTAGCTGTTCACTAGCTAAGGACTTGAATGTTCATTCAGACCGACTGTTCCTAGAGGGCAAGTCGCCTTTACTAATTCATTCCAAAAGCCAAACTGGACCTGACCTACTGGTTGAGCAGAAGTCTACTTTAGCCCGTTGTCTCTAGAGCGTACGCATGCTTAGGATAGCACAACAGTCAGCCATCAAACTACTCAGTCTAAAATAGGAAAGATAGTGCATATCGTTAACTATAGTGTTCAATGAAAATGACCCTCAAGACTCCCGCGGGATTTGTGGATTTATTGAAGTCCAGGCGACATATGCTTTCAGCTTTCCTTAACTAGCTGTCCTAACGATAACAGTCAGGACATAGGGAAACTAAGCACAGTAGTTACTGGAATCCAAAACCAAGGAAAGCACTTTCCCTATGATCTCAGAGAGAACTACGATGCGGGCATGATGGATGGAAGTACATACGTGATCTCTATCGATGCGAGGTACGGTGTATGTTCCCGTTATTTGCCCGACACATATTCAAATGTCGCCACTGTAGGCCCCAAACTTGCAGCTGGTGCAGAAGGAATAAGATCCTGGTCTCTCTTCTCACGGATTGCGAGGTCCAAATCGATAAGAAATGCAGACCGGGAATGGCTGTTATTTTCATTCATCATAAGGTTTCGGTAGATATATCAACTTGTAAAATCCCTGTTTTGATATACAGGTCATGGTGGCCTTGTAAGCAACCGAGCAAGACATCTAACATTACAACAAGAGAGCTAGCTTTGTAGAGCAGCTTGCCATAGTCTTGGATAATCACACAGCAATGCACCTGACTTTAAATATCAGGCGTTCCACTATTTTTACTTAGGGAATCAGCGGGTGTCTTGTGCAGTGAATACTTCGCGCACATATTTGCCTAATCACGCCTTGTCCTTGACGCTGTATCAAGTTCAGGGTTGCTCTTTAATTCACCCGGCATTAAGATACGAGACCAATGAGATATATGGCAGGGAGCGGTTTTCGACTTGCCAATAATGGCAATATCTAGCTTTTGACTTGCTGTAGACCCCTGTAAGAATTGGGAGGGCTAGGTTAAAACTGTCCTATATAAAGATAAGTGAGGATTACCTTCTATTATAAAGCTTTAAAACAAGTTGATCTTTCCAGTTATCTAAGAGAAGACTTCCTTCTCCTGTGTGCTCGCAGGCCAATCTTGCCATCCAGTTCCCTCATAATATAATGGATTGTCGCTTTCCTGACATCGCTCTATTATAGTAGTCTTTATAGTCTTAAACCTGTCAACCCCTTTGAAGAAGAGGACCTCATAAAAATTTGGGATATTTATAAAGATAGATCCCAGTTCCTCCTTCAGTACGGCATCTATATATTTCCAATACTTAGATAAGTTCACGATACTGCTTGCCGTATACAAATATGGCGTATCCAGGAAAGGTAGAGATTTGGGTAGGGGCATAGATTCACAAAGAGTGGCGTATAGCTTCTCCCAGATGAGGTCATCTGGTCCTTAGTTTAAAACAACCCTCAGTAAGGGAATGAATTAGTTAATATTAAAAGCATCAGAGCTGATCAAGGCGTTAAGCCTCAAGAGATTATCCAAGAGATTCCTCTAATTATTAGCAGATTATAGTTTTCTTATATCTGGCAAAGCCTGCAGTGCTTATATTAGGTCAAGGGCCACATATAGCTATAATGCCCGCCCCTGATTGGCCACTTGTTTGCTTGACGAACATTCTTCCTGGGGCCGACACTTCTGCCTTGCCCCACGCTCCGGGATCAATCACTGAGCAAAAAGCGACCCTGAGCTAGACCCATTCCGGAAAGGGAAAGTCGCAAAGTTTCCGCAGGAAAACAGTTCGCTACGGTGGCGGAGGTGTTGGGGCGGGGGGGATGGAGGGTTCCTTTAGGGGTGAGGGGGGTTTGGGGGAGTCGGAAGCTATTTAATGGGTTGGTTTTGGGGCTTGTGGTGTTGCATGTTAAGAAGTGTTTGGTGGAGGTTGTTGTTGAAGGGGTGTGTTGTTGTTGGATAGGGATGATTCATTGATTAGATCTATATAGTTGTAAGAGGACATAGGTCAGTTTGAGCCAAATGGCTGCCAAAGGTTCTTGTCCTTATATGTTTATTATATAGTAAATGCTGTGGTTGCCCTGAAACCGGACCCGGGGAAACATGCCAATCTGTTCATATATGCAATATGTCTGACAAGAGAGCAAACAAGAGAGTACCTAAACTACTGGGATATCCGCTAAAACGCTAAACGAGTACAAATCATGCATTCAGTAGAGGAACACCCTTGTCAAACCCCCCAACCCATGCTCCATTGCATGAACTTCCCACGAAAAGCAAGGAGGCAAAACACGAAAACAAAAAAGAAGAAACTAAGCTTTCACCATTTTGCGGTCTCGCTCTCGTTCTTGCTCGTGTTCTCGGTCAGACATTGGTTGTCCGCCCTCTTTCGCTGCGGCAGCCGCCCGTGCATGGTGGTCGACCGTGTCGAGGATCGCCTGCATTAACCGCTGGTTGGCGTCTGGGTCATCATCCTCTGCGACCGGATTGGCGTTGCGGTTGATACCAGTGTGCCTGTCATGGATCAAGGAGCTTCCTCGAATCTCACTCATTGCCCGTCGGGGTGATGGTTCCTTTCCTAGTGGAGTACTGTGTATGGGACCCGCGGTCGGGGCGGACTCTCTGCGCACGTTGTACTCCGACAACTCTCCACGACGATCAACTTCGGGCGCTATAGCGGCTGAAGGGGGTGTAGGTGCAGAAGAAGATACGGATGGCGCCGATGGCGCTATCGGTGCCGGCACCGTGGTCGCCGGTAATGGTTCTTTCGGGGTCGAATCCTCTGGTCGCTCTCGCGCAGATTGGTCGGGCCGGAGCTCTTGCAGTTCCTCCGCTTTTACGTCCTTCCACGAACACTTGGCGTGCTTTTTCGTACAACCCATGCATGCCGTAAGGTTCTTCAAGCAATCCATGTGGAGCCGACGACAGCGATCACAAGGAGGTAATATGCGCTCCCCGCGTGCCAGCTCCTCCATGCGAGCAACCATCTCCATCTTGAATGGACCGCCGTCATCCTTTTCGTGGTGGTGGGACTTGGGCGGAGGAAGTAGCGATGACGGAGTGTTGGGGATGGCGACCGTGGCAGGGGCCGGGGTGTACATATTGTATTCTGTCGTATCCGATGCCCGCGGTCGTGGCCGGGACGACTGTCGGTTTTGAGATCCAGTCCCCTCTTCATAGCCGCGTGTCTGTCGGTCTTGCGTGGTGAAAAACTTCTTCATCAGCTCCGCGCGCGTTGTCGGAGATGCGCCTTTGATGGACGTCCCATTAATGATGGTGACATTATCTGTATTGGAATGCGAGAACATGAATTGTGACGAAAGCGGATTATCTTCCGCTGTGGGTTCCCCGCCGGGTCGGCCGGTATTGACCGCAACGAAGCCGGTCGAGGGAGACTGGGTGTTCGAGTGGCTGCTGCCGTTCAGTGGGTGTTGGTTGCTGTTGGCATCGCGCCAAGCAGGACTGATCGAGCGTTTCTGTTGCTGTTGCTGTTGTTGTTGTGATTGCGAATGGAGAGACAGATCATTCTCGCGGCGGGTGACAATAGCTGTCCTGCGATTCTTGAGACGATGATTGAGCTGTCTTGCTCGCGCAGACACTAGGAGACGCAAGGGTATTAGTGCTGGTCTACATATGCATAGATTTGGAAGGGGGCGGGGTACTCACCTTGGTCAGCGACCTGGATGATTTGTTGGAGGTTCTTCTCTAGAATCTCTAATGCGCCCAATTCCTTCTCTTCATCCTCGATAATCGGTTGCGGGGGGATCATTTTCTGCGGCATTCCAGATGCGATGAGCACGAAGTCCTCTTCGCTGATCTCCACCCGGCACTGCTTTGTGTAGAATTGACAGACTCGCACACCATTGCGGGACTTCTCCAGATTGAACTGCTCAGGCTTGCTTTTGGCGAACTCCACAACATCCAGCCAGGTGATGTTCGGAGAGTCTTTGCCATGTGACTTGAGTACGCGGGGAGGTCCATCGAAGAGGCGCTCAAAGCGCTTGATCAGGATCGGCCCCAAAGGGCATGCGCCTAAATTTCCGGCAATGCTTTCGTGACGATGTAGAACACCGTCATATTCCCCTATTAGGTGTATAATGGCTGGCATCGTATCTTCGATGGAGACTAGGGGGAGATTATCCGGATACTGACGCGCCAGGTAATTGATTTGTAGGTGATTCGAGTGCGTCTTGGGAACTTTGGATGCGATGGGAGGGAAATCGCCGGACGGCGATCGAGGTCGTTTGCTGGACGGCTCTGCCGTCGCTAATCTGGACTCCATGGCGTGCGGATGAGGAAGTGAGCCGGGGAGGCGCACAAGTCACAAGGTGGAGGAGATAAATACAATAAGAAGAAAAAAAGAAAAGAAAACGGCAAGGATAGAGTCTCGCGAAAAGATGGTGTCAGACAGCGCAAAGGTAAATTATTAAAAGATTCCAGGGCGATCGAGTAACGGGAGCGTGGGCTAAGGATGTGTGGCCGATGGCGGAGGACTCAGGCTCCAGAATGCGGGTTGAGGTTCAGCCACTCGCGCGGGTTCAAGTTAGGTAATGGCAAAGATGTAACTACCCCAACGGATCTGGGGTTCGTTAAGGCTCGACGGAAAATAACACCAAAAGAAAAGAACTGAATGAATGAGGTGAACAGTCACGGATATGCGCACCAGGACGTGGGAAGAAGAGAGGAGGGAAGAAGGAAGGAGAGATATATTGGGAGGGAAAGGGGAGAGCGGACACTGAGGAAACGGTTGCTCACACGGGGGGGAGGGAACATTTGGGGAAGATGAGAGAGGGATCGAAGAGACAAAAAGAAAAAAAGCAAAAAGAGAAAAAAAAAAAAAAAAAAAAAACCAAGGCGGACGGAACGGAACAGCCGTTGGGGTTGGTTAGGTTCTCTCCTAGATTTAAGCAGTTCAATCCATTCTGCTATCATTAGGTATGACCGGGTATTGTCATTCAATCCAATCACTCCTGACTGGGGATGAGATAAAGCCTCATCCAGTGAGACGATAGTTGGGAGGAGACCCAATGAGACTGAGTGGTTGTGATGAGCGGAACGATGCTCTACTAACTATTCCTCCCCTCCCGTAAGGTGGACATGAATGAATGGCTGGAATGGATGGACCACAAGATTGGACGATCCTGAAAGATTGACTAAACCCGATTCTTCTTAGCCACGCCGTCAAGGGTACCTTAGGCAATCGAGCACGTAGAGGGCGGAGTCCCGCCGGTCTCTTCCGCTGGCCATTCGGTGTGGTCCGGGAGCTCGGAACTTGACCCGTCACGAATAATACCCGTTTGAACTGAGAATTTATCTTACAAGTCGAACAAATGTGAGGCTTCTTTACTTTATCCCTTTCTCTTTTGCTTGAACAGATAAAAATACATTACCATTATAGAGGGAAATTCCTTTCGATCTATTAACGGACAATGTTATTAGAGTCTTTTTATATATATATATATATATTTTAACAAAAATATTCAGTGTCGAGAAAGATATACCGCTATTTCCCCGAAGTTTGATGGAGATTGGTCTTGCTCATGTTATTACCACTCCTGATTGCATCAATCCATATCAGGTACCTAGAGAACGAGAGATACCAGGGGACCTGGTGTGAAACCCCTTGCATGACAAGCCAATCGGTACGATCATGACAACCTAAGTTCCAAGTAAATCCGCAATTCCAGGTTAAAAGAAAACCCTGTTCTTGTCTGGTTCGAGGTGTTGTTACTCCGAGGAGCACGAACACCAAACGGAGGATAATGGCGCTGTATCATACATACATAGATACGGCTCCCCCTTCTCCGAGACCAAACCCAATTTGCCGCTCCGCCCGTAAGGGTGCTGCCTAAGCTCAACCTCCATTGGGTAAAGTCCGACGCTGGCCGTCCACTCCACTGAGCTCTTATCCCCCATGTGGACTGGATATCATACACGCTAGTATGGGACGGGGGGTTTGGTATGGTCATCATCGGCCGTGTGACGCGTAGTATTTTGTGTTATCAGAGAAATTTTTTTTTTCTCTGTTGCGGTAGAAGGTCCGTTCCCGTGACTTACCTAAGATTCATTCTTTCCCTTCACCGTTACCTTACCTCTCCAAACGAACTGCTGCTATTATTATTCTTAACCTGAGAGGCACAGCAGATTTGTTGCTTAACGCCGCTGACTGATTTCAGCCCCTCCCTCAAAAATCCCTCATACACTGGTCCCCTTTCCCCTTCCACCCCATTCCTATCCTGCAATTTGGCGGACCAACCAGTCCAAAGTGGGATCTGGTCACTCACGCATCCACTGCAATTCTAGACAATTCCCCCTCATCTGTTCCCCCTCTCTTGACTTTCCCCTCTCTATAATATAACCGAGGAAATAAACAACAAATAAAAAGAAAGAAAAAGAAATCCACACCTTGTTCCAGCCAAGCATGTCCGAACGAGGATCGTTCCGTGGAGGTCGCGGCCGCGGCGGAGGTTACGACAGGTCTGGCGGCCGTGGCGGTCATGCTAAAAGTGGCGGTGCCAGTGGCGGTGCGCAGCAGCAGGAGAAGCCCAAAAAGGAAAACATCCTCGACCTCAGCAAGTACATGGATAAGGAGGTTCGGGTAAAGTTCAATGGTGGCAGAGAGGGTAGGTCCACTTCTGTCATACTCGTTTCTATTTTTTTAAAACTCCCCCGGATCCACTGACCAGTCCGCAGTCATCGGCGTGCTGAAGGGATTTGACCAGCTCATGAACCTGGTCCTCGACGATGTCAAAGAGTCTATGCGCGGTAGGAAACCTTACTAGTGATCTAGCGTCTCTGTTCTTTTCTCTAACATACCGTAAACAGATGATGAGGGCAATGAAAACACTCGTTCTCTTGGTTTGATCGTTGCTCGTGGCACTATCATTGTGCTCATCTCTCCTGCCGACGGCAGCGAGGAGATTGCCAACCCCTTCGTACAAGCGGAGGAGTAAACGAAACCCCATCCGAAGAGAAGACTGGGCATTTATCCCCCCCCCCAAGTCTTGCAGTACTAGTCTTTGAGGAAATGAAGACAAGTCTATTCTGATTACCAGATATCTACCACAGCAGCCGCAAAATTTATTCTCGATATCAATCTGCCTAATTCTACCCAACCCTCTATTATCTTGACCTGCCGTCTTATCGCCTGGCAAGTCTCTGTCTATCACCACCAAGACAATATGTACTATGGTGTACAATCTTGGACTATTAGGTCGAGTATATGCTCTGCGGTGGTTGTTAATGGCGCATCTTAAACAAGACGTCGGAAGAAAGCAAATGCATGATGTCATGCATTGCACAAGGAGACCTTATGCACGATCTAGTTTCGAAATAAAAAAAAATAATGAATCACGAGTCATGAGCCTAATGGGTACTGTTCAATGGCGTAGTTCTTCCACTCTTCAATTACGAAGATGATCCTCCACATGGCGTGACAAAACCCGTGACATCATAGTAAAAGAGCTAATCGCTGATCCGGGCACGAATACGGATACGAAGGTCTAGATTGTCGCAGATTAGACAGCTTGATATGATATCTGATCTACCGGCTTCGCTGGAAAGTCTTAAAACCTCTGGTGGAAGTTCATAGTTCAGTATAAATTGAACTCAGGACCCCTATGTCAGCTACTTGTTCTGTCACCTCTTCTTTATCCTGTTAATCCCAAGCCCTTACAAACGAATTGATACTGAATAGAAATACTATGAAGGTCCCTTTCTGGTTGGTGGCAGTGACTTCCTCCCTCACCACGGCCTTTGTCATCCCCAACTACCGACAAACCCTACATGACCTGGAAGTTGTCGATGGAGATATAAATGAAAACGCAGACTTCGACGATATCCCGACAGCAGTCTATGACACCGCATCGGACATCGAAGAAACCCTAGACGACACTCTCAGCTACCTCGATACACTCCACACTATCGCAGATTCCTACTTCAACAACCCATTCGACGATGACGAAGAATGCCTCCCAGAGGACATCGCTGATCTCCCTCATTTACGACCCCCGCACCACCCACCCTCCGACAAGACTATCTACGAACTCATCACAGAAAGCAAATACACAACCATCCTAGCAAAACTAATCAAAGACGACGAAGAACTAACCCACCTCCTCAACTCCACAAACACAAACCACACCCTCTTCGCCCCAACAGACGATGCCTTCAAACAAATCCGCCACCACCCAGACCACAAACCTTCTAAGGAACTCATCCGCGCCGTGATCAAATACCATCTCGTCCCAGGCCTCCACGACACCTCCAGCATCTTCCACACGCACACCCTACCCACCCTCCTGCAAGACCCATCCCTAGGCACCAATCTCCCGCAAAGACTAGCAGCAAGAGTCGGCTGGAGAGGCCTAACCCTAAACTTCTACAGCCACATCGTAGCCCCCGACATCGTAAGTCAACCCAACCCAACCCACTTCCACCTACACCTCTAATCAACCCCAAAAACTAACCATACAGTCTCAGGCCGGAACAAACGGCCTAATCCACGCCATATCCGCCCCCCTCCTCCCACCACCAAGCACGCAAACCCTCCTCGACATCGTCCCCACCCAATTCAGCACCTTCAACCTCGGCCTCCTCAAAACAGGCCTATCCTCATTCCTCACCACCGACTCCAAAAGCAAAGGCCTAACAGTCTTCGCCCCCTCCAACACCGCATTCCAGAGACTAGGGTTCAAGATCAACGCGTTTCTTTTCTCTCCCGTCGGGGAGAAATATCTCCGCACGCTCCTCCAGTACCATGTTGTTCCGGGGCGGACGCTTTACTCAGATGTTATTTATACGGAGAAGGGGGAGATTAAGCCGTTTGGGGTGAAGGGGGTTAAGCATTTGGATTTGCCGACGTTGTTGGGGGATCGGATGGTGGGGGTTGATGTGGTGAGGTTTGGGCCGTATGCTTCGTTGAAGGTGAATGGGGTTCAGAAGGTGGGGTTTGCGGATGCGTTGGCGGAGGATGGGAATGTACATATTGTGGATCGGGTGTTGATTCCGCCGAAAAGAGTGGTGGATGCTGTGGAGGAGTGGGAGGAGGAGGATGAGTTGTCAGTGGAGGATTTGAAGAGTCGGCTTGCGGAGTGGGTGAAGGTTGATGAGGATGAGGATGAGGATGAGGGAAGTGAGTTGTGGACTCATGGGTTTGAATTATAGGGGTCTGTCCGCTTGGATTGACGTGGAAAGTACAGTACTTGTGTGCTACCTGATCTACTGGAGTCTCTACAGCATAGGATAACAGTGAAGAAACCAGTAAACATGATATTTCTGTAATCTGTTATCTTTGTTCGTATATCAACGGCAATCGTATTTTCAAAGCAACGCAAACATCCGTTGCCGGGGTGTCCATAAATCAACTTAGATGTATGATTCCAGCTTTCCGGACCAATAAAGCAGATGTGAGCCGGTCGTAAGACTGAGTCTTCTGAGAGCAGATTTCTAAAGATGTAACCTCCAAAATAAATACCATGTGCAAAAGACATCGCCAGATCTTCTCGTACGAGGGATCTTCTCAACCCAGTTCCGTCCGCATATATATGTGGTCTCTCCTCAAAGGGAAAGTACCCGTCGTGGAATTGGCCCCATGCAGGGCCCATAATGCTGCTTAATGAAGCCTTCTGGCTGGTTTTAGGAGCGCCTGAAATGACGACTCCAGTGCTTTCTTGATGTCCTTGTAGCTAACGACAAAGCAACTCTGTTCATCCCGACTCACCAAGGTGATTTTCTCATCGGTTCCCGCATCTAGCTTATTCAGACATGAAAGCACATGACCTAGGTCAACTACTGGGTCACCTTGAGCGTCAACTTGGTGAAAGACGTAGTCGCGGAACATCTTGAGGAAGTATCGTTCCCCGTTCTCCGACCACTGCCGATCGTGCTCATACTCCGGCCGTTCGTTGATGAAATTCAACTTGGTCACCAGGCGTACCAAACGGCCATTCTCAAGCTCTCGGCTCAAGTCTGATGTTAGTTCATCGTCCATATGAAGAGCCGAGTCAAACGTTGACATTAACTGAGAAGAAATGCCAGTAATAAATATGTCAATATTCCGGTCTTGATCCTTTTGCAGTCCATTGAGCAACCAGAACACCGAGTTCTTAAGTTGCGGACTGTAGGCACGGGTGAAATGCTCCATAGCTTTTGTGGCGTTGTGCATGACGGTGGGCGTATTGGCACCCAAAGTAACGATGAGTTGTCCGAAATTGACTAGATCTTGACGCTGGAGGTCCGCAATCGTCCGTTGAGTATCGTACTGGACCACATCCATGACAGCACAGGCGTTCAGGCGAATGCGATTCCTGCCAGTGAGGAGTACTTTACTAGCATCAAGTACCCTTGCAGCAAGCCCGTTGCTATGGATGGCTTTGAGGCCATTTGCAATTTGGGTCATATAGCCCCACAGTACCTGTTCGGAAATGTGTGTACTATGCCGACCTTGGAACCTATTTCCAGCACCCAAGTGTTGTTCAGCTAGTGTTTTGGAGAGTGGGTGGTAATCGGTGACGAAGATAAGGGAGCTGTCCTGGAAGCTCCTGCTGGTGAAAGCATCGTGGACAGTTACCACGCTCCCGCTACAAACTCGCTTCCAGGCTTGGACAGATCGGATCGCTTTCTCATTTGTTAAACGAAACCCTTACGGAGCGAGTCAGTTGTTGGCATTCCAAGACTGCAGAGGAAAAGGGGGGGTTACCTTCTAGTCTTCGAAGAGCATAGAAACTACCATCTTTGCTGGATTGCGCTTTGTATACCCAACTGGGGAAGCCAAATATGGTTGCGTTCTTCTGGTGATTTAAGTCTAGTGGGACGAGAGAATGGAAGTAGTCGACTTGAGCCGGTAGTTGGGTGTCTAGCTTACAGTCAGCTCCATTGAATATAGTCATTGAATTAAAGTGTAACATACTGGGCAAGGTCTGAAGCGTAGCTGCGGCTTTCTTTTGCAGTTCCTCCCGGAAGTCATTGGGAAGAAAAAGGTCATGAGCGTTCCGCTGGTAACCTAGAGTATTTTGGCTATGAGGACCGATCGGAGCATACAAATGGTATTGGACCTGCAATAGTAAATTAAGGTAAGACAAGGCCATAACATCACCACTGTCAGGACCTACCGGTTGTTGGAAGCCAGACTGTCCAGCGAAAAAGGCAGCACCGCTCAGAGCCGCAGCAGCCGCCGCAGTATCATGTGCGAAAGGATTTGCCTGGACCGGACCGACAGCACTCGCCGCAGAAAGAGGGTTCGAGGCTGTCACAAAAGGATCAAACGGGCTAGTCGAGGGAACGCCACCGTTGCCATTCCCTTGGAGAGAGGCCTGGAAAGATGCATTAGTCGAGGTATGACGAGAATGGACCGTAGAGGGGATTGTGTAATGAGAACAAACGGGGGACATGTAAAGGGGAGAAGGCATATAGCCGTAGCCTGTCCAAGAGCCCTGCATCTTGGAAGCATCCGCGGAAATGTTGAGGAACAGGGAAAATGGAAGTGGGATTGTAAGTTGGATTAAATATTAGGCAAAACAGTGAATTGCAGGAAAGTTTGTTTGTTTCCGGGAAGGCGCAGTCTTACCATGTGCGTGGTATCGAAACCCTGAGGCACGAATTCCTGTACTTCAGCCACAGACCAGTCCGGGGTCATGGTTTCAGCACGACCGGAAGGCGTGCTGGAGTTGGATCCTGCTGTAGGTCAGTAGGCAATGATGAACTGCTATGTCAGGGCCAGGAGTCATCGTACGTACGTGAAGTTATAGTTCTTGGTTGGAAGGGAGCTGCGTTGGCAGCTTTGGGGGATATTGTTGTTGCTTTCCTTGCGGTAACTGATGCTGTAGTCGGCGAAGAGCCGTTGGAAGAGAGTAGAGAGGGGGTAAAGCTCGGGGAATCGACGTTCAATCGTCTTTTACTGTTGTTGCTACTGGTACAATCCACGTAAGTCATTGTCACTACACTTTCGAGCTGATTTGCAGTTCGCTTTTTCGGGTGGGCCAACCTGTCCGATTGATATGCTGAATTGACTTTATGCGGATCATGATTGAAGGCGCATCCTTCGGTAATAAATGTCAAGGTCAGATGAGGTTCGTAATGATAAGATAGATACGTGGCAATGGGCTAGGGACTGTCGCAGCACCTTTATCTTCATATCGACATCGACCGTAGATGGTCACATTTCGACACAGGGTATCTTTCGCATTTTCTACCAGAAACAACAAAACAGAATATGTCAGGTCAATCAAATTCCCCATAGTAGAGATCTAAAGTCATGCCAAACTAACCTCGGGCCTTCATTTTTGGAGATCCCGTCGCCCGGCGGGAGTCATCCAGGACAGGCTTCCCTGCAGAAGCCATTTATCTCAATCCACGATTCGGTGGGGATTAACGTAAGACGATATCCATTGACTCAAAACAAAGGAAGACCGGACGACCGAGTATATCTAGAGGAAACCACATTCCTCTCCTGAATAAATCTCCAGCTCAATCCAACCAGTGGGTGACACCTGCGTTACGCCCTTGAAACAAAGGGCAAATCGCAAGAAGCCAAAGACGGGGATACGTCTGTATTTTCCAAATTGCGCCGCCCTCAACACGGAAGAATATACAATCTAACAAAATGATCCGATGAGTTACCACCCGAAGACTAGGGACATAACGCCGCCTTCATGCCACGGATGGGTTGAAGAGGGTTTCGCGAGGCGGCATGAGGATAAAAGGGCCCGCGGGGAGGGGAAAGTCGAACAGAGGGAAGATGGGATGGTCTGTGTTCCAAGTCCGGGATTGCTGCACGGACCACGTGCTACCAGCAAGCGCGCGTCTACCGCTAATCTCGATGACGGAGCTCTCAACTCAGAGGACAGCTAGCCGTCGACAACGACCAGTGTCTCTGGCTTATACACCTTAGATTCCTTTCACTCTGCCCAGCCTTTACTTCATCAAAGAAAACGGATTCACTACAAACCACTCAACGCCATTTGTAGTACTCTCCCACCTCTCTCTCTCTCTCTCTCTCTCTCTCTCTCTCTCTCTCTTCCCCCGAGGATCCCGACGAAGCCTCTTGTGACAGCGGCCGCACCTTTTCCTTGTATGGATCAAGCCATTGAGTGACAATGTCCTTCTCGGGGCTTGATATCTCCCAGCTTTCCGACAATGAAAAGTCGGCCCTAGACACCTATATCGCTGTAACGGGTCAGGAGCCATCTGAGGCTATTCCTTTATTGCGCCGTTCACAATGGAATGTACAGGTACGATGTCTTGTGTAGCAATCACTGGTCAACGTTGCTAACAGTCTACGACGTGAAGATCGCTATCTCCAAATTCTTTGATGGGGAAGGTCCAGACCCTGTCGAAGAAGCTCGCGCAGCTCTCGATACCCCCTCTCCTCGACCGAACCGTCAAACTCAAAATCTCATGACAGATGACCTCGCCGCGGGGTTCTCTCCGGCTACACGTGCTGCTGATCCGGCTCCTCGAGTAACTACCCAGCCAGAAGGACAACCGGCTTATCGTCCACCTTTTATATTAGCTTTACTGTTTACCCCTCTCAACCTTCTATACCGGCTACTGTACAGTTCCTTCCGCCTTTTTGGAGCTCTGTTTCCTTTTCTTCCCCGCTTGTTTAATACAACGGCAAGCTCTGCTCTTCAGGGCGCTCGACGAAACACCAATGGACGCCGGCCACTGGGGCCTCAAGATACGGCTGCCAGATTCATTCGAGAGTTTGAGGAGGAATATGGGACCCATCCGCTCCCCTTTCTGGAGAATGGATACAATATGGCACTAGAGAAAGCCCACCAGGACCTCAAGTTTGTTCTAGTGGTCCTTCTGGCCCCCGAGCATGATGATACAAACAGTTGGGTTAGGGATACTCTTTTATCCCGTGAGGTGGTCGACTTCGTCAATGACCCACAGAACGACGTCATTGTTTGGGGAGGTAATGTGCAGGATTCGGAGGCATACCAAGTCGCAAACTCTCTCCGGTGCACCAAGTTCCCCTTTGCAGCTGTTGTTGTTCACACTCCCAGCGTATCCTCGACTGCCATGTCCGTTGTCTCTAGGATATCCGGAACTACATCACCATCAGAGGTCGTAGAGAAACTCCGATCCGCAATCTCACAGAATAAGGAACCTTTAGAGAGGATTGGGGCCACTCGGGCGGAGCAACAGGCTTCCCGCAGTATACGGGAACAGCAAGACTCAGCCTATGAGCGTTCTTTGGCCATTGACCGGGAACGAGCACGACAAAGACGGGAAGCTGAGGCAGCTAGACAACGGGAGGATCAAGAGGCGGCGGAACGCCAAGCAGCGGAGGAGAAGCGGATCCATGATCTTCAGCAGTGGAAGCGGTGGCGGGCACAGACTATTCCTGACGAACCGAGCGCGGAGGTCAAAGATGCCGTCCGTGTTAGCGTTCGACTGCCTTCGGGTGAACGTGTCATTCGCAAGTTTGCACCTGAAGCAAACCTGGAAGAGCTCTATGCATATGTTGAGTGCTACGATATTCTGCAAGAGTCACAAGAGAAGCCCACAGACGTTGAGAAACCAGATGGGTTTGAGCATGAGTACTGGTTCCGACTCGTTTCCCCCATGCCCCGGGTTGTGTATGAAGTCAGTGCTGGGGGGACCATCCGCGAGAAGATCGGCCGGGGAGGTAACCTTCTTGTTGAGCCGATTGACGACGAAAGTGATGGGGAAGAACAAGAGTCATAGTCTCATCGAGCTTCCTATGGGATGTATTAGTACTGTTCATATTAGGGCTGTGGCGAATTAGACTTGTCTCACTAGTCTGTGTCAAATTTTAGTACGGTAATAATGACCACAAACGACAGTGGAAGTCTTACGAACTGGTACGTTGAAACAGTAATAAACCATAAAAGTTAATTTAACGGCATAACTGACAGGTGTCTTGGAGTACACCGCGAGTCGATCATGTGTAAACCACCCGACCCCCAACCTTTGCTCTCTTACCGACAAAACCAACTACCCTCCTGAGTATGAAAACACATCCCATCTCTTTTCATACAAATGGAGCAATCAACCAACCTTGGGAGCATCAGTTTACTCGATGTCCAAAGAGTCCAACAACGTTACACCGAAGAGCGTGAGAAACGCTGCCGCGCTGACGGACAATTGCAGTATATATCCCTATACTCGAATGAAAACCCGATCCTCCGGACTCGTCAAAGGCCCCTGGAATGATGGATCAACGCCTTCTCTCCGCCTTGATGATTTGGCACAATCCACCACCATCATCATGGGCGCCAGTTTTGGAGGACTTTTGTTCGCCGTCCGTTTGCTTGATGCTGGCTTCATTGTCATTGTCGATACAGCGGCTAGATTCGGAGGCACTTGCTACTGGAACCGGTATCCTGGGCTGAGGTGTGACACTGAAAGCTACTTCTACATGCCTCCCGTACAAGAGACTAGGCACATGATAAAGCACAAGTATGCCCATGGACAAAGCTCAGGGAGTATGCAAATTGCATTGCGAAACAGTGTTTTCTTGAGGGCCGGGCAGTGTTTCGTACATCCCTGCAGCAATGTAGATGGAGCGATGATGCTGCCGAATGGATGGTGGAGATGACGCAACTTTCATCCGGTGGCGAGTCTGTCATGGCGAAGGTTCGTGCCAAGTTTGTCATCATCGTGCCGGGACTACTTAATCGCCCCAAGATCTCTGATCTTCCTGGTCTTTATACCTTTCAAGGGCAGAGCTTCCTTGCCTCGCGCTGGAATTATACTGTGACGGGAGGCAGCCAAGAGAATCCTAGTCTTAGCAAGTTAAAAGATAAACGTGTTGGCATCATTGGTACTGGCGCAACGGCAGTCCAATTGGTTCCCCGGCTGGCGAGATAGAGCAAGCAACTATATGTCTTCCCCGGAGTCGTGGCGAATGGGAAGAGGTCCACTCTAGACATTTTGATCTTCAGCATAGGCTTCGAATTAGACGGATTCGCTAATCCTAACTAGCGCGGTGGTGTTTCTGTCACCGGTACCGGTGGTCAAAACATTGATGAGAGATGGTCTCGTAGCCCCACCACTCTGCACGGTGTTATCAGTAACGGTTTTCCAAACATGTTCTTCTCTAGCTGCAACCAGGCTGGAATCTCTCCGAACTTGACAGCTTCACTAGACACTTTTGCGCAAAATGTTGCTTTCATCATATTAGAGGGCGTCAAGCGCGCTAATCCACAACACTCAAAAGTTATCATTGAGTCACACAGGAGGCTGAGGAAGCCTGGGCTATGCATATTCGAGCTGGGGCTCTGGCTCGGTCACCTGTGGCCAACTGTACGCCTTCTTACCATAACGGAGAAGGAGGTAATGACAATATGTTCATGGAAGAATAAATGAGAGCTGCTAGTGGAGGGCTTTGGCCAATGGGCCTAAATGACTACTACTACTCCTCCTCCTCCGCCTATAGGAGTGCAAGCCTCTTTTGATACATCGACTGAATAGAATTTACACCTTCATATGGAAATGACAACTAAATGTACATTCCAACGACTCTGGCGTGAACGATAGTTTAGGTATCTTATAACTTTGATACTTTCGAGATCACTAGAGCCTCTCTGCCAACAAATGCCAAGGCAGCCTTGCCATTGAGAGCCCCACGCTGTGCCGAGCCAATGAGCATCACATTTAGCGTCTTTCCCCCGTATTGACGAGGTGATCGGACGCATATTTGATTCACTATAAACAAACGACCAACAAAAAGTATTTCTATGTTAAACCAGACAGTCTTAACTTGCCAAGGTATAACCAACAATATCATTGGCGGGACATTCGTTGTTGGTTTTACTGATGGTCGGGTCACTGTGGCAAAACACTTGTTATGATACAGTGGATGTGAACAACAGGAGTGGCTAGGTGGCTAGGGGGCTAGGGCAAGGAGCAAAGCATGGACAGTTGCGGGACGAGCCTAATTAACCGTGTGCCCCTCACTCATCCCTTCCCCCAGAAGAGAAAAGCTGCTCTTCAAGAGTCCTTCGGCAATTGCCTATTTATGTAACACAGCCGTTCAACTCGTCTAAAGACTAGCCCCATTCTCTCGCAGTATTTAGGAGACCTTGAAATCATCCATCGAGACTTCTACGCCGATTTTCAGATGAGTCGGTCTAATCAATCCCACTAGTGTCAATCTTTTATTTCTTTTCTCATTTTTCATCAAGAAGGTGCGCTATGGCCATTGTGACGTGTATATATATCTACTATATCGATAATAATGTCCAGGTGTGACAGGTCCCGACATACCATAGCTCAAATTTAGTAGCCTATTTTCCGATGTAACTATTTGAATGGCCCCTATTAGGTAAACATCAATTAGGCACCTAGGTAAAAGGCAGTGTGTACTACTCTGTTGCAAATGTCTTCAGGCCCTTAACCCAAATTCGACGCTTACGCCAAGAAAAGTTCAAGCCATGAGGACTGTGTCAGGCCTTGTAAAATGTTCACCAGGGGCGTTGTTGAGAATCTATGTGCGCCGTGACCGTCTTCGCCGCTAACCCTAAAGAATGTTCATGATTTCGGGATGAATCTGAGCTGTCCAAACGTTATTCGTTCAACCGAGATGCTTCCGTGGTCATGATGCGTGTACAAGCAGACTCAAGACAGATAAGATGGAAACATCAGCTTTAGGTCATCGAGCACGTCCCAAAAGGGCAAGTGCAGGAAAGCCGCTAGAATACGGGCAGGATACGCTTGCGCCTCAGGGTTTCGGATCTGAAGCACCCGATACTGTACCGTAAAGAAGGCGAAGAACCCGGATTTCGGATCCCTCCAGTCCCGCCCCACCTCCTGCCAGATCTATACTCTTTCGGGGAAATCAAGAAAACCTTTATTGTCACGTTTCGCGCTGCTCCGAAGAATTTTCTCTCCTATCGGGGTTATCTTTTTTTATCTGATACGCGGAATACGATGTTGTCCCAAAATCCCGATGTATGAAGCTTCAAGCGTGTTGTACAAACTTTTTCTTTTCTTTTCTTTCCTTGAGTAACAACAACAGTTGTCAGTTCTTTATCTTCGTTTCACAACTCATGGACAATGCTATTCGACTGTAATCTATCGTAGCGTAACATCGGTACGGAGATGATGCGAGTATGAGCCATGAGTTGTACTCCACATATACACGAGCACTTGTAGAATTGTTTCAGGTCAATGATGGTGACTAAGATGGCTATACGAGTCATTATGATTAGAGTGAGTCAGCCTCAAACTGAACATCAGAAAATACTTGGTTACTTACCTGATCGAGAACGGGATTCGCTTATCCTATGATCCGGATGTGGGTATTTGTATGGGGGTGTGCAACGGGAGAGAAAATATCGGCTGGCCTGTATTCTTGATGGGTCCGGATGCCTAATTTTTCTGGGCCCGATTCGCTTACATCTCTCCTTTTCTCCTTCTCATTGGCTGAAGCCAAATTGGATGAGTGGCCCAGACTCTGATCTGGCCCTTATTTTTTTCATTTTTTCTCTTTTTATTGTCTGGGATGGAAATAAGAAACTATTACGGAGTTTACCGTCGACAAGGAAACGTTAAGATCAATACGGGAGGTCATGAGGATTCTTTATTATTAGATGCTCCCCCTTTGGCTTGTCGATGTTCCTGCTTACCTGTCAGAACATATGGATGAATTCCTTTAATATAAACTAATATTACTATACCCCCTATACCCCCGGATGGTTCATTGCTTTCCCCTTTTAGTACCTTTTAATACTACCTTGACACTGGACGTCCCTACCTTCTAACCACCATGTCTCTTTTGGGGACTATAAATCCTAATATGAACCCTGCCCGAACAGTCGGCGCTCAAAGTGCCGAAGTTGAGGGCGAGGTACACCCAGCGCCGGTGAGCGGCGAGCAACCGACCATCTTCGAGGAAGCCAACAGCGCAAATACGTCTGAAACGGCCTTGGACAAACTCGGCAAAGGAGGTTACGATTACGATGAGCAGATCGCAGAAGCGGAAGTCACTCGCCTGGCGCAACAGCTGACTCGCCAATCGACGAGGTTCTCCTTCAGCCAGAACGCGGAGAATCCGTTCGTGGAGACCAAGGAAGATTCCACCTTGAACCCTCACAGCTCGAACTTCAAAGCAAAGAACTGGATGAAGAACCTGCTCGCTCTCACCTCTCGTGATCCGGAAAGACACCCAAGACGCGAAGCCGGCGTCTCGTTCCGCAATCTCAGCGTTCACGGTTACGGTAGCCCGACGGATTACCAGAAGGATGTGTTCAATGCGGTTCTCCAAGTTGGCGCTCTGTTCCGCGCAGTTACTGGTACTGGTAAACAGAAGATCCAGATTCTGCGCGACTTTGACGGTCTCGTGAGGAGTGGTGAGATGTTGGTGGTGTTGGGACGGCCTGGAAGGTAAGGGGTTATCGCTCTTAGTGCTGACGAGTGTTTAACATGCTAATCAATCTAAAAGTGGCTGCTCGACTTTTCTGAAGACGCTGGCCGGTGAGATGAATGGTATCTACATGGACGAGAAATCAGACTTGAACTACCAGGGTATCCCGGCCAAGCAAATGCGGAAGCAATTCCGGGGTGAAGCTATCTACAACGCTGAAACCGACGTTCACTTTCCGCAGCTATCTGTGGGTGACACGCTCAAGTTCGCCGCTCTGGCTCGCTGTCCACGGAATCGTTTCCCCGGTGTCTCAAGGGATCAGTATGCTACGCATATGCGTGACGTCGTCATGGCCATGCTTGGTCTCTCGCATACTATCAATACGCAAGTTGGCAACGACTTCGTCCGCGGTGTCAGTGGTGGCGAACGGAAGCGTGTTAGTATCGCAGAGGCTACTCTCAGTGGAAGCCCTCTCCAATGCTGGGATAACAGTACCCGTGGATTGGATAGTGCCAACGCCTTGGAGTTCTGTAAGACCCTAAACTTGATGACAAAGTATGCCGGTGCGACTGTCGCGGTCGCCATCTATCAGGCTTCTCAGAGCGCGTACGATGTGTTCGACAAGGTGACTGTCTTGTATGAAGGCAGACAAATTTACTTTGGTCGTACAGACGAAGCAAAGGATTTCTTCACCAACATGGGATTTGTATGCCCAGAACGTCAAACGACTGCCGATTTCCTCACTTCTCTTACCAGTCCTTCTGAACGTGTCGTGAAGCCAGGCTATGAGGGCAAGGTACCACGAACACCTGATGAATTCGCTGCTGCCTGGAAGAACAGCGAGGCCTACGCGAAATTGATAAGGGATATTGAGGAGTACAATCAGCAATTCCCTCTAGGCGGAGAATCAGTTCAAAAATTCATCGAGTCCCGCAGAGCTATGCAGGCGAAGAATCAGTAAGTTCGTTGACAAGATGCAAGGGATACTCCTAGATACTAACCCTGCTGCAGGCGTGTGGGATCTCCTTATACAGTCTCCATCTGGGAACAGGTTCGACTCTGCATGGTGCGTGGTTTTCAACGTCTTAAGGGCGATTCCAGTTTGACTATGAGTCAATTGATTGGAAACCTTATCATGGCGTTGATCATCGGAAGTGTCTTCTACAACCTGAAGGAGGATACCTCAAGTTTCTACTCACGTGGTGCCTTACTTTTCTTTGCCGTGCTGCTTAACGCATTTTCTAGTGCGCTCGAGGTATGCACTGGGAATTTTCCTCGGCTTTGGATAATACTAATATACTGGCCACATAGATTTTGACGTTGTATGCGCAACGTCCCATTGTCGAGAAACAAGCGCGTTATGCAATGTACCACCCGTTCGCCGAAGCCATCGCATCGATGCTTTGTGACATGCCCTACAAGATCACGAATGCAATAATTTTCAACCTGACCCTCTATTTTATGACGAATCTTCGTCGTGAACCGGGTGCATTCTTCGTTTTCCTTCTGTTTACATTTATTACTACCCTGACCATGTCCATGCTCTTTCGGACGATCGCCGCGTCATCCAGAACACTTTCTCAAGCTTTAGTGCCTGCCGCTATCCTTATTTTGGGCTTGGTTATCTATACTGGTTTCACTATTCCTACTCGAAACATGCTTGGCTGGTCGCGATGGATGAATTACCTTGATCCCATCGCTTATGGATTCGAAAGCTTGATGGTCAATGAATTTCACAACCGCACGTTTAAATGCTCTCCGGGAGAGATTGTCCCAAGCTATGATGGTGTCTCTTTGGATTACAAGATTTGCTCTACAGTTGGTGCTGTGGCCGGCTCTGAATATGTCCAGGGCGATGACTACCTTCACCAGAGTTTCCAATATTATCAAAGCCACAAGTGGAGGAACTTGGGCATCATGTTTGCGTTCATGGTGTTTTTCTTGATCACCCATTTGGTTGCTACTGAGTACATCTCGGAGGCTAAGTCTAAGGGTGAAGTTTTGCTTTTCCGCCGTGGGCATTATCCTCGTGCTACCACCGACGTCGAAACAAGCAACCAAGTGTCTGCCGCCGAGAAGACGGACGTTTCAAGTGACGGCGCAGGTGCTGCAATTCAGAGGCAAGAGGCTATTTTCCACTGGCAGGATGTGTGTTACGACATTAAGATCAAGGGTGAGCCTCGGCGGATCCTCGATAATGTTGATGGATGGGTCAAACCTGGTACTTGTACTGCTCTTATGGTAAGCGTTTGGCTGCGGCTTCGTTCAATCTTTTCCTTTTTTTTGTTGCTTACATTGCCTAATAGGGTGTGTCCGGTGCCGGTAAAACAACGCTTTTGGATGTGCTCGCCACTCGTGTGACTATGGGCGTAGTAAGTGGTGAGATGCTGGTCGATGGTCGCATACGAGACCAGTCTTTCCAGCGAAAGACGGGTTACGTTCAGCAACAAGATCTTCACCTTCATACCACTACTGTACGAGAGGCCTTACGATTTAGTGCTCTTCTTCGCCAGCCTGGACATGTCAGCCGCCAGGAGAAGCTCGATTACGTCGAAGAGGTCATTAAACTGCTTGGTATGGAAACTTACGCTGATGCTGTCGTCGGTGTTCCTGGTGAAGGTAACTTTGACCGCCCTTTCCCGGGCTTATATCCTCTGCTTCCCATGCAGTCCCATCGTATGTTCATACCTAACATTGTATAGGTCTGAATGTTGAACAACGGAAACGTCTCACTATCGGTGTTGAATTGGCAGCTAAGCCCCAGCTCCTTCTGTTCCTCGACGAGCCCACGTCCGGTCTGGACAGTCAAACATCGTGGTCTATTCTTGATCTTATCGACACCTTGACCAAGCATGGCCAAGCCATCCTTTGCACAATTCACCAGCCATCAGCAATGCTCTTCCAACGCTTTGACCGTCTTTTGTTCCTAGCTAAAGGTGGAAAAACGGTGTACTTCGGTGAGATTGGAGAGAGATCATCTACACTTGCGAGCTATTTCGAACGGAATGGTGCTCCGAAGCTGCCTGTTGCAGCGAACCCAGCTGAATGGATGCTCGAAGTCATCGGTGCTGCTCCTGGATCACACAGTGATATCGACTGGCCTGCCGTTTGGCGTGAAAGTCCTGAACGTCAAGGCGTCCGCAACCACCTAGCAGAGCTGAAATCCACCCTCTCGCAGAAGCCTGTTGATCCTTCTCATTCAGATGAAAGCAGCTTCAACGAATTCGCCGCTCCTTTCAGTGTTCAATTGTATGAGTGTTTGCTTCGTGTGTTCTCCCAATACTGGCGGACACCAATCTATATCTACTCCAAGGCAACACTTTGCATTCTGACGGCCCTCTACATCGGCTTCTCCTTCTTCCACGCAGAAAACAGCAAACAGGGTCTTCAAAACCAGATGTTCAGTATCTTTATGTTGATGACTATCTTCGGTAACCTTGTCCAACAGATTATGCCTAACTTTGTTACTCAGCGCGCTTTATACGAGGCTCGCGAGAGACCTTCTAAGACATACTCATGGCAGGCATTCATGACAGCTAACATCCTGGTCGAGCTTCCCTGGAACGCCCTAATGAGCGTTATCATCTTCGTCTGCTGGTACTACCCCATTGGTCTCTACCGCAATGCCGAACCCACCGATACTGTCCATGAGCGCGGAGCCCTAATGTGGCTCCTAATCCTCTCCTTCCTCCTGTTCACATCTACCTTCGCACATATGATGATCGCCGGTATCGAGCTCGCAGAAACAGGCGGTAATCTCGCTAACTTGCTTTTCTCCCTGTGTTTGATCTTCTGCGGTGTCCTCGCTACTCCTGAAGCTCTCCCCGGCTTTTGGATCTTCATGTACCGCCTCTCTCCATTCACATACCTGGTATCAGGAATGCTCTCCACGGGCGTCGGGCGTACCACCGCTGTCTGCGAGGAGGTCGAGTTCCTGCACCTAAGTGCGCCACCCAACACCACCTGTGGCGACTACATGTCCGACTACATCGGTAAGGTCGGCGGATACCTGGAAGACAAAGACGCTACCGGCTCGTGCTCCTTCTGCCAGATCTCCAGCACAGATACCTTCCTGTCTCAGGTCAGCAGCTACTACGATGACCGGTGGCGCAATTTCGGTATCATGTGGGCGTACATCGTCTTCAATATCGCCGCGGCCGTGTTCATCTACTGGCTCGCGCGTGTCCCGAAGGGCAAGAGAACAAAAAACTAATCTGGGTTCTGTATGCCCTTTGCTCTTCTTACATGATTTTATGTACTGTATAGTTTTTTGCTCTCTTTGATAGAGTTATTTCTTCGCTTTCTCTGGTTATGAACCATGAGCTTCACGTATATACCTTGTTATGTTTGAACCTCTCTTTTCTATTTCTACACTTTTTTTGTCATTATGATATATCCGGCTTCCAGGCCTTGGCCTTGGTTTGCTTATGTTTTTTATACATATTTATTCTGGGACCATGTATCTATGTATGGTTGGCATATTTCTCTTCTCTGTTAGACTGCATATACATTCCTAGAAGGCAATTATGGCTAGAGTTGCCTAAAATTTCTAATATGAACTGATGCAAGAATCTAAATGATCGCTGCATTTCTCATTTCGCTTTCGCTAAATTCTAGAATAACTTCGTTGTTAGGGTGCAGAGAATCAACTCTGCACGTTGTTGTTCTATATAAGTCCATCTTTCAATGAGGAATTGTTCACAGCATGCATTGTTATGTCGGAAGTACAGGACCACGACCGAAACGCCTAGATTGTCTGGTACAGACAGAGAGACCGGAGGGAGGAGATTAAGGTGACAGGATAAAAAAGAGTAATTTACAGACAAAATTTTAGACAAGAAGACAAAAGGTGATGTAGAGCTGTTGTAAAGTTGACGAGAATGTTTTTACCATGTGAAGGCCTCCTCGACGAAATCCACGACTGCGCCCTTGCCGATGTTATCTCGAGCGGCTGCACGAACCTCATCTGCAAATGCGCCGGGTCCACAGACGGAAACAATGGTAGCTCCGACGCGGTTGGGGATGACCTCGTCCAGGACGACGTGGGGACGGCATCGACCTGGGAACATTTGCACGGTGGCGCTGGGTGAAACGATCTCACGGCTGCTCTTGGGTTTCGAGACGAAGAGTTTGATGGTCAGGATGTCGCGGCGACCGGGGAGGCGGAGGATTTGGTCCATCCATTCTTGTACCCACGCGAGATGGTCTGTACTACGGACAGACCAGACGAGGTAGACTTTTTGCGTGGCTACGCGGCCTTCGGTTGCACGAATGATCAGGTCTCGGCAGAATAACATATGATGGGTGATACCCGCGCCAGCAGAGAAGAGCACAGCGGTGCCGTAGCTGCCCATATTAGAAACGTGGGATCGGTACGGTCCTTCAATGTATCCTGAAATGTGTAGCTTTTGTCCAGGCGCGATGAGCGCTTTGTTGTAAATCTTTCTAGTCATACCTTGGCGAGCAGCCATGATAAGGGAAACAGATGTTGGCGTCTGGCTTTCCCGCATGTATTCATCTAGGTCAACCACCGTTTGTTTCTCAAGGAGCGATGGACTCATGCTTCCGGTAGAGACTGGACTCTTAGAGGAGTATTCTGGCCCCGCTGTGGTCGTTACAGAGCTGCAGGGATCGACCCAAGCAACTGAAAACGGATGGGACATCCACAAGGAGACGCTTGGAATGTAAGCATATACGTGGCTCCCAGGGTTAATACGAACGTGCTTGGGCAAGTGAAACGTCACTTTACAGGCCTCGCCAGGGAGAGCTTCGACAACAAGCTTGGTGGATCCTTTGCTAGGGGAGATGTTAAGGTACAACAGCCTTAAAAACCTAGCTACCCGGTCGAAGATCCAGACTGCGGCGATTGCGATGGCCCAGGGTTTCTGGGGTAGGTTGTCGAGATCCAAGTGTAACCATACGCCAACATAAGCCAACAAGGCAGCAAGCTGGTGAAGATGCAGGAAGGTTTCATAGAATGCATGACGAATCGGCGAGGGAGAATGAAGTGAGAGGAATACCATCGCAACAGTCGCAACCAAGCCCCAAGTGAAGAAAGGAGTATCGCATAGGCGCTGAAGCATGTCCGACGTCCCCTTTTCAGCGACTGCATTGACTGCCCAAGCTATTGTGTGCACCACACTTTCAATCATGACAATGCGGCCTAACCATCGGTGGAGACAATTGTATGTGTCGAAACTGATATGTAAAATTGCGATCAGTGGGTTGTTACGGCCCGCCAGGATGAAGAGCGGGACCATATTGAACATAGCTAATGTTCCCGATCGTCCCCGCAGCTCAGCCACAAGGGCTTCTCTCGTGTTCACGCTATAGTCCAGGATAGCGCAATAAGCGATTTGACTTGCAACATACGATAGGATCAGGATGGTTTGGAACCTGGAAGGCAAGGTGCCCACATTGATAGCAGAAGAAAGTTGGATTTCCCGGTTGTGCCTTTTTCTACCGAGAGGCGAATATAGTAAGTGCTTCTTGATATTTGTCCATGTGGCGGACTCTTCGACACTCCAGTAAGTCTGTTGCCTTCTGCTGGCAGTCAAAGAGGTGATATGGCGGAGATAACCATGGCTTATTTGAGCAATTCGTCCGCAGAAAACAATAAACGCCAGGCCGAGGATGAAGACGACAATTATTTGCGTGATGATATGATCTCGAGGAACATTGACACCACCTAATCCTCGTGAGAACTCATAGACGTACGTCTCGTTGGACCCATAGCCTCGCGGAGTGATGCGCCGGCGAAGATCATCCATTGAAAGTTGAGGGCTCCTTATAGCCTAGAATAGGGTGCGGTGATTGAAGTTCGGATGCTATCGTGAGTTTAGATGAAACGAGTGTTCACAGGGATGTGCTACAGCCTTGCGGATGGTCTGAAGGCAAATCTAATCCTGTCGACCCCTTGTATGGGAATATGACGAAGTAAAGAATGTTGGATGGCGGGGGAACGAGTGGAATGCGGTATCCGGTTCACTGATGTTGAAAATACCGAGAGCGTTTCGCCAAATTGCCTGAATAAGGAACAATGCAGGGCGAATGAATGCAACAATGTTCTTAGTTTAATGACAATTCGCGGGTGTTACCAGGCTATCGCTTTGAGGTTTTGTTCCGACAATTGAATTGTTTCCAACTGAAAGAAAGGGCCCTTTCAAGGATGATGGTATCTGAGAGTGACAAACGATATTTGGGAATTTTCAGTGAATTCAAACCTAAGACCTTGTCAGTTGACACCAGCGGCTAACCAGCCTTCAAGATTTACTCACTCGCATCCTCGCTCCTACATGCATGATCTAAAACCGAAGAATCCAGCAAGGGGCCAATTCGACGCTCAGCGTCAAACGACACAGAAAGAGCGGATGTTATAAGTAAAAATAAACCAAAAAGAGCGAGGGAAACAAGTGGATGTCTATTGACTAAGACAAAGCTCTTCAGCTACGAGATACGAACGGACCAAATGTCGGCAGCGTGAACAGTTGGTGGAGACAATAAAGGAGAGAGAAAACCCCTGACCAACGTTACAGCAATTAAAACGCAGACGAGCGCATTATCAACAGACAACAAGAAAGAATGGATTGAAATACAGCGATCAGAGCCAGCTGAATCCAGAAGATATCGCAATAGGGAAAGGAAGGACGAAAAAAGAAGAGATATAAAACCTAGAAGCCGATAAAAGAAAGTAGGTTGTCTGACATCAGGGATCCGCGCAGCAATTAGGAATATCTTCACCTTAAAAGGCAACAAGGACGACCACTGCGGATCTAAGCTTGCATTGTGCCGGTTAGTGAATCAAGGCCAATAACTGACCCTGTGAAATTTTTTAGCAATCGAAAGTGGCGTGGTTCCTCTCTCAGCGCTAAGGAGAGCATCCAGGATCGTCTTATTTCGGCAGGGAGTCTATTAGAGGGAGATCGGTGTTTCGACTCAGCGAATGGTCCATTCACCATCGAGGAACGGGGTGCTCCGTTTGGCCCACGGACCCTTACTGATAGGATCCAATCGATAGCATAGATTGCGAACTCTAGCCGCCGAGCGAAGTCATCCAGCCACTTCCTCAATAGCTTGCAGCTATTAATCTCGCCACTGCCAGTTGAGGTGTTCGAATCTAAGCAGGTCATTTTTTTTTGTGTGTATTGTTTCAGTTTGGGCGAGTGTCATTGAAAGACTCGCCTCGTATTGGCTGACAAGGGCAACCTTGAGGACCCACTGCGAGGGCATACAGGGTATATCGTTGAGTGCAGAAGCACTTCAATGGAAACCAAGACATTTTTGGGTACCTCAGAATGAAACAATGGTTGCATTCGCCGGCTTTGTTGGAGTGGGCGGAGTTGAGAGAGTGAAAGTGGGCAATTCTAGTTTAGATTGTCACATGGCGGTCACGGGTCCCAAGACTTTTTTAATTTCCTCCCAATATTGGGTAATGCTATTTTTGCCCTGCCATTGCCTAAGTTTTTGGCCTTTTCTTTGCATTCCCACTTAGGCGGAACTTTCAATTAATAAACCATTTTTCTCACCTAAAAAGAATGCCGTTGAAAGATGAAAGACCCATCTCGCTATTTCGATTGCCTAAATACTGTTCGGTCATAAGGCTAAATACAGCGAACCCACTCCGAGCAAGAAAAGAATTCAATAGTTTTTCTTCCCCTAGGCGCTCGGGCATGAAATTGTCGGCAGATATTAATCAGAGTCTAGCTCATGCCAGTAATATATCCAGAACATGGCCAAAAAAGAAAAAAACCGTGGCATGACTAGATTAACTAACACAACGGTAAAATGGGTGGTTGACAAGCTCACTGATATCAGACAAATCTAATGGGTTTGTTCAGGAACGATCGAGTGGTATCTCTCTCTTTCTCTTAATTCGAAATCGATACTACCGTATCAGTCATTAAGAACAATTTCGGAGCTTGAGTCCCGAAAAGTATGTACATTTGAACTCAATTCCATGCCGTCATCCTTGTTTACCGTCCCATCCAGCCTCCGTCGACACAGATGATCTCTCCAGAGACATAACTGCTGGCCTGACTTGCCAAAAACACGACCACACCCTTAAAATCATCGGGATTACCCCATCGGCCAGCCGGAATCCTGGCCATGATACCCGCGTTGCGATTCGAGTCATTGATTAGGGCAACGTTCATATCCGTCGCAATGTATCCGGGAGCGATGGCGTTCACATTAATGCCCTTGGCGACCCACTCGTTCGAGAGTGCCTTGGTCAATTGGGAAATACCTCCCTTGGAGGCTGCGTAGGCAGGGACGGTGATGCCACCCTGGAATGAAAGGAGGGAAGCAACGTTGATGATCGACCCGCGACGACCAGACGGGAACTCAGACGCATCTCGTTCCAACAGATATGCACCAAATTCCCGACATAGTGTAAAAACGGAAGTCAAATTCACTTGGATCACCTATGTAACCAAGCAACCGCAATTAGCTTCTACGTCCGGACCGGAGGGAACCAAGAACATCTGATCCTTGGAGAAAAGGGGTAAGCTCACCTCATCCCAGTCCTCATCTGGGAATTTCTCGCTTGGATGCCTTCTTTGGATTCCGGCACAGTTCAGCAGTATTTCCGGTTTCAGACCTTGGCTAGTTATCGCTGGAATGACCCCTTTGATTGCGTCCCGATTGGATAACTCTGCCACGTGAATCCAGGCTTTCCGGCCAATGCGATTGATGATCTCGTCACGCGTGGATGTGTTGGATTCGTCTCTCTGCTCGTCACCCATTAGACAGTGCCCTATATAATTGATCCACATGGCGTACGATAGATGGTCACGGAGGCACGTACCTGAATCAGCACGACATCAGCACCAGCTTCTGCAAGCGCGAAAGCCATTGCCTGCCCAATGCCTCTGGTTCCTCCTGTGACAATAGCGGTCTTTCCGCTCAAGGAAAAGAGCGAAAGGGCCGTTGCCGACATTGTGATTGCTGTGATGTCAAATAGTGTCTTAAAGATACGAGGTTGCTATCCGCCTCGCGTCTTGATTTTCCTTTCTCTGGCGGTTCGAATCCAAATGGGATGAAGGTATAGTAAGAAATCTCTCTTTAACCTGTAATTGCCATTTCAATGGCCTCTTCCATCATAATAAATGCCCCCCCACGTGCGGGGCAGCGAAGTCATTACCCGAAACGGAAATTTCTATTCCCGATACGATGAATCAAAGGCCGATTCCCCGCAGTCGGTAATTGAACCATTATTGCCAAGCATCCGTACGGCACGTGCCCTGTATTATTACCGTCATAGGACTACGTGTTACAGCCGATCTCTAAACTATATTCAATTACATATGAGAGACCAAAGTTTACACCATGGTAGGCAATTCATTGCTAACCACTTAGATATTCGACGGGCATGGTTAACCTAGGCAGGACAGTCAAATACCTGCTTGCCCGTTGTTGTGGTTGTAGGTACAAGTTCTGGCGTGGTAGCATAGCACCTGTTGTCCTCGAAGCAATAAAAAACCCGACGGACTTTAGTACAGATAGGCTCATGAGCTATTGAGAAGCAGATGTGATTTTATGGGTTGCTATTGCTCTCTGGTATTGTTCAGACAGGTTCTACAGTATACATATGTACTGTAGTTGTTGTAGTTGGTAACTTGGAGGTAGTTGGCTATACAGGATGTTGCCGAAAAGGGGATAGCAGCTTCAAATTAATTGAATCTGCAGGGAAAGCAAAAGATTAAGCATTTTAGAATCGCCTTCCATCAAAATTCTTCCAACCTGCTCAGGCTAGTCTTTTAAGGGTGTTCATCAGGGGTGTTGCTTCCCCAGGCACTCTTATAATAATAATACAGGTGTATGTACGGAACGAAGTAATAAAACACAAAGCAGCAGCGATAGCCGGTGAGTTACACCAATACTCGTCAGTATTCATACGTCCCCCATCACCTGAATCTACTAGCAGGTAAGCCGTTGAACTCGATCATTTGCAGTGCATGACTGGGGGCGATGTGCGTTCTTCCATACACGCTGCAGAGTACCTAAACCCGGATTTTCAATTCATAAACCCTTTTGGTGTGGGGAAAGCACGAGCGCCTTCAAGACTACCCCAAAGATACGAATTACCGGTCGATCTCCAACACAGCGGAGCTGTTTTCCAAACACTGCTTGACATTCTACTTCGCCTTGACCCTGGCCTCAATTGACATCGTGATTGCCCATTAGGGTAACTATCAAGTTCTATCAACGTGCCTTGACGTGTCGCCGACCTATCTCCAACGCTGTATCGTCCAAAATGTCATCTCTGACGTGTTAGCTCCAAATTTGTGTCGGGAATTTTCTCTCTCAGTCTCTCTCCTCTTGCGTTGTTTTTATTTTTATTTATTTTTATCTGTTATAAAAAGCAGAAATGGACCAAGACGAGCAATCCTCGCATCTGGAAAGTACACCGGTGGCGCGGCCAAAATCTCGCTCCGATCATTTGATGAAGCGCGTGTCGAGAGCCTGTTTGCATTGTAGACAGCGCAAGTCGAAGTGTGATTTGTAAGTTCAGCTATTGAGAGGTTGCGATACTCTTATATCCTGATTTATTTAGTCTGCTTTCCCCGTCTCGAGCTAACTCATGATTACAGAGACGGTGGTAGCAGTCCAGGAGTACCACCGTGTCAACGGTGTCTTCGAGATGGTCGCGAATGTATTTTGGGCAGTTCAAACCGTGGAGGTCGCCGTATCCGCAAGAACAAAATGAAGAACTTCACCCCGGATACTAACCTATCCGGACGGAGGGAATCTATCACCGAGTCGATCAGCCCAACCGCTTCAGACAACCGCCAGGCTACAAATACCTCTTACCCTGGTCCGGTTGTTTTTGTGACCCCCAATCCCCCGACTGCTACATCAATGTCGGTCGATGATGAGGATACGGCATCTATTGGGTCGGTCCCAAGGAACCCATCTGACGCTTGGCAGTGTCTCACAGGCATTGCCAAAAGAAGCGACGACGGCCCTACCCCGGAGACAAACACCGATTCTCTGCGCACGAACCATAGTGCCTTCTCGTTTAGTGCTCTCCAGAACGGCACTGTAACCGACTTCCAATCAAACAGCGGTATCAAGGCTTACAGGCTAGTCCAATCACGTTCCTTGGATCCCGGTACAGTATGGCAGTTGGTTGCTCGCTATGCAGAAAATTTCCACCCATATCTCCCTCTAGTGCCACGGAAATACTTTCACCGCAGTGCGCTAGATTCTTTCGCCACCAATGAGAAGCATCTGCTCACTGCAGTACTTACAATCGCATCAAAGGATTTAGTCGAACGACCGGAGATCCACGAGTACTGCTCGAAATACATGCACGAGTTAATCTCTGGGATAGCTGCTGGTGCCGACTGTGATGTGGAAGCCGTGGAGGCCCTTCTTCTACTTGCCGAGTGGGAGCCACAGGGCCTTCGCCCCCGTATTGAGCGAGTAGGTCGTGGAGAGGAGGATCGAGCCGCATGGATGCATGTGGGTTTAGCCTTACGGTCAGGTTACTTCCTGGGCTTGGATCGAACATCCTTCCGAGGTGATCCCACGGGAGATACAGAGACGGAAGCCCGCAGGCGGTTAGCATGGACCAGCTGCTACATCTCGGACCGGTTGATCTCTGTCCGCATTGGACGGGCTTTCTGGTCCCGTGGGCCTGGCCCGATGACGGGCCTTGTCAGTCAGGACTTTCCTTCTTTACAACCCATCAAAGATGGGGATGAAGATTACGCGAAGATTTTCCAGGCGACTCTGGATTTGACTCAACTTTACGGGAACGTGCACGATTTGCTTTATTCCGGCATGCGGACGAGTAATCAAATGATGCTTATGGGGGACTATGTAAAATATGTGGACGATTTTCGCCTCGCAATTTTGCGGTGGAAATCACTCTGGGGCTCGCTGTCCTGTAAGCTGTGGCCTTTCTCCAACAGATGCGAGCCACTGCCACTGACATATTACAGGTTCTACACCCATGCAAGCTACTTTACAGCTTTCATATGAGTACCTCAGGCTTTATACTAACGCTTTTGCATTTCAGGCTGCGATCTCGCAATCAATGGTGTCGAAGGTGAAGAACGATGATCAGTCACAAAGAGAGCACCTGAGATCAACGTTCGAAGAAGTGGCATCGATGCAAGATGCTAGGTTTATCTATGAATCTGTGGATGCCGCCAAAGCCTACTTGACAATTCTCGTTGACCTGGTGCACCCAGAGAAGCACCTTCACTTCATGCCCCTCAGATTCTATCTATACGGTATCTATGCGGCTGTTTTCTTATACAAGGTACGGTTCTTTTCCATCTAGCACCTTGGCTTCAGGGATTAATTTCGGCTAAAGGCCCGGTCGTTTGGGGTTATGACAAATGGCGAGGAAGTCAAAGCACGCGATCTTGTCACTCGAACAACCGATGTCCTGAAGCGAGCAAGTGCTGGGCCGGACGACATTGGCTCGCGTTACTCGCGGCTCCTAGAACTTTTATGGCGGCCTAAGGCTGCGGCAATTGCTTCACCTGCAGGAACCCATCAGAGCACTGATTTCCAAGTTCAGAGTAACAATGTCTCCCATCGCTTGCCTGAACAAAATAGTTACATGCAGTTTAGCCCAGCGAACGATTTCTCGTGGTTGGATCTTGAAGCCGTTGGGGACTATGTCTCTGGAGACCAAATACCCGGAACGAACACTCTGGCATTCGATGCGTTCCAGAACCCAGATCCATATCAGGCCGGGCAGTCGAATTGGTCCAGTGATATGACTAATCTTCTGTTCTAGTTGCTCCGTCATGGTTGCAATGCTGTGTTTCTCCCCCCACGTTGCTAGTGCGGGGAGAATGAAGATGTGGGGTTTTTACCAGAAGCCGATCGCGATGAGCCAGCCCACTCCTCGTTCGGGCTTCTCTCCGACCCGCTTGAATGAAACGCCGACCGAAGGACCTCTTTGTGCCATACTTGTAAATCTTCTGTCCTCAGGCAAGAAGCACACTTGTGGTCATCTTTAATATAATGGAACAACATAATGACATCCTTGGCCGATTGGCACTCATTACCGGAGCCTCTGGAGGGTAAGTTATCCTAGTCTGATTTGTCACAAGTCATCATGAGCTTAACATCGTACTGTTTAGGATCGGGGCAGCTTGTGCTCGTCAGCTAGCTGCGAAAGGCGTTCATCTTGCCTTGACATATTCCACCAATGTGTCTGCGACATCTTCTCTCGCCGAGGAACTCAAGTCCAAACACTCAGATAGCTACAGCCTCCGGATTTCCATTCATAAAGTGGATGTTTCTTCTTCAGATGAAATTCAGCATATGTTTGAGGAGATTGACGAACAACATGGCCAGCGGCCAGATATCCTAGTCTCCAACGCCGGATATGGCAAACGAATCCCACAGATCTGGGACATCTCTCTTGAAGAATTCGATTACACTGTCAGTGTGAACCTACGCGCTTCTTTCGTTCTTGTGAAGGGCGTGGTAGACCACATGAAATATCAACGATGGGGTCGGATAGTGTTCATGTCCTCGATTGCCGGCCAGGGAGGTGGAATCAACGGATGCCGTACGTGATCGCTCCTGCTTCACATGATAATGCACACATTCACTAACCCGCGCGCAGACTATGCCGCTTCCAAGGGTGGTATGACAGGAATGATGAAGAATCTCTCAACCCGGCTAGCTGAATACAACATCAGTGTCAACGATGTTGCGCCCGCCATGATCGGTGAAACCGGTATGATACCCAACGCCGCGGCCATTCCTGAGGTTGCAGCCGGTATACCCTTGGGTCGATTGGGCCTTCCAGACGAAGTCGCCAACGTGGTGACTATGCTTGTGACGACTGGTTATATGACTGGTCAAAGTTTGTTGCTCGGGGGAGGGTTGAAATAGTATATATATTTGCTGCTATGAATTCAGTTAAGAGGTCACCACGAACTATTTTTTTTTTTTAGCTGAAAGCTTTATAATACAGGATTTATACCCTATACGTACCAAGTCATGTACTGTGCCTCTATTATATGTTGGAATAAACAAATTTGTGCCTAACATCACAAAGGATGCAAATGCATTCTATGTCCCTCCACGTGCACACTCCATGTTAGGTGTAGTGTGCGTCACCTAACCAGTGCGATACTATGTAAGGCGCTTGGGGAAGTTTGAACCCTGAAGGGTTCAAACATAGTGGTCATTTTGACTAGTGGAAAGTTCAGACCCTAAGCTGAGCCTAACACTCCAGGTCTGTCATAATGGGTTTCATCTACTGTACACCGTTTCTTCATGATATTTCATAATTCTTTCCTTCTCCAATCACACCGACCTCAAGCCAAAATGCGGGTATTACTCAAAAGGACGAAAACAACCAAAACAGCAAAATTTTAACTCTCGATGACGACCTTGACAACAGGTCGTCCGGCCTCATCAACGCCCTTTCCAGCCAAAGCAAATGCCCTCTCTCCGTCTTCTAACGGCAACCGATGCGTAACGACCAGCTCCTCGACGCGGTTGAACTTACCGCTTGCCATTAGGGCAATAGCAGCGGGGTACGCATGCCCATCATACCGGAACACACCGATGACATCGACCTCCCTAAGAGCTGCCGCACCCACGGGAAGGGTCTGGATGGGATTACCCATGCCAATCTGCACCAGAACGGAGCCTGGAGCAGCGGCGTATATCCCCGCCTGTACGCAGGCTGGTACACCCGTGCAGTCATAGATACGACTGAAGCCGGAAGTCAAGCTGATAGTTTCCTTCAGCACAGCAGCGACACGCTGGGCATTCTGTAACGCATAAGCAGTTTGCTCAACGTGAGGAGCATCCTTAGCCGGAGGTGGGTTGGCAGGGTCCGCCTTCGGGATAAGAGCAGTCTTGAGACCAAGATTCAGCGACTCGGCAATAGCCAAGCGTGCCGGGTCGATATCAGCCACAACGATATTAGAGAAATTCTCCGCCGTTCCCAACGCGCCGGCCAGGAGTAGACCGATGGCGCCAGCGCCAAAGATCAAAGCTGCGGACTGGTCTCCTACCGACTCGGCCAGTTGCACCTCCTCCTTGGATGGGGGATGCGAGCGCCGAACAGCATGGAGACAGACGGCTAGGGGCTCGACGAGGGCGCCTCCAGCGTAGGACACGGAGTCCGGGAGCTTGTGGCACATGTCGGCTGGGTGGTTGGTGAGCTCCATAAGAGTGCCATCGAGATGGGGGAATATTTTAGCGCTGCTCCGGAACTTCATTTCGGGGCAGATGTTGTAGCGGCCTTGTCGGCAGAGGGTGCATTTGCGGCAGGGCAGGCCGACTTCGAGCGCGACCCGATCGCCAACTTGTAGCTTGGTGACCTCGGGTCCGATGGCGGTTACCACGCCGGAGGACTCGTGGCCCAGGCAGTAGGGCTCGCGCACGACGAAGTCGCCATTGCGGCCGTGGTTATAGTAGTGGAGGTCTGAGCCGCAGAGGCCGGTGGCGCGGATGGCGACTTGCACTTCAGAGGTGGTGGGGGCAGTAACAGGTTTTGTTCCCTAGTCAGAATGGTTAGATATAGTTTCTTTTTTTTTTTAGTACTGGTTCTGAAGATGGTCTTACTAGTCGGAGGTCCTTTGCACCGTGGAGGACGAGTGCCCTGCAGACACCGGTATCATCGACGGTCGCCATTTTGTGATATCGGGGTACGAGAGTTGGGAGGAGTGTTTAATCCAAGGCTCGCCATTATGGCGATGCTATTATATGCTCAGCATGACTTTTGTCGGCCATTGACTCCGCCTAAACGTGGGGTTGGACCGGAGCTCCTCCGCGTCGGTTATTGAACCATTTTGTTCAATAGCCGAGAGGCGATGTCATGAATATTACAGGTTGTAATTTTTTTTGGAAATTCCGATGAGCTTCACGCTGTACTTGAAATATCATTAAAAATAAAAAATACATGATACTCACAATCTCTAAATCTTAAGTACCGAGCACCCACATAGTAAAATCTCATGGTATTCTCCTCGTTGCCCCCTGTAGGAGTATGTACATATATACACATCTCAACTCATCCATACCGATAGTAATACATACAATACAGAGTACATCCCATAAAAGCACCCCACGCCAACCCGAATTGGGGGCCAACAATCAATCAAATCAACCACGATAAACCACAATTAATTAAGCCTGAATACTCTTAAAAGATCAAGAATTGGATCATTTCCTCTCATCTCATCAATTTCTTTCTCCTTCCACTCTTCCTCCATACTCTTTCTCTCCTTCCCTGTATACATTTTTTCACGTATTCACGCAACTTCCCAAACCCCCACAACTCTGACATCATATCATGCCTTCCGCCCTGCTTATCGGCGAGATCACCCACGCCCGCAAAGAATGGGAGGAACTGTCGTCGCTGTTGACGCTCAAGGTAATATCTACTTCTACTAGATATGAAACGGAGAATGGCATCTAATATAGATGGGGATTTTTTAGGAGTTTCCCACGGGTACCAGAGAGAACTTTATCCGCAATTGCAAGGAGGGCCAGTATGATGATGTTGTGGTGATTTATCGGTCCAATGCTTCTACAAAGGTAGGGGGTAATTTCTTTATGTTAAGAGAGGCGCATGCTGAGTCGAGTAGTATACTGGTCCCTTTGATGCGGAGCTGCTTTCTGTTTTGCCGGGGTCTTTGAAGTATATTTGTCATAATGGGGCTGGGTATGATAATGTCGATGTTAAGGGATGTACGGAGAAAGGTATAATTCCTTTTGTCTGTCTACGGTGTGTGGAGGGGGAAATGGCTGATGATTGTGGTAGGAATCGCCGTGTCCAGCACGCCCGTCGCTGTTAACCACGCAACGGCTGATGTGGGCATCTTCTTGATGATCGGCGCTTTGCGACAGGCCTACGTACCACTGTCTGCTCTCCGGGCGGGTGAGTACCTACACCATGAGTCCAGTGGATAAAGTGGGATTGTTGACGGCAGAAATCACAGGTCAGTGGCAGGGTCAGGCTACGTTGGGTCGTGACCCCCAAGGGAAGGTGCTGGGAATCCTCGGAATGGGCGGAATCGGCAGGGTAAGGAGCTGATGGGAAAGTTTCCATGCGCCAGATCATGGGCTGACTTGTGCAGGAAATGGCCAACCGCGCAAAGGCTTTCGGAATGAAGATCCAATACCACAACCGGTCCCGACTATCGCCAGAGCTCGAGGGCGATGCTACATACGTGTCGTTCGATGAGTTGTTGGCGAGCTCCGATGTGCTGAGCTTGAACCTCGCACTTAATGCCTCGACCCGTCATATTATCGGCGAGAAGGAATTCCAGAAGATGAAGGATGGGATTGTCATTGTTAATACCGCGCGTGGTGCGCTGATTGACGAGAAGGCGCTAGTTGCTGCGCTGGATTCTGGAAAGGTGAGTTGAGCGTTTATTGTCCCTTTGTCGTTATAAAGAGAAGCGTCTAATGGTTGATAGGTTCTGTCGGCTGGGTTGGACGTTTATGAAAACGAGCCCGCCGTAGAGGCTGGTTTGGTGAATAACCCTCGGGTGATGTTGCTGCCACATATTGGAACCATGACATATGAGACGCAGAAGGATATGGAGTTGTTGGTGTTGAACAACTTGCGCTCAGCTGTAGAAAAGGGAAAGTTGATCACGTTAGTTCCGGAACAGAAGAATGTCTGGTAGAAGATTAGATGCGATATTATTTTATGGAATGAAATATTAAAGTTGTTTTCTTTTTCTCCCCTTTAATGGATTTTGAAATATCAGGTGTTGTAGTTGTGTGCAATTGGTACAAGGTATGAGTAGGAGTGGTGAGTATGCGGTAGCTTCGTTGTTTAACACAAGACAACAACTAATTACCAAGGACAGCGGTCGAGACTTGGCACTGAGCTGAGGGACTGAATGGGTACTGCCGGGCGGTGTAGGCTTGCCTCTGACAGAGCTGGCCCTAATCCGCTTTGGGCTCGCTAAAGGGTTAACCCTAGCGGGAATGCCAAGAGCGAAAAAGCACACCACAACGAGACTTGCGATCTCGAAGTTCCAGCGGCCGACCGTAAGAAAAGCGACAAAACTTCTCACCCGACATCGAGGACCACCCCGCTCGGCAACCACATCAAGATGGTGAGTGTTATATTTGACGTTTTTGGATTCGAATGATCGGGAGGGAAAGAAGTGAATGGGCACAAGATCACCAGTGGAAGAGATTATCCTTGCACCGAACATGTTCGATTCTGTCAATCCCAAGATTAGGCATTCTGGCCCATCCCGATATTTCGACCCTACCATCACCACATCCACTCCAACCACCATCAATTGCGTTTCGAGATAGAGGAATATGGCTTTGCTGATGCAGGATTTTTTTTCGTCTTTCAGGTCCGTTACGCTGCTCAGGAGATTCCGGCCACTAAGAGCGCCCGCGCCCGGGGCTCTTACCTGCGCGTCAGCTTCAAGAACACCCGTGAGACCGCTCAGGCCATCAACGGCATGAAGCTTCAGCGTGCTCTTACTTTCCTCGAGAACGTCACCAACAAGCTCGAGGCTGTCCCCTTCCGCCGGTTCGCTGGCAGCACCGGTCGCTGCGCCCAGGGTGAGTGGCTGACAATCTTTCTTTTACGTGAGATGGGATATGGTCTGAGATGGTTTATGGGAATGAACGGATATTTTCGATGAGACCGGGAGCAAAAGAGACGGAATACTGGATATTGCGATGGCTGGGGTGGGCGTGTGCTGGGGAAGAGCGGACCATGTTTTTTGGCAACAGACGTGCGCGGAATTTTTCACTGACAGAATTTAACAGGCAAGCAGTTCGGTGTCAGCAAGGCCCGCTGGCCCGAGAAGTCCGCCAAGTTCCTCATTGACCTCCTGAAGAACGCCGAGTCCAACGCCGACACCAAGGGTCTTGACACTGGCAACCTTGTTGTCAAGCACATCCAGGTCAACCAGGCTCCTAAGGGCCGCAGACGCACTTACCGTGCTCACGGTCGTGTACGTTCTCTGTTTTCTTCCCCGTTGATCTGGTTTGCTAACCCGAGTCTTAGATCAACCCCTACATGACCAACCCTTGCCACATCGAGCTTATCCTCACTGAGGCTGAGGAGACCGTCCAGAAGGGTCCCCTTGTTAAGCGTGATGAGCACCTCTCCTCTCGCCAGCGTGGTGCCCAGATCCGTCGTGCCATCCAGGCATAAGCGGTTTGTGGGTGTCGGGGGGATGAAGTAGTCGGAAAATGAATGGGAAAGCCGGAGTTTTCTGTTGTACGGAACAAATACCTTTTCATGGAAGGAATACAAAAGAAATTTCTACAAACTGAGCAAATCCTCGAGTTTATGGGCGGAAGCATCGGCTCTTCCCCCTTGTCATGAATATAAATCCTAAAGCGTTGATCATATCCCCAATTCCTAACGGTTACTATGTGGTTTCTCGGGAAAGGATTATTTGTTTCGGCAGTACCACCTGGCTTTGCGGCAATCGGATGCTCAACTAGGTCCAGGCTTAGTCAGACATTTTACACTCATACTTCCGGATGCTGATGAGCGTTGTTTCACGAATGGGATATGGAAATTAGTGAGGCTCGAGAGGAACGCCGATGATTCTTGCTTGTACCAATGTAGCCATGCATCCGTTCACGTCTTACCTTCAGGTGCAGAACGTAGATTCGACCGTAATGATGAACATGTAGCTTGCGTGTGCAACGGTTTATACGTAAACACTTTATCCAGGTCTTCTAAGGTACGGAGTATGGTTGGGAGGCCTCTGTTCCCTTGATAGGATGTGCTCCACCTCTGAATTCCAATTGGCCATAGTTAATGAATTGTACAGGATGTATATATATATATATCTCTCTCTTTCTCCAATGAGTGATGCCTGGTTGAAGCCAAGAGTGGCGATGCACCGTTTTCTCAGCCACAGAACATCGCGATAAGTCAGTATTAATGTGTCCGACCTTAGCGCCATCAGCGGATCATTTTCATCTGTTGTGAGTGCAGTGATGGGAAAGATGACTGGTGTAAGATCTTTAAAGTCGACATGCATACGCGTTCGTTGAATGACGCAGGATTGCCCTCTAAGTCCAGGCACCAATGAATTGGTTGCACATTTGGATCCATAGTGGATAGAGCAAGGCTTGCGTGTCACCAAGGACGGATTTGCCACTTTCTTTCTCATCTCAACTTGGTGTAGAATAGGTAACAGCCTTAGAAACGAGTCAAGTAGAGCTGTTTCTGCCTCCAAGCAGCCTAAAGCAGCACTAAGCCTACACGGGCCTAGTCGCCCCTCCTGTTTTATCAATCAACCTCCACCCCCATCAAACCCTCGACACTTTCTGTTTCCTTGCGTCCCATTCTTTTTTTTATTGTGACATTTCTGCTTGGGGACCCTTTTCTTCGTTCTTTTCTATCATAATATTCCGTACATTGGGTGCTTTGGTATATAATGAAGCGCATTCTGACATCCTTCAGCAAGCGTTCCGGTATGTTGTTGCCATTTCCCCCGGATCGTCCAATCGGTTGGTTACTCATCAAAACAGGCCCAACATCGGAGGATTCGTCGTCATACCCTGATGATTCTCCCGAGGGTATCATTTTAAGAGAAGTGGTTCGTTTTTAAATCTTATTTCCCCGGTGCGTGTTCCGGAGAATTAGACTGATCTGTAGCGATGTTCTAGAATGTCTTTTGCGAGTCCCAAGGAACGCCAAACAACACTGTACGTTTTTCTACCCCTGAGTGCTTGTGAGAGAGCGACATCTTCATTCCGACTATAATTATTTGGATGATCATTGACGGAGGAATATATATAGCAAGGTTCCGAGTTCGTCCATCTACCAGCTATCGTCGAAAGCGCCGAGTCTAGCCCCAATGCCGCCAGGGAAGCAGCGCATCGCATTCGCAAATTACTGTCCGACCCATCATCCACACCAGCCAACGTACAATATAATGCAATCATGCTGATTCGCATCCTCGTTGATAACCCCGGGCATACTTTCACTCGGAACATTGATGCCAAGTTTGTCGCGACCGTAAAGGATCTTCTGCGCCAGGCTAGGGACCCGAGTGTACAAGGCTTCCTTCGGCAGACTCTGGATAGCCTGGAGATGCAGCGTGGATGGGACGAGGATCTAGCACCACTTTTGCAAATGTGGGCAAGGGAAAAATCCAAGCTCAGGAGAACCAATAGTGGAGTATGTTCCCAATGGGGATGGGCCAGTATATGATAAAGCTAACGGTCTCACTCTAGAGCACTTGGAGGTCGCACGTTTCATCCCCAGCTTCACCGCAACAACAGCAACCTCGTGCAGATTACTTTAGTTCGCGCCAGACCACAGGGTTGCCGCCTCCAGATGAACTAGCGGCTCGTATCACCGAAGCCAAGACGTCGGCAAAACTGCTTGTGCAGTTCGTTCAGTCGACGCCTCCCGCAGAGATCCTGGAGAATGAGCTGATCAAGGAATTCTCCGAGCGTTGTCGGTCGGCATCGCGCACCATCCAGCACTATATTCACGCGACGAACCCTCCACCCGATGAGGATACCCTCTTGACCTTGATTGAAGTGAATGACGAGCTGTCCATGTCTCTATCTAAGCATCAGCATGCTCTTCTTCATGCTCGTCGAGCCCTCGGACAGTCCGATAGCCAGACACCCTCGATATCTGAGACCGCAGCATCAGGCGCACCTAGTGTTGTTCCTCCACCGGTTCCACCGCGGGATACGCCGAACCTTCCGATACCGCCAGCGATGCCCCTAGCAGCGTCAAGCGCTACCAGGGCTTCCCCCTCTGCGAATAACGGTGCGGGCCGGTCGGAGTATCGATCGGAGGATTTTCAGGTACAGAATCCATTCGCTGATAGCTTCAGCACTGCTGCTATCGGTCCATCTGAGAATCAACGGATGGAAGGGACAGCAAACGACTCGTGGAACGAAGCGTATCAACGACCTATCCAGCGCGCATGATGGGTTGTGGAGTATCGAGCGTCTCTGCCTTTCCCTTTATATTTTTCTTTCTCTTGTCTGTCTTTTTGTTGCGTAGACATGATTAAACGCTCTCCCTAATGCTTCAATGTAGTTATATCTATGCTTGATGTGATACCTCTTTTGCGGAGCAATGTTATTTGGATATCTTGTGGCTTGACTGCATCTGAAACGATACCTGATTCCTGGTCCGCGTCTCATAAATACACAAACTAGATCAGCCAATGTACTCATTTCACTTCAAGTTGTGGTTGATCTTTTCGTTCAAGTTCTTTGTTCCAAGCCATGATTGTAAGTTCCGAGGTACGTCCATGGGAAAGACTCAGCAGCTATAACAAACGAGTCCTACTAACGCCTAGGAATAGGATAACCGACCCACCACCAATAAAAATCATCTCTATTAGGGACTCTCCCCGATGCCTGTTCAATTTCGACTAGTTCTCACAGCCACGTATCGCACAGATCACTTGGTGATTAGCACAACTCTTGGCCCTTATCATAAAAGAACACGGCAAGTCAGCTCCGACGACGATAGTGGGTTCATTGGCCCCTATGGAGTACTCATACGAGGCTTTTGCCTCATTTCAGATATGAACTCCGAGCTTGGAAGACCCTTGAATTTCTTTATGATTATGGGGACTCAGGGCTAATTCAGGGAGTGGGGGCACAGAATCTATATGAGGGTGCTAATGTTGGACTATTGCTATAAGTTCCTCTCCGAGATTCCGGTCCTGATCAATCGGATTTTATGCAAAGCGCATAGAGGGATGCTAATCGTCCTGATGGAGCTTCCGGGCTAATGAAGCTGAAACCCTAATTGAGGCACTAAGCAACTGGAGTTGGTCTAAGCATCTCCACTGGCCACCGTTATGTTTCACATCAATTAACGTGAAACTACTAGGTGCTTTGTATACCGTCACTTTTAATTCTAGTTCCACCGGCTCCCACCAACTATTGATTTCTTTTCGCCAAGTCATCTCGACAATGGCCTGGTTCAACGCCATCCTCCGGTGGAGAGTCTCGGGGAGATTGATTCCTAAGGGCTTCGGGAGATAACCGTCCCCTTTCGAAGTGTCTAGAGTCGTTTCATGATGGAATCCTGATGTCCTGCAGGCCAAAATCAATGGACCGACCGCATATATAGATGAGGGCTCGTCTCGTTCTTTTTCTTGTTCCCCAAAAAGCACGCAGGTTTATTCTGTTCTTCTTCTTTACACACTCTCTTGTCCCATCCGGTCTGTGACCGTCCCGTTCTTTCGCTCTATACATTCATTTAATTAGGTATACTGGTATACCGATCCATTCTCTGAAATCAGACTTTTCTCGATCTTACCCGAATCCAACCAATTTCACAACCTTCAAAATGAAGCAGACTGGTACCATCCTTGCCCTTGCCGGCCTTGTCTCCATGGCCCACGGCCACGGTTTCGTTACCTCGCCCCAGGCCCGTATGCCTGGTCCTGCCTTCCAGGAAGCTTGTGGCCAGCAGATGTACAACAACCAGCAGGCCGACAACTACGGAAACGTCCAGGGTGAACTGCAGGTTGCCAAGGGCCAGAGCGATTATGATGCCGCCAAGTGTAATGCCTGGCTCTGCAAGGGTTACAAGTTTGAGGACAACAAGGACAATGTCTTCCAGTACACCCCTGGTCAGACCGTCAAATTCCATGCTGAAATCCGCGCCCCCCACACTGGTTCTGCCAACGTCTCCATCGTCGATACCGCCTCGAACACCGTCATCGGTAAGCCCCTCAAGGACTTCGGTGATCAGTACGCCTCAAATTCGTCTCCTATCAAGGACACCGACGAGAACTTCAGCGTTACTCTCCCTTCAGACCTTGGTGACAAGTGCTCTGAGGCTGGTGCTTGTGTCCTCCAGTGGTACTGGTTCGCCAAGGATATCGACCAGACATACGAGTCCTGCATTGACTTCACCATGAGCGGCTCTGGCTCTGGCTCTGGCTCTTCTGGCTCTTCCGCCTCTTCCGCTGCTTCCACCACTGCTACCGGCGTCACCGTCACCTCCACCCCCAAGACTGGCAATAACGTCGCTGCCTCCAGCGGCTTCACCACCAGCGTTAAGCCTTCTGCCACCTCCGCCCCCAGCTCTGCTGCCTCCACTGTCACCATCCCCACCGATGGCACTGCTGAGGAGAAGCTTAACTGGATCGCCGGTCTCCTGCAGGCCCTCACCAAGTACATTGCTTAAACAGGTGATCTGATTTTTGTCAATTTGTTGGGTGCGAGATAGACCATATGTACATTTCCTAGCCAGTGAATAGAATTGACTTTACCTGCATTATACATATTTTGGGTCCTGGAGTCGTGCCTTAGAGACCACAGCCTTGCTGAAGTTGTGTGTCCCAAATTCAATAATGGGTAACCGAATTAGGGCAGCTTGCATCATGCTGCTCAGCTCATAACTGGATGCGTGATGTTCATGTTCCATAAGGGCAGTTCAGGTGTTTTCCTTCTTTTTTCCCTTTTCTTAATGTATTATAGGTGTAGCATAAACTTAGATCTTGTGACCTTCATCTACTTTTGTAACATACCGTGCAGAAACTTTTTTTCAAAAATAGGTCACTTAAGTTGTGGGAGTATGGGTAATATCGATAGGAGTTGTCTGACCCCGACCATGAAGCCATTTCTCGTACTTTCTACACTCTACAGGGTCATTGGAGACCTTGGTGATATCCCCGTCCAGCAAAGCGGCGTATACATGAGCACCTTCAACGCGGATGAAGGATTTTCATGAAACTAACACTGAAACGTGAATCTCCACCAGAATCTCTGTGAGAGATATTTTTCTTCGGTCCACCGTCGGGATTGTGTCCGTTACTGAGGAAAGCTTGGAGTTCCCTACCCCTTGCAATCTTGATGCAGTACCAGCAGAGATGAACGGGTGCGTCGAACCGGATCGGCGAGTTGCAAATAAATTAATGCTTCGGTAGAAGCTTGTTTCTTGTGGTTTCTGGCTTGCGTAGGAGGTTTTGTTGATATGGAGTTTCCTCGGACGGTTTTCGGGTGTTTATGTCCAAGGGTGTGCTAAAACGGCATTGATCGTCGAATGTTTATGAGTAAATACTAGATCGATTGTATGAGGTTCCTTATATATAAACGATTTCGGGTTGCTGTCCTTGTAGTGTTGTCTATGGTCTCGTGCCCACGTGGCTTGTATAGCCCTTGATGATGTTGTTCTAGTTTTCTATGGTGGGGGTTTTTCCGGAGTCAAAATAGGAGTGAAGAGAAATAGAATTTTTAGCTAAGAATTCTAACTCGAGTTCACAATTAGTTAATCAGATAAGCATGAATCAGCAACCAGAGCCAAGACTTTGCTGCGGCCCGCAGTAAAGCTAAGCCACAATCCAATCCAATCTTCTTTTGTGTCTCTTCTCCGATTCTCCGTCTACACTACATCTACAATTCATCAATTCATACACTCGTCACAATGGAGGAATCACACCTCCGTCAGAGCATCTCCCATCACCCTTCCCCCTTCAGCTCCCCTCACCAACCTCACTCTCATATCCCCCGAGAGCGCTCTTTCAATGAAGCGACCACCACTGCTCTAGAACCGCAAGCGCCTCAATACCGCACCAGCAGCGCCAGCGATGAAGAAGGTCAACCACCACCACGCTACACACAGGAGAACGACCCCTTCCAATTAGCATCCAAGCTCAAGACCGACGAGGAAATACGACAAATCCACCCGCAAGCCAACACAGCCCGTAAACGCGACAGCTGCACTCCTACTGGCCTCCTCCACGCAACCAAGAACCCTAAGAAGGCATTAACCGGCGCCGTCACTGCCAGACAGCTCCAAGGCTTCTACCATTCGCAAAATGAGAATATCGAACGCATGCTTAAACCCGTCGAAGAGCACGTCCGCCACGCCCGCGAAATCAACACCAACAATCAGCTCAAATACAAGATCGCCGTCTACGGCTCCTTCGCCGCGAATATCGTCCTCTCTATTCTCCAGCTCTACGGTGCCATCGCTTCTAGCTCCCTCTCCCTCTTCACCACCATGGCCGATGCCGTCTTCGACCCCATGTCCAACCTCACCCTGCTCCTCTGCAACAAGGCCGTCAACCGCGTCGACCCTCGCAAGTTTCCCGCCGGCAAGGCCCGCATCGAAACCGCCGGAAACATTTGCTTTTGCTTCCTCATGACGGCCGTCTCGTTCATCCTGATCGCCTTCTCCATCCGCGAACTTGCTGAGGGCTCTGAGTCGGAGACCGGCGCGTTCCATCTCCCCTCTGTTGTCGCCGTCGTGGTCGCTTTCTGCACCAAGTTCGCCCTCTTTGTCTACTGCTTTGCGCTGCGCAATCAAGTTTCCCAGATCCGCATCCTGTGGGAAGATCATCGCAATGATCTCTTAATTAACGGGTTCGGTATTCTGACGTCCGTGGGTGGAAGTAAACTCCGGTGGTGGATTGATCCTATGGGCGCTATCATTCTCTCCGCCTTGATCAGTTGTCTGTGGCTTCATACGGCTTACCATGAGTTTCAGCTCTTGATTGGTGTGACGGCTGATACGAAGATGCAGCAGTTGATTACTTATATCTGTATGTTCTTTTCCCTTGTTTTACTTCCTTCTGCTTTCCTTCCCTTTTCTTTCTTTCTTTCTTTTTTTCTTTTTTTCTTTTTTCTTTAAATTTTTTTTTATTATTTTTTTTACTTTTTTTTTGTTTCGGATCGAAAGGCCGAGAACTAATACGCACTCAATAGCAATGACCCATTCTCCCTTCATTACCGCCATCGATACCGTCCGCGCGTACACCTCTGGACCCCGTTTGCTCGTTGAGGTCGATATTGTTATGGATCCTAATGACACCCTTCGCGCGACTCATGACGTGGCGGAGGAGTTGCAGATGAAGCTTGAGTCCCTGCCTGACGTGGAGAGGGCGTACGTGCATGTTGATTATGAGACGACGCATAAACCGGAGCATTTCCTCAAGAAGGAATTGTAGGGTTTATTCTTGTGGACTATCGAGTACAAATTGCTCTTTGTATGTATGTAGGGTGGCTATTGTCCATTGGTCGGTTTATGGTGTATATACGAGGTGGAAAATTTGTGCTTTACGAATGCATGTACTCCCAGTAATCGACTGATATATTGTCTTGCTACGATGTAATTTATACAAGTATTATTATGTTACTAATGGATAATAACATATAATAGTAAGGTTATTCAAGTTCTGTTTCAGAACCCTGGGCGGCTCATGTGTTATGATTATGGCTAGACCTAATTCGGGAGGTACAACAACTAGGTGGGTGCCCTAATGACTGCTGCGATCATATAGATGGTCCGGGAATACCCCATATCAATGGCCTGTTTAACACCTATCCGCATGATGTGATCGAAAAAGTACTTCGAGAAGAGATCCCCAACTACCAAAAGCGAAAGCCGCCAACGGACGCAAAGGTTCCTCACTCTACAGACGAAGTTCGGGTTGATATTCTGTAATGTAAAGGGATCACCGCTATTTAGCATCACGACTCACTTCATCTAGATCGGGAAATTAGTCAGATTATATCAATATCTACAGTAAGGTAATTTCTCCTCTTCGGGACAGGAGAATCCTATTGAATGACGGTGCCGAATATGCAAGCAAACCGGAGCTCGCTGGCATTTCGGATATTATTGCCATACATGAAAGCATCATGTTGGGCTATGGTCTATTCCTCGAGGCAAGTGGCTCAAGTCCCTAGTGATTAGCAAGCACTCACAAGGCATCTTGGGAGGAGATTGTGATCCACGTATAGAATGAAGGAGCAATGTGGAATTGCTGTTAAACTAAATGATATCGATCTGCATGCCACGATTTAGTAGGGGGTGCGTTTCCTCAAATGGTGCTTCGTGCGTGACATGAGACTCATTTTCATCTATATTACCCAAAGAAAGAGATATAAGAGGGACACAACATGATATTTGCAGAAATGAGAGCCCACTGTGTTAAGTACCTTACTTTGGGAATATCGAGAGAAGCAGATACGGATTACACAGAAGTTGACTATAAAAGAGGGAAAGACAGAAAACTGGAGAGAAAGACGTGGAAGAATTTAGCCGCCAAGGCAAAGGGACTTCAGGACTTCCGATACGATAAGATGGGCTACTTACAGTATCACCAATGTGGAGATCTCCAGTAGTATCAATTGAAAGAAAATTAAAAGTAGATATCCTGTAGCGATAGGCTAGAGGTCCCTGCTATCCCAATTAATATTGATGCGGTGGAATTCTAACACATACCGGAGAGCTCCACTGCAGTGCTTAATTTTCCCTATTAAAGCCCCTACACAGACTCTATAGAAATCATTTGCGTAACAATCATCAGGTCGAATTGACCATAAAGCTCCAATGGGTGCGAGAAGTGGATGTGGATGTGGCGAACAACGAAAGCAATGCTCTAGAGTATAGAGTACGCTATTCGCTTCACTAATACCTAGTCCGCCAGCACCAGCACCAGCACCTTCAAATCGAACATTCGACAAATACATACATCCCGGTGGCAAACGTTATCTCTCAATACATGGTTCTGGGAAGATTTTCGGTGATATTCAGCGTCCTCTGCTTCATTGCTATACTCGTTATTCTGTTAATCTACGACCAGAAAGAATTCCTTACTTTGCGTTATGGCTTGACCCTCAACACCACTGTGTCAGTTCTTGCAACGGAAACCAAATCATCGTTAATATTTGGGACGGCAAATTGGGCAGTTAAACTGGATTTGCTTTCACAGGCAGAACAGACTTATCAAATGCAAACATTCGATGATGCTAGCCGCGGGGCCGCTGGGATCGATCACAATATTGTTTCAGCGTTGAGCATGCTCACTAGTGTCCCTCGGAGCTCTAATTGCCATACCGGCTCTCGTGTTCGACCCCTTCATGCAGCAACTCCTAAGCTATCCCATCAGAGAAGTTGCAAATCCCCACGATGCTGCTGCTGTGAAGCAGAATCAATTCTACAAATTGGAGCTTCCGGACAGTAGTGTAATAAAGGCACTCAATGCCGGTATTTGGACAGATAACTTCGATATCAAACCAACATGTACGCCAGGCAACTGCACGTGGCCAGTCTTCCAGTCTGTGGACTTCTACAGTAAATGCGAGGATATCACTTCAACTACTACACTGCTTGGCTGTACGAATGGTAACTACCACCCGAATATGACCTCCACCCAAGGAAACAATTGTGCAACAATCCTTCAAAATGGATGGAGCATGAGTATAACTATTCTTGCGAGGGATCAGGGAGATGGCGGTTCCTCAGTGAATGTCCCGGAGGACGTCATATTGGTGTCCAGTCATCTTTCGGGAGTTGATCCCAACAAGACCTCTTACGTCGGCGTCGACAGGCCTTTATTTACTTTTGCGCATGTAAAATTTTGCTTCTACTACTGCTGAGAACCCGCGGTTTCATTTAAAGGACGAACACCCACTTCACAAGATCACGCAATGCGTGCTCTCCTTCTGTGTCAGGGAATACAACATCTCGGTCTCCTTTGGTACCCCATCGATCCACGTCATCTCCGAAGACTATGGGAGAATGGTACTCTATTTTGTCGGTAGGCACCTTTATTGGGCTTAGGGATTCAGCAGTCATTCCCTTGCGCAAGAAACGCTACCTCCTACCAATATCCCAGACAGCACCGCGTTCCCAGCTAAAGATGCTACCGATTGGACCAATCCCCAAACAGACATATTTACCGGTAATCTCTACGAAACGTGACATTACTCATAGGAAAACGATCAGTACGTCTGGAAATGGGAAAATTCAGAGGAAAAGGTGCCTGAAGTTAAGTATGGCGCTACTCTGAATCTCCCGACGATCCAAACCTACTCCTTACCGACGGTGTTGCAAAATGTTGCTGCCTCTTTGACTGAACACGGCCGTGAAAGGAGCAATAGCACTGTAAGGGGATATACGACTATCAGTCAGATTTACGTCTCCGTGGCATGGCCTTGGTTTGCATTACCAACCACTGTCCTGGATTTGACAATAAACTTGATATCGACTGCCTTGATGGACAGAAGGCATAGCAATGAATTGTGGAAATCGACCATTTTGCCTGCATTTTATCATGGTCTAATGGAGTCTCTCTTGCCCCATAGCGATGAGTATACAACTATATCAGCCAGATGGACGATGCTGCGCCATCGGCTACAGTACAGCTTCAGGAGTCGGATTCGAAAAGGAGATTGATACTCTCATAATCATAAACCCACTTATCTGCGCTTCGCTTCTCGATGGGTTCTGGATATATGTATATGTGATTCTTGGTCAATCTTAGGGTTCTATTTAGACTGAGCGAGGTCTCCGTCCTTATATCCCCTCGCTCGGTAGTCTATCTGGTCTAGCGTACAATTCGATCAGCCCTAATTGGTTCAATCAATCAAGATTCTATTAACCTGATGAGCCTAACTATGTACTGAAATGTCGAACTATGCAGGCGCTTACCGGCGAAGCAGAATATAAGCCGTACGCTATATAAAAAGCCCCCCAAATCGCCATGCAGTAGTCATGTGAGATCAATGTATAGCCCCAACGAAAAAGCCCTAAAATCAACCAACACGCCGAGGCCGCACTGTCCTCGCCATTAGATATATGCGCGTGGTTCTTCCCCCTTCTGCCTCATCTGGTATGTTTCGTGTGTATGCGTACCAGACCTGGTGACCCACCCCCGCAGGCCTACTCCGAGACATTGTAAACAGTGTCTACCCTTGGTTTTTCTGATTCCACGATTCGTTCCGCCTCGTGGAATTGTGCTAATAATCCGGTTCCATCCATGAACTCAGCAAACGTCACGGGTTGCCTTGCCCGCGGGTTCGCAAAAATAGTAAGGCAAAACACAGTATTCCAGTCACTCCTACTTGGCCGAGCGATTCGTGAGTTGATTCCTGTTGAACCCGTCCGCAGCTATAGCAAACAAAGTGTAATTACATATAGACGCTGTAATAGAATATTAGAGCGAAAAGGTCCCCAGAACGACGATCGCATATCCTAACTTATAAAACTCTAGTTTTCTAGTGGATAGATATTATAGTTTTTTAAGATAATGTATGGCAAAGCTAAGTCCGCTAACTTAGTTTATTTTAGTTTAGTATTGATTTTTTCTGTTGTTCTAATAAGTCTTAGAAAGGGTTCGGCTTAACTAAATAAAAAGAACTGTTCTTTATCAGAATTAGCCATTTAGGTAGAGACAGTTTTTATCTATAATTTAATAATTGATTTTTATGACTCCTTAGTGGTAGGCAATCCGGTAGACCCTAATACTGCATGGTTCTCTCTTTTGTTTCGATGTTCTTCATCTTCTTTACATAGTTATTAGTGAAAGGTTCAAGTTAGAGCCATAAAATAATATTATTCCGCGAACCAAAAGTCTACTAAATGGCCTAACATAGAGAAAAGTGGTATCCACAGAAAAGAAACAAAAAGAAGAAAGGAGCAATTGCCTCCATATCCCAAGTCCCTCTATCGTAGTCGTGACTCATACAAAACAACCCAAGTACATTGAATCACGTCAGCCCAGTCCAAGATTTACTTTAGTCCGCTCCGATAGAAAGCAACCGGGGTTGGGGGCTGTCATGCCAAGGTAAACGCAAAAAGAAACGGGAAACATCACCACCATGAATGAACATCAGATCATGACTGTTCGAACAGCGCGATGGTCGAGCAGAAGTTACTCTTGTTCTCATCCTGCGGGACAAGGCCAACGCCACTGGACGAGGTGATCATGTTTGTGCTGGCCTTAGTGCTCAGACCGTAGATGTGGACGTCGGAACAATCGACTTCGACCATGTTCTCCTGGCACGACTCGGTATCCAGACAGGTCTGGCCATAGTTCTCGAAGAAGCTGTAGAGGCCTGCGCCGTAGACGTACAGGTCGGAGGTGTTCATAACGCGCAGACCCCAGGCCTTGCGGCAGCCGTCGGTCTTGCAGTAGGAGAAGTCGGGGTCGTTCCACTTGGTCTGCGGGGTGAAGGGGGTGAGCGCATTGGGGTTGGCCTGATAGTAAGGGGTTTCAGTTTGGATGAGGCCCATGAAGACGTTCTTGGCGTTTGTGACCTGGTAATTGTAGAGCTGGTTGTGCTCGGACGCGGTACCGTAAAGCCAGACGGGGCCTTGGCTTTCGACATAGACGCCACGGCCATTGTAGATGTTGATCTGGTTGTGGTCGGGCAGGTCGAGCTCGTGGTCTGCGGTCCAGAACCAGGAGTTCTCGATGTAGGCACTGGCCTTCTCGGTGATATGTAGGAGCATGAAGGATGCAATGCACTCGGCGTTAGGCTTGGTGGTCTCCTTGGGGGTCTTTGCGCATCTGTCGCTCTGCAGCTCGGTTCCTGCTGACCCGCCAATACGGAAATGGACGTCCCACATGGCGGCTGAGCCCTGAGAATCTTCCGCCAGGTTCCACTGCATGAGGATAGCGCCGGGGGCTGGGCCCTTGGTTTGCAGGGCGAGGTCGGTGATTTCGACGGAGCCCGTCTCACCGACTTGGCCCACTTGCAGCATGGGGATGGGGTTTTCCTCATCGGCGAACTTGGCGCCGTGGGCCATCAGGACAGGCCATACTTCACCGGTGATCTTGACATTCTTGGGTACCTTGATTGTGTCAGTGATGATATAGGAGCCGTGGTCGAAGTAGACGATTTGGTCTGCGGTGGCGCTGTCGAGCACTTTTTGGATCGCTGCTGTGTCGTCGGTCGAACCGTCTCCCTTGGCGCCGGCGGATTTGACGCTGACGAATGATGAGGACACATAGCTGTCATATAGGGGCTTGGAGCGCTCGAAAACCTTGCCACCGGTGGTCAGGGAGCTAGGTTTGGCGTGGGTAGGGAGAGCAGTTTGGAGACGAGTCTTTGTGACCGTTTTGCTAGAGCAGTGGTGGTCTGCTCCATGAGCGGCCGAAGACGAGCTGGAACCGCCGACAACCACGGAAGAGGATGAGTGCACGGTTGGGGAGGGTCCGGCAGGAGTGAGGGATCCAGCCACGGTTGATCCAGCAGGAGCCTGTGGCTGCGACTGGACGGGAGTGGGAGGCTGTGGGTTTGGCACAACAGCAGTAGATGGTTCTGCGTCAGCGGGGGCTGAGGGCGCACCAGTGGGCTCAGCGGCCTGGGTTGTGGACGACTGGGACCCGGGGAGCGAAACAGAGCCGAAGGGTGGGAGACTCGATGAGACTGGAGGAATTGGCAGAATCCCTCCGAGAGTGCTCGGCAGTGGACGAGAATCTCCTGACAGTGAAGGAGCAGCTGTTGCGGTCGTGGACAAGCCCTTCGTGTGGCCTGCAGTGCAGACCTTGATGGTCTCCGTAACTGTTTCGGTGATCACCTCCATCGGTGGGGCACGCTTCTTCTTCGCCTGGCTCGGAATATAACCGTTGCCCTGAACCCAGTTTGATACAATGGAGCCGCCCGCTAGAATAGTGTTTCCGGTGATGCCCGCGACTGCCACCTTGGAGCCACTGAAGTCTACGTTGTCTAGGATGAGGACACCACCGCCAATGGGAATACTCTTCTCGGCGAAAGCGGTAACAACGCCAGTGGGAGTGTTTGTAAGTTGACTATCGAGAATCAAAACAGAGCCGACGGTCTGGTTCTGGGGCGCGTTGGACATATTCAGGCCAACTTCACAGTTGTTGATGGAAAGCGACTTGAACGTCCACGCCCAGTTCCAGTTCATGAAGATGGCAGTGTTGCAGTCATTGAAAGTCAAGTTCCGGGTGGTGAATTGTTGGTTTCCGATGAACATGCCGTAGTTACCGCCGTTGAAAGTCAAGTCAGACATGAAACCACCGGAGCCGTTGTCCATGAAGATACCCTGCTGCTTGTTCGCATCACCACCGCCCTTCACCATCTCGAAGCGGATATTCTGCAAGCTAGTCGCTTGGCCCACCTGCCAGTGAATACCAGCTCCCGACCCTTGAGGCATTGCGGTCAAATCGATGACAAGATTGCGAACGGCGCGGAAGAAGTTGTTCTGGTTGGTGTACCAGTTGCTGCCATCGTTGTTATACGGATCGGCATCAATCACTGCCATACCAGCAAAGCTCGCAGCCGCCTTGATCACAGGGAGATTCAAAGCATCGCCCACAATTTGGGTGTAGTAGTACTGAATAATAGGCTTGGAGACCACGTAAGTACCAGGTGGGAAGTATACCAAGGCCGGGGTGACGGTAGATGAGTCGCAACCATTTCCACAGCGGTTCCCAGACGAAATTGCCTGGTTGATCGCATTTGTGTCATCCGTCGACCCATCCCCTGCTCATCATTAGCATGTACGACCGCCATATACCTCAAGTCGTACGACATACCTTTAGCTCCGAAGTCCTTCACGTTACGATATATCTGGTAGTCCGTGCCGTTTCCAAAAGCCACAGCACCCTGGCGTTTGATAGTTCCAACCCAGTAGCCTGACGCCGCTCTGGGGGTTATGTATGAGGTGACATCGGTATCTTGACCCACGGGCACGGCGTTGACCAGCCCAGCAGGCAGTCCTAAAAGCAGTAGAACGTGCGCGAGAAACAGCATGATGGTTGTGTGTAGAGCCGCCATACTGGAGATGGCTAGGAGATCACTGAACCAGCAGAGACCTCACTAAATGAGCGAAATTGGTGCAATATCAATCTAACGTCCCAACAAGAGCTCAGCACCGGTACTGAAGCTATTCTGGTCGGCTGATTTCCACGGGTTGAGGGAAGGCTTGTGATTAATGTCCGTCACGAGGCAATGTCAGACGGAGTTTACTGCTGAAAGAAAGAGATTCACTTGGAAAGTGTCGAAGTAAGAAAGAACGAGAGTGTTCCCCCTAGGCCTAGTCTCGCTTGGGAGACTATATACCAAAATGGGAGGTCGACAAAGGAATGAACCAAAGAATAAACAATAGGGACAGACAAAAGACAAGGGGAAGACGCTTCCGGAGAGCCAAAGCAATGAGCGAATAGTTAGGAAGAGAGTGAAATGAATGACCTTAGCGATCAACCAGTACTTATTGTGATGGTCAGGCTTCAGGCACAAGAGAGAGCAGTGAATGATTACCGTAAATACGGCTAGACTCCACCACCAAGTCGCGTATTAGGATGAAATAACCTTTTCTGGGTTTGATGATCGGTAACCTCGAGCCAATCAATACGGCTGATCCACCACCGGGTGACCAATGACCACCACTGATCACGGCGTACCAACCGAGGCTTGAAACACTTTTGGTCAGGGGATGAAACGATTGATGGTGGACTATGTGCCGTTAGCCATCCGTCATTTGACTACACACACGCGCATAGTAGATTAAAGGGAACACAAGGGAACCGTACCAAGTGGGCACTGGAGGGAACGACTGCGTCGACGAGGATCGCCTTCTATTAGAAATTCAATTTATATGCAGCAGAGTATACAAGCCCTCAAATGAATGAATCCGTTAATAGGTGCACGGAATACACCCTCACAACTGGCCTCAAGATCAAGCCAAAAAGAGAGAGGAAGAGAAGGAAAGAATAGAAGAGAGGGGGAGAGAAAGGGCCTGGACATCCAATCCAGAGATCCAGCAGACTATATATGACTACTACTAGTGCTAAGCTAAGCCCTTGATCAACATATCTTTGTGGCCAGATTCTTGTAGAACATGTAAGCTATGTACGCAGCTCCTTTTTTTTCTTTTTTTCTTTTTTTCTCCTCCAATACTTTGTTTTGATTTTTTCTCCACGGTTAGCATGGGCCCCTCTTTTAAACAGGCTAAAGCCCTCCGAGAGCGCAAAAAGTTGAAAAACGCGCTGTAGTTGCCAGCTTCACAACAGACCGCATGGTTATGTTTCTCTCAGGAATCCTCTATGGAGACTGGTTACGAGGGATTCGCAGAGACTGGTATGGAACAGATCCCAGACAGATCCACCATCTTGTAGGTTGATTGGAGGAGAAAGTGTGAGAGCTTCAACCCTAAGTCCGTTACTGAGCTCAGTTTGGCCACGGTAACGAGGATGTACATTCTTCGGGCTATGAGTGTCAACAGAGCGCCACACCTAGGTAACCAAGGTTGGATTTGTCACACCACGAGAGATTGCACATCCCCTTCTATCTTATTGCACCCACTCGACAGAAATAGTACCAAATGTCTGGTAGTATTCGTTTGAGATAATGTTCCTTCCTATGAAAACACACAGACGTGCCCCCAGGAGCAGTATACTCGACGCGTATGGGAAAACCACCAGAGGATGACCCACTCGGTTATCCAGGGGTGATCGGATGTGACTTACTATCTATTAATATACTAGCGTGCAAGAGCCAAGCTTTAATGGGCTCCCGAGATGCCGCGACCAAAGAGTCCACTGGCGGACTTTCTACCAATGACTTCCCCGGTAGTCAATGCGGCCGCAAGATTGGATTTATTGAAGTTTATTACTGATTAATTCCCAACGAAATTAATTTCCCGCCCAGAGTCTCCCCTGACCTATCCAAGAACCATAAATATGGAGGATCCAAAACCCATGATCGGATTTCCAAGTAAATTCTTGGCTTCAAGAATGTGGTAAACCCCTAAACGGGGGTCGAAGAATGAGTGTTTTCGACCCCTTGAACTTCCACTCTACTTGTCGCTTACCAATGGATACCTTACATATCTATTGTAAATCCAGTTGCACCTGCACCGGTCACCCGCATCGTCAATTCGTTTATTTCGCTGCACCCCGCAGTGTCACCCTGGGAGCAGAATTGCATCACAGCCCAAAGGTCATTTGATGCCTGACGCCTGGGGTGTTCCTAAGTAACCTATCTTCTTCACTTTCTAATTGGCACAAGCGGCCTTCTTGGCACCAATGATCGCTACACAAACCACATCGCATACCCAAACGGTGACTGCCCAAGGGCCGGAGCGGATCGATCCGCCGCCCACCCTTGGTTGCCGCGACCGTGCGATCTCAAGAGAATCTATCCCACGCGACACTTCCTGGTCGTATGATGTAGAGCTTATTTCAGTGCAGAGTGTATAGTGCAGGCAAGTCGACGCACCCCTTCCGCTAATTTCTCCTCATCCTCCCAGGCGAAGCAGAGACGTATGCCTCGGTCAAAATCATTCTTGCTGGTGTTTGGGTCTCCTTGGACACGGAAGAGATTACCAGCAATAACATGTACCCTATGCTCTTGACGTGCTATGGTCGCAAGTTCATCCGCATGCAACGGTGGGGGCAGTTGGATCCAGACAAAGTACCCCCCCACAGCCTCTGTCGACGTGGAGGGAAGCGTTACACCAAGGGGTAGAAGGTGCTCACGGACGGCGGACATCAGGCGATAGTACCTCTCAGCGTATTTCGGTCTCAAGACCAGGTCCACGTAACGCTGGAAAGCCCCCGTGGGGAAGAGTTGAGCGATGATAGCCGCCGAAAACTGGGATGGCGCGCCTCCTGACCGTGAGGAGCCTCTATTGTCCCACAACCGTTAATCGTACCATTCACACCGTAAGGGTATTCCAGAACGTACGTTTGCGACAGTCCATAGGCAACTTTTTTGGTTGCCTCTGCCCATCCAGTTCTTGCCCCAGGTCCAATTAGTTTGCTAAAGCTTCCATTACTTACTGCATTACCCCACTCATCCTTCGGACCGCCATCCAAATAGCGATCTACATCCACAACGCGGGGAACCTGAGCCCTATCAGGCTGGGCTAGGGGATTCTGCGGATCTGGTGACCACTGAAGAAAATCATAGACGTCATCTGTGATGATTAGGGCATCAAATTCCCGCGCAAGGCGGACCAGCCCCTCCCGATCAAACAGAGACATTGTCAATGTCGACGGGTTGGAAAACGTGGGCGTGGCGTAGATAACATGTTTGTAGATTTTAGTCCATGGCCTCGGTAGTTTGTATTTCTTTAGCATATTAGCCCCATCACTCCTGTAGTCAGATAAAGAAGGTACGATTTATCAAGGGGGGAGTCAGAAAAGATAGTGGACATACGCCCTAAATCTCTCTCGGCTGTCATACCGGTTCAAGACGCCCCTCAGCTTGAGCCTTCTCCTCGGCCTTCACCAACTCCTGACGAAGGAATGTAAGATCCAGACCTGACTCATCATGGGGAACCGCTCTTAAACGGCCCGCAAAACCAGCATCGTCCATTATCCGACATGCTAGGAAATAGGTGGGGGCTACCATCCAGACATTTCTGGTGTAGGAGGGATCTGTAAAGACTTGCAATATGCAAGCAAGGTTTTGGCTGGCACCGCCCGTTATACAGATACGCTCGGAAGAGATAGGATTGTGGGGTTGGTAGAAATCCGTCAACCATTGGGCAAGATGCTCTCGCAGCGGTTGGTAACCCTCGTCAGGACCGTATGATAGGGCCGGGACTCGGATGGTCGGTGAAGCCATGACTGTGGCGGAGGCCTCAGCTAAGGCGTTCATGGGTAGCAAGGCGGGGTTGGGCCAGCCACGAAAAAGATTCACCTCTTCTGAAGAATCCATCGCGTATGAGGTATCTGAAGGCAGTGAATGTGGATAAGTAGCGATCTAATCACCTTTTCGGCCTATCAATGAAGATTGTGGATAACCCAGTGGTAATAGTTTTTGCACTTGTAGTAAGCAGTCAATCAACCCTCCCCTAGCTTTGCCTATAAATATATATTGTGCTCTTGAGTGCAACCACGTCATTCAGTGACACTGCCTTCTATCGCTTGTTCGCGTTGAAGGCTATGCTCCTGGCTTCACTTTCCTAGTGATCCTTTCGCACACTCCATAGACTCCTATGAAGACACAGCGGCGACACGAGGAAGATTGATTCGAATACCGGAGTGTATCTGTAAGAGCTGGCAAGTTGGCGACCACTACTTCCATACGGACGCCAAGAAGACATAGTGGTGGATGATAGCGGAAGGCGGTGATGAAAATACTCACTTTGCTTCAGAATATCATTGGTCACATCCGGATCCCGATGGTTCGTTTGCAGTACTGGTATTTTTCTGGTGTATCCTTCCAAGACTTGCAGAGTAAGTTCCTACTAGTATGAGGATGAGGTGCCTAGTACTTGTCATTTATGTATATACATTGAGACTCTAGTCAGAGCATATGTATGTAGTACTCTGATCATGGAAATGACACGTCAAGATGCATTATCCAATCGGCCCACAATGTCTAGAATGTGTTATGGGCCATGGAAGGATACCTAGGAGGTGAGTACTACCTACGTAGTAGTCGTACGTATGTACAATACGCAGGACGGAGTACCATAGATCCGTTGCTATTCTTAGCGTGCTCTTTCTCCTAAGGTTTCCTTCCCACAACGGCTTCAATCACAGTTTTCTAGATAATTTAATTCCTTTTCCCCCCACTAAAGCAATTGAATAGGAGGTCAATATATTAGTTTTCATGTCTCATTAACTGGATACAGAATTTATCAATTAGACTTTCGATTGGAGACGCAAAGGGAGAGTGGTTGGAATTCTGTCCGAAACCACGACGTGAAAAACAATATCTGGGGGCGAAAAAAAAAGGAAAAGAAAAGAAAAGTCAAAAAGACATGCCTCATGGAGTACCCCTGGATCGAAAAACTTATCCACCTGTCAGCGTCAGCAGTCATAACCGTACGGGGTATTATATTACTATAATTCATAATTATAGCTGTGCGCAACTCGATGTTCAAGAAGACAAATAATGAAATTTAATATATAATATACATATAATCAGTCTATCATTAAGCTATGTTATTCTCGAAACAACAGTATCCAAGCTAGAAACGGGTTAATCTAATACTTGATCCATAGGCAACCGACCCAGGGTTCTGGATCTTGATGGAAGACTCCGAAGGGCTCCGAGAGAAAGCGTGTTGACAGGGGTGAGGTTCAAACTGTTACCAACTAGACTACTTCGAGGAGTAAGTATGCTCGGCTATCCGTTGAGGCTGGATATATAAGACAGATGCCTGGTATGATTGTCGGGAATACCGAAATAAGAGAGTGAAAGAAAGTACGGAGTACATACCTAGGAATTCATAAAAAAAGTTCTGACCGGGGATACGGGAGTAGGTAAATTTCTCACTGGAAAGAATCCACCGCAGTAACAATTCTGCCTTGTGTAGTATTATTCAAACAGTGTCAACCAACAGATGATGCCATCCTTGAGCCTCCTGAACCAGAAAAGAAAAATAAAATAAAATACACAGCCTCTCCCGAATATTCCCCCCCGCCCACTTTCTCCAACCGGTTTGGTGCCTGTCCAAGGAGGACAACAGTGATACAGGTCGTTTACTCCGTAGTACTCCGTAAGAAATGCCCTTGAAGAAGGTCATAGGGAAAAAGAAAATATAAGAAAAAAAAGTAAAAGAAAGAAAGAAAAATGGAAAAGGAAAAGAAAAATAAAAGAAAAACGACAAGGTCCCGCAAATTTAAAATTCATCAGTGTTGAACAGACTATTCAAAATAACCTGATAATAATAGAAACAGTAATAGTGCGTCCTCCATGATATACATACATACATACTGTACTCATACTGAAAATATAATAAGAACAGTTCAAGGGGAGGGAGAGTGGAGGATGGTTTAGGGTAACGGATATAATAAGTATTAAGACACAAAGGTGATAATAGAATTGATTTTGATTATTTTATTTTTTACATGAGTGTTGAATCTTACACCTTATTACCTTACTTTCCATGGTTCTCTTCTGATCTCATACTTTTTCTCTCTTTTTTTCCATTGACCCCCTCTATTCTAACCATCGATTTTTTCCTTTCTCTGCCTCCCACCACGGCTCCACCCATGGTTAAAAATACACCTAAAATCCGTATCCCATACCCATTTCATAACAAAATCACATAATAATAAATAAACCACCATTATTCTCCAGAGCAACTTTGGATCTTTTTCGCTCTGTCTAATTCTCTCCCCCCAACCCCTTCCTCTCATCCCGTCAATCAATCAGTCATAATCTTCTTCCCCCTTCCCCCTCGTCTCGTCATCCATCATAACCTTTCTCCCATCATTCTTCGGATCCCTCCTGCCGATCCATTCCATCTATCCAACCAACGGGGGAACCTTCACCACCTGACTAGTTCCCCGCTGGGAATTCTTTTACTTTAACACGACCCAGAAGATTTTTCGTATGGTTGGTCTTCAGCATTCCTTCTTACCTCACTGTTTCGTGACTTTCGTCGCGCACCCCGTCCTGGATTGCCTTCGCCGCCACCGGGCTTCGATTTAGGCTGTCGAATTGTTCTCTGGACTGACCGTCGCGCTTTCTTTCCTTTTTCTCACCAAACAGCAACCGCGAAGATGCTGTCAGCTCCGGTGAAGTCGGCCAAGCGTATATCGTCGCTTTTTTCCCTCGGATCCCACAAAGAGGCATCGATTCCCTCGTCGCCCGGCTCTCCCGGCGCTCCGAAGCCTTCCCCCGATCATCTGCCCCAGGATGGACGTCATCGAAGCAGTTCGCGATCAGCTCGTTTAGCATCCAATCCCATCAGTGTCGACTACTCAGAGGCGCGAACGCCCATATCACCCGGCCCGAACGATAATTTCGACCTGGATGCCCCTCTTCCACCTCCCCCATCGCTTCTCGCGGTGAACCAGGATCTCGCCGGAAGTGCGCCCGGCTCACCGGACTCGAGACCCCAAAGTAGAGGCCGCATAAGGAGTGGAAGCAGGCCTTCTAGCTCCGCGGGGCTGTTTGTTCCCGGAACTGGACCCGACTCACGTCCTGGAACTCCTTCGAAAAGACGGAGCTGGATGCCCGGACGGGCGCGGGCAAATTCCGTGGACACTAGAACGGCGCCTACAAGTCCTTCATTACCCAGCGCTTGGATTGCTGGGTTGGACCAGAAGATTCTATATGACCTGGAACCCCTATCGAGAGGGGAACAAGTACGTAGCAATCTACGGGTCCTCTTTTTTTTTTTTTTTTTTTTCCTCTATCTTTTAATCTCAATGAAACTTGAGTTCAGGGCTCACTAACCATGGAGCTCAATAGATTCCAGAATTGTGGAACGAAAATGGCGACACATACGTTTATCTTTTCCCTCAGAACACGGGCAGACCTGCTGCCTTTAAAGTCGATTCCACAGTCTTTGCCGAGTCGCCATCCCTGAATTTCCTAGCCCGGGGAACCGACCCCCGGAATTCGGGATCCGTTGAACAGCAAACTCGCAATTTGTCACTGGCAAGCCCCATCACTGGTCCTGCATCGCCGCCTCTGACTCCTCAAGACCGATTGCCAGACGATGATAATGACAGCACCGGTAGTAGGAGGATGGCATTTGTGGAAGATGACGGACAGGACGATCTTCAGGAACTTCACCTCTATCTGCCAATTCCCCTGAACAGTGATGTTTCTAGCCCTAATAGTCGTATTTCGCAAGAAGACACGGAAACTCTGCTGTTATTCCGCAACCTTTTTGCTTTCTTATTAGGACAGTCTTTGATTGCAACTCCCCGATCCCCTTCACTTTTCGCCATCTTCATGGATGTCGCAACGCTACTCTCTCGATTCGAGTTTACCAACTTCGACGGATCCAACTTCGGCGAAACTGCAACCACCAGCTTTGGCAACTATTGTGACGAATTGCATTTGGCAGATGTGCGCAAAAGCCGAGAGAAGACGATTGAAGCCATTGTTCTGGGAGAGCGTCTGCGTCACTTCCCGCTGTATCTTGAAGGCTTCGTACATGGTGTGGGCAAACTGGATGAGCTGAAGCAGCTGAGAAGCCCTAAATTTGGTCTCATCAGCGCTGCTACACAGAAACGGTTGGAAAGAGGCTTCATTGATCTAGATACACGTCTCCGAGTTCTATACAGCAAGCTCAATGACTTTGATTTCCCCTCAGCATTTGCTGGCGCTGCCAACTCCAACACGTCTGCCGAGAGCAAGGTGATCCGCTTTAAAGCGTGGAAGGCTGCATTTATGGAGATGCGACGTCATACAATTCAGTACTACCGGCAAAGATTTGGATCGTGGCCCCCCAAGGCACGGTCCAAGAAAAATCAATTTGAAGAGAGTGGTTTGAACCGCCAGGTCTTGATGGAGCTATATAATGACTTTGCAAACCTTTACGATATGTTGGTTGACCGGACTTCTCTCACTACTCGAACGGTAGATATGGGGGTAGAGGAGCCGTCGGAAACGGATGACCTCAACACAATGACCAATAGGGCCCTTCGGCAAGTCTTGAGCGAGTATGATCGAAGCACGCCGCCTGTCCAGCCTCCCATTCCTTTTGATATTCCCCAATTTCCATCTCTCCAGCCGCTACAGCGCAAGCCTATGGATGCCAAGAAGGAAGCCAAGAAGAACACCAAAAAGCTCAAGGATGCCGATATCAATGCCGTCCTGATGGGATCTTACACTCGCGATAGCCTTAAGCCGACACCCTTTATCGAGGCGTTTATGCAGTTTGAACGTCGTTCTGGCCATGGAAAGAACATCAACGATCTTATAGACCTTCGATGTGGCCAATGGATCTTCTTGTACTGTGTCATCCAGTCTCTGCCACTGCTTGTGGTAGATGTGCAGGATGTCAAATACGTCGAGGGGGTAGAGTACTTCCTCTGTATTGCTCCTCGTGGTGGTGCTCCTTGGATTCAGAATGACGGAAAGGTAGCCCGAAGCTGGTTTGGTGTTGCAGGTGGGGCTGGTGTCGTCAGTTTGCCTTCTGACGTGGTTATTAATGGCGTGGAGGGCATCTACCGGCGTAGTCACTGCTGGCGTGTTGCAGAGCAGTGGGCGGAGAAGGATGCCATTCTGGCGCCTCCGACGGTTGAGGACCCTTACGACAACGAGTCGTCGTTGTCTTCACCATACCAGGCCCAACAATCATCTGCAGGTTCATCGGCGGAGCAACAACCCACTCCCCTCTTGGCACCAGGGGGCAATGGCCTCACACCCCCACCTGTCATTCCTAGGACGAATTCTCCTGCAGTGAGAAGTCGAGCGGAACATCGACACTCCATCTATCCAGGTCTAGAGGCGCTTCCGTTACCGGCCGGCGTTGCTCCAATTGACCCACCTGCTAGGCCTATCAGCAGGTTCAATCCCAACATGAGTTTTGATGACATCTTAAAGCAGGTTCCAAATCAGAAAGGGAAAAAATAAAGACTATGAACTAGCGTTTATAATGTCTGGTCGGCGCCCTTTGACTGGAATACCGGAGCTTCTTTTTCTTTTTCTTTAAACCTCAAAAATTTCTTTTTTTTCCTCTCACATCAAGGCCACGGATCTTCTTCCCTATCTTGCATTATTAACAGCATGGCTTTTCAGCTCTCGTGTCTTCTCCTCGTCTCTATGGACCCTTCTTAATACTTCTTCCCTTTTCACCCTCCTGTTCGTATTTAACGTCTGTTATTGACCATTATGGGCGCACATAAATTTACCTGGACCAAAAGGCCGGCATGGTGTAAATGCGAAACTCCCTGAATCCAGGCCCTGAATTGAAAGTGAAGATGGGTACTACTTTACCTTGACCATAGCGTGCATTAAACTAAATGGCATGGCTGCCATGGTTTTGAATATCTCTTGTTTTTTTCTTTGACAAAACGTTCCTTCATACCTCTCCTCGTGTCCCAGCGACGCCATCCTTCTTTTCCCTTGTCTTTCTATATTTTGGCGGATTCCTTGAGGTTCTTTTGCGGACCCAAAGACGGTCTGATTTGATGTTGTTATCTACTATGAGCCGGATAGAACTAATGGTCCTTGTCGGACTGGTAATATAATAAATCCCTCCTGTTATGGGGAATCCTGCAACATGATAACTCCTGTTATAGGTACTTTACTCCTGAACATCAGACTATAGGACTTCCTTTGCCGAGTGTGTTCTCAGGGTCAATTTCCATCCACATCTGTGTCAGGCGATCTACAGATTTCTTGTGTGATGTCTGGACCAAATTACTCCATATTCCCAGCCACTTTCATGCCAATGCTTCCATCAAAGAAATACTTTGCTAAGTTGTCGATCGGAAAGCCGTCACCTCGCCAACAGGATTTTCTGTCCGCGAGCCGCGCTAAACCTGCCCCTCTCGTTTAGTGCGAAACGATGGATGAGGGCACAGCAACGGCTGCACAGGAATATGGCGTGCGTTTTGCTCCCATCCTCTTCTCTCCCACGACAGCTAGACATTAAATGCGGTATTATGGCGGCCCAGAATGTTTTTTTAGAAAAAAAAAAAAAAAAAAAAAGGGAAAGAAAGGAAGGAAAAGCAAGAGGGAGTGCTCAGACCCTAACAAGCCGTGTCGCAGAATAGGGGGAGTTTATCGCGGATCGGCTTCAAAGACATGCAGCTAAATAATCTACTTGCTGTCTGGGCCAATGCTTAATTGATCGACTTCGTATTGTTTCTCGCGCGGTAATTACGCTAATTACGCACTTTTCCGCAATTTTTGCTGTCAGCATCACCATTTTCCTCCGTTCCAACTTCAATGCGCGCTCATTCACCGTGTCGCAATCCTACACAAACCAAGATAATGCGGTGCTGACATCCGCTCGACCATGTCTAGGTCACGATCCAGCATTGCTAGTGACAGCCATGACCGCCTGGAACCGCGCTTATTGCGGGCGGCCGAAAACGATAGCGTCGAGGCGCTGAGACACATTATCGAATTGGCCCATGAAAATGGCCAATACAGTGACAACTTTCTGCGAGTCGGACTTATGCGAAGTTGCGAGCGCGGATGCATCGTCGCCACGCGGTATCTGCTCGACTTATTATGTGCGAACCCTAAGGATGCGAGTAATAAGCCCTCTCCACTTGCCGCGACTAATCGTCCCTCACCGCTGTTGCGCGCCGTTGAGCGAAATCACGTCCGCATTGTGCAGCTGCTACTGGATTATGGCGCGCCTTTGGAGACTACGGATAAGGATGGTCGGACGGCGTTGATGATGGCCGCGTGGAAGAATCACTGGCATGTGCTTCAAGTACTTATTGCGAGAGGCGCGAACGTCAATGCGAAAGATAACAGAAAAAGGAACGTGTTACATAACTTGGCAGCGGATAAGCACTGCAACTGGGGGGAGGATGTGATCGTGCTTCTATTGAGAACAGCTTGCGAAATCGATGGTGAAGCCGGCCGAGATGAATTAGGTCGGACTCCGCTTCACTGGGCTTGCGCGACAGGAAAGTTGCGCTTCGCAGAGTTGCTTCTGACCAGGCCACATGGGCCAATTGCTGACATAAATGCAATTGAGGTCAGAAGCAAAAGTGCCCTCCACATCGCCATAGCCCACGACTGGGACGATATTGTGCAGCTTCTACTCCGACACGGTGCAGATGTTGACTCCAGAAGTGATGGTGGCTGGACTCCGTTGCATAACGCTTGCGATAAGGGCGCTAAGGAGATTGTACGCATTCTGTTGCACGCTGGGGCCAGAATTAACAGCCAGCTTTTGAATGGTGTTACACCACTGCATCTGGCGGCCCAGGCAGGGCACACTGAGGTCGTCGAAGTTCTCCTGGAGCGCCCGGACCTGAAGCGGAGAATCCGGGACAACTTCGGCTGTACGCCATTCTTGCGGGCGGCCCAGTTTAAGCGTAAAGATATTGTGCTGCTTCTGGCACCGTTTCGAAACGTAGACACACTATCCCCGGATGCACGAGGGGCCTGCGAAGGCTTCGAGGCTACCATTGTTGACTTTGGGAACTTTCGCAACGAGAACAGGGTGACGAAAACGTCAGTATTCAATTTACTGTATGGCCGAGACTCGGAAAATCCACATAAACAAGCGTTTACTACCATTCCTAGGGACAGTAAAGCTACTGACTTCAGGTGGATCCACCTTCCCGCTAATAATCTGGCTTGGGTAGAGGCGTTGCTCACTAAGAACTTCATTGAGGAGGGGGCGCACGATATCGAAAGCTTCAAGGGCCTTGAGAAATCATTTCACTATCAACATCGAGGGCAAAGAACGCACTCCCACTTTATGCGCCCGATGTGTCAATGCACGCATCGAAAGCTACGGCCTCGCGAGGAAGAAAGCTCGGAGGAGAATGCTGAGCCTAAGATCCCTCAGATTGTTATCAATGGACGTCTCCAAGAGCCACCCAAAAGCCCAGCAACGGGTGGTAGCCATAATGCGAAAAAGCAGAAGCCCCGGGGCAGCAAGTCCGAGCGGGCCGATTCTGATGATGCCACAAATAGCTCCCAGGGCAAGAAAGCAAAAAGTACCACCAAACGGGGCAAATCCAAGGGTGAATGGGTGTCTAAGTCTGAGTCGAAGAATGACGAGAGACATCGACCTCCATCATCTTTGTGCAAGGAGCAAGGGCATTCTATCACCAGCAATGTCTGTGTGTTCATGCCATATCTTCATTTCGAAACAGCTGAAAGGAGACTGAAAATGGAAGAAGCAATTCAACGAGCCGAGACACTCAATCTTCAGCCTGGACTCTCTCGGTCCCCTACACGGGATGAAATGCTGATCCGTGCGCATCTGGCATCTTCCACCGCATCTCTTCATGTCCGACGGACATTGGATCAGTTCTTCTACCCGAACATTGATACCCACACCCGAGACCAGGACCAGGTGGTGTATCGCTATCAGACTAAAGGGCAAGGACGTGAGAGATATGGAACGGAGCCCAAAATCTTTATGGTGGACCAGCTGTGGATGTGGATTATGGGGACGAATCTGATTGTCACTAGCTTTGCGCAGCGTTGGGAACAACCAAAGAATGACCCATTAAACGTGTTGGATGGAATTATCGAGGATATAAACTCCAAAACTAGAGAACCAGTTCGTTCTGTCTATGACTTGGCGAACATCATCACTAACCGCTGCTCGGGTGTGTTTGACCGCCACCGTATGGGTGACGAAGAGTACCAATTCCTGGACATGTTCGAGTCCTCAATTGGTATCGCAACCGACCGCGAGACAGTTCTCTTCAACAGATTCAACCGCGCGTCAGCGCAAGCTTCCGACTGGCTCAAGAACCATCGCAAGTTGAGTCGTTTCTCCCGGAGCTCACAGTCAAAGAAGGACGCCGCTGATGGCGAAGGTGAGGAACAATTTGTAGAAGATGAAGATGAAGTACCTCTCTTTGTGGATAACCTCCTCGATATTGGACAAGAGATCGACCTTCTCGGCGAAGCCAAGGATATTCGTGACGAACTCAATATGATTCGCACCGTCCTACAGCACCAGCAGGATGTCCTGCTTGACTTTCAAGACGTGATCTGCGGGATTCATCAAATACAAAATCGACCGCAATATGAAGTTAAGAAAAGGTTTAAGGAACAGCAGCGTACGATCGATATGCACCTTAAGGACATCGATCGGATGGACAAGCAAGCGGAGCGTATCTATTCATCCATCACGGACTTGCTAGATCTAAAGCAAAAACATGCAAACGCTTTTGAAGCTCGATTTGCCCGCGACCAAGCAGCCGGTACAACCCGGCAGGGCAAAATAATGATGGTCTTTACTATTGTAACCACCATCTTCCTTCCCCTGTCATTCATCGCGTCCTTTTTTACTATAAACCTCCAAGAGTTCCCCCACGGTGCTGATGGATCAGAGCAACTCCATCTTTCCTATGTAACGAAATATACGTTTGGCATTGGGTTTTCCATTTCTATCCCCCTTATTCTCATTGCCCTGATCGTGGACGACATCAGCGATGGATGTCAGGAAGCCATCCGGCGGACCCGCCGGTGGTTGTTTCATCGAAAGAAGAACGCCCGGAGGCGACCAGCTATTGACGAGCCAAGGCCAACGACGGCATTAGAATTGGAAAAGATGTTCAGTGGGACAAAGTCTCGGAGGAGTGCTGATACTGAGTTTGCGGGAAGCTTGCTACCTGTATCTACCAGGGGAACTGCTCATACTCTAGGTAAAAGGGGTATACTCTTGAGACGGGAAGAGGTATATTGATGAACTTGCAAACGAAAAAGAAACGATTGGATATAGATATGATGATGATGTATATGATAGACGAAGAAATGCATATATTGATGGCCCCGTCACATGACAGTAAAAACATGACTTCCCTCAACTTTCCTCCTGTCTTTCAACCTCTCCCTTCCTCCCCCCCTCCTCACATGCCCGCCATCACATACAGTTCGGGATTTCGCAATCTTATCTCCCAAGCCTGCATGTGGATCCGGATCACGCACTCTTAGGAATTCGGAACGTATGCGAACCGCACCCGTCGGGTTCCGCGGGGATCTCGATTCCCTCTCCGATCTGGTACACACTGACGAATCCTTGGGCTTAGAAGAATAGCTTCCTTCTTCTAAGGAGGCTGTGTGCAACGCCTATATGCCCCGAAGGCTGTAAGATTTATTCTTGCACGTGTATCTGTAGCGGAGCTCTTCTCGGAGGGAGTCGGGAGCAGAAGCTCCCTATGAGTCAATGCCCCTTCCCGTTCTTCGCTGGTGGATCAATTGACTACCTTCGGTGAGATGGAAGCAGGATGGAAGCCTCGAAACTGCGCGGAATGTGAAGGTTCTCTCCGTCACAATGGAAATTGATGTGCCTCCGGTTCGTTCCCTTCGTTCCACCGCCTGAAACTTTTGTGTCTCGTCCACCGAGTCGATGAGGTCATCATGTGTTCAGAACCAGAATCTCCTACAGTTTTTCCTTTTTGTCGATCCACTCGTTCCTTATACAACTACATAACGACTCCTTGGATCGAAAAGTCATGTCTGCAGTTTTCCGATCGTGGTTCTTGACTCTGTATACTGGGAGATGGGATCGGTTCATGTGAATAGTTTGGTTCGCTTCGGACGGACATCTTGGACTTTGCGTTTAGGTACATACCAGATCAGACGCTCAAGATTTGTTCAGTGCAAAAGATGCCTGGCGACGCAGGCGGACCATTCGGCTGCAATTGCTGAATCTGACAGGGGAAAGGAAAGGGTGGTCATTCTTGGATCTGGCTGGGGAGGGTATACCCTCTCCCGAAAGTTATCACCAAGCTCGTTCTCGCCTCTTATTATCTCTCCTCGTTCATACTTCGTCTTTACCCCGCTTCTGACGGACGCTGCTGGCGGTTCGCTGGATTTTTCGCATATCGTGGAACCGATCCGGGATCCCCGCGCCAAGGTTGATTTCATCCAGGCCGCAGCACGGGCCGTCAATCTAGAAAAGAAGACCGTTCTATGCGAGTCCACCGTGGTTAAGAGCGGCGTTACAGAGACGCCGCGGACTCATGAGTATGAAAGGGAGACCGCCTCGTTGCGGCCGATGCAAGAGGCGCGCAGATGGGAAAGGGGGGATTACTTCGAGGTTCCGTATGACAAACTGATCATATCCGTTGGCGCAGTCAGCAAAACTTTCAACACCCCCGGCGTGAGGCATAACGCCATGTTCTTTAAAGATATTGGCGACGCGCGACGGGTGAAGCGTCGCGTCCGAGAATGTTTCGAGCTAGCGGTGCTCCCGACCACCACCCCAGAGATGCGTAAATGGTTGCTGCATTTCGCTATTGTCGGTGCTGGACCAACGGGGACTGAATTAGCGGCTTCTCTCCGTGACTTCATCTACAAAGATATGATGACACTATATCCTGCCCTCAAAGAACTCCCTCGCATAACGCTCTACGATGTAGCGCCCAAGGTGCTATCTATGTTTGACGAATCCCTGTCGAAGTGGGCTATGGAGACTATGAAGAAAGAAGGCATCGACATCAAGACCTCACACCACGTAGAAGGGCTCCGCTGGGGGGTACCAGGCGCCGAGCCTCCGTACGAAATGGACCCCAAACGATGCCTAACACTCAAGACAAAAGAAGAAGGCGAAGTAGGAGTCGGCATGTGTGTCTGGGTAACCGGAAACGCAATGAACCCACTCGTCAGCAAAGCTCTCCAAGACGTGGAGACATTCCCCACAGCATCGACCCTTATGAAAGACGGCACCAAACCACCCTCTGACCTCGCAAAAGATTCCTCCTGGCATATTAAGAAAGCCCCTAAAGTCGGCGCCCTCCTCGTCGACGGCCAACTTCGCGTCCAACTAGAAAATGCCGACGGCAAAACCGCCGTCCTCCAAGACGTCTTCGCCCTCGGTGACAACGCCATGCCGGAAACCGGTGCTCCGCCCGCTACGGCACAGGCGACGACCCAGGAAGCTAAATGGTTAGCTACTAGGCTAAATAAGGGGGACATCCAGAGCTCCCCGCCGTTTTCGTTCCATAATATGGGCACGCTGGCATATATCGGGAATGCGAATGCGCTCATGCAGTTCCCCGCTGAAGATGATAAGCCGCCTGAATATTTGACCGGGCGCATGGCGTGGCTTGTGTGGAATTCGGCGTATTTGACTATGAGCATGAGTTGGAGGAATAAGTTGCGGGTTGCGTTTCGGTGGCTGTTGAATAATGTTTTTGGGAGGGATGTGTCGAGGTATTAGTCTCAAGTTCTGGGTTAGGGATGTGAATGCATAGATATCTCTTCTTTTTGTTCGAGGTTTTATTACTGTCACTAGATGTACATATGTGGTGACACGTGAGGCTGGGTTGGACCTTCCTCGTAGGCTGCATACATACTCTGAAGTTATGATTGCTACGTTCTATACTGGCTATTGGAATACCCTCAACTACAAAATACAGAAGACAAGAGAACAAGATAACAGAAAAGTAATGATATGGATTAGGGGTATACATATCTCGTCTATGAGACGTCTAACTTAATATTACATAATGTGTATCCTCTAACAATAGTAGAAGTGTCCATCGAGCACAACACGCTCGAATCTATTTTACATAATCACAGGGAGGTTACGAGTCAAGTAACCACGCCACTGAGGAAGAGAGCGCTGATACTTGGTTCCGGTCGACTTCTGCAGGTCCTCAATAGCACTAGCGTACTTGATCAAGGTAGGTTCCGAGAAGGCCGTGTTCAGAATGGCAAGACCAAACGGCATGCCGGACTCCTTGCCCACGCCAGCCGGAACGGTGATCACGGGGTACCCAGCCTGGGCGGCAATCTGGATGCTCTGGGCAACGTCAGGAGGCACGAGGAGACCGTCCAGGGTCCTGTTCTTGTACTTCAGGGCGGCGTCGATGCCTTCCTCGCGGGTAGTGCGCTGGCAGAATCCGAGGGCCTGGAAGTAGGTCTCATCCATGATACCCTTGCTCTCGAGGGAGGCGATCAGACCGTCCTGGCCGGAGCCGAAGGCAGGGTGGATGCTCGGGTATCCACCTTCGGAGCCGTAGTTGTCAAGATAGTACTGGACGAGGTCTTCGACGGACTTGATGTTGGTGTTCTCGACCTCAGACAGATAGTCGCGGAGGTTGTTGTAGAAGTCGACCTTGATGTAGCTGTACTCGGATTCGTTGGCGTATCCGCGAGTCGAGCCGTAGTCCCAGTTGAAGCCATCTGGGGAGACGATCGTCTTGTAATGGGGCAGTTCAGTCCCGTTGATCACGGTGGCACCGGCCTGCTTGATCAGGTCGACCAGCTCAAGGAGCTGAGAAATCTGATCGGCATCGCCAAGGGCCCAGAAGGACTCCCAGGGGATACCGAACACGGCGCCCTTGAGGGCAGACTTGTTGGTGAGGAACTGCGCATAGCCTCCGTCAGGGGTCTGCCCCTTCTGGGCAAGAGTGTAGTTATCACGGGTATCAATGCCATAGATAGCATCGAGAGCGTAGACTGCATCGCGCACGGTTTTGCCAAAAGTACCAACAGTATCCTGGTGCAGCGATTCGGGAACGACGCCAGCGCGGGAGGTCAGACCAACAGTAGGCTTAATGCCGACGACCGAGTTTCTCTGCGCAGGGTTGATCACACTGCCGTCGGTCTCAGTGCCAAGGGCGAAGGGAACCAGGTTGGCACCAACGGCAACACCTGACCCGGAGCTGCTGCCGCCGGGGTTGACCGTGAGGTTGTAAGCACTGCGACATTGGCCTCCACGGGCCGAGAAACCCTCGGAGTAGTTGTTGGAACGCATGTCGGCCCACTCACTCAGGGCGGCCTTGCCCAGGAGCAGAGCACCGGCTTTGCGGAGGCCATGGACAACATGGGCATCACGGGGCACAACGGATCCTAAAAGTGCCCAGCTGCCAGCAGTGGTCTCCAGGCGGTCCTTGGTGGCGATATTATCCTTGACAATGAACGGAATACCATGGAGCGGGCCGCGGATCTTTCCCTTGGCGCGTTCATCATCGAGCGCTTTGGCGATCTTGAAAGCATCCGGATTGACTTGCAGGATGGCACTGTAAAGTAACGTCAATATCAAATCACACATACATGGAGGTGATGATAACCTACTTCAAATAAGATTGCGTTTGGTAGATGCGCTCCAGATAGCATTGCAGCAGCTCAACGCTGGTGAGATTTCCAGCCTCGAATTGCTCCTGAATGGCGTCGATGCTAGCTTCCTCGAGTTTGAAGCCATTGCACGAACGCATGGGAAAGAGAGAGGCTCCATTGGTGCCCAAGGCAGGGAAATCATATTCATAAGGGTTTGTCACGATCTGGCAGGCAACCAGGCTATCATCTCCATCGGGCTTGGCATTGGCAGAAACAGAGTTCGCCAACACGAGGCCGGTGGCCAAGACCCGACCGAGAGATCTCAACACCATGATGTATTATGGTTGTATCGAGATAGAAAATTGGTGCGGTTGGATAGAATGACCACATTAAATAGGGGAAGATCGACCTTTTTGATCAGTGATCGATCCCACGCGAGGAGCGAAAGGGGGGCGGTGGGGAGCGTTTTTCGTTCGATCGGAGACTCCACGGGTTCATATACCGATATAAGAAGGCCGTCGTGGAAGTTGACAAATGCGTTCGTACGTTCCACACCGGCAAGCAATAGTACGGACGAGAAGACTGACTAAGGGAGAGAAAGAGAGTGCAGTATGACTAGTGCGGGAGTTCTCCACCCCTTGCACTGTCAATGCTCTATGTGGTTCGATATCATTGTCATGCCTTTTTTGGAGATTTAATGCATCTCTCGCGATCCTGTGCAGGAACCACCGCCGATCGGGTTAGCCGGCCAGGTGCAACTATTTCCACCATTCTAATCCTTGTCGGTTCTGCATCAAAAGTCTGGACGATCGCGATCCTTTGAAGATTAACTTCCAGGGGGGGGGGGTATCGTCGGTTCTCCTAATCTCCACTGGAAAAATTTCCAATGTAACGTCAGAATCTCTCAGTGTATGAAGGAAGAAAGCTAATTAGCAATCGCTTGGAGAGCTAAAGAAGGTAAGACCTCCACACTCAGCCCATAGATTCGCTTCGACCGATTGTCGCGTCCACGGTTTTGGTACTGTGCGGATCCCGCTCGATGCCACCCGGTGTCCACTGCAACCGGGATTTGAAACGGTTCTCTTGCAGCTGATTTGATGAAGGGCTCATTTCTGAGCAATTTGGGCCAGTGATAGAACCACTGTCGAAGCCAGTTTATTGCTTTCTAGCGTACGGTTAAAGTTCTCACAACGTGAGACAAATCCTGGCTATTTAGTGTTTTGTGCCCTTCCATTACGATGAAGAAACTTGAAACATTTGCCTGCCTTCTTTGGATGGACGTCTGATGCCCTGCTTTAAGATGGCACGCACGTCCCGTTGAGTGAGGGCCCAATATCGCCTTCTGTGGATCGATCTCCATGGCCATTCCCGACGACATCCTCCTCGCGGATGCCGCGGGGACGATCCCTCCTGGGATGTCGCTCGAGTACCTCGCTGAGTCGCGCGATCGCCCGGCCCTTGTAGCCATCATATTCCTGGTGTGCTTCACTGGGGCGATTATGATAGTTCGCCTCTATGCACGGATATGGCTTGTCAAGAGACTCGGCTTAGACGATGCTCTGGCCATTCTCACCATGGTAAATAAAAGATCTTCCCGGACCAATCGTCGAGAATGAAGCTGAGCTTGGAATTAATCGTTCGTCGGGATATAGTTGATTTATATCTCCTTTGTCATCCTCTCCGTCGTTTTGATCGAACTGGGAAGTGGCCGTCATATGGACTACATCCAGTATGTCCTGGCGATGCCAACCGTGCGCCAGACCCAGGTTTTGGATTTCGTCGCGCATGTTCTCTACACGACTGCTTTGTTCTTTTGTCGACTATCGGGTTTGGCTTTCTATCACCGACTGGCTGCGCGCTCCAGCAAATTACACCTCTCGATTAAAATTGCAGCCGGCTTCCTACTCGCCGCATACCTGCCTCAGCTGTTTCTATTAATATTCCACTGTCGACCTGTAACCGGGCTATGGCCTTACCCTTGGCAGGAGGAACCCATCAGTTACACCTGTTTGACTTGGGGGCTGGTCTATTCTGTTAACTCGGCAGTCTCCCTGACCTGCGACGTGCTCATGTTCGTCATCCCCACCATCCTCATCAAGGAGCTCCATGTCTCGCTGAAGCGGAAAGCCCAGCTCTCCCTCGTTATGTTCCCTGGTGTCCTGTAAGATTTACTATTTCCCCTGTCATATTCCTGCCGGTGGATCTAACAGAAATTTTCACAGTGTCATTGTCATTTCTGCCGTCCGCGTTTACTTTGTAGCCATCGGCCAATGGACGGATGACGGCAGTTGGGCCTACAATCCCATGATGGCCATTGAGAATGCTGAGATTGCCGGCACCTTGACTGCGCTGTCTGTGCCGGCCCTGAAACCGGTGTTTGGGAATATATTTACCCAGCTGACCGAGTACTCGCTCTCCACGCGCAATCGGTCTGGGATGCCAAGTCAATCGAAGCCTTCTTCCGGGCTAAGGTCTAGGGCTAGAGACAGCAAGCGTCTGTTGTCCTTTTCCAAACATGGCTATGATGACTATGAGATGATGGGTTCGGAGACTAATATACCCCCAAGCGGTCCGGTACAATCATCGGAGCCGGGTACCGCGCGAGATAAAAGCATTGGGGTAACCACAGAGGTCGCCATTTTTCATGGACAACAGGCGGACCAGAGACATATTGTATAGTGAAAAAGTAATGACAACTGCTGTAGAATCCCTGCTAGATCTCCTAAAGGCATAGACCTGAAAAGAATACCCCTTGTGTTTTTTATTTTTATTTTTATTTTTTTTCCTTTCTCTCATATTCTCTCTGATGCCTCCGGGAGTATCTTTGCTCTATCAAATCATCTTACCTTTTAAGTGTAGGGCGGCCTCATTACTAAGTGAATAGAAAATAGAAAGTTTTCCTGATTCCATAGTGACCCAGATTCAACGCCGCTAGTTGATTCCAGAAAATCGAGCATGTCTATTTATAAGCAAAAGCTAAACACTGCCCTATGCAGCACATTATGTGGACCTTCCATGAACACTATTGCTCGAGGCGGAGGTAACCCTACCTATCCTATTACACAGACTATCATGTGAATATCGAGATAATGTCTCCTTTTTAAACGCGGAAAATTCTGCTCTGTGGATCTGTAATCTCTCACATGCGCTCCCAAGCCCAGATACTAGAGCAAAGCATGAAGGATCAAATGCGAAACAATGATACTTTCCAGCTTGGCTCCGAGGACTTGGTTCATGATTTTCCCACACTTATCTCTGTCGCCTTCTACTGCTCCTCTTTTAGCGTCTCTCTTATCTCTCTTATAAGTTAAATCTGTGTTAGCTTATTTGGGTCCATAGGCTCTTTAGGATACCCGTATCTCCCTCGTCAAGCGTCCTTGGCATCACGGAGCCTACGGCGGACATGGGCTGAGAGAAGGGATTGTGGCATAGTGGCAGTGCTATGAGGAGCAATGGAGTGAACCTTTGAGGTGTTGTTCTCATTAGCAGTTGTAAATTGGGTTCTCGGCGTAGTATAGAGTGGAGTTACCCTCTTGTTCTTGTTATTTTCCCCCTTAAACCTCGCTCTCTCCATTCTTCATGTATTCGTTCTTTACCTTCTCCTGGTTCTGCTGCTACTAAATATCTGCATGGAACGTTCAGTCTTACAGCGTACATGCAATCCTGAGAAAATGGATAGATGAATACCGGTTAACTTGCTTGTGTGACGGACCTGCACACCTGAGACATGTTGGAACCTAGAGACATGGTTGCCAAAGGTAACTTTGTATACGCTGGATATAACCCCTAGAACACGCATATCTTGGGTCCTATGTTACGTACCTCAAGTGAAGTATCTAGTACTGATTACCCTGATGCAAAGTATGCACACTATATATACTGTAGGAGACGAATATCAGCGATGATGTTATTATCTTTATCACCACTGACTTGGAAAGCTTTCTCATGTACTAGCAGAGTACACATATGCTTTGCGCCGTTCGAATTTGTGATTCGAATGGAGTATGTGATATGTATATTCGACATTACAGAGAGAATAACTACTGTTCCTCAACGATTGGGATCTAATTATTATAATACACTCGTACAAAACGATTTCCTACATCGGGACTGCACATTGCTAAGAGATTAATCTCTGTTTTTCACTTCTTCATACCCCGCAGAACAACACATTAGCGCAGCACTAAAGAATTGATCGGCATGGAGTTACATCAGAAGGACCGCAGCACATCCAAGACAACTATTGCTCTCATTGGTGGAACCATGCATTCAACCTCCTAAACCACTACAGCATCAAAGACAGCAAAATACGTTTATTAGTGGAAATGTATAGGCATCTCAGCCAAAAAGCCCACTCCTCGTGGAGTATACCATCACTGCTAATAAACTAGTCCGGACAACCATGTCTCTTAGCTACTCTAGAGAGATCTAGGCAAGAGCACACAGCCAAATACCCGTCCAATATTATAACCGGCCTGGGAATCAGACTCCACAAGGCACTTTCAATAAGCCACATGAGCGCCCACTCGGAGAAATCTACCTTCACGAAACCACTGTGGTGGATTTTCTGGGGTACTATATTTGCCCTGGAAACCCCCGACTTTGCTCTAACCCAGCTGTTTCAGCTAATATCTCAACCATGGCGAGCCATTTTAAGACGCTACTCTGGGTAGCCGTCGTCCTCAGGGGCCCCGCTCTTGCTCTCCCGGGTTCGTTGAAAACTTCTCGAGCCGAGGTGTCCTCTTCATTGCCGCCGGTGGCAACCGTTGTATCGAGTAATTCACAGACGGAAACCATCTTTGTTGGTCGTTCTCTGCCAGAGTTCAATCAGGAGCTCTTCCTCGGCATCAAATATGCCGATAAACCTATCCGGTTTACCCCATCATCTCTGAAGACAGACTATACTATCAATAACAGTGACTCCGGGCCATACAATGCTCCAATAGACGGCCTGAACAGATCCGAACAGGCGGTCCTTTACAATGCAACGGCATACGGCTACGAATGCCCCGGTTACGGATCCGACGAGACCAAGTTGGTCAACATAGGATTGATCCACTTAAACGAAGACTGTCATAATCTAAACATCATTCGGCCCAAAATCCAGTCACATGATACCCCATTGCTCCCCGTCATGATATGGATTTTCGGGGGTGGATGGCAACAGGGCGCAACGACAGATCCGAGGTAAACGCGCTAGCTACATTTTGATGACTTGATAAAGTGCTGTCTGACCGGATGCGATTATCTGTCAGGTACAACATGAGTTACATTGTACGCCAGGGCGCGTTGAATAATAGACCTGTTTTAGGGGTCTCGATCAATTACCGTCTGGCGGCTTTTGGTCTTTTGGATTCTGAGGAGGTTCGGGTATGTTGTTTGCCTGTATTCTGCTTTAGATATGGTTAGGGCTTACGGGTAAGGCAGGCATCTGGGGCTAATAATCTGGCACTTCGAGATCAGAGAGTTGCCATGCGGTGGGTGAAGGAGAATATAAAGGCGTTTGGCGGAGATCCGGAAAAGATTACGATTTGGGGCGAATCTGCGTAAGATTGTGGATCTGGATATGGGGTTCTGGGTGCTAATGGTAGTTAGAGGCGCTTATAGCGTTGGAGCGCATCTGGTTGCTAATGATGGGGATAATGAGGGTTTGTTCCGAGCTGGTGAGATCCTTCATCTTTCCATCGAGGCTAGGATACTTCGACTAATTCGGCAGCAATTATGGAGTCGGGAAATGCCATCGGGCCGCCCTGGAATGGTACAGAGTGGCATCAGCCTATGTACGATCGCATTGTGAACAAGACGGGGTATTTTTATTTCCAATAGGCTTCGACAGTAGGCTAATGAGATGAAGCTGCTCTTCCTCGTCGGATACACTTCAATGCCTACGGGATGTCTCTTACGACACACTATACGATGCGGCATATGAAGGACTGGAATGGTTCGCAACTATCGATGGCGTTTTCATCAAGGAGTATCCCCAAATAAGCGTTACAGAAGGGAGAATGGCCAAAGTGCCTATTCTCCTGGGAACTAATACAGATGAGGGAACTAGTTTCGGCACGACAGGGACAGATACGGATGAAGAGTGTATTGAGCAGCTTATATGTAGGTTGTCCAATAAGACATGAGCTAAGACACTAGCTGACTATACTAGCCTCAAAACGCTGGGTTCTTAATCGCGAGCAAGCCACTAAGCTGCTTACGCTCTACCCTAATGACCCGGCCGTGGGATGTCCATATGGATGGGGAAACACTACATGGCCGAAATTGGGACTTATGTATAAGCGATATGAATCAATGGCGGGCGATCTGAATATGGTCGGACCGAGACGACTTCTTGCGCAGACCATGGCCAAGTACGAAAAGCAGGTTTACTCTTATAGATGGGATGTACCTGCTTTAAATACGTCTAGTACTATTGGGGTGGGTCATTTCGCAGAAGTAAGTGTCAAGACTTGAAAATCGAACCCTGAGGTGTTGAACGATGTTGATAAAAATGCAGATCCCATTTGTGTTTGCCAACCCAGTCCAGAACATAACAACACTAGGAGATAATCCCGGCCGCCTGGAGTTGGCCAATCTGGTTGCTCGAATGTGGACATCATTTGTGACTGTCCTAGACCCTAACGGACATGATGGTAAGTGCATGGCTTATCTCACTAATAGATTGGAGAGAAAGCTAATTTGAACAGTTGCAAATATCCCCCAATGGCTACAATATTCACAGGAAGCCTCAAACTTCGTTTTCCGTCTACCCAAGGACGAAAGTTATATCGAGGCTGACACTTACCGGGCAGATGGTATCGACTACATTAATAGTATTGCTAGGTAGATTAGTAGTGGGAGATAAGGAAAAGAACAGTGGTTCTCGCTTATTCTCGCTTATATTAACATTATTAAGAAATTATAATCTTTAAAATGGTTACTTCTCTATCAATTGTCCTAGACCCTTGCGGCACATTCCTGACGCGCGTAGTTTGCGTTGACTTTAACCGCAACATACCGCGCCGGAAGCCATCACCACCAGAATTAATTTATATTTATTAGAATTTAGTCATGGCAAGCGGTCATACACATACTGGTGTGTAGGTCACGAGCTAGCCAGACTGTTGAGCTGGCACCCCGGCCTAGCTTGGCAGCAACCCGGTGTCTGTCATTCAGTCCTTCAGAGGCGCATTGGGTAAAAATGCTTGGGGCTATAGTGAGGCGCGCATTCTTCTTCGATGAGCTCTGCAGCTGGTAGATATCTTACAGGGGTGGTCGCACCCTACAAGGGCCTGATCTGAGAAGGTTACGGGGCGACATATCATTGCTGTGGAGTATGACTTACGATGTTTCTTGGTTCATGGATTGAGGCTGGCCGATCTTACGCACGGGCCAACAATATTAGAATCAATGTGGGCCCTCTATCCCTTCGCTTGAACATCGCATAGTGTCATTTAATGGCATCAACAAGCTGACGTGAAGAAGCGAGAAATTTCTTTTTATATGGAGGCGGACACTCACCGGGAAGATGTTATTGACTCAATCAACAGTATTCCTAGACAGGCTAGGAAGGGGGAAATGGCACCATCAACTAGTATTCTACATATATAATTTAATACGACAGCGTCTAATATTGTTTTCTTCGAGTAGGCCTTGGAAAGTAGCAATAGAAAAACAGTGTCAGGAGAGATACGCAAAGACACCCTATGTCGTACTACTTTATATGCCCCATCCCCTCTCCCCTCAAAAAAAAGGGTCTCTCATTATAGAAAGGGAATTACACCTGCTCGAGAGTGTGAGAAGTGACAGATAAGAGTCCTAGGAGTTTTTAATTTTTCGCACAACCTTGATAATCGACCAACTCCTCACGCAAACGAGACAAAGCTTCCAAGATAGTAGCCTCACGAATATGTTCACGAGTCCCTGGGAAACTGAACGGACCCCAAACCCTACTTCCCGTAGGCGAGGCAATGCCGATATACACTGTACCGACAGGTTTTCCATCCTGAGATGTGGGACCAGCGAGACCCGTTGTCCCAATCCCCCATGTCGTTGGTTTGCTGTCATAAGTTGTGATTTTGCGAGCGCCTTCCGCCATCAGTGTTGCAACATCGGCGTGGATAACACCCATAGTGCTGATCAGGCCTGCATCCACGCCTAAAAGCTGTTGCTTGAGGGGTGCCGCGTAGGATACGACGCCACCATGGAATGCAGCACTTGCACCGGGGACAGAGGTGAGTGTTGCCATCACGCCGCCAGCGGTCAGGGACTCGGCAACCCCAACCGTCTGCGCGGCCTGGGCAAGCATCTGGGTGACATCGGCGGCGATATCCTGGACTGTTCGGTATTACGCTTTATATACGCGCGGTTGGCGTCCATGGTGGAGATAGGCGGGAAAGAAGTTGGGATGATGTACAGGGTTTGAATGCTCAGATTCGCTTCGAGGTTGTGCTGGAGGGATATATGGCGGCTAAAGCTCTCATACAGCCGTTAACACATAGATATTCTGTCGAAATAGGTCACGCATGTGTAATAATGAATAATAGAAGACTATAATATTGTCTTATATAGAACACATGGCTACAACCGTTGATATACGGAATAACAGCTCAGTTAGTAAGAGGCCACTCTGGCAAGAATGGAAGGAATAACAGGCTTCCTGTTAACGGTACTTTTTATTCGTTGAACTACCTAATATAGGCTGCCTTATTAGATATGATATTGCGATTTAGACGGTGTTACCTAAAGGAATGCTATGTATAGTTCTGCCTGTTATCGAAGAGCGTCAAAGTATTATAGGGAGTTAACTTACGCTCTTCCTGTACGTCTAGATCTGGGTTAAAGAGTAATATGGAGTCATTGACCATACCATCAGCATATACAGTAGTGACGAACAAATTTTACAGAGCCAAGTTGACCGTGACAACCGTATCACTAGATATTATAATGTGTTAAAGCCATATATGTTCTTCTGAAGGCACCGTTGGATGGATACTCTGGGAGACACTGGGATTGAGCCGAAAGAAACATTCAATGAAATGACCGGGTATCTTCAAGGAAAAATGCGTTGTTCTCCAGTCGCCGTCCGATTCAGCTTGCCCATGTGGGCCTAAACCAATAGCCCAGCTTGAAATACCGCGCGACGTTATCTGAGTGGAATATTTTGACGCTCCCTGAAAGCCAGGATGACCTAAACTATACCTTTGCTCTACCCCCGTGCTCGGCCCCAGTCAGAGCTTGCTACATTGAGACTGACACTTGCCAAACATATGACATTAGCTATACTGACAGTGCTGCCTAGTATATCACTAGGTGGTAAGGCGAGGGAAGCAAGGAAATCATTGCCTCTATACGAAGTTGAGTATGAGCACATACTTCTACCATGGTCTCCAATTGGAAGAATGGGAGGTGCGAGACGCACTCCAGAAGCAAATCAGTGAATTCGAGAAAGCCGATAATCTGGACCAGACCAAGACAGCTGAGGAAAGAGCTGCCAAAATAATGGTCGAGTCGGGCATTCTCATAACTCAGATGGGCAATTGGATCAGTGCCGCCGGAATAGGGTTGAAAACGCGTTTGGTGCCACCAATATCTTCCAATGAGTGAGCAAGGGCTTTGGTCAGGCTGTCCAAAAGGTGGGAGGAGCAGTGAAAGGAGTTTTTAATTTGAAAGGAATCGGCCCCGCCTGCATGGTTAGTACTTTCCTTTGCTTTTGGCTAAGCCAGTAGCCAATATCTCGTCTTACAGGCTGCCTTCCACGTACTACAGGCTGCATATTCTACGTTTGGACTTGTGAGCAACTGGGCCATACTCTCATCATCTCAGCGGGCTACAGTCATTCTCCAAACTTTGCAGATGGTCACAGACGGTATTAGCAGCGCGATGGACTCCTGGAAGCAATTTATGAACGGTGTTAGCCAGCCAGCCGATACGGCAACCGCCTTGGAAAAGCTGAATGAGTCCGTAGGTGACTCAATCACAAACAGCATGAAAAATTAGCCGACATCGTCGACGAAATATGGCGAAGATGGGGCCTTCCGGGAGAAGCTGGGTGATCATGTCACCGGTGATGGGATCCCAAGCTCGGAGGAAACAATTATTGAAGACGACATATGGGACGAGCTCCTCGATGAGCCAGCTGCTGAAGTACCTCCTGGGGGTGAGGAGGAAGCGGGGAAGTTTCCATCTCGGGCAAGGTGCTGAGGGCCCTTAATGCCATTTTGGGCATTGGGCTGGTTATAGCCATGACATTTAGCCTGACGCGCGATTGGGACAATCTGAGCGTCCCTGGAACGGTTATCACTACTCTGACAGTGGCCGCCCAGGGACTGACTGTACTCATCGATGTGTTTTAGACGGGTGTCGAGCTGGAATTCTGGGTCACAACTGAGGCCCTATCACCACCTTGTCCGTCGTTGACGCCGTGCTCGCCGTCGTCGGGGTCGTGTTAATGTTCGTCAGCTTTTTGGGGGAGTTATTTTAGGGGGAATCCTCCTCCAGACCCGGTCGCAGAGTACATCGATAAAACGGGAAACCTCTCATAGACAATTTCGACCCTGCACCAGATCCACAGTTAACCTATGCACGCTCCCCTTCTCAGATCGCGGCCAATAACCTGACGAGCATCTGGATCACGGCCACCAACGACTCGGCCAACCAGGTGTCAATCCCTTTTATCACCATTACTCTTCTCGGTGGCGGCGACCCGCTCTGTTTGTTCAAACATGATATAGATGACACGATAACGCTTGCATCAGATACTGATGGCAGCAAAGATACAGCGCGCCGCACCTGTATAACACCAGCTTCAACAGCGGAAGCAGGCCTCCCAACCCCCAGCAAAATCAGTACTAGTTCCATTTACTACCAATATGGTCAACGAGTTGCGGGGCACTAAGAAGCGGGGTGAGAATTCTCTGTCAATCCTCGCGCTAGGCGGTCAGAGCTTTTATTCCGTGTGAACGGGGTACATCAACGACCGAGGTGATGACGATGACAGCTCGTGGAACTACATTGATATTGTGGTGTCGACCGAGGCAGATAAGACGAACAAGGTGTTCTACATTCTCAGAAAGTAAAAGCTTCCACATGGTCCATCATGTTTGTTTGTTTTTGAAAGGAAAAAGATAGTTAAGCTCTGCTGGTGATTTTTCAGATTGTGGCCGGGGGTGGAATATGTTAACGAGCCCAGATGGATAACTAGGACAGCTGATCTTCGGACAATTTTAAATCTATGGTGCTCAAACAGTTTTTGTCAAATATAAGGGCTTAATAGGCAAGGGAAGTAGAAAAGCCCAAAGTAGTGCTATCGAACGGTGATCACTTTCTTCGCTGCACTTTGTCTAACCTCTGTCGCGTATATCTACTAAGAATCATTTCTTATACAGGGTATTACTGATAGAGAAAGTGTTGACTTCAGTCATCTGTGGCGGCTGCAAGCGATAATTCCCGGAAGTCCATAATATTAGATACTTTCAATATAAATAACTTTTAGCGGTTTGGCTTAAAATTGCCAGTAGCACCAACATAATGAAATCTCAGTTCTTTCAATACTAGCAACACAGGTTCGACATTTTCTTCCCTCAAGACCTATGTCTATCCAATGGACGATATATCAAACGAAGCAGGGTGGCCTCTTCCCAGTGAATTTGGGTTAGTACAAGAACAACGTTCGCAGGGTTGGATGTTCTGTCTTATAAAGACATTGTAAGAAACAAAGAGATGCATCCAGTTTGTGTTCCTCACCTCCCTAGGGCTTCCTTCCCCTGTAAAAGCAAGGCCTTGCATAATCTAGGCGACAGGGTGTACATAGGATTTCAGAAATTATCAGTGCGAGAGTTTTCGGCTAAAAAAGCTAGAATCCTAAATACTCTCCGGTGGTCGACCTTGACCTTGAATCTTGAACCTTGACGACCACGGAGTTGTCCCGTCCATGTGGGACCTTGACTTCCGAGATTGTCGAGTCTAGAGTGTACGTGGGCATTGGTGTAGGATTGGTTCGCATTAAGCCACAATTCTTACCACGCGGGATTACACGGGTTTGCCTGGTGAATGACCCAGGTGAAAGAGGCTTGAAGTCACACAATCATGGCGTTGGAAGAACGACGAGATCTAGAGATACAAAATCACCGAGGCTCGTCAATGACTTAAAGAGATATCACTGGATAACTCCAAGATGGTGAGCGTTGTTGTGTGCGCGATTCCGGAAGATGCCAGCAGTGAGCCTGATCCCAGAGCGAATGAGGGCAGTGAGGGGTCATGTGCCAAGGTGCCAAGGGTGTCCTGATGTCAATAGCTCTTACACCCCCGCATTCTTTCCACTCCACTTCCTCAAACACAAAAACCTGGGGAATTTTGTGGGGTCGCCATCTTCCAATTGAGATAGCGATCACTATTCCAAGGCCGAGGTAACATGCCGATTCTAGTCGGCTACTCTGCTTACCTTCTGTGTTCCAGTCCGGTGGTACGATAGATGGCGTTTAGCTCGTTTGACACCGGGTCTTTGCAGGCTTATGCCGTGCCACCAACGGAGAAAAGAGGCGATAGCGACCAAAACTTTAAGTGGGTAGTGAATATGAGACAACCATGGCATACCGCCTCTATATAATGCTGCTGGTGCGCGCGTTGGTCACTGTGTCCCCTCCTCTCGGCGTCCCACCACCCCTGTCTGCTCCCGGAATTCACGCCTAGGAGCGAGAAATTCAATCATGTCATTTTCAAACAGTGAAAAGATTATCAGTGAAGATTCTAGGATTGAAGATATTAATCAGCCTGCCTTAAATGATGTCGACTACGATGAGGAATACTCATACGAGGAGCAGCGCAAGATCATCCACCGGGTGGATAGACGTCTCGTCACCATGACAGGCCTAGCATATTGTGTGTCTCTCATGGACAGGACAAATCTCAGTATGGCCGCTGTTGCGGGGTGAGGCTCCCGCCTGTAGTCGGATATCTTCCCGAGCAGAGAATTAATCGCTTATAGCATGACCAAAGAGCTGGGATTGACCGTCGGTACCCGATACGTAAGTGACCTAAAGCCCGACTTACTTGTAAAGTCTGTGACTAACCTCCATAGTCCATCATTGTTCTCATCTTCTTCGTCCCCTATGTGATCTTCCAGCCGCCAATGACAGTCATAACACGAAAAGTAGGGCCCACCTACTTCCTGGGGTCCATTGTCATTCTCTGGGGAGCAATTCTTGTCGTAAGTCGTCCGGTGTGCTGGTAAAATACACCGAAGGTCCTAATGATAATGTCTCAAAGGGAATGGGGTTTACAAAGAATTGGACGCACATGGTCGCGACACGTGCAATCCTGGGCCTTCTTGAAGCAGGTAACTTCTCCATCCTTCGATGATCTGCCACCTGACTATGGTGTCTCTGGAAACAAAGAACTTATCTGGTGCATTCTAGGATACTTCCCTGGTTGTGTCTATCTTTTGTCTAGCTGGTATACTCGGTGTAAGTGTAATACATGATACGGGCTACTCAAGTGCTGACCGAGATAGTTGACGTACAAAAGCGTTTCTCGGTCTTCTACCTGATCGGTTGCGTAGCATCAGCATTGGCCGGTATCCTTGCTTTTGGGCTAATGCAGATGAAAGGGCTCCAGGGCCTGGGAGGCTGGAGATGGATTTTTATCATGGAAGGAGTGGTATGTATTAGTTTGCCTGGGGCGACTCTGGTTGCTAATTTCAGTAGATCACAGGAGCAATTGGCATCCTGACCATCATTTTCCTGGTTGACTTCCCCGATAGGGCATACAAGTCTTGGAGGTTCCTTAGTGAGAAGGAATGCGCTTTCATTGTCCGCCGAATTAACCGCGATCGTTCCGATGGAGACGAGGAGCCATTCTCCATTAAGCGCTTTCTGTTACCTGCTCTGGACCTGAAGATCTGGGGCTTTGCTATGATCTTTTTGTAAGGCACGCCGAGCCCATTCCTTCCTATCGGCCGTTTTAACATGCCACAGCTGTACTACGACTGTTACTTACGCAATCGCATATTTCCTCCCTATCATTCTCGAACATGGTATGGGTTTCAGCACCGGTGCCGCACAATGCCTAGTTGCACCACCCTTTGCGATGGCCGGCATTGTCATGTACGCAACAGCCTGGGTTGGTGACAAATATCGTGTCCGAGGAGTAATCGTGGTCTTCAACTCTTTGCTCTGCATCATTGGACTCCCTATTATGGGGTTTGCGAAAGGTAACGCTGCGCGATACGTGGGCGTGTTCTTCGCCGTGGCCGGTGCCAACTCCAACATCCCGGCTTGTATGGCGTATCAAGCGAACAATGTTCGCGGCCAATGGACCCGCGCCTTTTCTAGCGCTACATTGGTCGGATTTGGTGGGATCGGAGGAATCGTGAGCAGTTTGGTCTTTAGATCCCAGGATGCACCTGGCTACCGACCGGGCATGTGGACTACTATTGCGTAAGTTCCGACCCTTTCTCTATTGTCTTGTATGCCAGGCCAAGCTTTCTCCGCCATGAGTTACTAAGCAGTCTGCAGATGCAACCTCCTCATTTTAGTCATTGTGGCAGCTCTAAGCTTCTGGTTCCGCCTGTCCAATCAACAAGCAGACCGTGGGAAGCGTGTCATTGAGGGGTCCCCGGACTTTCGGTATACCTTGTGATTTTTTCTTTATGATCTCCATACGCACGTGGGAAGTAATGTACCTAGCCGGTGGGTTATATCTAGAGGTACTGAGTGACGTTGACCGTTCTATGTCTAGCACCTTGAGATATGAAATTTGTTGCATAAAGTAAACCCCTTATATAATCCAAATGCTGACAGACCCTACACAAGGTGTACCAACTCCATGTAATCGCCCGGATAGAACTTATTCAAGTTATTTAGTCATAGCATGTATAAATAGCCGGACTCTGCTTCCCGAGCTTTGACCACATCGGAGAGAACCTGTGGGGATTCGTTATCGCGGGAGTATCAGGGACACTGCAATAGTAGAGTACGTCCCATATAATACTACTCTGCATATTGAATAGATCAATTCCGAGGGATCAATTGGCAGCCCGGATTTATCCCAGAAGGGAAAAAAGAAAAAAGAAAAAAGAAAAACAAAAATCAAAATAGAGGAACGCCCTCCGCAGGGGTGAATGTTCCCATAATATAAGAAAAACTCCGACCCCGCGTAGTAATGATCCGAATTTCTTGCCAGTCAAAACTTTTCCGCGGGAAAGCCGTCTCTTATCAGTTACGGAGAAAGACAGGCGCGGTCTGCTGGCGCGCTTGCGGGGCCATCTCGCAAGGGACCGCAGAGCGATCTCGGCCTCGGATTGGCTCGGGCGGCAGCGTTATCGGGTTATCGTCAAGTTTCCCGTATCGCCCGCGGTTTACTCGCCGGGCAAAGGAAGGTCATACATTGTATGATTTTCGTCGGAGCGAGAGCTTTTTCTTCTTCTTTCTCTTTTTAAAAATCTTGTGGCTTCCCGTTTTCTTAATTGTACATCCTCTCCTCACCCTTGATTCAACCTTCTTTGTATCGTATCCCATGCGTTGAGCTATTGCCAGGGATTTACTTACCAGGACATACTTCTATCCCTTGGCCTGGCCAAACCCTTGAACAGTGCAGTTCATTGGTCTTCTCACATTACCTGCTAATCACCATGGCTGCATCCTGGTGCGCCCTTCGTGGCACTCGCCAGCTTGCTCTTCGCACCCGACTGCGCTCTGCCCCTTCTCCCATTGCACTCCGCAGAGTTTCTCCGTCCTCCCCCTTCCTCGTCTCCCATCGGGCGTCGCACACAGCTACACAGCAGTCGTCACGGCGACCGGTCTACACCAGCTCCTTAGCTGACCATGGCGACCCCCACCCCCGCGATCTCTTTCAGCCCCTCGATACCTTCCCCAGACGTCATATCGGTCCCTCGCCAGACGCCGCAAAGGAAATGCTGGCCACTCTTGACCCCCCGGTGGCGTCGCTCGACGAATTCGTGAAACAGGTGCTCCCCGCAGACATTCTGTCCAAGAAAGATTTGACAGTTACCGACCCTCATGCCAAAACAAACTTGTACCGGGACAATGTGGGCGGTGGTCTCGGGGAAACGGATATGCTTAAGCTCTTGGATGTCTACCGGAAGCAGATAGATGTGTCGGGTAAAACATACATTGGAACTGGCTATTATGGTACCATTGTGCCGCCTGTGATTCTCCGCAATATCTTGGAGAACCCTGCGTGGTATACCAGCTACACCCCTTACCAGCCGGAGATCAGCCAGGGTCGTCTGGAGTCGCTTCTGAACTTCCAAACGTTGACTGCTGACTTGACGGGCTTGCCGTTCGCGAATGCCTCCGTCCTCGATGAAGCCACCGCTGCCGCCGAGGCGATGACCATGTCCTTGGCCACCCTGCCCGCATCGAAACAGAAGAAGGCCGGAAAGGCGTATGTTGTTTCTCATCTTTGCCACCCTCAGACTCTCGCTGTGATGCGTTCGCGTGCCGAAGGTTTCGGTATCAATCTAGTTGTTGGCGACATCTTGGCGGATGACTTCAAGTTGGTGAAGGAACAAGGCGACAATCTCATCGGTGTGCTTGCCCAGTATCCCGACACCGAGGGCGGCATCTATGACTTCCAGGCTTTGAGTGACACTATTCACGGCGCTGGTGGCACCTTCAGCGTCGCCACTGATTTGCTGGCGTTGACTCTCTTGAAAGCGCCCGGTGAGTTCGGGGCTGATATTGCATTCGGTAATGCCCAGAGATTGGGCGTTCCTATGGGATATGGCGGACCACATGCAGCCTTCTTTGCTTGTGCGGACAAGTACAAGCGTAAGGTCCCTGGTCGTGTTGTGGGTGTTTCCAAAGATCGTCTCGGCAACCGTGCTTTGAGATTAGCTCTGCAGACCCGTGAACAGCACATCCGCCGTGAGAAAGCCACCAGCAACATCTGCACGGCTCAGGCCCTTCTCGCGAATATGAGCGCTATGTACGCTGTTTACCACGGTCCGACCGGCCTGAAGTCCATTGCTCAACGCATCATGTCCATGACCTCCACTTTGCAGGCGAAGCTTGCTGCATTGGGCTACAATGTCCCAATCAAGACCAACATTGCCGATGGCGGTGTTGTGTTCGATACCGTCACCGTAGAGCTGCCCAGCAGCCAAGATGCGGACGCCATCATCGCGGCTTCCCGGGAACAGTCTATCTTCCTTCGTCGTGTAAACTCTACCAAGGTCGGTATTTCTCTGGATGAGACCAGCGGACGCGAGGAGGTGAAGTCTCTTCTGCAGGTGTTTGCTGCTCATGCTGCCAAGGGCGAAGTTGCCCTTGATGGGGAACTCGGTATCTCCCCTCTTCCAGCCAGCCTGGAGCGTACTTCCGAGTATTTGACTCACCCGGTATTCAACTCCCATCACTCGGAGACGGAAATGCTCCGGTACATCCGTCATCTCGAGTCCAAGGACCTGTCTCTGGCCCATTCTATGATTCCTCTCGGCTCCTGCACGATGAAGCTCAACGCTACAACCGAGATGATCCCAATCTCTTGGCCCGAATTTTCCCAGATGCACCCGTTCATGCCGGCTGATGTCGCCAAGGGTTACACTCAAATGATTGACGATCTGGAACAACAACTCGCCGATATCACGGGTATGGCTGAAGTCACCGTCCAACCAAACTCGGGCGCTCAGGGCGAGTTTGCCGGTTTGCGTGTCATCAAGAAGTATCTAGAGGCTACCGGCGGCGAGAAGCGCAATATCTGCCTGATTCCCGTGTCTGCTCACGGAACGAACCCGGCAAGTGCGGCCATGGCTGGTATGAAGGTTGTTACCATCAAGTGTGACACCAAGACCGGAAACCTGGACCTTGCCGACCTCAAGGCCAAGTGCGAGAAACACAAGGATGAGCTGGCCGCTGTCATGATCACATATCCTAGCACTTTCGGTGTGTACGAGCCTGGTGTCAAGGAGGCCTGCGAAATCGTTCACCAGCATGGTGGACAGGTTTACATGGACGGTGCCAACATGAACGCCCAAATTGGCCTCTGCTCTCCCGGCGAGATCGGAGCAGATGTGTGCCACCTGAATCTGCACAAGACCTTCTGTATCCCCCACGGCGGTGGTGGCCCTGGTGTTGGTCCTATCGGTGTTGGCGAGCACTTGCGCCCCTTCCTGCCATCTCATCCAGCGAGCGAGTACCTCCAGTCTAAGCGCACGGAGACCTCCTCGCCGCCCATCAGCGCTGCCCCGTGGGGTAGCGCCAGCATCTTGCCCATCACTTTCAACTACATCAACATGATGGGTGCCAAGGGCCTGACGCACGCGACGAAGATCACTCTACTTAATGCCAACTACATCCTCGCCCGCCTCAAGGAACACTACCCGATCCTGTACACCAATGAAAACGGCCGCTGTGCTCACGAGTTTATTCTGGACGCCCGTCAATTCAAGGATACCTGCGGGGTCGAGGCCATCGATATCGCCAAGCGTCTTCAGGACTACGGATTCCATGCCCCGACCATGTCTTGGCCGGTGTCCAACACTCTCATGATCGAGCCTACCGAGTCGGAGAGCAAGGAGGAGCTGGATCGGTTCTGCGATGCTCTGATCTCCATCCGCCAGGAGATTGCCGCAGTAGAGAGCGGCGCGCAGCCACGTGAGGGCAACGTGCTGAAGATGTCTCCTCACACTCAGCGCGATCTTCTGAGCAGCGAATGGGACCGCCCGTACACCCGGGAGACCGCCGCGTATCCCTTGCCGTACTTGGTAGAGAAGAAATTCTGGCCCTCGGTGACTCGCGTGGATGATGGTAAGCCTCTTCTTTCCTTTTTCTGTATGACCTGTTCGAGACCTAGCTAACCTGAACCTTTACAGCTTACGGTGACCAAAACCTGTTCTGCACTTGCGGCCCTGTAGAGGATACTGCCTAGATCTTATGATACCCAATATTTGATTGTTTCTTGTTGTCGACTGTGAGATATTTAATTTTCAACACTTTCTTGGTCTGGGTTGGCATAACGATGGTGACACGACGCCAAGATTCAACATTCATGATAGACATTCGGAGGCGTTCTGGTTGCTGCTGTACAAAAGACATTATTTAGCTTAAAAGCGAATGAGATTGCCGCCCTGGCAGCGGCTGAAGTTTCAGCTCTTCTTTCCTGATAGATAGCGTAATACGAGGCTGGATCTGAAGATTTGGTTTATGTCGAAGTAGTCAGCACTTGCCCGATGGGGAAGGTCATTAAGGCGGGCACGTGAAGACACGGTTTCCTTGCCCTTCCTTTCACTTTTCTTCTTTCTCAGCAATCTTACCAGATCTTCTGTGTTGTGTGGCTCCCTCTATCTTATCTCCGCACTAAACCGCTCTTGGCATCGGAACCGGCCGTCTCCCGAAAACATCATGTCAATTATTGGCAGAATCTCCCCCTTGGTTCCACTACGAAGAACTGCTGTGGAGCTGAAAGGAAGCTCAATCTTGGAAATGATGGCGGTTCTCATCCTGTACCTTGCAAGGCTTGATTGACCTTATAAGACACATCTCCCTCACTGGACGCAAGCAGTACCCTCTCGTCTGCGGCCACGTACGTACATTAGAGTTCTGTAAGGTACCTGTAGATAAGATTACCACTTAAGGTTCATCTATATCTGATCAGTGGCACACGCATCAGTGTTGAAAGGTGAGACCATGCTGTTCGACTACTGCTCAAGCAATCATGCTGACTGGAAAGGAAACAGGTCGGATTGAGCTAACCCTCTATATCGCTCTTTTTGCTCATTTTATCCCTTGATCTTGCCCGGTCACATATTGATCCGTCCGAGTTGAGCTTGTCCTACTCGGTCTTCTTGCAGCACTCGTCAATTTGAAGAACACAGACGATCACGTCAACATGGCTCCCACGTACATTGTCTTCGTCGGTACATTCGTCCACCTCCCTCGGTCGACACCGACCGCCCTCGCTATCCACCAGGGCGCGTTGTGGGTTTCCACCGCCGACGGCCGGATCAAAGGTACCGACTGGACTATCATTACCGACCGGGATCTTCGCGTTCTGTTGAAAGAAAAGGGTTGGATCCCGGAGGACGCTCCCCGATATAAGTCTGGGACGAGAGTTAGCATTGTCCGGGCAAGGGAAGAACAAAATGAATTCTTTTTTCCTGGGTTCATCGGTAGGTGTTGATCCAATGTCCTGTCCTCGAAGAATGCGCAAAGGATACCTATATGTGTGTTCGTATTTTGGAATTCTGACAAGGTCTAGACACCCACATTCACGCGCCCCAATACCCCAATAATGGACTTTTTGGTTCCACCACGCTCCTCGACTGGCTAAAGCAGTACACCTTCCCCATGGAGGCCTCGTTCGGGAGCTCCCTCCCCAACATCCCATCCCCAAGAGCTTTTAGAGTCTACAACCAAGTTGTCTCACGCACCCTCGCCAACGGCACAACCTTCGCCTCATACTTCGCAACCATCCACGTCTCAGCCACGAATCTGCTGGCAACCCTCTGCCAGAAACGCGGCCAGCGCGCCCTCATCGGCCGCGTCTGCATGGACAACCCCGATTTCTCCCCAGATTACTATATAGACCCCTCAACCGAAGACTCCATCACCCTAAACAAAGAAGTGATCTCATACATCCAATCCATCGACCCAAAAGGCACCATGATAAAACCCGTCATCACCCCCCGCTTCGCCCTAACCTGCACCCCAACAGCAATGCGCGGTCTCGCCGACCTAGCCGCCTCCTATTCCCCCCCTCTCCATCTCCAAACACATATCTCCGAAAACACCCAGGAAATCCACGATGTGCACTGCCAATTCCCAGACGCCGCCAGCTATGCCGACGTCTATGACGCATATGGCCTCCTCACACCACGCACCATCCTCGCCCACGGCGTCCATCTCTCGCCCGACGAACAAGACCTGATCCACGACCGTGGAGCCAAGATCTCCCACTGTCCGGCCTCCAACTCCGCCCTGGGATCCGGCATCTGCCCCGTCCGCATACTCCTCGACAAGGGGATCACCGTCGGACTCGGCACAGACATTAGCGGTGGGTATAGTCCCAGTATCCTGGAGGCTGTTCGACAGGCCTGTCTCGTGTCCCGGTTACTTCGGCACGTGGGACCGGCCCCCGAGGGTGATGAAGGGAGGAAGCTGGTGCTTAGTGTCGAAGAGGCGTTATACCTCGCTACGCGGGGCGGTGCGGCCGTTGTGAATATGGAGGATGATATCGGTGGATTCGATATCGGTATGCTGTGGGATGCGCAGATGATTCATCTGGGGAGGTTCTTGCCTGCCTGTAGATATGATAATGGGGAAAGTCGGGTTGACGTCTTTGGGTGGGAGGAATGGGGAGAGAAGATCCATAAATGGGTGTGGAGTGGAGATGATCGCAATGTGAAGGGTGTTTGGGTCGGAGGGAAGTTGGTGTATGGGAGGAACGATGTGGAAGGCGGGAATCGGGGTGGATGGTGGAGTTGGGTGCTGAGTGCTGGTGTTGTGGGTGTGGGTGCTGTTATTGCATTTCGGAGGCTGAGGTTGTAAGATTTATAGACTAGCCTGTTTGTATGTTTTGAGGCTTTTTGGTTTGGCTATATCTGGTCTAAATTCAGGTACCAAACAATCCTCCATTACTTTACACTATAAACAAGCCTGGGCACTCTAACCAGCAAAACGTGATATATACAGAACATCATAGGACACCGCGGAAAACGCTCATCCGTTACTGAAACAACTCAACACAATCGAAGATCTAAAATCAACCCAGCCCATTAGCCAATCAACCCCGAACCAATATGATAAAAAGCCACTTACAAAGTTAGGAGCAAGGAACTTATCACCCGAGCTTCCGGAAATAACACTAATCGTAATCTGCCATACACGTTAGTCCTAGACCTCGCTCACTTGAAGACAAGGGCTGAAGCAAAGAAAAACATACAGTGTTACTTCCTTCAACGATCGTTCCAGCTGGGATGCTCACGTCGTAGACTTCGCCCAGGCCGCGGTAAGCGCCGCGGGTGACGCCGCGCGAGTTGAGGTTCGTGGGCGCAGAGGGCGCGGAGGCTTGGTAATTGTTGATCTGGACTTATGTTAATTCGGTGTCTCTTTTACGTTATAAAGGCGTATATGGAATGGAGGTGGCGTGGTTTACCTTAGCTTGAGGACGGCCACCGGCGAAGGAGAGGGTTGTTCCGATGCGCAGGGTCGCGGCGCCTGTATGCGCCAATGTAGCTGTAAACTTGATCGTCACGGGGTCGTTGACGCCCTTGAAGATGGCCATGGGGAAGTCGGTGAGTGCGGAGCTGCCGACGGTGTAGGTAAGGGGGCCCCAGGAAGACATGCGCGAGTCAGAGGGGTGCATGCGCAGCTGGTTCTCTGCGTTGCGGAAGCCGGTTGGTCTGAGCGGTGCGAACATGTTAGTTTGGGTCATGTGCTGTAGATAGATGGTTTGGTATTAAGGGGAACGCACGTTCCGTCCCAATCGCCAATCTTGAAGATCGTGTCACCTGTTTTTACGGAGCCGGAGATGTCCTTGCGTGTCTTTGAGCCGGCCTTGACTGTTACGGAGGTCTCGGCGACCTTGAACTCGCCTTGGTAGTAGACCATGGTGTAGGTGCCGGGCTTCATGGCGGGCGAGGTGAAGCTGCCGCCTGAGGAGGTGTAGGTCCAGTATTGGGCTACGTCGTTGTACCTTGATTGAGTGTTAGTGTTGTTGGGCCGAATGTTGTGGTGGCTTGGTCATCTTACCAGTGGATAACCCATTTGGAGCTGGAGTCAGCACCGGAGGCAGTTCCGGATACGGTTCCGCGGCCTGACGCTGCGACGTAGCCCTTGATGTCCAGGTTCGCGAAGAAAGTTGTATCGATGTTCGTGCCGGGGGTCCCGCTGCGGCTAAAGTACATCGAGTATGGGCCGTGGAGACCCATGCGACGGTCTTCGGTTTGGACGTGGCCCGAATTCTATTTCCATTATTATACGATGGCGAGAAGCATAGGCCTTGTTAAACGTACCATGTACCAGTAGAGGGAGTTGTAGCTGCCGCCATTGTTGGAGTTGATGTCGCTGTCAAAGGAGCATTAGCATGCAAGCATATTACGTCGCAATTGAGAGTACTAACCGGAAGAAAGGACCACCAGAGGAACTTTCATACTGGTTGAGGATCATGCAAACACGATGGGCGTCTCCGGCAATGCCTGAGAGATGGGTTAGCCACGCGCAGATCCCGTGTGTATATTCCTTACAATGTCTCTGGTCATCAATAAAGCGCTGGCTAGAGTAGAACTTGCTACGGGTCTCCCCATTGACCAAGAACTGTAGCCTAGGTTAGCTACGTACGCGTCCTAGCAGCCCGTCTTGTGTACTTACAACATCCGACCCTTCGATTGCCGAGCCGCCAGAGGTAGTGGACACATCACCGAACGGTTCTTCGTTGGGCAGGAGGTCCGAGTTAAGGCGTGCAATGAATCGTAATTCACCAACGGATGGCTCTAGATTGGTTTATATGAACGTCAGGGATTGCCTTTTCTCCGTCGTGACCATCAGACTGACCTGCGGTGATGTACGTCGCCATGTGGATGACAGAATCACCATTGTGGACAACAAAATACTGTGTCAGCGTATCGGTGTCGCAGGTAACCTTGATATAGTCCCCTTGGTGGATAACAGAGTCAGTACACAACACAGCTAACACAGTACATTCCATTATTCACTCACCGTCTTGCATCGCAGACACACTTGCGCTTCCAAGCCCCGAGCCGATATGGCTGCCTTTGCCAGAGTACTGGAGCTCCGAGCCATAGTAATTGATAGATGTAATATCGCAACTCGAACGAGAAACCGTAAACTTTAGAGGATTTGCCGACCCAGCATCAATAACGTAGGATGAATCAGACGTGGTAATTCCAAAGGCCGCCTGAGTGACTCTGGCCCAAAGAAGGGAAGACGACAAAAGTAGAGTTCTCGACAACATGTTGTCTATCGATTAAACTCTGCAAAGCTCTGCCTCCCTTGCTCGGAGCGTCGCCTTTTCGTCGGCCATTGCTCTTTTATAACTCCTTCAGCAGGCGTTCTCTTAGTTCTCAATGGCCAGACTACAAGAGGGGCATGAAGACGAGCTACAAGAAGTCAAGCCCCTGGTTAATCTTTCTAAAAGCTGGGCTAGTTTAGTTCCACCAATCTCAACGGCGATTGTTTATTAAGAACGCCAGTGTGGTGGGCATGACTCGGGTGAGCATACAAGGACCGGCCGTCGCTAAGAAGATCGCTGAGGGAATTTCCTTTTCCGAACCAGGTAGCTTAGATTTTTTTTTTTTAAAAAAGAAAACAACCGAAGTGCCGTTGGATATTAATGGGACCAACCCATAGGAACCCCCTGCATCACTTAAGCGGGCATGTCATCCACTGCACTCCAAATAGCTGTTGCGCTTTCCCTCCATATTCTGAACGTCAAAATATTTAGTGATCATCGAAGGACCATGGAGCGTTGCCGGACCTCGTTGCGAGAATGAATTCGGTGGCTTTTGTAGCGAGTACCCGAAGTGATATGATGATCACTATGGAAGTTGGCTTTGCAGATTAAATCCTCCCGGATAAAAGGCCATATTCCTGTTCTTCAGTGGTGGACTTCTTTGTGAACTGTCTCCGATTTCAGTCTCCGTGCTGGATTTGGGACATTGGTGCATCAGACCTAAGCTAGTGCAGTGGGGCCATACGCTGTCTCCATCAATCAGATAGTCAATGATAGGATCTGTCTGTTCTTGTGCGAAAATGTGCCGAAAAGCTTTATATTAAATGTTGCCTTGGCACGACCCTAAAATAACAACTGTAGCGTGTGGAAGTCCCAGGTGTATCATGATGATTTCTGAGCCTTACCACATAGATCCCCACTATAGTCTCGGACAACCAAGCCAATGAAAGCCAGCATGTCGCCAAGGCCTATGGCTTGGTTTCAAGACGGAGACATTGACTGAGGCTGGATTTATATCGTCTTTTTGGCCGTATTTTGCGATGTCTGGTTGCCCCTTTTCAAGTTTGGGAGCATAGTTGCCGTCGATATCTCTACAGGAATGCAGAAGCCCGAGGTGGTCTTAACATGGGCTATATCTAGCCATCTATGACTAGTAATTAGTAGTAAGCTATCCGCCAACTCTAGGAAAGGATCCTCGCAGTGAAATCCCATTCCATTGAAGGTTTGGAAGGCTCAGAGTATGTATCGTGAGTACTAAGGAATTTTCTGCAGGACGTCGTCGATGAAGATAACCACTGTTGTCAGTTTGGGAAGAGCCAAGGATATCCATGTTGTTCTCTGTACTTGCGTGTCTCCTAGCATAGTCACGGAGTAGCTTAATCATGGCTGAAATTTTACTACGCTTCTGGACAATCTCGCGCACCATTTCAATTCTACCTCGCTCCAGCCGCTCCAGTGTCAAACCATTCCATATTTTCAACCGCACCGTCATCCTCGTTCCAGTCATGTGGGGGTTATCCAACCAAAGTATGATTCTCAAATATTGTTGTCAATTGTGGTCTGACCATGGTTCAAGGTGTAAGGTAAGCACCCTGCCTCAGGGGTGTATAGCGACTCGATACTATACAGCAGCGGCTCCCAAAAAGTTTCCCTGCCGAACAAAACTTGCCGAAAAGCTACGAACAAGATACATAAGACGTACTACAGAACAAGAAACAGTTCAAAGAACTCCTACATTTGTCGTTCAGCTGGTCGAGGGATGTATAACAAGGGTCAGGGTTTTCAGACAGCCAATTCGCTTGATGTTATCGTGCAGGCTGCCTGTCCGTCTGACTAGGTATTGCTATGGACTCATAAAGCACTAAACCTGCAGGCTTACTACGTTTCGCTTGATACTGATAAATCTTTACAAGTTTCTATAGGAATAGGGTCGCGGGCTTCAGAAATCCCCCAAGGCTGTCACAGGTTTCAGGCCCACTCTCAGACTCAGTATTCAATGGAGGCCAATATATGCGCCTCTTCCCTTCTAGCTCCGTACAAATGTCAATATTCAGGCCCCGTTTGTTGCATGTAGAGGCTGACTATCTTCGAAGCTTGCAGGATTTGTTTGTGTAGCCGCAAATCAATGGTATTTCACAGGATCGTCATATGTTGCGCAAAATTTTGCGACTTGAGGCAGGGACCTGCCTGTGGCGGTGCTTATACACCTATCTGGCATATTACAATTCGCAGTTTTTATGCTATATTTATTCGTCTTGCTAATCCAAGAGCAAATGTCCAGCTTACAACCTCCAAGGGGGGCAATAAAACGACATGGGTAATGTTCACGACAATTTGGTGGCTGCATGGCAAACACTTAGCTGGCCACTAACCGTGAAAGTGAGCTAAATTTGCTTTTATTGATTCAGTTCAGCTGTTATAACCAGTGTGATGTGACACTGTTTTCAGTCAAGGTTTCAATTTCATTTGGTGGTTGGGACATTCTCGACAGGCTTTAAACAGTTAGCGATCGGCAAGCCATGTGGATGATGGGCCGACAACCACCGATCCCAGCATCGACCGCCCGGCCCGATGCCCGCATCGGGCGAGATGTTGTCCAACAGACTCAGACATCTCAGAGACGTTTTACGAGCTTACCGCACACGATATGGCCCTGACTGGGCTGCACCAACACGTCATAAAGTAACTTGCGACCAACTGAGTCAACGCCAATCAGGGGCAATATCGTGAACGCAGACGTCCGGCGAGTAATAATCATGGCGCATACATAACAGATATGGGTACCCTCCTATTTCCATGGCTGGTAAGTTGCTGCGCTCCTAAAATTTCATTCCCCAAGACTTCCTCTTTAGCTTTCTTCCACGGCTGCTTGGGAGTGGAGCACCTTTCGTCCTTGAATTGAAGAAGGCCAGTATGTATCTATCTCTAACACTGACCAGCCTCGTTATGCTGTCTGGCCCTGCTATGGGTTTAGGCATGCTTGGAGGATCTAAGCATATGCGAGACCTGAAGTTGGCTGCGGAATTGAGCCTGTATCCTGGTTCACTATCCAATGGAAAATCTATTCACTCAGCTCTCCCTCAGGCATTTACACAAAAGGACAGTGTTACCGCAGAATATATCGAGGTATAGTTAATTTTGACTGGACACTTAGCTTCTTTAAGGCTATATTGACATGTCTTATGTAGATCCCAATCGATCACAATAATAAGTCAGTTGGAACTTACCGGAATCGGTTCTGGGTTAATGACGACTACTATGAACCTGGACGTCCAGTCATAATGTACGATGCCGGCGAAATAGAAGCAAACACTATTGCTCAAAGCCACCTGAGGTCGGACGCATCATTCTTCAAGCAGATCCTCGCAGAGTTGCATGCAATAGGGATTATATGGGAGCATAGGTTTGTCTCTTTGAGCATCACATATCGTCCTGTAAGCTGACAGTATGAGATATTATGGAAACTCCACTCCATATCCCATTAGGAGGGATACGCCACCCGAGCACTTCAAATACCTTACGACTAAGCAAGCCCTGGAGGACATCCCATACTTTGCGCGGAACTTCAGCCGACCAAATTTCTCCAACATAGATCTCACGCCCAGCTCCACGCCGTGGGTCATCATCGGAGGTTCATATGGTGGGATCCGGGCCGCCTTTGCTCGCAACAAATATCCCGATGTCATCTTCGCTGCCTATTCCTCCTCTTCCCCAGTCCAAGCCCAGGTGAATATGAGCATCTACTATGACCAAGTCTACCGTGGCATGGTCGGACATGGGCTTGAAAATTGTACGAAGGCCATCCATGCAGCCTTGAATTATATCGATCAGCAACTATCGAAGAATAGCACAGCTGCATCTATCAAACAGCTATTCTTTGGCCCGGGGGCTGAGAAGAACAGTAACGAAGGTTTCACGGCAGCTTTAGTGTCCCTCTTCAACTACTTCCAGAGCTACGGCGTCGACGGCCCAGAAGGAAGCTTGCGCGAATTCTGTAATTATCTGAAAGCGGACCCGGTATCGATGTTATCAGCAAGTTCCGGTAGCTTCGCGCAGATCCTTGGTGGCAAGTATGTGGCAGAGCGTTGGGCTGCATGGCCTATGTTTACACCCATGGTCAATGTATTCTTCGAGACCAATTGCAGAGGCCTCAATGCTTCTAAAGAGTCGTCATGTGAATTGGACTTGCTATATACTGACCCTGATTCTATCAGCTGGACTTGGCAGTACTGTACCGAGTGGGGATTTTATCAAAGCAACAATGCCGGTCCTCACTCTCTCCTTTCCCGCTATCAGACCCTGGAGTATCAGCAGCAAGTATGCAAGAACCACTTCCCGAAGGCAGTCGCCAATGGTATGCTACCACCACGCCCGGAGACGGAAACTCTCAACAAGGAGTACGGAGGCTGGAATATCCGTCCGTCCAATACGTACTTCAGTGGTGGAGAGTATGATCCCTGGAGGACGTTGTCGATTCTGACAAGTGAGGATATCGCTCCTGAAGTTGCGCCCAATGGAATCACGTTCTCCACTGAAATTCCGAAATGTGGGGAGACTAATAAGGGCAAGGTGTTCGGATATATTCTGAAGGATTCGGAACATTGCTATGATTTCCAAGTAGCGTCAGCCGAAGGAAAGGTGTCTCGCGACCTGTTCAAGCAGGCCTTGACAAAATGGTTGCCCTGCTTCAACTCTTCCAAAGCGAAAGAGACACGAGCAGAGTAAGAGGGCAGTGTGGGGGAAAATGTGGAGTTGACTCAGTTCTCCGAGGGCCGAGCACTTTTAAGGTTCCTTTCTCAACTAACCCCTTTCGGAGATGCTTGCGATGGGCCCGCAAATGAACTGGTATTCGGTCGTGAAGTGAACTTTCCTTGTACATGTTAATTGGAGCAATTCAGATCATCGTTTTCACATGGGTTTTCAGTCGATAGATATATAAGTAGCGTCATCTCTTACCATTAGGGACTATCCACTACCTCCTCATTGATCTCACATTCCCACCCACCTCTTGAGGATACGTATATTAAGATACCTCAGAAATTCTCTGTTAGTTCTCTATTAGAATCATGCTGGTCCACGCTGTTCTACTGTTTGGCGCTCTCTTTGTAACCTTTCAGGTTCTCCAGTTCCTCCAACGACTCTATCAGCAGCGCAAGCGAGCTCAGTCCCTTGGATGCCAGCCTGCCGCCGAAGGATCGCCGGGCATCTTTGGAGTCCGGTCATTCTTACGGCTAGCCCATGCAGTCAAGCAAAAGCGATGGGTTGAATACATTGCGGAGCAGTATGGGCGATATGGCGACACGTATAGCCAAAAGGCTCTGGGTAAAAGAATGATAACCACACGAGAACCAGAGAATATCAAGGCCCTGTTGGCAACTCAATTCAAAGATTTCTCCCTGGGAACCAGACACCGTGAATTCTATCCTTTACTTGGGGACGGGATCTTTACACTCGATGGCGCTGGCTGGTCTCATGCACGTGGACTGCTACGGCCTCAATTCGCACGGGATCAGGTAAGTGAAGTCCCGAAATACTAGACGATACAGGTGCTGATTTGCCTTAGGTGGCTGACCTAGACCTCATGGACGGCCATATCTCTCGCTTTATCGATCTGATCCCCAAGGATGGCTCGAGTTTCGACATCCAGCGACTCTTCTTCCTTTTAACGATCGACTCTGCTACTCATTTTCTGTTTGGAGAATCGGTAGGCGCCTTGGAATCATCTGGCACAGGTCTCTTGGGACAATCATCAGTGGGAAGTGCGCAGGGTTTCGCAGAGGCATTCGGCACCTCGCAAGAATACCTGAGTGCTCGCTCACGAGCTATGGGTTTCTACTGGATGGTCAATCCCAACGAGTTTAAGGAATCTAACAAGCGCGTTCATGAGGTCGTTGACCATTACGTTCGGCTTGCCATCGAGTCTAAGAAAAACCCAGACAAGAAGTCTGATAGGTATATCTTCGCGGAGGCTTTAGCTGCAGACAACGATGATCCCAAGGTGCTGAGAGACAACATGCTCAACATCCTCGTAGCTGGTCGTGACACCACCGCCAGTTTGCTGAGTTCAGTGTTTTTCTTTGTGTCACGTCAGCCCCAGATTTGGAAGAGGCTGCGACAGGCCATTATCGATGAGTTCGGGGACAGCCAGAACCCGAAGGGAGAAATTACACAAACAAGGTTGAAGGACGTTCCTTACTTACGATATGTGCTGAATGAGAGTAAGTGCCTTAGTCCCCCACCAGGTTAGAGTTTGCCCGACTGACAGGGGCAGCCCTCCGGTTATTGCCCCCCGTACCCTTGAACTTCCGTGTCGCTGTGAAGGACACCTCATTACCGGTTGGAGGTGGCCCAGATGGGAGATCTCCAATTTTCGTTTCTAAGGGACAGATCGTTTCATACAGCGTCTATGCTATGCACCGGCGCCCAGACCTATATGGACCCGATCCCCATTCCTTCCGTCCAGAGCGCTGGGAGGAGAATGGTAAACGTGGTTGGGACTATCTTCCGTTCAACGGAGGCCCTCGGATCTGCCTTGGTCGTAAGTCAAACCCCCCAGCTTTGATCACATCAACAACGCGCTGACTGTGATATCCAATAGAGCAATATGCACTCACAGAAGCAAGCTTTACACTTGTCAAGTTGATCCAACGATTTGATACCCTGGAGTGCGCCGATCCAGAGCTGAAACAGCCCGTAATCCTATCGGCTCTTACCTTGTCGCATGATCGGGGTGTGAAAGTCAGGCTGTCTTCTTCGGCGGAAAAGAACTAATAATATAGATGGATTAGTTCTGTATAACGAGTGAATGCTTTGAACTTTGTAATGATTATGATTGTTTATACACGATAGCAGAACATGGCTCTTCTAGGCCATACCCCATAGCGGAAGGTTTCAGGGAAATAATAATAATAACAAGAATGCTAAGATATCTTTTACCAAACCGATACCCACAAGGAACAAAACTCAAGTAAAGTATAGGCAGAGGGGTGTCGACTCGAGAGTAAATGCCGGGAAATTACCTATTCAAGGACCTGCGGTAGGCACCGGACATCACCAGCCACATGTGGCCGTGAATGATCATGTGGCGCAAGGCCCGTGCGGTCACTGGATGGATATCGCGAAATTGCTGAATCTTTAAATTACACCACCAATCTCATCATATATGAATGAGAATTGAATAGCACTGGCGTGTCTCAGATAATCATTAATCTACTAAGGACTTTTTCAGTGAATCCAGCTCTGAAATCAATTAGAGTTCTGAATCACACGTTGAATATCCAGGGCTTTTCATTATCACTTACATTCACATCAAACGGCCCTGACTCGACTACCGTTGGGTGTCTCCCGACCAGCTCTACGCCCAAGGACACGCGTCGCTTGGATTGAAAAAAATTAGTTATAATAATAATATTACGTTCAATTCATCGTACCCCCACCGTGCCCTGGAGACAATGGCCAGCGCATCACAAGCTGCCCCAAAATTTCCTACAGTATCAGTTGTGGTACCCAAGATGGAGTTCCCATCTAAACAGGGCCTGCCGAAGGTCTCACAAACAAAGACAAACAATGAAGCCACGAACAAGACCAATGCCATCAAGTCAGAGAGTGACAATATTAATGTCAACGCCACATCTTCGCCGGCGCCCACCATGCAGACCAATGCAAGCAAGCAGGTCTCGGAATCAGAAATGCAGCTTGTATCTTCTCTTGCTAAACTTCAAAAGTTGGAGACTATGGTTTGTTATTTTTGTTTTTTTTTTTTTTTCACCCTTTGCCCTTCTTTTATTCCCGGTGTGTTGGGTGTAGATGGCTAATTTGCGAGATCAGATCCACCAATTGCGGACGTTGCTCCCGGACCGTTTATTGGATCCGTTGGTGCCGATTGTGAATCCGAAGGCTGCGGCGGGGAGATCGATCCCGAGATCGCCGCAGGTGCTGTATGAGCAGCTTTCGCAGGCTGCGAAGAGTGGTGTTGCTGAGGTCACGGAGTTTCAGAACATGTGGCGCAGTCCTGAAGTGAAAGCTGTATGGGAGCGTGTCGATGCGCAGATCAGGGAGAATGGCGGGCAATTACTACAGCCAACTGGTGTTTGGGATCGGAATTATGGCAAACTTCTAGAGGGCCTGCTGAAGGAGGAAACGGCTAGGACGGAGCTGCAGCGGAATTCTGAGGAGGAGCTCGAGCGTTCGAAGATCCAGTCGACTGAAGGGGGATGGAGGGCAATTGTCGACGGTTTTATCCAGAAGAATGTGCCAGGCGTGCGAACTTTGCCAAGTAAAAGCGAGGCGGCTGTCACTGTTGTTCTGCCCAAGGCTGGAATGAGCTTCAAGGTACATACGGTCGCTGGGTCGGAGGTGAACGGCGTACCTGCATGGCAGGTCTCGAGTCGGACGATGCCTAGGCAAGCTACAACAAAACTTGAGAGTGCAGTGTCTGATTGTCTGAACTCTCGCCCGCGACAATGGGACCTTGCCTACCTTCTTGTGAGTTATTGGATTCATCAAAGCCCAGCCCGGACAAATCGACAAGCTAATAGGAACCAGGACATGATATCTTCCTACTCCAACATCAAGCAAACAACCTGTGCCAAATGCGGCAAAATGACAGACAACGCAGCACAACTACCCGCCATCCGCCAACAGAAGCAATCATCCGAACCCCAACTATCGCCAATCTGGGAAGCTTATCACCCAAGCTGCGTTTGACCAACCCACCATATAAACAAAGCTATTCACCCCGCAACAACTTAGGCGGCACACTGTACAACCCAATCCATTTTTGAAGCCCCTGCAGATTCACCTCTGGCCAAACCAAGACCACCCTCCAACCATGCGTTTCCGGAAATCGACGATGCCTTACCTATTCTTACTATATTGAACCTCACCAACGAACCCAGCTCATTCTACCAGAGCGCACCTTCCATTCCACCTGTGCCCGTGGCTGAATGTGCGACCTTTACTCGCACAAACTACCTCTACTACCAAGTCAAACAATGCAGCCATGAGACCCACCCACGTGTCAGGTTCGTTAGACCAAAGGCGCGAAGACCTAAGTTCTATTTTTATTCTACTTGGAACAATATTATTTCACTAGGTATACTTCAAATGGGATTCTTCCTCCTCGAGTCGATATGGAGAGTAATAGTATTAAGAAAAAGAAATCGCGGTTAGATGGGGCATTCTGTACACACGTTTCATGTGTATTAGGTCATTAACTTTGAACTATTGTGTAATAAGTTACTAGTCTAAATAACTTCCATATTCTTTTCGTTGATGTGCTAAGAGAGAGAGCGAGTGATATTGGATAATGTAGTAGTTGCGGGGGTTAATCCTGCAGGAATCGAATTGGGTAGATGTGGTTGGTGGAGAATCAGACATTCATGCTGTTCAGGCAACGTGATTGTTTGCTTTTTTTGACTTTTTTTTTTTTTGAGGACCTTATTTGAAAGACCATATATATCAGGCACTATGAGCTATTTATCTCTCAACCATCTCATTATAAACAATGACGAATAAATATCGTAAAGAAATATTAATTATAACAATCCCGCTGCTGCTCTAATGAACAAATTAAAAGAAAAAATATCCAGATTCAAGGTGGCACATCCCAACAATATTGCACAATTTAATCACATATAAACGCCAGTCCAGCCTGCTGATGATCGCTATCGTAAGAATCGCTCAGCTCAATGCAACGCAATAATAGTAACATAAGACTTCATCAATGGGCGGCTTTTGAAGAATTACGTGTGGAAGACACCGGTGCCGCTCACGAACCAGGTGAAGGAAGCGACGGTGATAGCGGCCATGCCGACAGCGAACTTGATCGCGTTGCGTTCGGTGCTGGTAAGGGCGCTGTTGCAGGTAGCACAGATGTAGTCTAGGAAGCATTAGTTAGTTCGGAAATGGAACGCTAAGGTTATTAGAAGGGAACAACGTACGGTCAAGAGGGGTGTATGCCTGCGGGGTGTACATTCCGAAGTTGTACCCGATCTGCGAGCCCAGATGTCCAGCAGATGCCGTGTCTCCGAGGGTGGCATTCACATCGTAGACATACAAGGTATAAGTTGCGGTCAACAAGGGGACGGTCGCATTGGACTGATATTTGCCGGTGTCCCAGACGACCTTGCCAGTTTCCGAGACGCTCATGTTGCTCGAGAGGGTGTAGGTCTCACTATTCTTCCTGCAGGATGCGACAACATTGACAGCAGATGGGGTCACCTGAAGCGACGTGTACTTCCATTGAAAGGTCACATAGTCTCCGATCTTGTAGTAGCTGGTGGCTCCGTTGGAGGGGGTGAGCATCGAGATACCACCGACGGGATCCCGAGGGTCGACCGAGGTAGACGAAGATTTATCCGTCTTGGTTGATTTGTCTTTCCCGGTCTTTGTGCCAGTCGCTGTCCCGGTTTCCTTGCTAGTCTCTGTGCCCGTCTCCTTGCCTGTCTCTTTGTTTGTCTCGGTAGCGGGGCTTTTGGAGTCGCTGGAATCGGTCTTCGTGGCGGTCTTATCAGAAGTCGCGGCAGCACCCGTCGTTGCTTGATCGGCTGCGGTAGCAGTATCTGTATCTAAAAAGATTGGTTGGCTACTGACCACAAGAAACAGACTCGGATGATACTCACCAGCTCGAGCCACGACTTCACCGTAATGGCTTGGCCAAGCTGAGACCATGCCCAGCAAGACCAGGAGGTATAATACAGGAAGAATGGCGATGGAACGCATGTTGACTAGATCCAAAGGACTTTCTGTCCGGTTTGGATGGGGGAAGAAAAATAATATGGGGGATCGATGAACCCCTGGAGATCTCAGAATTTGATCGACGGTCGGTTCTATATTCTCCCTAGTACTCCGAGCGAGTGTGTCCAAGTAACGAGCGTTGATGATCGATGGATGGATCTAACGAGGTGTATCGTGTTCAATGCAGAGCTGACGAATGGTTCTGTCCGAAAGAAAATCGGGTGTCCAAGTGCTATTCCAGACGAGTGGGACGGTGAAACATGCAGATCGGCTGATATGATACGAGGGGACCCTGAAGGAGTAAACAAAGCGAATGACTGGGATCGTAACAACCCAACCTGTACTCTGGTGTGGGAAAAGGGCGGAAATCGAAGGCGAAAAAAGGAACAGAAATCCACAAGCGAATATAGATACAAGAAAGGATCAGATGTCCTGGCGAGGGAGAAAAAGAAGGCGAGAAAACAAGAGCGCGGGAGGAGTGATTGGTGTGGTTCTAACCCGTTTGGGCCCATGTGAGACACTTTTGGGCTATTTTTGGCCCTTGAAGGCCTGAGGCATCCAACTGCGGCGTGCGATTTGGACCCTTCCCAAATCAGTTGATTAATTTATCGTGTTCTTCTTCGGAGTGTATTCTCTATACCTTGTGTCAAACGGTTTCTATTCTACGATACAGAACGGGTTTGCTTTTCCATTCCTCATGTTAAGGAGGATCCTCAGTCGCTTACTCAGGCCACGGGATTATTGACCAACTATTGGATGCACGCGAAATTGTTTGAATTTTCTTATCTCGGTTCTATTTATCTGTAACATCAGGGTCATTAAATACCGAATATCATCAATCACTCTGTGATAGTATACACTCAAAAGAGACAAAAAAAAAAGGAGAAAAAAAGACCAGACCAAATCGAAACAAACCTCATCCCAACAGAATCATAATGGCTATTAGTATTAAACCCGCATATACATGTTGTTTGTGCCCAGGTATTGATACAAAATTGAACCGGGGTGGCTTCCTCCGATCCCCGTATGAATCACCACGAGATTGTTCGTGATCCATGGCATGACAGGTGGCAAACCTCGTGCAAACTATCCCCTTTAGGAAATTGGCTCGACAACGACTTGAACCTTGCTGCAGGAGGAGGGAATGGTAGGCTGAAGGTACTTGTACAGGTAGAAAAGCTGGGGCGCGTTGTGGTACCAGTCGCAGACTATTGCGGAGATGTTAGTGGCGAGAGTTGCTGATATCGGACGTCGGTCCCACTACTTACCCAACCAACCACCGAATCCCTGCGGTTCCGACCACTGCAAGCCGTCATTGCCGATGGAGAAATCGTTGCTACCGTATCCCGTGTTGATCTGGACCGGCTCCCATGCTGTGTAAAGAAGAAGGAAAAAGAAGTCAATTCCCATACTTTGGTTCCGAAGAGGGGAAGAAACTTACCGCCATAGTTGTTCTGTGGTAACATGTACAATCCCCAAGGGAAGGGAGTGTCAAGATCGAATTGAACGTTCGTGCCGTTTAGGAAGGCCGGGCTTGCAGTTCCCACATCCGATGTGAGGACGGCGTCGTTCAATCCCGCGCCAGTGTGGTAACCGTAGACATAGAGGTCGTTGTGTGCCGAGTTGGAAGCTCCGGCGGTCTTGAGGTGGAAGTTCTTGGGCGAGTCGTCGCGAGTGCGGAGAATCGGGTTGGCCGCAACGGCGGACACCAGTAGGGCGAGAGACGAGAGCTTCATTGTGCTAAGGGATGCTTCGTTTGTTTAGCCTAAGCAAACAAAAACCTGTAGACAAGTTATGCTAACAAGAAGTAAAAGAAAGATTGAGAAAATGAAAGACCGTTGGGATTTAATGAGGGGTGTTATGTGGAATGTAGAATCGCGGGGTGGCGAAGAGTATTTATGTCCGAATAGCCACATCCAAATGCAGAGAAGAATATCGGCTTCGGCACCTCCGACTTAGTGGAGTGATCAATCACTAGGTTTGGTTCCCCAAAAGGAATACAAAAGCAGAGCGACTTCCTAGAGGATGTGACTGACTTGGCAGCAGTATGGTACAAGACACTAAAGAGGAGGCTCCACCAGACAGGGTGGTATCCTATCCACTACTGCGTAAGAGATCATGGAATTTAGCCTTTTTGCAGTGATGATCGCCACTGAAGATCGTCGGGAATAAAGACCTGGAGTATCGCTAAGGATCTAAGACATCAGTCAACACACAGTCAACGATCATGTTTTATTTTTGTCAAAATATCTCCCCCGCCGAAGTCATTCGTGCACATGTAGGTTAGGGTACAGGCTATTCATTTAGGGCTTCTAATCTCCGTGAAAGGGCAATGTATTGTATTTGTCTGTACAGCGGCTGATACAGGGTGACTCTCTTCCTTTTCTTAGGTACGATGAGAGGTTTTTCCCTTTTCTTTTTTCTTTGTTTCACGCTCAGTTAATTGCATACATCTCATACGCTTTAAATTAAATCGGACCGATTTTCGCTTCTATTTTTATTGATTCCGCCACCATTGCTGGTTGACTTCAATAAAGATCGACATTAAGGGATCATTGCATAAGCTTCACTTACTGCCCTCGGTTCTCGGACATTTTTGTCAGGCAAGGATAATCGTATCAGTTCCGTGGATTTCAACCCCGAATATTATCATACCCCATGATCAATTACGTCGATGAAAAGCCCTTCCGGCTCTTTTCTCCACACGCTGGACCCATGGATGCTCGAGCCCCCATTAACTGATACTCAGGGACGATTTCTGCACCCGGACAGGAATCAAAGGGGTTGACTCTCAATATTGTCATATAATAGGTACATCTGGACTAGCTTAGTAAATTCAATGATCATTACTCTAATAGATATAGGCAGAAATGAGAGATAAGGCGCGGGAGCAATATACCCGACCGATCACTGACATCATGGTCATCCAGTTTCCCATTAATTGAGAGAATTTGGGTCAAACCCTAGAATCCCTATTGTTTATTATTATTTGTTTATCTCCAAATGGAGCCGGTTCTGCTGGTGCTGCTACAATTCTCAGATTGCCCTAATATGACACTCCCAGCTAGATAGAAAAGGGCGATCGGTATGCACAGAATCTCTATTGTATCTTTCTTAGGCTTAGCTCTATAAGGGTTACGTAGATATATATATGCAAAAGTTGAAAATTATCGACGCTTATTCAAGCGTATAGGCCCAAACTCCATCCTTTGTGAACCTGTCGTATCCCATCGACATTAAACCCAAGACTGTCCTATAATCTTAAACAGTATCCGTTGCGCCATGCCTGTAATATCGTCACTAGAGCAAGCAAAGTGAAAAGTCCCCTTTCAGTCTCATCACCCTAACATGGAATGGAGAAAGAAAGGACAATGCCAAAACTGAAAGCAAAGAAAGAGATAGGCCCGCAACGAATCATCTTTTCTTGGCGTATTCAGGCTTCAGCGACCATCGACCCCGTCCGTTCCGTCCGCCCTTCTCCAGCACAGCAATTGTTTTGAGCATTTCTTTGAATTCAGCCGACCGTTGGGGGGTAGTGCAAAAACGGTTGAAGTGGTCAATCAGCATCTGCGTGTGAACGGATCCGCCGTGGGATCCGATAAAGTCTCTGATCATCGTAATGAAATCCATTCCGCTGGGAGCCTTGCCCGGGGCGGGGCTGTTACTCCCGCTTCGGGATGAGGGAGTACGTGCAGAAAGATTGGCCAGAATGCTGGCGGATGACGGGCCCGCTGCTCGTCTTGTAGAGCTACTACTTCCGCCAAATCCCGGACGCGTTGAGGGCTCCTCCGGTTTTCCGGCAAGCCCAAACTGCCCTGTCCATGTTGGCGTGCCAATCGGCACAGACCGTGCTGCTTCTCCCGCTCGCCGCAGCTCCTCAGCGGCCTCGGCAGCGACCTTCTTTGCTTCTGCCTCAATGATCTTGGGATCCGCCCGCACAACTCGCTTACCATTCACAATTTGGTCGTGCTCTACCGCAGAATGTACCCCAGAGCGAGCAAAGATACCTTCCATGATACGTGACTCCTTATTAGTGCCGGGGGGTCCCTGGTCTTTGTCGCTCGGTGACTCAGAGTCACCTTGAAAGTTCTCAATCGATGCTATGCCTTGAACTCGGCCAACGTCTCTTGTCTCATCTTGTTGGTCCTGGGGGCCACGCTGTATGCGAGCACGTGTATCTGTCTGGCGAGTATCCGCGCTGCCCCCCTCTTCGTACGTGATGTCGGCATCTCTGAAAATCTTGCTTGTTTCCGTTGGACCCTGGTTCTCTTCCCCAAGAGAAAACAAATCGTGCAAATCGCTCAATTGAAAAGTCTGGCGCTGTTTAGGATCTTTTAATATCTTATTTGTGAGGAATTGCTTGAAGATTTGTCGATGATATATCTTCTCCTCGATTGTCCCAGCGGTCATCAACCTGTACACGGTAACATCACGCTTTTGTCCGAGTCGCCACGCTCGCTCACGGGCTTGCATATCGGTAGAAGGATTCCAATCAGGATCATAGATGATCACACGATCAGCCCCCGTAAGATTTACTCCCAGTCCTCCTACCTTAGTAGTGAGAAGAAACACGTGGAGATCAGGGTTATTGTTAAATTCGTCGACCATCGATTGCCGTTGGGCGATAGGCGTGGTGCCATCCATCCGCCGATAATTGAATCCAGATAGAGATTTGACGAATTTCTGAAGGATGTCTAACATGATGCGATGTTGCGTAAATAGGAGAGTCTTATGGCCCGTCTCCTTCCACAGTTCCAATAGTGACTTGACCACTTGCATTTTGCCTGACTTTTCAGGACTGCCATAACCTGTCTGATGCGATGTAAACTTGTGGCTCTGTAAGTCTGGATGATTGCATATTTTCCGCAAAATATCCACTCCATATAATACTTGCCTGCGGCCCCTGAGGATGGATTGCATTTCCTCAGAGCCGAGGAAAGCTTTATATGCTTGTCTTTGCAACTTTGTGAGTTTGCAGAACAGCACTTGCTCGCTCTTCTTAGGAAGGTCTGCAGCGACATCCATCTTGAAACGTTGCAGGAGATACGGGCTAATAGCATCTTTCAGAGTCTCTGCACACTTTGCAGCCGTTTGCACTTGCAAGTTGGAGGCATTGGCATATCCACCCTGACGGATAGGGAACTCGAACTGATTTCGAAAGTTTACCAAGGTTCCCAAACGCATTGGGAAAACAAAATCGAACAATGACCAGAGCTCCGTTAGGTTATTCTGCATCGGTGTACCTGACAGAATAATCCGATGTGGCGTCCGGAGTTCCTTGCAATGAATAGTTATTGACGTGTTCGGGTTACGAATTTTGTGTCCCTCGTCAAGAACAGCACACCCCCATTCCACTGGGATCAGCAGAGGGGCGTAGGTCTGTAAGCCGGAGTACGTGGTCACCAACACATGACCCTCTTCTACTACACGCTTGACAACCTTTTTTCCGGCTCTCAAGCCGCCCAGACTACGGCGAGTATCCCACGTCTGAGACAAGAGCGCATCTTCCCGGCTGCTCTCACTTCGAATGTTTACCATCCCGCTGCCTGACGTGTGCAGAATTGACACGCGGAAGGGCGGCCACCAGCGGTGAAATTCATTCACCCATTGCTTCATAACTGTAGCAGGGCACACAATAATGACCGGTTTTGTTAGCTTTTTGCTGTAGTGAAGCCCAGCCAGGAAAGAAATAACTTGGATCGTTTTCCCAAGCCCCATTTCATCGCCAATAATTCCTCCTACTTGTTGCTGCTGCAACTCCCACAGCCATTGCACCCCTGTCTTCTGATAATCAAATAGTAGGGGGTAAATGTCACCAGGAATGCGATATCCATTGTCACAGTCCCCGTCAGGCACGCTTGGATGAGGCATGAACCACTCCTCCTGCTCATCATGTTCGTTAACATCCGTGGTACCCTGCAGGGCACGCTTCCGAGCAGCTCTCCTTCGATTGACCCAATTCTGGAGCCTAGATTGATAAATTTTCTCGTTTCCATCATCCATCCCGCTGAAGTCTTCTACATCTTCTGGTGTCTTCTTAGCCTTGCTTCGGGCTGCAGGTCGTGGTGAGGAGGTCTCTGGTACGAAGTCTTCTTCATCTTCCGATGACAGCTCTTCCTCTTCTGACGCTGTATAACTTGCTGAGCCTTCATCCGAAGGTACCTCTTCTGCATTTATGGTCTGATCTATCTGTTCGAAGCTTTTGTCTGCCCCTCTTTCCGCGGTGGCTTTTGTCAGTTTTCTCCGCTTTTTTGGATGCTCATCAACTTCCGTAGACACTTCACTCGGTTCATCAAAGCCAAAGCCGGGGCGCACAAGGTTTCGGTGAGAAACTGCAGACCGATTCTTGACTTGCTCCAAAGCTTCTCTCTCATCGCGCTCATTTTCAGCATCAATGAGAGCGTCGTGCAGGCTAGCGTGAGGCCCCTCATTTGGGCCAGCGCTCATCTTAGAGAACGGGGTGATTTTCCCTGTCCGGATGAGATAGTCTCTGCGGGACTCATTAGGCATCCGACCTGTCCCCATCGCCTGGCCACCTGCCTCTTGCCCTTCATGTCTTTTGTCGATGCGTTGCTGTATCTCTTTAAGGTCATTAGCCAACGCGGCATTACGGGATTCTAGCTTTTCTAATTCATTCTGTAGGCGAGCTCGGGCTGATGTGCCAATAGGTTGGGACATCCGCTGGTGTGCCCTCAATATTTGCGCTTCGAGCTTTCTATAGGTTCATTAGTATATATCAGGAAGACCAGTGTCACTAATAGATATACTCTTTCTCCTGCGTGGCCCGTTCTAGTCTTCTGCTATCACGTTTGTCCGCTTGCTCCATGAGCAATCTGTCGGCCTGTGAACCCTTAGCACTGAAGAACTTTCAGCGACAAAGTGACAGCATACCTGACGAGATATGTCCCTCTCAAGGTCATCCTGGTCGCGGATGTCTGCTTGAAGTTCACGTAGGCGACTCGTTTCATCTGCGCTCGCTGTGGGAACTTGATCTGGAATCACTGGTGTCGTTGAAGAGACTGGACTCGAGTGCATCGGCTGTTCGTCCTTAGGACGATCGTTCTGAGCCAACGACTCCGAGTCGCGCTCTATATGCTTGTCCATCCTCGGGCGGAGATTAAAAAGGAGAATAAATAAAAGAAAAGAAAAGAAAAGTGGAAGGTGACGTGATACCAAGGTTCTAATTTTACCAAGTGGCAGAAATCTATGTATTCATTGGAGCCTCAAAGATGAGGACAAATTTGAAAGTAAGGGATCATCGGACAACGCCGTTGCAACACCTAGTGGCGGAAGTACATGATTCGCAGGCCTGAACTTATAGTGATATTGTTAATATGCGCTCAAGAACTGAGGAAAATGGAATATTTCCCCAAATATGAGCTTGTGGCGGTTACTTAGTGCTCTGCGCAACAGTCTGTTGAATCTGCAAAAGTAGTAACTAGGTATCAAGTGAATCGACCAAAAAAGGCCTTCACAGGCTACCACATCTTGATAATCATAATACCGGCAGAATGGCTTCACCGGTGGGCTGAGTCACTGACCGCCTTTCGACGTGACTAACCCGAAGTTCGTCATGTCTTAGCCTCCCACGTCACCTGTGGGTGGCTATCTGCCAGTCTGGATTGGGCATTAATCTTCTGTTGTATCAATTGGGGTCTCTGTTGGATGTCGAGCATGCCGCTAAATTTCGGAAAATTCCTTGAATTAACTCCGGTTAAGTTGCATGTCACGAGCAAGATCACTAAATTACGAAGGCGTCTTTTTTTTTTTTTCTCTTTGTTAAGTCCTGCAAACAGCTATAGGAGCTGAATGGGTAAGCCGGATTGTATACTCCGTACCAACTACTACTTATCCACACTAAGACCAAGTAGTCGTACAGGAGGTATACGTACATATTATGGAACGGTTTTGTGACTGTGTAACTATTACGTTGTAATTATAAAATTCTCTTAATTTCTCTCTGTTGCACCCAAACAGAGGCTGGGCAAGGTAAGGTAAACAGATACTAACGTTGGTAATAACCCATAGCATCAAGGGCTAATGCAGTAAATAATAATTAGGACAGCGACTAACGCTGTAGGGAAGAAGAAAAATTTCCTCTTAAAAAAAAATAATCATAAAAGCACCCTCCCACCCCCTGAATTGGCTTTTGCCCCATTCGTGATAACTCAAACCCATTTTTGATATCAGGCTTGTCGTCAGTTAAATGATACTGAAGTCGTGAGATCAGCAGTCCGTCCATTGTGCCCTAGTTAACCCAATACGAAATTAGAGAAGTTAAAAGAAAAAGACACAGTAAACGAGAGATAATCCCCCCATTATTTAAAACCTAGTAGCAAGTTTATTGTATACATTTGAAATTATAGGGGAAAAGAGGACAAAAGAATAAAATAATAAAATCCGTGTGTAGTTCTGTGGGTTGTTAACCCCGATACCATCTAAGCCCAACGGCAGCCTGAGGCCTTCAAACTCACAGACTCGACTCTCAGGCATCTCCACCACCTCCACCAACCTAACCTCACTTCCTTCCCTCTCTTCCTCTCGCCCCCCTCCGCATAAGTCTTTCTCTTCGGCTGGACGTTGCTTCCACCACTTTCCCACACAGTCTTCATTTGTGGGCTGTGTACTTCTGCTTGGGTTTCCCTTTTCCCCGGGGGTTCCAGCAGTCAGTACTCCCTTCCTTTCCTCCCAGCCCCTTGGCGTGTCAGCCACCCCCGTCGGCTTTGGTTTGTTGCGCACGTCGTCACTGAATTACAACCGCCCACACCCCCATCCGTCGTCGACTGGCCGCCTCGCCCTTGGAACTTTAAACCTCTCCCCATAGCGACAAGTCGTTTGGATGATGAAGTGCCACACAATTTGCAACTAACTTCAATTCCTTCTTCTCTCCTTCCATTTTATCTTAAATTGCAGCAGGGCTCCTTCGTGCTCCGCTTCGTCTCCGCCCGATCGCGATACGTGCGTCCACCGTCCCCGCTACCATTTATCTCTCGGTCGCGGTGCATGTGCACTCTAGACGAAAAGACGGTCTTCCATTCCCCCCGACCTGAGCTCCATTCCATTAGATGAGAGGCATTGTACTGAGAGGACGGACATGGATTCACAGTGGCAGCCATATCAGGATCCCTTAACGGGTCGCCCTGCGCAGTTCAATAATGGTTTGACGTCCAATCCACCACAGCTTGGCCCAAAGTACACCAGTCAACCACAACAGTCACAACCACCAGTGGGGTATACCTACGAACCTTTTCAAACACCTAGTATTGCAGCAAAGCCCCCGTCGGCCTCTATGAACTCGAAATCCGTATCTATGGCGTCGTCTCCGGCTGCGACGCCACGTAGCCGCGATTATGTCACCGATGCCGACACCACAATGGAAGATGCGGATCCGTATAATCGGGCGAAGTATTCAACAAGACCTACCCATCATAGCCGGCCTTCTTCCCAATATTTCCCCACCGAGGAATCATCAGCCGCCCGTAGGTATTCCCCGATGAACGCCCTGTCCCCAGCGATGCCTTACAACACGAGTCCCGGGAAGCCTTCCAACTCGTATGCTCTTCCTCCTGGGCCAAACCAATCTCGCCGTTCGCCGACAAGAGTGCCAAACTACTCTTCGCCTCCGCAACCATTCCAGTCGCCTCCTTGTAAGCTCACATCTTCTTGCGAACCTTTGAAGTTAAATGACTGACGTAATCCATGGGACAGCCGGTTCACGCGCCCCGCGGCTCCCCCCTTTGCAGCCCACAGATATGAGTCCGGAGCAATACTATCCAACGTCGGCAGGATCTCAACTCAGTGCTCCTTTCGGGCAGGACGGGAGGTCGCCCCGCTCTGCGTCGATATCCGGCCCCAGCCAGCAACCTGGTCGGGGCCCGGTTCCAAAGTTTCAAAAGATAAAGTCGGTTCAGAACTTGAAGCCGCGCGTCAGTGTGCAACCTCCATTTAGGCGTGCGAATCCTGAAGGTGGCTTTATCAGTGTGAGTACCCTATATTTGATTAAGTTCCAGCACCATTAACGCCTGTCCAGCCGCTCCAAGCCTTAACGACGCATCTCCCATCCACGTACCGGATTTGTAACCCCGGTTTCAACTATGAGTCCTCGAGAAATCCAAGGCGAGTTCTGACGAAACCCAGCAAGGGAGTAAAGAACGATGGCTACGACAATGAGGATAGCGACTACATTTTGTACGTTAACGACATTTTGGGAAGCGAGGAAGCCGGCCACAAGTGAGTATAATCATTTTCATACCCAGGCTCAGAGCCGCCTATATTGACCATTCCAGGAATCGCTACCTTATCCTCGATGTGTTAGGGCAGGGTACCTTTGGACAGGTCGTGAAATGTCAGAACTTGAAAACGCAGGAAGTTGTAGCTGTCAAAGTGATCAAGAACAAGACCGCGTACTTTAACCAGAGCATGATGGAAGTGTCCGTTTTGGATTTGGTAGGCTTCTCGTTATCTAGTTCTTGGGCCACCCGCTGATTCCTTTCACAGCTCAACAGCAGATATGATAAGAATGATGACCACCATCTGCTACGACTCAAGGACACATTCATCCACCGACAGCACCTCTGTTTGGTATTCGAAATACTCAGTGTCAACCTGTACGAGTTGATCAAGCAGAACCAATTTCGAGGCCTGAGCACGACCTTAGTCCGCGTATTCGCTCAACAACTGCTGAACGCGTTAAGCCTGCTGAATAAGGCGCATTTGATCCATTGCGACTTGAAACCGGAGAATATATTGCTGAAAAAGTAAGTACTTATTGCACTGACGAGCAGTATTCGGTGGCTAACTATAAACCCGCCTAGTCTGGAGAGCCCCATAATCAAAGTAATTGATTTTGGGTCTGCCTGTGATGAACGGCAGACGGTCTATACATATATACAGTCAAGGTTTTACCGGTCTCCTGAGGTCCTCCTTGGATTGCCGTATGTCGAGCTGAATTCTTCCCCCATTCCTCTGCTACCAACTTTATACTAACGTGAGATAGATATTCCTCGGCGATTGATATGTGGTCATTAGGTTGCATCGTTGTTGAGCTCTTCCTTGGTTTGCCGCTCTTCCCGGGATCGTCAGAATACAATCAAGTCTGTCGGATTGTGGAAATGCTAGGTCTGCCCCCGACATGGATGTTGGAAATGGGCAAGCAATCGGGTGAATTCTTCGAAAAGACCCAGGATGAATTTGGAAGAAAGACATACCGTCTCAAGAGTCTGGAGCAATTCTCGCGAGAGCATGGAACGAAAGAGCAGCCGAGCAAGAAGTATTTCCAGGCGTCGACACTGGAAGAGATCATTCGGAGCTACCCGATGCCGAGGAAGAACATGAAACAAGCAGAAATCGAGCGAGGTTCGTCACCAACAGAGACGGTACATTATATATTTACTAACAATCTGTGCCAGAGCTAAACAACCGAGTTGCTTTCATCGATTTCGTTCGTGGCTTGCTATCAATCAACCCACTGGAGCGGTGGTCCCCGCAGCAAGCTAAACTGCATCCTTTCATCACGCAACAGAAATTTACAGGACCATTCGTGCCCCCGATGAATCTAAAATACTCATCTTTGAATAAAACAGTTGCTCCTGGTATACAACAGCAACAGCAGGCAGAGGCCGCAAGCAAACAAAGGGCGGCGCAAGCAGCACATGCTCAGTCGGCTGCACAGAGTGCCTACTCGATGCAAATGAACCAGTTCCATGCACCCACTCATGCTCAACCTCCCCCTCCCATGTACAACGGAGTGTTCACGGGCCACCAGCAAGGTGCCCCGCCGCCGTACCCCACCCAGCAGCCTCCGGGTTACGGTCACCAGATGAACCTTATACCGGGTCAAATGCCTCCATCACAGTACGCACCGTCTCAGAGTCTTTATGCTCAAGCAACAACAAGAGCTGGCCGGCAACGTGCTTCCACAATGGACCCTCAGGGTGGCGGAGTTCCACCGACTATTCAGCGAGTCGCTAGTCATCTCGATCCTAACGCACCAATCCGGTTACAACCTAGTCCGGCATACTATCCTCCCCCTGCAGATGGCTATGTTGACACTGGCGCTGCGAATCAACGGCGGCGAGGAAGTCGTACAGGCGGCACACGTAACCGGGACTTCATTCGAACACTTGAAGACGGCGTACTAGGAGGGGATGGCTTTATGGGCCAGAATCAGTGGCACTAAGCACACATTTGCTGAAACCAGTTGAGTGGCACCCGTGGGTGCATTAACATCTTTAAGTTAGCGAGTGCACTTTTGATCGGGCAAGTATAAGCTCCAGATGCGTGTGTTTAATGAATATGACCGCAGAGCTGCTCCAAAGTGTCGTTCTGTTTTGCTTGATATTTGGACCCTTGCCCGACTTCCCTCCCAGCCCCTCTGTGATTAGCTTTATTTTGCCGTTTAACATGCATCCGTCATGAGTAACCAGATTCCCGATACACACCCAGTTTCAACGAAGTGTGTACTTGGACTGGCATGGTCTACAGACCATCATACGGCATAGCTTCGAAGTTTTGGCCAGAAGGGATACAACATATCATCAGTCCCCCGCTATGGTGACGAATGCGCAACATTTCATGGGCGCTGTTCACCGACGACATCTCAGACGCTGCAGGGGCGTCCTTGTTTACAATAACCGAGCTTCCGACCTTTCGGATGCTCGCCGTCGGTCTACTATCTTCCCAATCGAGTTCTTCCAGATTTGTGTATGTGGCTGTTTTTCGGCATAGCCAGGAGTACTTGGAAAGATCGCGATGTATGTTCTTTGTTGCCGCATTATCATGTTGAATCTTACATTTCTTTTGTACTCCTTTTTCATTTCTTCGGAAATGGTACGCCATTTCCAGCTATAAATCTGTTTACTTTTTACTTCCCTCACCTTTTATTTAACCCTGTTCAAGAGAAGCATGATTAAGCTTGGATATTTGGAACCCATCAATATCAAACAATCGTCGGTTTTTATTGTGCGCACAAAAGCCCCATCCTCTTGTCTTATATTTGCGTTAAATTACGCATGTTGAAGGAGAGAAAGGCAAGCCGAATAATATGTAGTTCCATGATTTAAGCTCACTTTCGAAATGAAGAAATCCTCTCCGCATAGTTTAGTAGATTTAGTCGCGGAGGCGCGATCCGTAATTACGCTGGAGGATTGCCCGATGCGGTTAGGCGCCACCTCGCTTAAATTTCGTTGTGGCTCGCGGCAAGTCTGACTCTGCGGCTCCAACCCTCACAACTTGATTTTCTGAGAGCGGCTTTCAGGGTACTATCCATCGAATCATCCCCACGACCGTGCGTCTCACCAATCCAGGAGACGGCCATATTCGAACCCGCGACCTCCTTCCGGCCCCAATCACCCGAAAACCAGCCAAAATGTCGCGTTTCTTTTACGGTGGCGGTAGCGACAGCGACAGCAGCTCCTCCGAGGAGGAAGATCACTACGAGGAGGAGGAGGTGTCCGAGGAGGAATCCAGCGAAGGAGAGGAGGAGACCTCGGAGGAGGAGACTTCCGATGATGAGGGCGATACCGGTCCCAATCGTTTCTTGAGGGATGCAGAGGAAAGCGAGGAAAGCGAGGATGAGGAGAAAGTAACGGTTGTCAAGAGTGCCAAGGACAAGAGGCTGGAGGAACTCGAGGGTATCATCAAACTGATCGAGAATGCCGAGAAAATTAACGACTGGGCTGTTATTTCGTCAGGTGCGTCGGATATGGGCGGGAAAATATCGCCGTGTAGGGGTTACATTGGTGCATCTGTACTAACTCATGTGGTTCAGAATTCGATAAACTCAACCGTCAAATCGCGAAGGTCACGCAGTCCGGCCCGACTCCTAGAATTTACGTCAAGGCCGTTGCCGACCTTGAGGATTTCGTCAATGAGACGATCACGAAGCAGAAGTCATCGAAGAAGGCGATGAATGCTAGCAACGCCAGGGGCTTCAACGCGGTCAAGCAACGTATCAAGAAGAACAACAAGGAGTACGCCACTCAGATCGAGAAGTATCGCCAGAACAAGGATGGCTTCATGGAGGGCAAGGAAGAGGAGGCTAAGCCTGTCGTTGCGGCCCCGCGTTTGTCCACCAGGGTTGAGCGTTTTGAAGCGCCTGCTGCAGCCGCCTCCGCCGATGATGGTTTCGCTACCGTTGGCCGTGGTGGTAAGACTTTGCAGTACACCCCAGAGAGCATTCTCAAGCACCTCCGCGTCATTGTCGAATCCCGAGGCAAAAAGAACACTGATCGTCTCGAGCAAATCAGGACCATGGAAAAGCTCTTGGAAGTCGCTCAGACTCCTTACCAGCGCATCCGTGTCTACCTTACTCTTCTCTCTACCCGCTTCGACATCTCCTCTACGTCTTCCGCCAACTACATGAGCGTCGATCAATGGAAGCTTGCTGAGAAAGAGCTTGCCGCCTTGCTGTCCGTCCTCGAGACCCACCGCAACCATGTTGTCACTGAGGGCGCTGAGGAGTGGGAAGATGATGAGAAGCAGCCTCAGGTTAAGGACGGCGAGACTCTCCACATCCCCGGCAGCATCGTCTCTCACGTTGAGAGGCTCGACGACGAGCTGACTCGCTCTTTGCAACACATCGATCCTCACACTGCTGAATACATCGAGCGCCTGGGCGATGAGAAGCAGCTCTATACCAACCTTGTCCGCACCCAAGCTTATGTTGAAGGCCTTATCGAAGCTGAGAAGAGCGATCCGCGCCAGGACAGCCTCAACCGAGTTGTCATGCGGAGGCTGGAGCATATCTACTTCAAACCTTCTCAGGTTGTTACGATCCTAGAAGACGGCACTTGGAAGGCGCTTCCCTCCGAGTTGGACTCTAAGGTCACTCCTCGTGAAAGCGCGGGTGATGTGACACAGCTTGTCCAGACCCTGTGCAACTACCTCTTCCAGTACAGCGACGGTATCATCAGGGCCCGTGCCATGTTGAGCCAAATCTATTTCCTTGCCCTGCACGACCAGTATTACCGTTCTCGTGACTTGATGCTCATGTCTCACCTTACTGAGAACATCTCCAACTTCGACGTTAACACGCAGATTCTCTTCAACCGGACCTTGGTTCAAATCGGTCTGTGCGCCTTCCGGGCTGGCCTTGTCTATGAAGCTCAAAATACTCTGTCCGAAGTCTGTGGCAGTGGCCGTCAGAAGGAGCTGCTCGCTCAAGGTATCATTCTTCAGCGTTACTCTACCGTTTCTCCCGAGCAGGAGCGTCTTGAGCGCCAGCGCCAACTGCCCTTCCACATGCACATCAACCTGGAACTACTTGAGTGCATCTATCTCACCTCAAGCATGTTCCTGGAAGTTCCTCTCATGGCTCAGACCTCTTCCTCACCCGAGATGAAGCGCCGTATCATCTCGAAGACCTTCCGTCGTATGCTGGACTACAACGAGCGTCAGGTATTCACCGGCCCTGCAGAGAACACTCGTGATGGTGTCATTATGAGTGCCAAGTTCCTCGCTGCCGGCGACTGGAAGAAGGCTGCCGAGATGCTTAACTCAATCAAGATCTGGGATCTGATGCCCCAGCCCGACAAGATCAAGGAGATGCTGTCACAGCAGATCCAAGAAGAGGGCCTGAGAACTTACCTCTTCACCTATGCTCCCTTCTACGACAGCCTCTCTATCTCTACCTTGTCGAACATGTTCGAGCTCTCTGAGAAGAAGATTGCGGCCATCATCAGCCGTATGATTTCTCACGAGGAGCTTGCCGCTGCTCTTGACCAGGTCAATGATGCCATCGTTTTCCGCAAGGGCGTCGAGCTGTCGCGTCTCCAATCCCAGATCGTCACTCTCGCCGACAAGTCGATGAATCTTCTGGAGGCCAACGAGAAGACTCTCGAGCAGCGCACTCAAGGCATGGCCAACGCTTTCCAGCGCGATCAGGGCGCCGGCGCCCGTGGCGGCCGTGGCTCTGGACGTGGTGGCCAGGCCCGTGGTGGTCCCAGACTGCCTGGCGGCCAACAAGGTCGCCGGCCCGGTGGACAGCAATTCAGCGGTGGTGCATTGGGCGGAGCGATCAAGGCATAAAAATTGTTTATAATGGCATTCCTTTGTTTTCATGGTTCTAATGCTCCTGGAATTTAACTACGTATGATCCCATGTGCCCTTATTCTTTGGCAAAGTCCTCATCAATTTTTCGCTTTCCCTTCTTCATACATATGGCATTTTCTTATTTTGGAATGAATAATTTGTTAGAATTGGATGAGCGAAAGAAGGGAGATCTAAAGTACGTAAGCTCGAGTACATCTGGGCCATGAGGCTGAATTTAGGTATGTTTGATGTAGGGATACAGATGAGAAAATAGATTTCAATTTATCTTTTATTTGTAATTCTAGCCCTTAGTTCCCATAGATATTCACTAGGTCCGTTAAATTCTTCTCGGGCCTCCGTCAATTGCGGATTACCCGCCTCTGTAATATATATCTTTCTCCCGTAAATAGCCTGAGAGGGGTTATTCTAAATATGTCGCCAAACAACACATTTCCACGGCCTGTTTTCTTTTATTACCGTATTCTTCAATCACTTCTTATGCATCCCAGCAGTAGCTGCATGTGCACGCCTATAGCAGTGGTTCAGTATGGCCCACCGAGGTCAATGTTGGGTATCGTCCACCCGGTCGAGATAATATCCTGACACCGTTGTGAAGGTCTCACGACTAAGGTGGTATTTCAGCGAAAAGAAGCCTCATCCACTATCGTTGAGAAGGTTCTGCGGCGACCAATACTCATTCTCTTCGCCCTGGGAATCAAGCCAAACTAGGCCGTCCGCCAGGAGGTCATCAATAACAGTCTGCGCCCGAGCCTTTTCCCAGTTCAAGTTTAGTTGCAGCATGGATATACTCACGTAGCCAAGGATCTGAATAACTTCGAGCACCGTGGCCTGGTCTGTGTTGAGTTCCTTGGGGACTGATCGTATATATTGTTTGCTGCCAACCCGGATAATCGATAGGCCCGAGCCTAAGGGTTCTAATGCTTTGACCGCGCGTAGGACATCGTCACTAGTTCGCGAACATAGAAATCAGTACACTACTCAAGCTGCATGGACCAAGACCCCATACTCAGTTACTTCTAAACCACTTCCCAAAGCCTTGCCTTTCCCTACTCGTTTACGACATTCTTGGACGCCTATCAGGCCGCCGTTATCACTTCTGGTTTCTCGGCAGAGCTCCACTACACGGACTGCAACCTCGAAGTAGAAGTCGTTCATATCCCCTCCCATAATTTGGGTCCAGAAGCTGGCGCCCTCACCCATTCCTTTCCGACCATTTTTGCCTTTAACATTGCTCGCTGCCAGGGGATCGACACCGATGACATTGCACATGCGCGCAAATTCTGCGCGGAATGTTGGATTCGATTTGATCGTTGAGCTATGTTCTAAGGCGAAGGTGTGGAGTAATGACTGGAACACGGATAGTTGTGTCTGTAGGGAGGAGAGGTGCGTGGAGCGCAAATTGGCGCCATGGTTAGCGTAAGATTGGCTGGCTTGGGAGCGGTTCGCGAAAGCACCTAGACCGACGCCTCGACGAGATGCCATAGCGGTTTATTGTATAGGAGGGGACGTGAGGTTATGGAGATCACCAAGACGAGCGTCATGTCAGTGGTTATCGCAACGTCTTATCGGAGCTTATCAGCTGACATGGCCATGCCCTAAGAGGACCGCCCAGAACGGAAAGGTCGGACTAACAGATCCACTAGCCATGTATAGCTTAGCGCGAGGCCCACCCACACAACCATTTTTCTTCAACACGAAGCAATTTTCTTCTTGATCTTCTTCTTCTCCGACAGCCTTCGCCAACCGCCCAACCCGCGAACTCTACAGACCGTCGCAATGGCCTCTACTGCTGCGTATGATACCCTTTAATGGATACCCTTTCGGCTGCTTCGATTTATGAGCTGTAAGGGTTGAGGTTATAGTCGTCCTTCTCGCTGGAGATGCTGCGATCGGAAACGATCGCTGGGCACCAGCTCGATTTGTCCCGCGACCGTTATCCCACTCCACAAAACTGCCTCCGTAATATGAGGACAGGAAAATAGATTGGTTTGATAACGGTCTGGGGTATTGAGGTTGAAGGCAGATGCTGCTTTCTCCTTGAAAAACTTTGTTGCGAGCTGCGCTTCCATACCCTGGCCTGAAAAGGCCATCACAGGGATGGGACAAACGGCGTCAACACTATTTCCCGAGCATTATGTTTGGGGTCTTGTCGGATGAGAATTCCATGATTGTTGCTGTCACCGCGAAGTTGTGAATTCATTGCTGGAAACGCATGGGTAGTAGCAACCTCTCACAGTTGATAAGCCATTCATGTCTCACTGATTAAATTTATGTCGTCGAGTGCTTTTTTCCTGCCTTCAGTTGAGAATGTGGCGCTATAGCTGCAGTTCTTACACTCGGCGAATATATGCATGTTTTTATTACATGGACAGACTATACTGACCTTAACAGCACCGTCCCCACCCAGGACCAGGTCCTCGTTCCCGAGACCCTCCTGAAGAAGCGCAAGAGCCAGGAGCAGGCTCGCGCTGTCGCCCGTGAGGAGGCTGAGAAGAAGAAGGCCGTGAGTACCCGATTTTTTCATATCTACCCTTGCATCATAAACGGATGATGATAGCACACCATCACGCGACTAGACCACAGGTCAATGCTGTCGCCTCGTTAACCATCTTTCGGGGCTGACGTTATCACTACAACCATCTTGTGTCATGGATAATTTTTGCAGAATTCTCACTAACAGAGAATGTATAGGCCAACAAGGAGAAGCGTGCCGCTATCTTCAAGCGTGCCGAGTCCTACGTCAAGGAGTACCGCGATGCTGAGCGTGAGAAGATCCGCCTTGGCCGCGTCGCCCGCAAGGAGGGTAACTTCTACGTTGCTGAGGAGCCCAAGCTTGTCTTCGTTATCCGTATCAAGGGGTATGTTCTTGATTCTATCTCAAATCATCCAAAAGCGTGTGACTAACTTAGCTCACAGTATCAACAAGATCTCTCCTCAGCCTCGCAAGATCCTTCAGCTCCTCCGTTTGCTCCAGATCAACAACGGCACTTTCGTCAAGCTTACCAAGGCTACCCAGGAGATGCTGACTATCATCAACCCCTACATTGCCTACGGTTACCCCAACCTCAAGAGCATCCGTGAACTCATCTACAAGCGTGGTTACGGAAAGGTCAACAAGCAGCGTGTCGCTCTCTCCGACAACCAGATCATCGAGGAGAACCTCGGCAAGTACGGCATCGTCTGTATGGAGGATCTGATCCATGAGATCTATACTGTTGGCCCCAACTTCAAGCAGGCCAACAACTTCCTCTGGCCCTTCAAGCTCTCCAACCCCACTGGTGGCTTCCACAAGCGCAAGTTCAAGCACTTCATTGAGGGTGGTGACTACGGTAACCGTGAGGAGAACATCAACGCTCTCATCCGCCAGATGAACTAGATTCGTCTGACATGGTGATTGGTGTTCGTCCTGGGTTGCCCGGGACATGGACTCTCGACGGCAATGACGGTCTGAATTTAGTACAAAAATGAAAAGCTTAATGCAGCCTATAGCTTGATACCCTTAATTTGTTTTTATTTCTTCAAGTAATCTTTATGTCTAGTAAACTTAGTCGTAGTACCATCCCTCAACGTGTAAACACCAAACGTCTCTTCACGACCCAGCCAACCATCTAGCATCCCAAAGCTATTTCTGAACGGTTATGCGAAGCATAGCACACTTCAAGGATACCCCGGTGCAGGGCAGGGAAACCAAAGTTAGTAAAAAGCCACCAAGACGGGAAACATCAATGTAGTACATTCAGTTGATTTTATTGCATCCCATCCCATCTCATTAAAGTATTGCATGGCTTTCCACTCGACGTCGCACACCGAGCATACCCAAACTCACAAGTCAACCCCTCAACCCCCATGAGCAAAGATATGAAATCTTGCATCAAAAACAGCAGCAATGCCCACGGCCACCCCCACAGTACCCGACCAGGCCGGGCCACTTTCAACCCTTTCCAAGGCTTTTCCTTTCTTCCTTTCTCATAATATCAGAAACTATCTAGAGCATCAATCAAGGGGCATTGGCGCAACGGTAGCGCGTTCGACTCCAGATCGAAAGGTTGTCCGTTCAAATCGGGCATGCCTCAACTTTTTCTCCTCGTGGAGGATGCGCGTTGGAAGAGACGAAGTAGCCCGAAAACGGATATCTGGCTATCGCTCTGCCTAGGAGCTAGGCCGACCATGTTTTTACACAGTTGTCTCTGATTTTCTCTACTTTTAATTCGTTCTAGTCATGTGTTGTTCTTAGTGGAGACTCGAGTTAGGGTTGCTTGGTCTCCCGAGTGCAGGAATGGCATTGCGTACTTTTTATATATATAGTTGATCGAAGTGGTCGTTATTGGTCGGTGGAATAGTGCATTGATGTTAGTAAGTGAACTAGCACTACTACTACTACTACTACTACTACTACTGTTGTTGTGCGATCCCGAGATATACCACAATGTCCATTCAAACCATCAAAACAGCGATTCAGGTAGGTCTCAAGCAACACAAGTCAGTATGTATATACACCCACCCAGCATCAAGCAGACCCTTGCTCAAAATATTGCCTCCCCAACTCGTCCGTCTCAATAGTCAACTCCTCCACCCCCCCCAAAGCCTGCCACAATATACCAGATAGTCCTCAGAGCCTCCTTATACACCTCACAGATGGCAACCTTCAACGCAAGCGGAATCTCCACCGTTCTCAAAGGTGGAATATACCCCACAGTTTCTTTAGCATTACTCAAAAGCGCCACTGACTCCGGCAGCGCACCGACAGACGCAATCGACCGCGAAAACACATTACTAAACGTCGTAGCCCAAACAGCGAGTCCGATAAGCGCTCCAAACTGTCGAAACGAGACCAATATGCCCGCCGCCAGACTCTGGTCTTCAGCTGTCGGGGCACTCGCCTGCATCGGGATGGGCGGCACCGTGAAGATCGTCCCGATGCCGACCCCCGCGATGACCTGGAGGCTGGCGGTCATGGCGAGGGGGAAGTCGCCATCCCAGAGAGCGAAGAGGCCAACTCCGACGACTAGGAAGACCCAGCCGACCCAGATTTCCCAGCGGTAGTGGCGGAAGTAGTCGACAACCCAGGCAGCGACGCCTGTGAAGGCCATCATGACGCAGTAGAAGGGGAGGAAGGAGATGGCTGATTACAGCGGGGTCTCGAGGTACACGGCTTGGAAGAACAGGAGGAGATATGTTAGGAGGTTGTAGAGGACTAGGCCGTGGATGAAGCTGCCGATGAGTGTTAGTTGGGCGGTTTGGGAGCGGGAGATGCGGTAGGGGAAGACTGGTTCAGCTGGTTGGGCTTCGTAGAGGGCAAAGATGAGGAGTATTAATGCCCCGATTATCAGAGGCACGATTGTCCGCCACGAGGCCTATGCGTACATGGTTCCGGCCCAGCTTAGCGGCAGGGCAAACAGGGCGCTTCCGGTTGGGAATAGTAGCATGCCTATCCAGTTCATGCGGACGATTTTTGTGCGCAGTGACTGGCCGAGCGGTTTGAGGCGCATGAAGAAGATGGCTAGTGTGAGGGCTACTGCGATCACTGGTAGATTGATCCAGCCGATCCATCGCCAATCTACGTATTCACTGAATAGGGCGCCGAGGATACTCCCCGCGGCCATGGGAAGAGATAGTAGACCAATGTACAGTGGGCACTCTTGTAGGGTCGTGATATCCGCGACAATGATCTCACTCAGGACGTCTAGGCCACCACCACCGAGGCCTTGCAGTACCCGGCCTAGGAATATGACGGACATGCTCTGGGAGACGGAGAAGACGATGGACCCGATAGTGAAGAGTGTGAAGGCGGCGTAGAAAGGAAGCCTGCGCCCGACAATGTCGGATACGCTGGTGTATATAGGCTGGATGGCCACGACTGCGAGTATGAAGGAGATGTTCGCCCAGACGGCTGTCAGCGTTGTACCTGAGAGCTTGCTGGTGATAGCCTGGGTAGAACCCTAGCGGAAACTTGGTTGAGGGTCGTTGCCCACCTCATTCTGGGGCTATAAGGGTGAACATACAAGAATAGCAACCGCCAGTATTGTCGCATCTAAAGATACTAGAAAGACCATGAGCAGGAGGGAAAAGGAGCTGAAGAAGAATGACAACGGTTTCCTTTTGCGAGCTTGTTCAGTTTCGGGGAGCACAGGCAGTGACAGGTCGGACGCATCCAGACAATCATTTTTCCCCAGGTCGCAGCAGTCTGTCTGGCATTCCGTTCGAGTATTGGACTCGGGGATTGAGACGCCATCCGTGCACTCGGTTTTCGCTGGTTTGGGACATGGTATTTGACTGAGACTTGCGTCTCCTACATGATAGGATCTCTAGAGAGTACCACGATCTTATATGTCATTTTTCTCTCCCCAACACAAGCCCAAGCGAATATAGATGTAGATGTATTGCTGATGGACTGTATTACAAACGTTCATATCGTGATACTATGGTGATGGTAGAATAGGAATAGTCTGAGGTCACTTCTCCGGCTGCCCTTTTTTGGCATGGCTTAGGGCTAATTGGTTGGTTCCCTGTAATAGAGCGTCCTTGATATAGTCCTAAATACTCTAGCTGTACTACAAGGGTAGGACAAAACCAGGATCAAGATCGGACAGAAGGGCAAGGGTACAGATCCTAAGTGGACTAGGGAGGTAAAGCTAATACTGAGTTAGCAGTGGATATGTTGGGTTCGGGATGCCACATAAACCCAATTGACCTCTTTAACCAACAATTGGACAGTATAGAAGAACTTCTCTGTTGTACAGAATCAGGATCCATGCCCTCAACTGACTTCCTTGGACCCCCACCCTGTTGATTTCTAGGCAAATCCTGAGATAAGATATTGCGTGAGATCTCAGCCAATTGCCCATGGTGAATATAAATGATCATTATATAACGCAGGTCCATAACTAGTTATTGTTCACATCTCCAAGTTTGGGTATAAATATTGATCAACAATCGGAGAAAGTAGCTTTTTCATCACTGTATGCTTCAGCGGCTCCATCAAATATAAACATCACCACCTTGACCTATTAGTAAACCAACTGTATGAGAAATAGGAATACATATACTCACGAAAATGATTCAGTATGCAAATAAACCTCGGCTTCTCCTCTCAGCGCCCGCTTCTGCGCCTCAGCCGCCGCATTCCGCACATCATGTAACATAGACGCAGGGCCACAGGCAAAGATAGCTGTCCTCTGGCTACCTGTTCCTGCAGTAGTCGTAGTAATAATATTAGGTAGATCAGGACGAGGGCCACGGACAACCGTGCTAACGTGTTGATCTTTATCCGCAGCACAGCTCCCTTTCTCTGATAAAGCGGGCTCAATCACGTCGGCCACTTCTTTGGGCTCGTCCTTAGTTCCAGTTGCGGACACTGGTATGCCAGCTAGCTCCAGTGAGGTATCGTGAATGGAAACACATATGCTCTTGGCCGATACACTGTACATCGAGACCTTATCCTCAATCTCCTCCCTGTACCACTCTGCTACTTTGGTATTTCGGGTGGCGAAAACGACACGAATATTGCGTTGCTGGGCGTCTGGCGCATTTTCGCACGCCCTCAGAGCATCCTCAAGGATAGCAAGAGAGAAACCACCACCGGAACCACCCGCGATGACGAGGATAGTATCGAAGCCAGAGGGATTAGCGGTATCGGAGATTCCGCCGTAAGGGCCCTCTAATAGCACGGTCTTGGAGAACACGGGGCTTTTAGCGGCTATCTTTGCCAGACGGGCCGTTATGCCGTGGCGGGGTTTAAGATAGAATACAATCTCAGATGCTTTGCCCATCTTGTCCGGGTCGTGCGAGAGGGAACAAATGGTGAACGGATGTGCGGTTAGGCAGTGCAAGCCCAGTTCCGGGCTCAAGAATCGAAGAAAGATGTGTTGACCTGGCCGCCAGGACATGACTGTTGGGATTCGGATTCGTACAAAGCCGCAGAGGAGAAGGTCGATGGTAGCAGTGTGACGGCCATTGATGAAATGGGTACGGATCCATGCTGCAAAGAGACTACAAAGATATACTGCACCTGCAGCGACAAAATAGTCCCTGGGGCGGTTAGCGGGCCTTGGCTTGTTGGAAGTAGAAGTACGTACCAGGAGGTAAGGCGAAAGTCACAGTGAAAGAAGAAAAAGAGGAGGAAGAGTAGTGCAACAAGGAAGTGTGTTGCCTTGAAGAATTCATAATATCGGTTGCTATGCCTTCTTAGCGATATCCGAGGCTTTAGATATAGGTATTGGCTTACCGAATAGCTGGTAACGACATGAACGTGAGATATGCCTGTGGGATTAAGGTCGCGACTCCTGTCCAGTAGACCATGCTGGTGTTCCATTTGTTGACCATCTGACCTTTCCAGATATTGAAAATTATGAAGGGAAAAGTATGTATCAAAGCGAGAACAAACATGGCATAGCTTGTCCAATGGTGGTAGACCTATCCAGTCAGACATAACACTTGGAATTATTCACTGAAAAACATACCTGAAGCTTTTCATGGGAGACTCCAGTCAATGCTGATATGAGGTTGGCTTTGGCGCCCAAAGCCCTACGTAGGTTAGTAGCAGATGTTGCCCATGGGTTAAGGTACTCACAGCACAAAAGGCAACAACGCTAATGCCATCCATCCAGTCCTAGTTGCGATAGGCGGGCTGTTTCCATAGGAGACCTTTCCATCCCTTGTATTAGGCCAGTAGTAAGGCTTAGGGCCGAGCGTCATGGCTATATTTGAATCAGAAACCTCACCACCGCCAGGCCAACTAGGTGACTAACCGAAGAAGAAGATTGTGCCTATAGCCCCCAAGATAATAACCCCCAGGGAAGGAGAGAAATAGCGCATTGCAGGTAGTTTGTACCCTTTGTATGCGAGGTATCGTCCAACGGCCGTCGCTTTCTGCCATATACCGCTTCTTTTCATTCGTACCGGCGCATTTTTAGAAAGAAAGTGGACAATTGTGAACAATCCGACAGTTGCGCATAGGAAATATATTGTGCTCAGTGAATAAACATGGTCTGCTTCGTACCTGTAATTTGGCCGATCATTAGCACGCATGCGAAGTATTGACATAGGGGTGGGAAAATACCAATATCTCCAGTATCCTGATCGATAGGCACATTGCTCTGCCGTCATTTTGCATTTGTCGGCCCTAGATGAGTGGAACATAACCGGCGAGTCCAACCATGGCAGGCCGCCGCCTGGTTTTCCATCCATGGATATCATCCTGAATCCTGCAACTCACGAAGCTCCTGAAGGGGCAATATTTATTATCCTTGGCATATATAGAACCCTGTATAAATGTATAGAGGGCTCTTCTGCTATAATTTTTATAGATTCAAAGGTGTTCCAAGAAGGCAAGGATGGGCACAAAGAGAAGGAGGATGTTCGGATAAGAATCTTCAAGGTGTGCTGTGTCAAAAACGTGCCAGTTAGTGGATTCCAACGTCCCCAACATTTAGATGGAAATAGGCCCCCTATGCATATATTGATCATACAACTGACGTTGATTAGCATTATCGTCGCAACTGCGGCGGCCGTGTTAGGGTTGCAACATTCCTAGAGTGCTGATTGGACGGCAGAGCCTAAGGCTTGCTCGCAATTGAGCAGATTTCGGGTTTTAGCGTCTCCTGGTGCAGGTGTAGTCTAAAGATCGAGATGCCGATCAGTTAAGCTAGAAATTTTTTCTTTTTTTCATTTAGTAATGAGCACATTTGCGTTGGATTACACGTTTATCTCAAATTAAAAAAGGCCAAATTAGATTTCGTCCCTTCTACTGAGGCCCTTTCCGTAGCAGAAACGATCATGCCAAACGCAGCCAACTTATGCAATCATCATAATCGTCACTTCAACCAGGCAAAAAAAACACGAGATATGAACTGTAATATAGACATAGCGATCCACTCTGATGTGATACCAAGGACCTATCAACCTGTGCCCAATTCCTTCCGCTTGGCGCATTTCTTTAATTCGTCAGCACGGACAACTCGGTTGCCGTAGTTGTTGGATATACACTCTTCTCCACCGAATCAACTCCGCTATTACCCCATAACCCGTGATCTTTCAGAGCTTGGTATCCTCCGCGAAGACTGTCCGCTTCAATGCCTTTAGCTCGCAGGACACTGGTGGCCACTCGGGCCGTGTCTCCATTGTAACAGATCACTAGCACATGGTGGGCATCAAGCTTGGCGACCACACTCGGCTCCTTGAACATTGCCTCTAGTTCCAGCCACTGCGCCTCGAGTACACTGGGCTCCGAGAATGGCTTGGGGGTGTGAGAGTCAAGGCTTTGCAAGGGAATATTGACCGACCCAGGAAGGTGCCATGAGGCAAAATCCGCTGCTGTTCTTAGGTCTAGAACGCAGCACAGAGGTCTGAGTTTGATGTCACTCAAGAGACTTTCTGTCAAAACCTTGGGCGTATCATAAAAATGGGTGAAAAGCACTACTGGGCTTCGCTCCCAGCTTTCGTCGTAACGATGTAGATCAACTTTGGCAAGTCCCTGGAAAAGTATTAGTGTCTTTAACTAGCAAGAGACGTACATAGATTGAAACCCACTGCATTCTGAATGGGGTGGAACTTGTCAGACCCCAACTTTTGGAAGTACTCTCCAATGTATTGATAAGGCAGGTCGCAGCAAAGAAAGACACAATGGATAGAGCCATCAGGTCCCGCAAGCTCAGACAAAGTACCGGCTGTCTTGCGATTTTCCAACATTTGAAAGAGGCCTTGCAGGTTGAACCCAGATGAAGGACCACAAACAATGCCTTCCCGGCATAGATCCAACGATAATGAAAACGAGTCTGATGAATTGACTTCCTCAATGGTATCAACGGCTGCTTTCCAGGGGAACTCCACGGGTTTCATCAAAGCGAATGATCGTGGACCAGGCACCCGATCTCCCGGGGCTGTGCACACACCCAGACGAAGCACCGACGGCTTGGCTTCTTTAAAGTAGGTCCCCAATCCGGTCATTGTCCCGGATGTCCCCATGCCCGCGCAGAGGACATTTATCTCCGGGAGCTGTTTGTAGATCTGGGGTCCGGTCCAGCGAATGTGTGATTTCCAGTTATTGTCATTCTCGTACTGGTTTGGGTTGAGGATGCTATCGGAATCCATTGCCATCCTTCGGGCGCTCTGGATACCTCCGCGCTCGTCATACGGCTCGGGCTGGGATGGGCCGCCGAAAAGGGTGATGTTGAGCCCGAAAAACTGCATCAGCCTTAGCTTGGCCTCGCTGGTCTTATTACTGAGAAATGCACGCGTGTCTTGAACTCCATGCATCACCCTGGCGATCATAGACATCGAGATCACTGTGGACCCCGAGCTGTATTCGATGATAGTACCTGTCTTGCCGGGTATCACGCTCGATTCGAGCATATTCATCGCTACAATATTAGTTGATCCTTCTTAGGCATTCTATATAGGGTGTAATGTGTGCACATACCTGGCATTGCTTTGACATTGTTTGCTGGATGCATAGTCATCATCTTGGCATAAATTCGTACACCATCATGATAATACGGATTCAAATGCACTGGGAGCTCGACAAGAGGTAAGGGAGGCTGGCAATCTGGATCAAAATACTTTTTGAGGGCATCTGGCCCGAAGTATACATTGTGCTCATTGATATTGGTCATCTTCACGGCTGGAATGGATTAAAGGAAGAATGAAAGAAGACTCTAGGATGCAGAGAGAACTACATGGAGGGGCAAGCTGTAAGTTATACCCCCTGCAGAGTCCATTAACTTCTCTCTACGATAAAGTATTATCCCTCAATTTTGGCTTTAACAACCCGTATCGCGCCAGTGGTAGGGACTGTGACCCACTAGCAGCATGGCTTGCGTCTTCGCAAGAAATGGCATGCATCCCTTCTAATCTAGAAACGCCATACCCGACAATGAAAATTAAACCCGCTTAAAATCAAATAGGGATACAGGTTGGCTGATCACCGACCCGAGGATGGATAGTAGGATGCATGCGCATGTATCGTGTAGTAGAATCATATGTGATTCACACATGTTGCGGGACGCCTTTTCCCCCAGGGTGCAAGGTCAAGAAAAGATCTACACGGGCATTGAAGTCAATGGTGCTATTATTTTCTTTATTAGTAGTCATTATTATGTTCATCACTTCCGTTGCTCAAGTCTAATTCCGATCAACAGGCCAGAGCAACTCACAAGGTCCCTGGTAAGAGTGCGACACATACAAAAGGCACGCAGGTCCTCATCATCTGTAGGTTTTCCATCAAGGTCTGGACTTGATGTATTCTTGGCGACTGGACCGTGTGAGTACCTTGATGAGCGTTTTTGAGCAAGTTGCGGAATAATCGCGCTGATCATTTCCCTAGCCCTAATCGACTAACAGGAGTTTTGGCTTTCTACCTTTCTTCATCCACGTCAACGGATAGGAATGGTGGTTTATCATTTCTACTACCATAGACTATTTCCTTTTTCCGAAGATGGATCTTGGTTGTCTCCAGTTTGGGATCCGCTCGCTTAGAATTGCCCGTACTATGACTCCGATATAGGCCTGCAGTATCCCTAGTCCTTTAAAGGTTATGTGCGGACTCTCGTTACTATACCTCATTATTCCCGCTTGGAAGTTTCCGACACACATTTGGGCACTACCTCAGGGACAATGGAGAATTCCGAGAAATCCCCAGGCTCGTCAGACTCGTCGGGGACAGCTGTGGTAGAGACAGATGGGGAAACAAAGGCACCTGTCTTCAATGAACAAACAAATTATGTGCCCAAGAGCACGATTATTACAGTAGGTAAAACCAAACATCACTTTAAAAATCTATCGCCAGTTGACCATGCTGTCAGATATTCTTAGCATGTTCGACCGTAGACCTCATAGCCTTGATGGATCAGACGACCTTGGCTGCCAGTTTGTCAATTATAGGAAATGCCTTGCACGCCAGTGATCAATCTTCATGGATATCGGGGGGATACTTTGTGTAAGTGATCAAAATGATTGTAAAATAAACATTTCTACGTGATACTGATGATATATAGCACCTCGACTTGTTTCCAGCTTCTATACGGCCGCCTCTCCGACATCTGGTCTCGCAAACTCGTCCTTTTTGTAGGACTCGGCATATTCTTTATAGGGTCCCTGGCAGCATCACTCGCTCAAACAGCCACGCAGCTTATAGTCTTCCGAGCATTCACAGGCGTAGGCGGTGGCGGATTGATGACCGTGGCTCAAATGATCGTCAGCGACGTAGTGCCACTCCGTGAAAGAGGCAAATACCAGGGTATCCTGGGGGCCGTAGTGGCAATTGCGAACGGAATCGGACCCGTCATCGGTGGAGCCCTGTCTTCCATAAACGAAGATTCATGGAGATGGATTTTCCGACTCAATCTCCCCCTCACGGCGATAACAACCCTCTGTGTGCTGTTCTTCATGCCCCTACGAAAAGTGACGGGAGACTGGAAAATGAAGCTCAAGGCAATTGACTTCTTCGGCGCGTTCCTCGCACTAGGCAGTACAGCTGTTCTCCTGCTAGGCCTTACATGGGGTGGAGGCGAATACGCCTGGAATTCAGCCCATGTCATAGCCACGATTGTCGTAGGGTGTGCTGTGGCTGTTGGGTTCGTGATCTGGCAGTGGAAAGGAGCGGCGTATCCGCTCGTGCCGATGCATATATTCAGGTCTCGGATTGTGGACGGCGCGTGTCTTACTATGTTTATTAATGGATGGAACTTCCTTGTCCAGGTTTATTATATTCCGACATTTTACCAGCTGGTTTTTGGGTACTCGACCGTGAAGGCTGGTGCGATGCTTTTGCCGGTTACTCTCATGCAGAGTATGTCTCTTCTCCAGTGCTATCACTTATATTGCTTTCGCTGATGATGGTATTAGCCCTCAGTAGTACGGTTTCAGGTCTCGTTGTCCATTGGGTCGGTCGATACAGGGAATGTATCCTCTTCGGCTGGGGGATCTGGGCCGTTGGACTAGGTCTGTTCTCAACTCTGGACCAGTCGTCCGGTCTAGGGAAGCAAATTGGATATGGAGTACTAACTGGTATCGGCGTGGGAAATACATTGCAACCGTAAGCTCCCGAAGAATAACAATATGCATAGAAATATCCCGAAACTAACACACTTCCACTTCAGCTCCCTAATAGCCATCCAAGCAGGCGTTGAACGGCGAGACATGGCCGTTGTTACCTCATTTCGAAAGTACGCTAATCACCATTTCATATTAACCAAAGCAGTCAAATACAGATGAGACTAACAAACCCAGCTTCGTAAGGAACCTTGGAGGCACACTCGGCCTCGCCATCGCCGGAACGATTATGTACGTTAACTTAGCCCAACTGAACTATTCACATCCAACTAATCCTTGCTTCACAAACAGTAACAATTTAATTGCAAGCTCAATCTCTTCCTTGAACCTCACAGATTCTGAAACACGGTCCTTCCTGTCTAGTCCTCAGAACTACCTCTCCAAACTTCCTCAACAGGAAGCGGAACGTGCTCGGTCCCTGCTGATCCCGGCGTATAAAAAGGGATTTCGGATTATATTCATTATTTGTGCTGCGTTGGCTGCTTTTGCGTTTGTTTTGGCGTTTTGGCTCATGCCCCAGGTCACATTGAAGCGGGCAGATGACGAGAAGTTGAAGGAGGAGGGAAGAAAAAGAGTTAAGGAAGAAAGGAATGGCGATGAGGAGGCAAATGGAGGGGAGAGAAGGCGATGGACTGGAAAGTTGGTGTGATAGCCTTAGAACGTAGGTGCTAGAAATAATACTAGGGGGCTCTAATATAAGAATTAGAAAGGCAAGAATCACCTGCATTTCACTGTCAGCTATGTTCGCTCTAGAGCTATAATTGTAGCTATAGAGGCTAGGTAACAGCGTCAACGAAATCCACTTTCAGATATGGAAGCCTCGGTCAGATTTCTTCCTAATACTCGAAGCCCTGGCCAACGAGTTTCTCACTCAGCTTCCACAATTTCTCTGCATCAGCCTTGCTCGTGGCCCATGAGGACACTTCTTCCTGGTCCGGGTCCGCAACATGGCAATCACTCAAAAAGGCACTATTGTGCTCCGCAATGCTGGCATCAAAGGCAGCAAAGACGTGCGTCGCAGCGCCCTGGTCCAAGGCTTTTATGAAAAGTTCGTCCATGCCCCACAACCACTTATTCCCGTACACGTTGTCCATTTGCGTAAGATCCGCAGCAGATGAGGCCTGGCCATCAATCCCGTGTGCCGCGAGGTTCGTATAGCATACACCAGGGCACATCGGAAAGGCAAGTAGGCCCCGGCAGCTGGGTTTCTCGGTGAAGGCGAGGCTCATGAGGGTATTGGTAATCCAAGACTGCCCATATACCAGCCACCTCTGGTAGTGCTTGTCGTTGTTGAAACTATGATCCGACCAGCGGATATGCCCTATGCGGTGAACGCCGTTGGAAACCATAATGACTCGCGGGGTCTTGGAGGCTAGAACCTTACTCATGATGGGGTTAGTGAAGAGGAAGTGGCTGAGCTGATTCGTCTGGAATCGGCTTTCGAAGCCGTCGTCCGTCTGCTTGTGGCATGGCCATTATGCCGGCGTTGTTTACCAGGACGTCAATGTGGGGGACGTCGCTTACAGAGTAGACCTGGGGAGCAGCAGTCGAAAAGCGAGTGGTTCCAGGCTCTGCTTTGGTTTGCCATTTTGGAGCATTTCAGTGTTGAGTTTGCAATTGGCAGCACTGCATACTAAGCAGAAAAGAGATTTGAAGGAAGAGAGCCGGCACAGTGTCTTATATAGTCAGCTTCATCTTGGTACTTCTGTATAACTCTGTAGTGGGCCAGGCGGTATATAGTTGAGTTCTACCTTTACTAGGGGTCATAGAAACAAAAGAAAGGGGTTTGAACGTGTCTATCTACTGGATAGCCAGTGGGGCTTACCGGGGCATCTTCGGTAACACACTCAGTTCCTGACAAGAGTGCTATTGGGGTTTTCCAAAGCCACACAGCTGGTACCCTAATAATGCTCCTGCAGAAATCTGTTGACCAACATGGAAGTTCGCATCTGGGTTCCTCCAATGTCGTCTAGGGCTATGGGTCAGCCAGTGGGTCCTCTTCAAGGAAAGCTGGCGCTAGTGTGGCACCCTATATCTACAGCCTTAAGCTTAACATGTAACTAGAATAACGCTTAGTAACACTAGATATATCAAGGAATGTCATGTCTATCAAACGGTACCAATTTTTCAGTGCTTTCAACAAGTGTTTAGCAAGTACGGAGTCGGCATTGTAACATTACTTAAATCAATCCCAATATTTCGTAGAATGATAGGCTATAAGTGATACTATAGACTTATTTGATCTCAGTTTCCGAAATGTACTCTACAATAGCATTTCTCGACACTACCGTCTAAGGCATGCTAAGCCATATTAGCATTATTCGAGTTTATCCACTTCTCGTACTGGAAGACGCGCGCTGCCGCACAATGATGCCCTGAGACAATGAGAATAAAAAGAAACATCGAGATTTCCACCACGGTTTTGTTGATAATATTTACCGGTATACAGGAAGCAAGGGATCATTCGACCCAATCATACATGGTACCAAGACGAGAACTGCGGCTGAATATAACAACCAGCTCAGCAATATGTAGGAAGCACCGTTTGAGTGGTTACTGCGGGAAGTTGTAAATCTAATACGTGCATACATATTGGATTTTCTATTGTCTCTGCCCTATTATCACTAGTGAGCGCTCAGGGCTGTACTCAGTCCTCTAATACTTGAGGGTGCGCATCTTTTTCCATTCGATTGTTGCGTCACTGATCCTGCCGCTCGTGTCCTCATTTGATAAGTGCACTAGACAAGCCTGTAACACTTGCTTAATATATCATATAAAAAACAGCAGTAGCTGTAGTAAAGGGGCTTCAGTCTTGGTCTTTTTCAGGTCAAGAGACATAGTCCAAAAACCAAGGATATAGCAAGAGAATCCATCCGTATGAGAAATGGAGGAGTAAGAACTAACCGCAGCTGCAAGACTGTCAGCCTGTTTACGGCAAGCTGAGTGAAGGCGGCTCACCTGTAACTTGGAGTAATGCAGCTTGCTACTGATCAATTGCCCAAGCTGATCACGCTTTATAATATCGAGGCCGTCTGTGTGGCTGTATATTACATGTAGAATCTGAGGGCCTGGGGAATTGATGCCGAAAATTACCACTTTTGAGGCCAGAAACGGCCGCCTTTCCACCCGAGCGGCAGACTTGCTAGGTAAGATAAAGGTGGATTGTCCTAAAACTGTGAAGCTATCGGCTAGCTAGGAGGGAAATTCATGACTTGCCGGGCCGCAGCCCTCATATTTGACAACAGAGCCAATTTTTCAATAGGAATAAAATGAAGAAGAGCGAGAAAAGGTAGACTAGGTGCTCTAATGTCCGATCTTCTTGAATGCCTCCAAGAAAGCACGTTGATTCTTCTTCACACCCTCATCATGAGCGACTCGATTCCCCTGCCATGCCTTATAGATAAATCGGTACCATGCCTTTTTCTTGCTGGCCATAGCCTTCACCTGCCACTCAATTGCTTCCCAGGACTGAGAGGTTTCCACCAGGGCGAGTGTAAGGTATTGCAGAGGCTTGACATAAGGTCGCCTGATCCCAATAGGAGTTGTATTGATGTCGTAGCTGAGAAGTGATGACCATGTTTTCATGATTAGCTGTTTGTTGGGCATTTTAGCAAGTGCCTGACTTGGGTCAGTATCGAAGACCGATGGGAACTTGAGCCCTATTTGTTCTTTTAAGTAATCTGCCTCATACATAGCTCCGAGTCTGTACGCGGTGATTTCTGTTAATTCCTGCACCTTTTCTTTAGTGTAGCTGGCTCCCTTGAGAACCTGTTTCAGACAATTGTGTAAGCCGATGTTCGGACCGGCATTGTCGGCACCGGGCTGAGAGGCAAAGTATTCATGGGCGAGATATTGTAGCCGTTTGAGTCGCCGTCCGCCTGTTCTAGCCAACTGGCTACTTGGTGGGCATGTGGATGGGGGAACCTGGCGTAGGGACTGCCATTTTTCCTTGTATGACACAAGCGGCAAACCGAGGCGGGCTTGATAGCTTAACTCCCATTCGTCGTTTTCCGCAGAGAAATAAATCTGCTGGGTATCACCAAGCATCCCCATCCCCTTCACACAGTCATATACAGACTTCGCAAGCTGTATATATGTCAGGTGTTCCATCTTCTGTTTGATTTCATTCTCAGCGTCTACTAGACAGCGCAGCACTGCAGAGGCGGCTAAGCTGCCGCTGGCCCGTCCAACACTTCCACTGAGAGGCCATGATGAAGACATATCGTCCGGCCCTGCTGCTGCGATTGCTGTTGCGTTGAGCTGCTGCTGTCCTATATCGGGAAGCACTAGCCAACCACCGGAGTAACATGAGGTGGTGAAGAGGGTAACTTGGGACCTGTTTTGCAGCACTCGGCACAAGTCGCCTATACGAAGGATCGACCCTCCAACCTCAACGCCATATTCCGAGGTTCCATGACCGAATATTAACAGCACAAGCTGTTCTCCAAGGAGGGCTGCCTCAGCAGCTTGTTCTTGAAGAGTGTTTAGGTATTGCTCAAGAAGGATGTCTCTAGGCACAACCCGTAAATTTCCAGCCTCCAATATACCTGGGAGCCTCTGGCTGTCAAGCACCGCCCGATGGTCACCTTCTGAATCGCCATGGAGGTATTCATGGTACTTGGCGACTAGGGTTCCGGGGTCTTCACAAGTTAACCAGATTTGGTTAGGTGCTAGTGATAATTGTACGTTTAGCAGAGAGCAAATAGTAGCAGGATCGGGACACACGCACGTCGAGGGAATGCCGGGGATAAGAGATAATGGAACAAGTAGAAATCTGATATAAACCACCCATCTTCACTTGGACTGGCAATATCTCCTATGTCCGTTGTGCCAAGCAGGGCTAGGACGCGATGGCGCGGTGGGAGGTCTGGGGGACAATGCGTAAGAAACTCGCGACCAACAAGCTCCTGCTTAGTCCCGTGGCGGCCTATAACATGGAAATCGGAAAGTTCAGCCAGACAGATAGTGGAGGCCATTGCGAAGTACACAGCTTAGGGTTCCGGTTGGATGAACTAGGAGTGGTGGGGCCGTAATGTGAAGAGACTAAGTTGTGGGTCAGATGATGTTGCGATGATTCGATGATAAATGACAAAACGTAATTAGTAAGTGAGATACGTATGTATGTAAGCGAGTTAGACAATATATTATAACCACTATGGGACACTCTCGGGGCACCATAATTAGAAACTAAGATAAAGTACGGAGTAGTACCTGCATGTCTTAGTATCCAAAATCCCCAGCCTCTTCCAAGGCACCACCTAGCAAGTAGATACTAATATAGTAGTACTACGTATAGTATATTTTGCTAGTTCAACCTTGCCTCAGTAACAGGCGCATTAGGGGGCTAAACCAAAATTGGCAGAGCTAACCCGATACAGTAATTACTAGGTCCGCTGTTTACATCTTCAATGTTCTCTAGTGTATCTACATATCGATCCTATCAAAGGGAATATTGAGAGGGAAGTTTGGCTATAATTTCAGTGAAAGGGTATTCGAGTGCCGTGACATGGAGCTGTCCGCCAACAATAGTCCAAATAGCTAAGGTGACAAGGGGCGTTCAGTTAGATGAGTCAAGTTTTTCGAAGAAGCAACGGTTTATATCATAACTCCAAGAATGTACGACGGAATGCAGACAGGGTATTTCAGTAACACCACGCGTGGTAGTATGTCAAAGTGCGTCATGCTAATATGGGTGCACCAATTTTTGAATACGGCAGATGTAGAAGGCACTCTGGGATCATGAAGATATACTGTGCCTAAGTCAACATCCTCACTGCACCGAGGTACGAATACAATATCAAGTCCCGGATTACTATAGACGAATGATTGCTGTCTACATAATGTCTTTAGGGAGTACCGTGTTCCTTCAATTTTCTTTAAACATGCGCAGAACCTATGCTATCCGTGCGAGCTATACTCACCTTTCTAACCGACGAGAGTAGGATTCCCGTTGTTACTGAGAACAGAGCCCTCCCCAACGCTACTCTTCATTTAGCCTGTACACAGATTCATATATCTTCTGGCAATGGAACTTGTCAAACTGTTTGTTTATCATCGTGCTGCTGATATCAAGTGAGTGTGGCGCTGATATACATACAATAGGCTGTAGAAACTCCGGAACCGCATCGCTCGTTCTGATAAAGCTGGACGTTAAGAGGGAGAGTCGGGGGTGATAGGTGACTGTTATTGAAATGATGTAGTCGCCGAGGATTATTGATATTGTTGGGAAGATATTCTATCGAAATTGAACACTTCACATGAAGCCTTAAACCTTCCCCGTCCTTATGTGAGAGCCAACCACGCAGCATGGAGAGGTAGGGTTGGTAAACATGATCGTAGTCATGCCCGTAAGATAACTATTTTGGAGATACATAGCGATCTGAGTCTTTTCGGTCAGCCCAGGATCGCCAAACATAAGGCTACTGTGCTTCGTCGCACAGATCGTGTTCCGAGTGTTTCCTTCTTGGAAACACAATTCGCATAACTAAGGTTGAACAGAAGGTGAGCAAAGGAATACTAGAGAACAAAAGGAAAACCATACAACAGCCGGCGTGTGGCTGCCGCCTTGGGAACGAGAGAGTGAGGCCGTTTTTGAGTCTCGTTGAGTGCACAATAAATGGACTTTAGGCAGCACTCGTCAGATATCTTAACAAACTTGATGTATAAAATTAGATATTGCACTGGGGTAAATAATTAAAGAATCGCGTGGCCACAGGACATCCTATTTTCCATCCATCCCCCAGAACGCGTAGCCCATATGTACACATTAATCCGAAACCATAAATGGTACCTCTCTAGCACAGAGATATTTGATACACCGTAGGGGCATCTCCCGCAGTATCCTCATGCTAAAGGTACCTTCGCTTACCTTCACTCTGCGAGAGCAGCCCGTAGGTCTCGAGCCTCCTTGAGAAGACTATAGCCGCTTTCTAGAATCATTTCGCACCCCTTGATGAGCTTATTGATGACGGCTTGCGCCGAAGGGCTCTGTGCATCTGCTCTGACCAACTTTTTGAACTTAGATATCTGCTGCTCCAACTGCTTGAAGCTCTGAAATGATTCCGCTTCCAGAGGAGTCGATTGACTACCGGGCGGTGAAAGGAGGTTCTGCAGATTACCAGGCTGCCCCCTTACAGCGTCGGGATTCGCTGAAAGCGATCCCGTTTCTGCGCTGGGTTTCCCGGCGATGATCGAGTTATAGATCCGTCGAGAATATCTTCGTCGAGCGTAGATTGATTTCAGCTCTTCTCGCCTTTTAATAAAGTTGTACACCCAACTTCCACCAACAGTCTGGATTGGCGTTGTCCCGTGGTTGGCGAGAAGGGTGTTGGCCATTTCTTTGATGTGCGACCGCGAGGGGGGAGTTGCATGTTGTTCAACTGATGATCGTATCCATTGTACTAGCAAATCCTCATCCTCTGAGAGTAATTTATGGCAATTCGCGCGCTTTTGGGAGCGGCAAGTAACCCCGTTCAGCCTGTTGCGTAGGGTTGTTGAAGGCACCGCATATTTACGAGCTGCCTCACGTATGGAAGAGAGCTCCCCATTTTTGATAGCCGAAACTGCTAATAGCATTTTTCTTTCCCTCTCTCCTGAGTCCATTGAATTTTGGCCTCGTGTGGGCGGCATGGCTGCTGCGTGCGCTGCTTGCAGCTTCGAGGAAGGTGGTTAATCGTAGATGTGATGTGCCGCATGTAAAGGTGGGCGGCTTCCAATTATGTACAAAGGTGTCACATGACAGCTAATTTTCGAACCGCAGCGGGTATCCATGTAGATACTTACCCAGATGAGAAACAAGTAAATGAGTCTTCGAAGCCTTTCATGTGTACAGTTCCTTTACTGTAGGCCGATCTTCCTTTTCTATTCGTACCTTTGACCTCCGCCTGCTTGCAAACGAGTACAAGAATGTTTATGTTAGGATGTAAGGGGGAACCTCCCTAGCAGGGGCATGACTTTTTCACTATTCCTGGTACAGTGCACTATCTGATCATTACGAATTATTTGATCAGGCAGGTGCTAAACTATAAACATTTTGCAAAAGCATTGGTCTGATCGATTGGACTGCTGTAGTGCTTGTACACTTTCTATTAGTTCCCGGGTGAAAGAATGCACCACCACAAAAATTATTTACTACGTACGACAAACTATCACATATATATAGCAAAATCAATCACATTTCCCTAATGTATACGCGATTTTAGGCACGCTGAATAGAGATGGTAGAAGCCTATGCATCAGTGCTAGTACAGAGACCCAGTCTAATTTGCAAAGCAAATGGCTACTCATTCAAAGGAAGTTTCGGTGTGCGAATAACAAGCTAGAGTATATCATTGTGAAATACCAATAACAGAAACCGATACCAGACATATGTTCAAATTACGGTGACAGGCATTATCTTCTTTGCATTTATGCAGATTGTAGCATTGTCCCAAGGAGAAGAAAGAAATTTGGTGAGATTCAGCAATTAGGGCTCGGATTCCAGGTCATGGTTTACATACCGCACGTCGAGCAAGAAGTGAAGAAGTATTAGACTTCGGGCGCGCTTCAGGTAAGCAAGATAACTAGAGAATGAAGGCAAAACGAAAATGATAAGGGCGAAACGTGTGCATAAAAATTGGAAACAAGCGAAAAACATACAACAGCCGGGATTCCGCTGGTGGTCATCCACCCAACAACTGAACGGCCGGCGTGTGGCACGATTTCCCGTTCATTAGTGCAATATAAATTGGCTACAATCGTTGCCTGTCAGTCTCGACAGAGCGCATCAGTCCACTGGACAAGCATTCCAGGATCCTTCGTTCTCTAGATCGTCGTAAACACCGTTATATACTCCTTTCCCTTTGACGCTCCCCGGACTGAGTGCCTTCCGACTTCTCTACGCCCTGTATATCTTCTCTACCAGGTCGTTCAGTGTTTGTTTACACGGTCGTTATTTTCGGGCCCCAAAATTCTTCATGGGTGGGAGGCCAAATTGGTCGACTAGCTTTCTACTCAACTACCCAACATAATAACTAGTACAGCAGAGGTCTTGGATGAAGCCCCTTGCGGAAAAGAAGAAGGTTGAACCCAACATACATATGTCTTCCACTCTATCCTATGTTTATACGCTATGCTGAGAGACTGACCATTGAGGCGATTGAAGCCGATAGCCTGCGATGTGCACCCATGTACTAAAGCGCGGCCAGGATCACCCCCCTCCATATTGAGGTGCAAAACCGCTCACCATCCTAAGCTTTCCGTCGGCGTCGGCGTGGACATACCCATAAAACCTAGCGGCACCGCCTCTTTTGTCTCCGGTATTCCCCCTCCGTCTCCATCGCCAGTAGGCGTCGGGGTGGACACACTCACCGTCCCATCCAATATCGGCACCAAAGTAACAGCGGGAATATACCAACTATGATCACAGTCCTCCCACTTGGGATCAATCTGCGTCACCTCGTCGGGCATATCAATAAAAGGCAAATAATCATTCCGAATCATTGTACAAGCAGGATCATACACGCGACACTGTGACCCACCAAAATACTGCGGCCAGGGGATCAAGGGTTGCGTATAGTTTCCTACTGTCTGGGGAAGAAATTCTGCAAAGTTAAATGGATATACTGTTCCACGGATAGGGTAACGCGCGTTTCTGTGTCCCCTTCGCGAGGTGATGGCTGTGGGGTGCACCGAAACCATTTTATTCTGGTGGTATTCACCGCATTGGCCGCCGTGGCGGCCGTTGCTCCAGGCGTAAATAAATGTGAAGAAAATATAAGCCCTGGGTGAGACAAGAGTTTGACTACCTAACATTGCTGTATTTGGACCGTCACCCGTAGGTGTAGCTGGGATTGTGGTCCCGTTTTGAGCGCATACATCACCACTGGCAGTTGTAACAGGCCAGTAGAACATTGTTGCTGTATCGGGGAGAAAATGGCAACTTCCACACCCATCGGGCTGGGGGGGGGGGGGGGGGGGGGGGGGGGGGGGGGGGGGGGGGGGGGGGGGGAGAGAGGGGGGGTCTGTCACGCGTAGTCCTGGCTAGGTACTCGAGTATCTTATACCGTGTGTCCACAGCCCAGTGCTCACGCTGGCCGAGTTCTATCAAATCCGTCTTTCTAAGCAGAGCGGATGCCCTCTGATCAATTCAGCCCAAAAATTCGGCACTCGGCTTAATTGTTGTCTCCATTGGCCCGGGTTTCACCTGCGGGAACATGTAGGGTGATTCGAGGAACAGGGATGCGATAGGCTGGAAGGGTGGGCCCGAATGCATGAAACCCTAGGGCGGGGAATCGTACTCAATGGGATATGGTTTGCTGATTTGCAGGGATAGTTAGGAGTCGAGAAGCACCTTGCTAAGCGATTTTTGCTAAAGGTGTCCAGAAGCGTCGATTACGTTTAGTTTATTTATCATTTTCTGTCTTGTGCCTGAACTTAACTGGGACAAAGGAAGTCGGTTACTGCAGCTACTGTGATTATTCACAATCTACAGTTTATGCATGAATAAGAATCAGTTTAAGATAAGATAAGCCGCACTCTACTTGTGAACAAGTGCTGGTCATTAATGCGAATTAAAACATTTCAATCAATCAAATGTGGGGACAAGGTTACAGGGTCTAGACCATGCTCCCGTGCGCATCTTTCAAGGCTATGCAGGGGTAGGGGTCTAGTTTCTGTAGCTTTGGCATGATAGAGAACCTCCGTAAGGCTTGGCTAGTGTTGTCCGTGGAGTTGCGAGGCATATTGTTCTTACTACGGGCTAAGTTTACCCTCTTTCCCTTCAAGAACGTATTGTACCGAAGCAACCTCATAATTCTCTCCCCCCGCCCCCCCCCTCCTCCCCTGTCATTTTCCCGGACAGTTGGCGGGTTCTAGGTTGAATAGGGTTAAGGGAGGTGCACGCACTACCCCGAGCTTACTTAGAGATGGCATGGGTTGACAACTAGTTGGCGATAGCCCAGATTCACCAGCAAACCCCTCTAGGCTTCAATAGCGTGTGGACCTTTCAATCTATGGCCGCTTACTTCGGAGCGAACTGCCAAGACAAACATGGCTCTGCAGGAGAGACTGATTTCAGTCTAGCGTCTCGTCACCCATTCCACGAATCGGAATTCCTACGGGCCGCACCGAGTGAACCTTATAGACATAATGCTTGTTCTAAGATACTTTACTCGGCTGTCTGATATATGTATACTACGGTTACATGCTAGTGCCTAGACGCCTGTGGGAAGCCTACATGAGGAGTTACCGGTGACTGCCTAATAATGAAAAGATATGACTCTGACGCCCAGAAGCCAAGAACACCTACCCCGTTGGATATAATGACTTCCATTCTAGATTTGCCGGTTTCCTTACGGAAACTTAAAGATACCACAGTTTTTGCACACATCAGCTGTGCATGCTTTCAGCCACAGAGTTCATTTCGGCGATATCCGCGTCCTTGCGCACGCTCTTCCCCATTTACTGTATTTACTCCTATTAAGTTCATACGTAACCATCACGTACGCCAACTGGGTTTGTCGATGTCCCCGAGCGGGTATGAGATTAGGTTGGGAAGCAGTGCTTCCTACAGGAATACATCATATGAGGTTACCACAGCCATATGGCAATCAATCTAGCTAGCTCAGCGCTTCCGCCCCCCAATTAGCCCACCAACATTCTACGTGCACTATTACTCCCAACACTGGGGTGGCGTTTATAACTAGGACGGCGGCATTGCACGGGGGTGGGTAGCGAAGTAGTCCGCATATATATAGCTGTCAATGCTGGCTGGTGCTTGAACTTGCTGCAAAGTCGCAAGGCTCCTATTTCACTTCTATAGCCTTCTTTTATTGTCTGGGTTAAAGGTCCGTCTGTATACCCCTTCCTCATACTTATATTTTCCAGGCACTATCCCTGGTAACCAGGACTATCCAAGTCTACAAACATATCCTGTCTAGCCTTACTGGATCATTATTCAAAAAATAGATCATGCTATCCGCCGAAGGCAATTGTAACTGTGGCTTGATTTCTGTGAATCTCAAGAATCGACCTGTCGAACCTGGCTGAAAGTGGAATCAGACTTGAAAGACCTTCCGGGGTGAAGTATTCCGTCTTCCGACTCATGATTGGAGTAGACCATTTCCTCTCCAGCAGATTTTGCAGCTGCTTTCGGAATGCGACAAGCTCGGCCATGTTACTGGTACTACGAGACGCACGTCGATCTAGAATGCGATGTAGGCTCTGGCTTCCACCAAACCGACAGCTGGGAGAGCTGGCAGCTTCTGAATTTCTACCAGCACTTGTTCAAGCTTCCAGGTTTCGATTCTGGAGCAATGGCGGCAGCAAAGAAGAGCCACGAAAGCGGGGCTCTTGAGCGGCACATTGACACTTCGGTTCCAGATATGAGACGGATTGCTCGAACTTGTCGTATGAAGAACCGTGGAGGTTTTCGTTCTGGAATGAATATTGAAGTTTGAAAAGTTCATCTAGTGTGACAACAAATCAGGTAAGCCCAAAAAGTAATCGTCCTGCGAGCGTCAAGCTAACGTACCCTAAAAAATAATATGTTGTCAATAGCACTACTGCAACTAGTGCAACCGATGCAGACGATGATGAGACAGCATAAAGACGCTACTGAGAATGCACATGGCACAATGCGGTTGCACGGGCGACCGAATTTACCCATGTCTGACTATGTGATGAAGATTGTTGATCATCGACACCCTAGCTATACTGTAGATCAACGCTGTTCACAATGTATGGGAAACTCCAGTTCAAGACCGATACAGTGAAATGCGAGAAAGAGCTCCAGAAAACGGGAGGGAAAGTGAGCAAATAAAGGCTCTATGGTTAATATATGATAGCGAGTACCTACCAGAAATTACCTATTGCATGATAAGCCTATCTTGAAATTGCTCTACCTTGACATAACCCGCAGGGAAACCAGACCCGGATCTCTTATTATGATGAGCTCCATAACAGAACCCGCCGAGCACGACACTCCGCTAGCAAACTTTTCTACTAGATCAGGCCGGAGACCTAGTTTCAAGTCTTTCCGGTGTTGGCTCTTCTTGCCGTAAAGTGGTGAGAAAATGGCTAGATTATGTAGTTAGGGAGGTCGGACACGAATCAATCATGAAACCGCTTTCGAGAAGGTAAGCCCGAAGAGCCTGATTAATTAAGCTACTAGCGTATTGCACACTTAATATATACTAGGAATGTCTTTTCTATTTGCAGATCGGTATCCTTCATGAGTAGCCAACTGCTAGTGATGATCCTATGGATTTAAATACATCGAACTCAAAATCACTCTATGCCAGTCAGGAACGTCCCGAATTCAGTTTCCGTTGAAATTGAAAAACGCCCACTCGGGTCTCCTTAACTAAACTCAATATGAAGCGTACTTTGGAGCCATTAATGACAGTTCTGCATGGCAAATGTACAGTGCAATTGAGCGGGCATGTTGACTGAGCGGCGCTCAGTTGTTCTGCCACCACGAACTCCTTCAGTTTGATCCACGGTCCTGTAATCTTGGAGCAGAAAGAAAGCGGACGAAACAGCAAAAATAAGAAGTTCTCGGTTATATTCCGAAAGAAATATCCCGCTATAGCTGTTCAGAGATGGTGTAACTTGCCGGATTCATTTCTTGTTTGGTCAGTACTCCAAATTTTTACAAGGTTCAACTTCTATGTCTAAAGGGGGCCACCATGGCCGGTCGGAATTTCTGAGAGAGAATATTGGGCGCGAATTCATGCGTGAAGAAGGGAGTATTCAAAGAGCTGGCTGTTAAGTACTCCGTAGTTATGTAGAGATATATATCTAAGCATCCCCACAGCAGTTTCTTCTCATAAGCCAAAGCCGTAAATAAGTTAAGAGCTTCTGATCACTACTAAACCTTTACTAATAAATACTTAATACACCTCTAACAACAGTATGCTATCCTCAAAGAGCCCTTTGGTAAGAGAGAGTTGTATTGTAGTCAGTAGATGACCCAGGTATATTAATCCAATTAAGAAGAGAGTCTCCTCGAAAGCCACAAGCCAAAGGAACGTCATGTCTCGTCACATCATCAGAACAAACCAAGCAGCAATGCAACGAGTCCTGTTTCACCCTGTTGCCCGAACGCCAATATTAAAACATGATCTAAGAAAAGTAAAGGGCGGAAAGAAGAAAGAGAAAATCCCCAAAAGGGCACGAAAAGATTTAGATCTCTTCTATAACAACCACCCGTTCCACGATCCAATCCACGAAGGCCTGGCCTTCCATCTTCCATCGGCCCTCATGCCATACTTCACCCAGCCAGTAGGTCAAGGGCCTGTCTTGACCCGGTAGAGACATTCCATAGGCGGACTTGTTCTGTTTGGAGAACGATTTGTTGACTTGGACGGATCCGACGCCGATGCCGGCCATGCCTTGCCGCATACGCCATTCACGTTCGGCTTTCTCGCCCGCACGACGTGCCACTGCTTCTTCGTCTTCATCTTGGTATAACTCGCATTTATTGCATTCGGAGCATCGGGACCCCGGGTTGATGCGGAAATGCTCGCAGAAATGCTTGTATCCCTCCGGCTCTTCGAATTCTTCATCATCGAGGTTAACCTCGTCATCCATCTCGCCCGCAGGATTAATGTTTTCCTGCCGACGCTGTCTAGGACGGAGCAATTGCGGGGCTTTCGATGGAGGGCTAAGGCCCTTGCGACAGAGATAACACATGGAGTACCCGCAGACGCAGGTTAGCTTATTGCAGCCGGAGGATTTGACGAAAGACAGGCCGCAACGGGGACAAGTGCGCTTCACCGCAGCGGTGCGAGCAGCCTCGACCGTAGCCCGAAGATCAAGTAAGAGTGGCTCAAAGCAGACATGCGGGTCACGCCATGCTTTCTGGCATGTTATACAACTGACGCGTTGACACAGGGGATTCGAGCAGGTGAATCTCTTGGGGCGAACCTTAAGACACAGGTTAAGGAAAGAATTGCGCAAAAGCTTCTGCACAGCAGAAGGGTCTAGGATATAAAGGATGATCACGGGGATGGCGAGCAAGGGCACCAAGTCTAGGAGCAGGATAGTCAGAAGAACCGTAGAGATGACCCCATCCCGGCGAAACCGCCAGGTGATCCCCTTGGCGGAGGGATGATATGCCGAATCGACCTCAGCATATGAGCAGAAAGGACAATGAATGAGCTTCAGCTGAGACTTGAGCAGCGCCTCCGAAGCCAGCCGAGCCTCAAACTTCATATAGGTCTCAGTGCCCCCCTTATCAAGGAGAATAGCGCGCTTAACAACTTCCGGATGCAAGCTCCCGTTACACCCATCATGAGCAAACGGCGTCAAACACCTCACCGTTGACCTCCCCACATCAACAGACTTGCCCCAACCCTGACCAAAGAGCGCCTCCTGAACTGTCCGCCGAATACAAGCATAGCAAATAACATGCATATTCTCCGAGCATGTCGAAATCCGCTCAAACGTCACATCCGCCAAACAACACTCACACTCATAAATCGCCTCTGCCGCCTTCGCCTCCCGCTCATTCAACTCCTCCGCCAACCAGCGGTCCCTCTCCTCCCCTTCCTCTCTCCTCCCCCTAAGCAACGGCTCCAACAAAAACACCCTCAACTCTTCATCCAACTCCCTACACCCCGTCTCCTTCAAGAACGGCACCAGCTCCCCACCCTCAGACGATGACCTCCGCCACAAAACCAAAGGACTCTGACTCTCCTCACACTCCCCACCCTTCTCCCTCCCCCTCTTCCTCCAGCTCGGCAAAAAACTACTAAAAGTAGCCCGCCACGTCTTCCTCGAAAGCTCCCTGAGTATCGGCCTCGCCCTCCCGTAACAAAAATTCACCTCCGCCAACACCCCATCCACCGTACTCTTACTCAGCCCACCAAACTCCTTCACCAGCGTCCCCCTCACCGCACTCTTATACTCGGGCGCCCGGAACCGCTCATCGACCGGCACAACACCACCCCCACCGTGGAGTAGGGCGTTGTCGTCAGCACCACCATCGCCGGGAACATTCCAGCGGCCGGCGACCCATTCTTCTTTGTGGCGGAGGAGTTGCTCGACGCAGACGTGGAGGCGGCTTTGGCCGTCGAAGCGGAGAAGGAGTTCGCGGAAGACTTCGACTTTGATGTCAGGGAAGATGTGGGCGAGGGTTTCGAGGGCGCTGTTTAGTTCTTCTTGTTCTTGTTCTTGGGTTTGGATTTGGGGGATTAGGCGTGACCGGGAGGGGATGTTGAAGGGGTTGTTGCGGAGGGCTTCGGTGATGGTTGCTGAGGGGGTTGTGTCGCTGGGGGCGGTTGTTGATGTTTTTGGTGTTGGTGTTGGCGTTGGGGGTTTGGAGAAGCTAGGGACAGGTAGCGAGAGGACCATCGTTAATGTCGATGGGGGAGGGTCTGCTACATGGTCGGCCGGGTGGCGGATGGTGAGTTGGATTTTTAGGGGGGTTCAGTTAGGCGCGGTGAGGATTTGCGCCAGAGATAGAAAAGGAGTTGTGTAGCCTAGAGATGAATAACAGAGAGAGATTGTGGTGGAGTTGGAGGAGTCACCGGTTGATTGCGTGAATGAAGGTGTGTCAAGATGTGAATAATGATGGGTGGTATTTGTCGATACGGTTACATTACAGTACAGTACCCGACGGCCGGTCGGGTTCGATTGAGAAAACACCGAGTATGAGTTGAGGTACATCCACACATTAACATAAATTGTACAATCAATGCATGCAACTCTACAATCTAATAATATCTACGATAGATGCTATTACTAAGATATACTACGTTATTTTTCAAGATTCGATTTCAATCACATTGACCCTTTTCATCACTCTTACATCCTCACATAGATGCAGACATTTAATGAAAAAATAGTAAACACATAAGATTGCTGAGTTAGAAGCAAAAAGAATCGTAAAATCTATGTACACAATTTGATTCCATCATTTTGCCATCGTGCAAGAAGCACTTTCATCCATTATAATTTACAGTTTAGCCTTGGCGCCTTCCAACAGCTCAACACCTGCACCGCTAATAGCGGGCTTGCCGGTCTCCACAACCGTGGTCTGGAACAGGACAGTGTTGCCCTCCTTCCACATCTCGGTCTTCAGGGTCTGACCGGGCAGCACAACGCCAGCGAAGCGCACCTTGATGTTCTTGTAGGCACCGAACTTGCTGTACACGTGCTTGCCGGAGACACCCAGGGAGCACAGGCCGTGCAGGATGGGAGTCTTGAAGCCGCCCACCTTGCTGAAGTCGGGGTCGATATGGAGAGGGTTGCGGTCACCGTTGAGACGGTACAGGGCAGCCTGGTCTTCGGAGGTCTTCTCCTCGACAACAGCATCCGGCTTGCGCTGAGGAGTCTTGTAAGCCGCGATGGCTCCCTTGGGGCGGGCGGCGGTGGGCTTGGGGGATCCGCCGAAGCCGCCACTGCCACGGATGAAAACAGTAGATTCGTTGTAGAAGAGGTCCTCTCCCGTCTTGGCGTCCTTGGTGGTGAAGCCGGCGACCACGAGAGCAGCATTGCCCTTGTCGACGACGTCAATGAGCTTGGGGAAAGTAAGGGTCTTGGCCTCGGTGGGGATTGGGAATTTGCGGATTTCCATGTACTGTTCACCATGGAGCAACATCATAGGAGAGAAGTTCTTGACAATGTCGTCCATGTTGTAAGGCACAGCGGTGTTGAACCAAGGGACCACACCGAAGGTAGGGAGGGCCTGGAAGTGTTCGTTGTTCTCGTACACGAACGGCAGGTCGGTGCGCTTGGCACCCAAGCTGAGGTTGTAGAGGATAACGTCGCGGTCGGCATAGTCAAAGGCAGTCCCGTCCGTGGTGGCCTGCTTAGCCTTCTCGATGTTGGCCAGGATGTCGTTGCCACCCTCCGAGGCACCGTCGCTACGGTTGCCCATGTTGGCCATGACCTTCTCAGCACCAGCCTGGCTATCCTCAGGGTGGTCCGCACGTCCATCATCGAAGTCGGTGATCTGCTTCCAGTTCTTGACAACCTCCTCGGGGGTCAACTTCACGTCCACAGGGAATCCGTGGCCGCCCGAACGCTGCCAGCGAGTGCAAGAGAACCAACCGCTGCCGCACTCGTACAAGCCCTTGGTGCCGGATCCGGGGACCATATCCGAGGAGAGAAGCACCACAAGGGGAGCAACGTAGTCGGGCTTGAAGGCCTGGACCATCTCCTCAGGCATGATAGTGCGGGTCATGTTGGTACCGGCGTTGGGAGCAATGGTGTTGACCTTGATGTTGTATTTGGCGCCCTCGAGAGCGAGGGTCCGGGACATACCAAGGATGCCGAGTTTCTGGAAACGATTAAATTAGCATTAGGTTACACAGAGTGTATCGGAGGAACCCATACCGCCGCGGCGTAGTTTGCCTGTCCGAAGTTGCCGTAGATACCGCTGGTGCTTGTGGTGTTGACGATACGGCCATACTTTTGCTTCAGCATGTAAGGCCAGGCAGCCTTGGTAACCTTGTAGGTACCACGGAGATGGACGTTGATGACGGGGTTCCACAGGTCATCGTTCATGTTAGTGAAGGCCTTGTCACGCAGGATGCCGGCGTTGTTGACGAGAATATCGATGCGTCCGAAGGCATCGATGGCAGACTTGACGACGGCGTCACCATCCTCGCAAGAAGCCTTGTTACCGACAGCCTTTCCGCCCATCTTCTTGATTTCCTGAACAACGGGCTCGGGGTCAACCAGGTCATTGACCACCACAGCGGCTCCCAACTTAGCAAACAGCAGACAGTAAGCGCGGCCAAGGCTATGCAATTGTCAACAAAAAACAGAATTATCCCAAGAGTCGTGTGCAGAGTACATACCCATTACCACCACCAGTGACAAGAGCAACCTTGCCCTTGAAGTCAGGCTCCTGGCCTGGCTGTGCGCTAGGCGTCTTCAAGCCATCCTCCAAGAGAGCCATGAAGTCGGCGGGGCCAGTTGGGTAGCTGGGCTTAGAGAAGTCGTTGACATCGTTCCACTTCCGAGCGATAGCGCCGGGGGTCAAGGAATCGTCCGTCTTCAGCAGGGCACCCTTAGCCCGCTCCCAGCGCAGCTTGGCCGCATGGCCACCGCCAACTTCATAAATCCCACCAGTCTCGGTTGTGTTAGAGGAGTGTACCAACGCGGCAACCAAGGGAACAACCCATTCGGGCTTCAGGTTCTCCAGGACATCTGGGGGCATCATGGTGGCTGTCATACGGCTAGCAGCTGTTCTGAGTCAGCATTCAAGACGACGCAACTTTATAGACTGCCATTTTTTTTGCCATTTTTTTTTTTTTTTTTACATACCGATAGGTGCAATAGCATTGGCAATGATGTTGTACTTAGCGCCCTCCTTGGCAAGAGTCTCGGTGAAACCGACCTGACCGAGCTTTGCCGCTGAGTATCCTGTTAGCCTCGAGATCCATAAACGGGCTTGATTTGTAGGTACTCACCAGAGTAGTTAGCCTGGCCAAAGTTACCGAAGAGACCAGCAGCCGAAGCAGTGTTGATGACACGACCATACTTCTGTTTCCGGAAATGAGGCCATGCGGCTCTTGCGCACTAATCGAGAGTGGTCGGTCAGTCCTGCTGAACACCCCAAAAGCTGGGCTATGCGTCATTTTCCTACCTTGTATGCACCGTAGGTGTGAACTCTGGTAATGAGGTCCCAGTCCTGGTCCTTCATGTTCTTAAAGCTGACATCCCGGAGGATCCCGGCGTTGTTGATGAGGATATCAATGCGGCCGAAGTTCTTGATGGCGGTATCAATGATGGCATCACCGTTCTCTACGCTGTCATAGTTGGCGACAGCCTTGCCTCCGGCAGCACGGATTTCGTCCACGACCACATCGGCAGCCTGCATTACAACGTCGATGTTTTTAGTAACCGGTCATCGGGTGGTGCATGTGACTGTGAAGTGGAGGTATACCTTTGAAGACTTCCCCTCACCGGCGTGGGAACCACCCAAGTCGTTCACAACGACATTTGCGCCTCTCGAAGCAAAGAAGGTGGCATAGGCTTTACCCAAGCCACCGCCGGCTCCGGTCACGACGACGGTTTGGTTGTCAAAGCGCAGCTCGGACATCTTGCACGGGTATATACAAAAACAAAAGGAAAGAAACAGCAAACGGCGAGAATGTGAGTAGTTTAATTATTCCAGACGTGCCTCCACACACGATCGTTTAATAGGGGGTTGAGCAAGGAGCGGAGGATAGAGGAAAGTAATCAAAAGGTGAATGAAACAATTGAAGGAGGTCAGTAGTAAGTTTAAGTATGAGGGGGGGAAGCTGGGGGAGAGCAGAGTTGAAGAAGGCCGTGGATCTGGGGGAGCAAGTGGGCGGTCGCAGAGCTCGGCAAGGACGCTATTGGGATTGGGAACCTCGGCATCTTTTGTTTGCTCTGAAGCTCGGAGGTTCCCTTTCCATGCGCCAAGTGGGATCTGGCCTGGCAGATGGTTCTTGTTCACATGCCGATGTTATTAACCCTACCCTTTTTCTTGACTTTCTTTTTTTTTTTTTTATGGGTTCCATATAATACCATCTCTCGTCTGGTGATTTCCTGTCCGGATCTTCGTTCTATATGGGACTGCGATCCATGAGTCTGACAACGAATCACCAAAACACCGGGTGTAATCGATAGTGATGTTGTACTCTGTCCTCCGTCCTGTAATTAATTGTATGGCAATTTCCACTGCCCGACGCTAAGCTATGCATCAACGGTGATTATGTAAGGATGGGCATTCAAGCATCAGTTACATTCTTATGAACACGCTATTCCTGTTCAAGTACTTCAGTCACGTGGATGCTCTATTCATGTGATGCCCCGACGTCATCATCACGTGGATCCCATGTTCAGTAATCGAATTAGAGAAATAATAGAGAGTCAACATGAAAGAACCCCTTCGGTCCCTATAAATGATATCTTTTATGTTCCTATGTACGATGAGACGACTGAAGTTGAATCGCCTAGTCCAAGGCTAATCCATCAGCCACAACCTTTGTCCCGCAGCGAGCGTCCGGACCTTCGAATCTCCAGCTTTCTCCGCTTCGGCACACCTCCGATGATTGGAGCACCACTGAATAAATAAGAATGCCCCTCGACAAACGTAGCGTAGTAATAGCCTCAAACCCCCAAATATCAAACCAAATAACCCAACAATAAAAACAAGCGACATGCCCCCAATCATCGACGACAAATCCCCACACTGCATCCCCTTCCTCCTCTCGCGCCTAAAAGCCCACCAAGAGCGATTCGGCAACGACCCAGCCAACACCCCACCCTTCTTCCTGGGGTTAAACGGCGTCCAAGGCGCCGGGAAGACCGTGCTGGTATGCTATGCAACGCATTGACGGAAATAAGGACCGATGACCCATGTGGAGGAAAACTCTTGTCTAAGGCTTCTAACGATGATCATTGCCGCTCAAGGTCACCACCCTCCAATCGACTCTCCGTTCCCCGCCATACTCCCTCCCCGTCATCACGCTCTCCCTCGACGATCTATACCTCACCCATGAACAACAGGTCGCGCTCGCCAAATCGCACCCGGACAACCCACTCCTCCAGCATCGCGGCCAACCGGGGACCCACGATCTGCCCTTGGCGAAGGAGGTCTTCGAGTCGCTCCGCGCGGGCCGCCCCACGGCTATCCCGCAGTATGATAAATCGGCGTTTGCGGGGCAGGGCGATCGCGTACCCGAGTCGCAGTGGGAGGTAGTAAACGGGGAAGGGGAAGAGAAGATCAAGGTGGTCATTTTCGAGGGATGGTGTGTTGGGTTCCGGGCGTGGGATGATCAGGTCGTCCGGGAGAGGTGTGATAGTGCTGCGATGCGGAGAGAGAGGGGTGGCTACGATGGTCGGTTGGGGTATGTGCCGTTTGAGGCGGTTAAGACGGTCAACGATGCGTTGAGGGAATATGACATGATCACTGAGTGAGTTTGGGCGTTGCATGCAACCCGAGTTGAAGATCCCAAGGGCTGATTGAATCTTGACCACAGCCAGTTAGATGCGTTGATCCATATGTATGCTTCTGTCCCCCGCCCCCCTCCCCCCCTTCCCCCCAAACCGGCGGTTTGGCTGCTACCACTGGTTCAATGTGCAATCTAACCTGGAATGCAGTGATGCGCAAGACCTACATTTCGTCTATGACTGGCGACAGGAACAGGAAAGGACGCTTCGTGCGCTGAAGGGCACGGGCATGACCCCCGAACAGGTCACGCACTTTGTTAACGGCTGTATGTATCCCCCATGCCCCTGCTCGTAGTGTCCAGATTGAAAGTAAAGGATGGTATGGCTCACTAGAGTAGACTATCCCTCATACGAGCTCTTTACCGAAACCCTCAGGGCAGGTACCTTCAGGCCTATCCGTTATACAACGACGGCATCAAGGCCTTCCTCAGGCTGGGAGGGAAGACAGCTTCATTTGGTTGTCGACAAGCACCGGAAAGTGCAAGAGGTTTCTACGATATAGGTTGGTCTGTGTAGATTCAAACTTATGGAGGACGGCCGAATACCGTAAAAACTGCCAAGTATATGCATCATGATCTATAGTCTTATTCAAAGATATTAGTCTAAAAAGGCCACTCGCCACAAGACCAATTCAGTGTAACGTTACCAACTCTATTTCTACCAATTGTCTGTGCAGATTCCTGGCCACATATATACTGAATATCGACGGACATGACCAGCAAGTAGATCAACCATCTTGCTAGTCATGACGAGAAACAAATAGATGTCGTAACACGTAGATCTAGTCTGTACCCAACGCCAACTTGACAACAAAACGCCGGTGCCAACAAAACAATTGAGGAGTGGAGAGTAAATTATTAGAGACGCAAGATAGCCAAAGCATTAAGGCCAATAGCGAGGCAGTGATGTGAGAACGGAAGGATGTGCGGAGAGCGATCAACTTTCCCTCCGCTCCAGAAATTGCATCATAGTGGCTCTTAGCCGAACGTTAGCCACTCCACCTACACCGTATGCAGGTACGATCTTCCCCATCCGGGCAAAGCAGCTGGGGACATAGTCCCGTCGGATACGCGATACACGCTCGCGCCATCCTAACCCTCCCGGTGGTTGCCGGTTATACAAATCCAAACCGAGCAGGTGCATCGGTGTGCTGGCAAATTGCATGAGGGCCGGACAGGAGAATTGAGCGATCGCTGCCTTCATTCCGGGCGTGGATGCAATGTAATCGGGGATTGACGGCGCTATCAGGGTAGGGACGTTGAAGGATGCGAAGATGGTGATACTATCACGGAGACAGAAGAGGCCATATGAGATCTTAGGTACTTTGGCGGCGCCGGATGGGTGACAAGACGCTGGCGGAGATGCTGTCTGCGCAGGAGCCGAAGAGGGCGATGAAGTAGGCTTGGGTGAAGCGCCAAATATCCGGGCGAACTTGGCATCCTTGTACACGCAGATTCCCATGTTTACCGTTGTCGTGGCGAGAAACTTGGCCGTGCCGGCAAATACGGCGGAGTATGGTTGATTGCGCATAGTGGACGAGACCGTGTCAATGACATTGGCGGTCAAATACGTCGATGTGTAAAGGGTATATATAAGGAGGAAGGGAGTGCTGAGGAAGAAGCCCGCTGGATGAGTAGCCATCGACCGAAAACCCGATGTGATAGTTTGTCGAATGGGTACGCCTTTGGCCGCCTTCTCGATAATAGCACTATAACGCATTCTAAATCAGTCGACTGGCGAAAGAAGAGCTAATTTGGAAGCTTACCGATCAATAACGGTGATTACCGGGCACGTCAAAGCTCCAGCCGTGGCAGCGCTGGCGATATCCACGCCGACTCGCGCACCGAGGCGGTTGGTATTCCACGTGGATGTTGGCCGCTCAGCGACAGCTTGCATGGGAAGAGCCCCATCAGAAGAGAGTACATTTCGAGTCATAGTCTACAATAGCGCAGAAGAGCAAGAAAGGATACGATCAATTCTAAGAGTCAACAATAAAACAAGCACAAGGGAGGCGACTCCTGCAGACACCGGCAGGATGATAGTCGCAAAGGAGAAAAACAAGATCAAGCACAGAAACTGGTGTAACGAAGATTACCAAGACATCCTGACGACGTAAAATTAGGACGGCTGAGATGAGATCACATCTCACTTAGCGAGCGTAAGGGGGGAAAAGCAATATGCTGACTCGCTGATTGCATCGCGGACGAGAATAGACCGGCCGATACAGGACTCGGAAAGCCTCCGGTGCCGGCCGATCGATCACCCGCGGATATACATTTACGGCATACAGAAAGGCATTCTGTTAGCCCAACCCGTTTTTACAGCAGTACTCAAACTTTGGAAAAGCTGACCCCATGGAATACCTTTTCTTTTATCCAGCATCTTTATGCACTTTGTACAAGAAAATATTCAGAAATAACAGAGGCTCCGAACGCCGCATAGATGTATCACCCGACACATGTTCACGCACTTAAATTTTCCATCAAAACAACGCAGGCACATTATGTGTACGTAAATCAGTTGTTGGCCGTGTTCGCTTGGAAATCATCCAAGGTCAGGTTGACGGCTCCGGCTTGTACCAGCTACAGATATGCATTAGACCAGAAACATACGGCGAAATCATAATGACCGACTTACCGCCCTTGTTAGATCATCGATCAGATCATCTACATCTTCGATTCCCACGCACAGCCGGATCAGGTCTTCCGGCATGGCTCGCTCCTCGCGCGTCTTCGCATCGATACTAGCGTGGCTCATCCGACAGGGCATGCTGATCAAACTATTCACGCAGCCGAAGCTAACGCTGATAGCCCACAGCTTGGCGCTCTCAACAATACGCTCACTCACACTCACATCCCCTGTCTCAAATGACAGCACAGCACCAGCCCCACGGGCCATCGAATGGTGGAGATCATATTGAGGGTGCGACTGCAGCCCAGGGTACCGAACTTTGAACCCGTGGGATTCGAGGAACTCCGCGATACGTTGTGCGTTGGCTTGCTGCTGGTCCATTCGTACCTTGAGGGTCTTCACTCCACGCATCAATAGCCAAGAGTCGAAAGGTGATAGCCCGCAGCCAGAGGCATTGATGGGGAAGAACAACCGTTCGCCAAGAGCCAAGTCATTTACAGCGATCACACCGGCCATGAGATCGTGATGACCCGACAGGTACTTCGTCCCACTCTCATAGACAATGTCTGCGCCCAATTCGAGAGGATTGAGCAATATGGACATCATTGTGTTGTCGACAGCCACAAGGCAAGAAGGGTTGATTTCGTGTGCGGCGGACGCAATCTGGGGTATATCGACGACCTTGATGAGTGGGTTGGTGGGCGTCTCCAGTAGCACCATGGCTGTTTTCTCGCTCAGCACCTCCCGGACCTTTTCTGGTTGAGTCGTATCAACATGGTGGACAATGATACCACCATTAGTCGACAGGTATTTAAGGAGACGGTGGGTACCGCCATAAAGGTCGTCGCCGGTCACCACTTCGTCACCAGGGCGAAGCAATCGAGTGATGACATCCATTGCTGCCATGCCGGAGGAAACAGCCAATGTACGCTGAGCAGACATGACCTTGGCTAAGTGGCGTTCAAGGTGGGTTCTAGTCGGGTTGCCGGAACGAGTATAATCATACTCTCCGCCTCCACTACCGGATGTCTGCTTGAAAGTGGCGCTCTGAAGGCATTGGTTAGTACTATAAGCGTTTCCATAACTTGCTTTCTTCTGTTCTAGGTCAGGTGGGCGGTACCTGGTAGATGGGGACGCTACTAGCATTGTACTGGTCACCGCTTTCAGTATACACCAGTTCTGTAGCAATTGCATAGCGCTTTCGGGCATGAGGACTGGAAGGAGCCGGCGATGGAGGAAGATTGTGGCCTTCGATATCTACGCTGGGAAACGCCTTTTTCGCAGGATTGCTTGATGATGCCGCGGGCGCGGCACCGGAAGAAGCCGACATCGCTGCGGGGGTGGAGAGAGAAGGGAAAGGACGGAGAGGATAATAGAAGACTTAGAAGCGAGAGAATTAAGATGCTTTGGGGAAAGAAGTATAGGGATATAAAGAAAAAAAAATCTCCCCACGATGTTTAACCAAAGAAATGGAAGAATGAATGAAAGGAAGAGAAGAAAGATAAAAATAATATTGATTGTTCCCCGGAAGAGTCATCGAGAAGCGCCCCGTCCTCCATTCCACAGACTTGTTACCGTAGCAGGAAAGGACGGGCTCCCCACCGCCCATCTATCATTGGCTGGACCGCACAAGTGTCGATTTCGTCATTCGCCGCCTGAGGCAGCAACATGAGTTTTGTTTGCTTTCCATATCAGTAGTACTAGATTGTCCCTCAGTATGTACAAGAGCTCCTCCAAAGCCCATCCTGCCACATCTCCCGCAGAAAGCGTTCCAAATCCAAAGCAACGAAAAATAAAAAAAATAAATAAAAAATGATCACACACACTCCGAACCCATACGCCAGCTACGTAACTGTCCTTCGAGTCAACTTCCTTAAATCGAGGCATATGTAGGAATCCCCCGCTGTCATTTCACAACGCACGCCGGCCAAAGGTTGCCCTGCTCGTCAATCCATAGCCATGTGGCTATCATGGCCATATCGTAGATCCATTATGCTCAATGTTCACGCAAGATTCTCCCGTCAATAACGCAACACCCCACCGATCAAGAAAGGCTCAGATAAAAGCGGAGGCCTTGTAAGGCAAAAAAGAAATATAGTACACTTGTCATGATGAAGGGTCGTCGCCGCATACGTATGCCGTGTTTTTGCTCAAGTTGCCATTTCGCCGAAACTGCCATTGATACCGAAGAATTGGAACCTACAAGACAGACAGCCGTCAGTATAAGAAGAACCCGGTTAGAGACTTGTTTTAGGGAACATACCAATCTTCCACGTTCAGGGTCGTTGGTGCAGTTGGCCCACTCCGGGAACTGTTGCTCCAGGTGTCATCCTGGCTAGCAGCCTCAATAGCACTGCTCAAGGCTCCATCTATACCTTGCATTGGCCACGCCTGCTGGTTCTCCAGCCCAAACATATGAGGTGGTTGTTGACCTTGCATTCCCACCCCCGGGGGTATATTCGAAAGGAGTTCTGGGCTTCCTTGTGTCCCAGGAAGGCCTCGGGAGGACATCTGATGAGGCATCATATGTCGCTGGTCGATGCCTTGTGCTTGTAGTTGTGACTGCATCTGCAGCTGTGGATCAACGGCGTTACTTTGCGGCGAAGTCAGCTCGGGGAAGATGGCAGTGCCATCAGGAAACAATTGGTCGGGCTGGAAATTTTCCCAAAGCGATGGGGAAAGGTTGGGTGAGGTACGAGTGACAAGGAATAGGTCTGGTGGCGTTGCAGGGAGGGAGAATTGAGCATTGAAAGGGGTTGTCGGTCGCGTATTGCCGCGAGAGTTGCCTGGGGGAGGACCAGTAGGAGAGCCCTGGTGAACGCCCAAGCCCGGTTGCCCCATCTCTCTTGAGGGGGTGACTGCGGGCGTCTGAGGTCGCGAGCGCTCGTACGAGACTGGTGGGGTGGGACCTCCATTGGGCAGTCCAAGGTCCATGTCGTCAAATTTGCGCTTTGGCGGATCTGGTTTCCTTGCCGCTTGTTGCTGGGCCGTGTCGTGTCTTACCCTCTGGTGTCTTCTCCCTGCAGCTTTCTGGAGACGCTCCTCGAGAACCTTGTTCCCCAGGATGGATTCGAACAACGTCCGAACCATTTTAGCCACAAGCCAGACTTTCGAGACGTCCTTCAGCGCCTGCATGCATATATTGATTCTCTCCTGGCAAGTTGCCACGACGGATGGCACGGATGACCGCATTTGGTAAACGTGCATGATGAGGGCTGAGAACAAGCTATAGACACTTCAAAAATGTCAGAGTCTTGAGGTATAGAACAAAGTGTTAGGCACTATCAAACTTACATGAAGGCTGGTGTATACCGAAGCTCATGATGCGCCTGCAAGTTTTCGACGATAGAGGTGATCATTCCAGCGGCTTGGAATGCAATCGTACGCGATGGATAAGCCATCTCTTCTACGCGGTAACTGTTTGGGGCAGACGAAGCTGGAGGCATATGCGCCCTATGCAAAAGACAAAGCGTGGTGCTTTGGTGCTTGCGTCAGTCCAATGCATAGATTTTTTTTTTTTTGGGAAGATGGCAAGACTTACTAATAGTTTGCATGAAGAAGGGCGGCCAAAAAGTGATGATTCTGCCGTTGCCAACACACCTCCTTTGGACAGTTCTGGAGCCAATCCGCCAACGCCATATCCGAATGCGTTAAATCCATAGCATTCATACGCCTCGACTTTGAAGCCACGGAGTACTGCTGTGAAAGTACTAGGCCCATGATTTCACACAGCTTCACGTATTGGAGGAAGAACTGTACATGCACGGGATCGGGCGGATACTCCGCTGCTACGTCAATCTCGTCTTCGATGAAATCGTCTTCGGTCAACATTCCGACATCCGAGTCGTCCGTATTGATACCGATAGGGCGTCCCAAGGCCACTGCAACGGACCGATCTCTTGTGAAGAGCGTCCACCAGATTCGCTTCCAGAGTCTTTTGTCCGGCTTGCTCAGCTGAGATGACTCCACGCTGTGAACATTAGATCATTGTCAAGATAGAACTTTAGGTCCAAGGGCTACAACATACCTTCGGTGCATGCCTGACCCTTGTGCCACAACCATTGCCACTCTTGTCCAGTAGAAGACGTTTTTGGTGACGTCTTCGGGTCCCTCCCAGTACCAGCCCAGGAGCACCAGAGCCTGCACAATGGTGACACGGTCATCTTCATAGTTGGCGTCGTAAAGTGCCTTCGCCCGCTTATAAAATGTCATGGCAGCCGGGGTCGTCGAACCATTGGCATCCATCAGCTGGGGATTTGTGCAGACTCTGGAACCCGCGAGCAGTATAGCCTGAAGAAGTAGTAAGGATGGTGGGTTTTTTGGGTCACGATAGTGCCGCATGAAACGGCTGCGATTGACAATAGGGACTAAGGGCGCAACCCATTTGAAGTAGGCATCAACGAGTTCATCACAGAGAGGCTTTGGCGGCAAAAGAAAGGCACCACGTTGGTGAAGTATGTCCAGTTCAAGGTTATCCAGATCCGCCAATCGAGCACGCGAGCCTCGCACATTGGGTGGGAGAGGATAGTGCACGACGTCCGTCGTTCCATGCCGATCCTGCACCAGGAGCGATAGGTTCGAAGACTCGCCGAGGTAGGCAACCCGCCCTGCTTCCTTAATCGGAGCCCGCGCAAACTTCGGTTTCATAAATTGGGCATATGTAGCATTTTGGTTGGCTTGCTGAGCGACTTGCGATTCCGTGAGAGAGGTAACAGGCATACCGTCGACGGCCATTCGATTACTTGAGTAACCAAAAGCATCCTTGGCGTCGGGCGTCGACTCCTCTTCCTTGGCTGGCTCTTTCTGGGTATCCTCTTCGTTTCTACTGAAATAAATACAATGTCAGCAGAGGTCGACGTGAAGACCATAAGCAATCGATAAAGGGAGTGTCCGAAGGCATACGCAGCGCTCTCTTTAACTTTCGTTTGGTTCTTTTTACGTTTCGGCGTGGGGATTTTACACTCGATCGAAAAGGCCACACAGTTGGTGCACGGTACACCTAAACTGGCAGCATCGCAGCGTACCTGTTGGTAAATGACGCGATTAGCGATGTCCTGTCGTGCAAAGATCCAGCAGTGTCACGGGTAACACCGAAAGGGAACAAAGGCGAAAAGAAGATAAAAATTAAAACTAAACGGGGGCAAAAAAAAAAAAAAAAAAAAAGCTTTATTGACAAGGAGAGCCTTACCTTTCGAGCATGGCATGTCTTTACAAGACAAGAGAAATAAAAGTTAGCCAGCAGTAAATTCAAATCAATACATTATCATGGTTGCGTTATGCTCCATCGCAAGGATCGCATGATGGATAGTATGTATGTATGATAGGGGGAAGTAGCAAAGCTGCGATGAGCCGAGGTGCCGAGGCTTCACAGGTCGCGTCAACCTCATAAAAAGAGCGAGAACATACCTCACAAGCACGCGACGCACGTTGTCTGTCTCAATAGCGATTAGATAAATCTGATTAGCATCCATTTGTACTTCTTTTAAATCTCAACCGTGTCCCTCCCCCAGAACAACTTCCAACCCAGGTTTTGGAGGTGTCTGCGACCAGCTCTCTCGTCAAAACACAACCCCGCGACAGCACAAAACCCACACATTGGGACCACCCAAGGGTAAAGAGATCGCGTCACACACCTTCTAAAACTCATTTGTCCGTTTGAGCCCGTTCGTACCGCAATACCTGACGTTCCGGTTGAGCCCGCGGTGCTCGGGGCCGGGCTTGCTCTGGAAGTAGAATCGGTGTGATTTTCTCCTGTTGTGCTCATGGCCAAAAAGTATCCATGCAGAGATATGCAACCGAAAGGCTTTCGGGGTGACGGGGGGCGATAATATAGGGATTCGAGGGTATAGCCAAGGTTCTTGAGAAATAAAATATGGTAATAATAAATAGTGAAAAGGTGAGAGGAGACAGGAAAAAACCCAAGAGTAAAAGTCGCAGCGTAGCCTTCCTCTTTTGTCTTTCTTCGTTTCCCTTTTCACAGCGCCTTTTTTTTTTTTTTTTTCTGAACTGTTACTGGGGGTAAGTAAAAAAAAAAAGAGGCACTAGAGAAATTAAACGGAGTTCAAGGCAGACAGTATTAGGCGCCACCCGAGGGATGGATGCGATGCGATCGACTCAGGCCGGGATGGAGAAAGAAGAATCGTAGGAAGAGGGAGGGGGGCGAGACACAGAGAATTTCCCGGAAGAGGAAGGAGGATCAGGAACACCGTTCAGAGAGTCCAGCGAGGTATTCTATAGACCGGTTTAAGTTGGTGAGGAATTAATTGGTCGGGCGAGATTGGTTTGGTCAGGTAGAAGAAAAGATCACCCAAAACGAGAAAATGGAAAGAATGGAGACAAAAGGGCAAGTATACCTACTACCTGACCTTATTGCTGGGTGGTGGAAGAAGGGGACGGGCGGGGAGTGGCAATAGTCCCTAACCAAACCAGCAAGTCAGAAAGAACGGTGACTCGAGGCGGATCACCCATCCTGGAATAGATAGTGTGGAGAAGGGTGATTAGGTATTGCTTCGTTTCCAGTTGCTAGACGGGTGAGCTACTGTTGCGCTAAAGTCTTGTAGTGCCAGAGATCCAACCTAAGGGATCCAAAAGGCCTCCCCAGGGTCCATCTGTTCGCTAGTAACTTTTTGATGATAAGCAACATTTGGGCGGACTTGACAGAGTGGAGTGACACACGGTACTTCTCAGTTGTAGTACATTCTTCTTGACTTTGAAGCAGGGAAATAATATGAAGATGTCTATTCTCGGTACTGTATCCAGAACCGAGAATACTCGAGACACTGCCTGTATGTATTACATGATGCCACGGGAATGTAACCCAAACTGGAAGGGATCCTTGTCCTTGATGCTGTGGCAGTGAATTTAATTGATCTCTGTCGCACGTGTCTCCATGGTTACTCGATACAGTACAGAAGTACATACATCTCTCTCTGTACTATAGGAGTATCTTACAGTGAATGAATCTCTCCAACTTCAAACCCATGGTTACAGACCTGCAAGGGGCGAAGCTGAGAGGCACTTTAAGCTTCTTTGATGTATTTTGTTTTTTTCACTCCACCCCCGTTCAATTATTTTAGGTAATCTGAATCCACTTTCCAGTCGGGCTCTTTTTTATGTGACGCAGGGCAGATGACTAAGGCGTCAACCCATCACTTAGAACAATAACAAATTGAATGACCAGAAAGAAGAGTAATGAAATATTTTAATTTGAGTGAAAAAGGTAAAAAAATTTTTAAAAAAAAAAAGATGAAGAACTATCTGTTCTCATTTCTCCACACAGAAACCGACAGTGTAAAACAGCGGACTGGAGATCCGCACCAACATCCAAGATCAGGTGGACTCTGAAACGGCAGTCGGAATTTTAGTCCACTTTTTGGGGCACATGGTGACCCAAAGTCCAGTGCAATCCTAAGTGCATGGTAGGTTTGGCGGTCTCGATACTGATTCTGCCATTCGATGAGCCTCGAAGGTCCTTTCTACCTATTCCCCCTGGCATCTGGACTAGATATCTCGTGATTCGTGCTCAACGGCGGCCGTGGTCGGGGTTCACTGATCTCCGTTGTCCGATTACTCATGTCTAAATATGTAGAGTAATAGATAACAGAATGATAGATAGTATCGGTCGCTAGGTTTACTCTCAACACAACTTTATAAGAGTAGAGACATCTGTACATATGCACAATTGCATAGATACCATATATACGTACAATTGATGTATAATCAAGCTATCCCCTGCACGGAAATACGAGGATCCTGCCCCCCGGGCCGGATATTTTAGGATGTACAACATGGTATATAGTAGGAGTAGAATATATATATATTATATCCCATATATATATGTAGGTGGTAATGTGCCGGGGTTGGAATCCCCCCACAATGCGGGATACGACCACCTTGAACCGAACTATCTGAACAAGGATCTATTTGCATATACAACACCACTACTGAATATCTATAAACAGACCAACTAAAAGCCATTTCAACCAAGACCTTTTTTCCTCAGTTCCCCAGACCGCACCCCTCACATCCACCGCGCAAGAGATGATATAGTATTCAAGCTCTTATTTCCACCCACCTATCACCCGTCAGGCTTTCCTGGGCTTTTTACACACCCTCGCAGTCCATGCCCAACACGGTATAGAACCCATTCCCCCATTCCCCCATCCGCACAGACATGACTCCCGGCCGTACCAATCTTCCTTAACTAAAGCTGCACTGAAGGAACCCAAGCAAAAGCCTCATTCGTCGTGCCTGGCAGGTGTGATGGATTGGCACCCTAGGCTGGAATCTAGGCGGTTGGCTCCCCGCATTTTCTCATCGGGATCTAAAGTTCACGGTAGGGAGGTTTCGGAGAGTTTGCGGTTTGCGGGACTCGGGCTCTGCACTGACGACGGACAGGTACGAGCGCTAGGGAGGGCTCTGGGCACTGGAACTGGAATCTCGAGCTCTTATTGCGTCATGGCTTAGCTTGTGATGCCTCGGCTCAACGAGCTTGATCTGCAGACAACTGCATCAATCTATGCACTACACCGTACTCTAAGCCTGTAATGTTTTCGACCTGGATGGGCCTGGGGTCACCCCTGTATGATTATAAACAAAAATGTATTAAGGTAATGGAAATGGACCAATTCTATCTATATCTGAAATATACAAAAAGAAAAGAAAAAGGAAGGAAAGAAAAAGAAAATTCTTTTTACGAACTGCCGTCCGGGTCACCTTTGATTATAATCTCCACCTCCGTTTCACGAACCCCGGATTGATCTGACTCCGGAGAATGCTCGCACGTCATGGAGCCGTTGACAACGTTGGATCCATTGGCGGTGACTGTGTGGCCAATGTCCACACCACTGATGAACACTTCACTCAGAAACTCCAGTCCCGCCACAAATGTGCACAGGAAGCTGGCAATGCAGAAATGACTAATGGTCGTGCCAATCTCTAGCCAGGAACCCTCATCACGGACCATGTAGAAGAAGTTCAGGGTCATTACGTCGGAGATGGACATGACAACCATAAAGAGAGCGCTGGGCGCCACCTCCAATCGGCGGTTGAGGATGCCCAGATTCGCGCTAATGATCGCAAAGGGGATTAAAAGCTTTAATATTAGCAGCGCGCCCTGACTAAATGGGTTAAAGATCGGGATAAGCCGGTACACGCTGTCTAGCGAGAAGGAGGACACCGATGCGATATTGCCGGTGCTGAAAAAGGCTGATTGAAGGAGGAAAAAGAAAAATAGGGCCACGCGTGCATCGGAGACGCTAAGTGCCCGGTATCGGTATGATTGGCCTTCGACCACCACCGTGGCTCCCGCATTTGGCTTCTTTGGAGGCATAGAACCATTTGCCACACTATGATCCTGCTCGCTTACTGGGGCCGCAGTATGAGCGTAGATGGCGTGTTCCAGCCGGACCCACGTAAGCAGAGTCATACAGAAGACAAAGTAGAATAGCCCTTCGTACGAAATAGTAAGGATAATGAAGGTCGGAGAGAAGGTGAGGAAAATGACCATCAACCGATGCAGGTAGTGACTATTGGGATACAGACGGTGCAGCAGAGGCAGTGAAAGCGAAGAAACTACGCAGAATCTCTTATCAGCATGAATGCGTCCTCTGCTACTCGCTAGAAACAAAGGCTACTCAAAACAAATCTCGAAGTCGGAGGGAAATGGGGGGGATAGGAACTCACCCAAAATAGACCACCCAAGAACCTGGTTACCAAGAGGGAGGCCTTGCTTAGCCTGAAGGGAAGCTACACTTGACCTGGTCACAATCAACGCAAGGAGAATCATACCGACCTAGGCAGAATTAGTCAAGACTTGGACATTGAAATGATATGACAGCTCCCAAATCGCGGAAACCGTAGAGGATATAAGGTGATTGACAGCGGCGAGGGGTTGCCTACCTGGGCTCCCATAATAGCTCGTGAACCGCAGCGAGAGACGGGTGGGTTTTGTGTGGAAGAGCACTTCTGTCCTAGAATATCGTTCTCAAGGATAAGATATAGTAGGCCAGTAAAGAACATTAACAGAGAACCACAGGTACTAGACGAACGGAATAAGGTTAGTATATCCTCATATCTACTGCACTAAAGCACCAGGGGTCGTTTCGTACATCATCCCGACGTCCTCAACTTTGTTGGCAGGCAAGAGGGTGAATGTGCTCATTAGGAAACAGCCGATTGCCCATGACGCAGAAAGCAACCTATGGCTTTTAATGAACTTTAAACCGTAGGTTATCGGCCAAAAACCCCCCAAAATAAAGCAAACAGTAAAGATTTCCCGATGGAAATAGGATTGTACCTATAGACGATCCGGTCAGCCATGGGTTTGGTTCGCGAGGGAGTAGATAAAACGCACCAATGCCTCCAACACACCCACAAATAGCAACAGCTGTATGGCAAATACAAAGTAGCCGCTTATAGAATGGACATGGCCCAAGAGAATCGCACGGCCGGCAAGCAGGGCTTTCCGCCGCGCGAAAACCTCTTCCCAGAAAAAGACGGGAAACAGTGCATAAAAATAGTACCTCCACGACGAGCCCTGGTACAGGAGAACGGAAAAGAGAGCAACAAGGACAGATGAGAAGAATATAACACTGGATATTGTGCGACTCGAGTCGGACGTTTCGTGCAAAACATGTAGGTCAATCACCGTCGTCAAAGCGTACGCAATCCAACCCAAATAGCCTAAGGAGACGATGGTTCTCAGGAAGAGCCAATCGTACGTTTGGAGATATCGCAAGCCTTCTAATGCCGTGACTAAGAGCTCAGAACTCAGCTGGATCGACACGTCGTAGGAGCCGTTTGAGATTAGTGCCTTGATCTTATCAAGACGCGCCTCCACGGAAGTCTCGCCGCTTTCTGTAAGAGGTTCGAACGGCGTATACTGTAACAGTGCGGCCCGCTTTTGCTCTTCTTTAACACGATACATTTCTAGAACTCCCTGCGTATTGGCAAGCGCAGCCAGGGCCTTATCCTTAGGACTGGCATCTAGATATTCTAGGGGCAATTGTCCGACAGAGTTTGTGGGAAAGTCAATACCCGCCAAGTAGGCCATGAGAGCAGCGACATCTGCCTGATCCACATCGTTTCGCTGAACGCTGTCAAGGCCCCAATCTGCCGAAACTCCATCTTCGTGTCCTGATACACGTCCTTCGTGTGTATATCTGGGGCTGGCAACACCAGACCCCCAAACAACTAGCGGGGTTCTGGTATTGTTAGGGTGGCCGTCTCCATGGCTTCCCCAATCGCTCATACCGTGATCTGCGGTAAATACAAATGATGTCTTGCCATCCCCGTAGAAGTCCTCCACAAGCTGCGTGATTTCCTGCACCCCCTTGTCCACTATTTTAATGTTGTGCAGATATTCCTTTGAATAAGGCCGATAGCCATGACCAGTCGTATCTAAACCAAGAAGGTGCAAGAAAAAGACTAGTTTATCTTCCCGCAGTTTCGCGTCTAACTCCGGGACGTTCTTCGCAGATGAAAAGAGCTCCTTGACCTTGTCGAAAACCCAGGTGTCAAGCTTCGTCGCATCAGCCGTGAAATCTTCAGACTCTTCACTGTATGTGTCTGCGTCAACTCTCCCAGGAACGGCACCCTCTTTGAACATCAGAAGAATATCCGGGCTCCCCCAGCTCCACGTATGTCGGCTTCTATTGAAAACACTGTCGAAGTCTACTGGATTAAGTTTCCAGCCTGTAGTCACAGCCGATACATCTTCATATAACCCCGCGATAAGCGCAACATGGCCGGGTCTCGACTCGGTGGGAACTCGGGTATGGGAGATGCCAAAGGTACCGTGAGAAAGCGCGCGAGATCGGATAAAAGGTGCCAGGTAAATAGGCTCTTCGTTTTCGAGATCTGCCGGCGCATCGGGGTCAGGTAATGCTTGAAACGCCTTATCGGCGCGTAAGCCATCCGCCACAAATAGGACCAGACGTTTGGCAGGAGCTTCGGCGTTGGCTTCCCTTCCCACTCCGAATGATCTCATGCCACTAACAATTGGACTGACAAAGTATATGTCAAAAATTGAATAGGCGTACATCAAGTGGAAAACCACCGCGAGGGTGAGGAACCCAACGCGGCCGACACGCGCCATGGTTTTCTTTGCCCACCCGGTCTCGATTGAGGAATGGGAAATCTTAGTAGGAAGATACCAGCTAAACCAACGAAGAAATAGAAACACAATTGAAGAGAAGAATATGCGAAACAAAGGGGAGTTGACAAGCTGAGGGCATCCTCAAGAGAACTTCCGACGGGAAGATGGCAGCACTTTTGCGCGAACCTGATACCAAAGGCGAGGAACTTGGGGGAGGCCGGCAGCCAATCGGGGGTTCTCAATGCGCCACGGTAGCGGCTACGGTAGACGACACCCACGGATTCCGCATTCGCCCCTGATCAGTAATATTTATATCAACAAAAGAGGGTACCAAACTTTCTCTACATGTCAAGTGAGGCTTCTATTATCTCTCAAACCGGTACGTTTTTAATTGCATATGTCGAATCAATCACCTAATCTAACGCTAAACTCATTATCCAGGTGCCCTCTCCAAGGATGTATACGCCGTTAAACTACCCTTACTCCTACCATGCGAAGTGGGGCGAGGACTGAACCCATATCCAGAGTAAAATAAACACATGTGAACCCCAATTGGCCCAAAGGAAGCGTGTGGGAGCGGAAAGTAAACGGTTCAAAGGTTATCTGTTACCGGCGCTCGTCCGCCGTTTAGTGAGAGCGTCAATGACTCGGGTATAAAATTTTGACGCTTGCTGACGGACGAAAGTGATATCCACCGTAAGATATTCAGGCAGGATGTCAATCAAATCGCGATCGCGGCTGTCATCTAAGAGTGGAATATACTGAAACTCTGCATTCTCGAAGTTGGCTGACGAGACGTGTGGTACGGCTAGTTTAAAGTGTAGAGCTGGTTTTACATTAGTAAGATTCAGTCACCGGAGTCATAGATACTCACTTCCGTTTATACCCGTCTGAATACAATCATACACATTTTCAGAGCCTCCCTTCTTCACGTCACGAATGATAAGACCAGTGAGATCGGTGTAAAGATCTTCCTTGAGCTGTGCAAACTGGGCCGCGTGCGCGGCTTCAACATTTGCTGCAGCATTAGCACGGTTGCTACTGCCCTTAATAGCGCTTCCAGGAACCTTGGCGACGGCACTTTCAAGACTAGCAGCCGTATTCCGAGCAGCTGCTAGCTTGGTCTGCAAAGCTTTCACCTCAGTTTGAGCAGAAGAGAGCTGGCTGGTGGCATCTTCAGCCCGTGACTTCAGGCGAGTTATTTCGGCATCTCGCTCCTTTAACTGTTTCTGGAGGGCTCGACTCTGTTGACCAAGCGCTTTTTGTGCCTCTAACTCTGATTTCAGAGAAGATATCAAGTTGTTTGAAGCTAAACAAGTAAGCATATAGTATGTCTAAGGCTCTGAGGCACGCAAGATTCAACGAACCAGTTGTCATTGCTTCGCATTGTTTCCGTAATTTCTCCATGTTGGCATTTGCCTCTACCACGCCGATCTCTTTAAGATCACGATATTGACGTTCTAAAGTAGCATACCTCGTGTTGAGATCCCCAAGCTTGCGTCTCAACTCCGGTTCCCCGTTAGGCTTCACTGGGGAACTCTGCAAAGGGCGCTGCATGGATTGTCTACATTTAGTTGGCGACATGGAGATAGAGCGAGCCGCCACCGGTTCCTCCTGGATAAAAGTCTCTTCAACGACATCTGGCGCGCGCTTTTCGCCTTCTAACGCGTCATCTTCTGATTCCGACTCTGTATCGGCTTTCGGCTGCTGTTTCGTAGATTCGTTGCGCTTTTCCGGCGAGTTATACTGTCGTGTATTCTTTGGTGTATATTCAAACTCGCCGTCAGTCTTAACATGCTTCTCAGCATTTGCCTTTCGTCGTCCGCGTGTGGTCGCTGTCTTGGCGGGTTTCGCGGGTTTCGCATGTTTCGCAGACCTAGTTGACCGAGCAACAGGCTGCGCGCCTAGGTCATCATTGGAAGCGGGCGCGCTCTCTGGTACTTGAGGACCAGCATCTTGCTCCTCCTCCTCGGGTTTCGGCTGTTCCTCTACGATCTCTTGGTTGTCGGCCTGTATTGAGCCCCTGCTACCCCTTGGTCTACCCCTTCTTGTGCCCTTCTTTGCTGCAGCATCCGGCACGTGTGATGGCGCGGCGGCTGATTCTGTTTTCGACGATATTTGAGGTTTGAGCTCTGCTGATTTCGATCGAGGTCGTCCTCTGGCCTTCTTCGCAGGGCGTTCATTGTCGCGTGGCTCCTGGGGTATATTGCCCTGCGCCGCGTCCTCCATATCGGACTCTGCAAGACTAGAAAGTCTAGCGGCAGCCTTTCTCTTCGGCATGGCGATTAAGTATAATTATATATGTGTTTCAATCAACAAAAGTAGAAATCACAGTTGTATTGTATACCGGTGACAGCACCACAACAAACTCGGACGAATGATTGTCGGCGCGTCGGTGGGACCTTCGAACTCTCCGCCTTCGACACCGCAAACTAACCCAAGGCATGTGACGCTGTCGGCAAAGCCACGGCTCCGATGAGCGCCACAGTTCCTTTGCCGACCCGAGTAGCATCTAAGCAGCATCCATCGCATAATCCATCTTCATTCCCCTGCTGGCCTCGGGTAATTTTTTGTAGCGCATGCCAGGAATCGGATCGCGCTATTCCCATTGATATTAACCTGGTTTATCGCTATTGAGTATAGTTTTGTCACCATGGCTTCAGCGCGCGGTCCAAGGTGGCATCAATTCTTACAGGAATTGGTGATGGTTGCCGGCACTGTAAGTCAGATTTCATCTCCTAACGTTGCCTAGACTAACGGAATATGCTCAGTCAGCATCTGCCTATTTCCTCATTCGATACCTCATATCGCGTCTTGATTTCGACCCGGAGAGCCAGAAGAAAGAGGAGCAACGACGCAAGTCAGCTGCAATTCTACGGAAACTCGATGGCGGAGACGAGTCGGATGAAGATTCGCCACGTAGAGAAGGAAAGCGGGGGCGGAGACAGAAGCGCGGAGAACTTGTCTTAAATCAATACGAGCAAGCGATTGCAATGGATGTTGTTGCTCCAGACGACATTCCCGTGTCGTTCGAGGATATCGGAGGCCTGGACGAGATTATTGAGGAGTTAAAAGAATCGGTTATCTACCCACTCACGATGCCTCATCTCTATTCCTCTACGTCGTCGCTTCTTACAGCTCCGTCAGGTGTGCTACTGTATGGTCCTCCTGGGTGTGGTAAGACTATGCTTGCCAAGGCCCTCGCCCATGAGAGTGGAGCATGTTTCATCAACCTACACATATCAACTCTGACAGAGAAGTGGTATGGCGACTCAAATAAATTGGTCAATGCGGTGTTTTCACTAGCCAGGAAGCTACAGCCTTCTATTGTCTTCATTGATGAGATAGACGCTGTCCTGGGCACCAGGCGGAGCGGGGAACATGAGGCAAGTGGCATGGTCAAAGCAGAATTCATGACTCATTGGGACGGACTTACCTCGGCGAACTCCTCGGGCGAGCCTCAGAGGGTTGTGGTGATGGGAGCGACGAACCGCATCCAAGATATCGACGAAGCCATTCTCAGGCGAATGCCGAAAAAATTCCCTGTCGTTCTCCCTCCAGCACCTCAAAGACTCCGAATCCTTAGCCTCGTACTCAAGGACACCAAGGTAGACCGGGAGAATTTCGACCTCGACTACCTTGTTAAGGCGATGGCAGGCATGTCTGGTAGTGATATCAAGGAAGCTTGCCGAGATGCAGCTATGGCCCCGGTTCGAGAGCTCATTCGTGAGAAGAAAGCTGCTGGCCTTCAAATGACAGCCGTTGACCCAAAAGAGGTCCGTGGTCTTCGAACAGAAGACTTCTTTACACGTGCTGGAGGTGTTCGGGTCATTCCAGCTCCCGCCCAATTGCAGGCGCCCGTCAAGGCTAACTCGGAGAAAGAATGGAGTACAGAGTCAGAGGCAGCATCTGAGGTCGATACGCGGCCATCTGCGGATCTGGCGGAGCCGCCCGAGTGAACTGTCTGATACATGCGTAAAATGACTCAGTTATCATCTGTCCATGATACTTGTACACAGCACGAAGGGAATGGCGTTCTGTTATATGAGCATAATACCAGATACCTATTGATCCTGCCGGTTCTGACCTGCATCCATCGCAATTTCCTCAATCGCTAGTTGTGGAGTCCGATATTGTTTATAGAGTATTTGACGACTTCTGCTTTTCTATGTTAATTTTTATTCCATTTTACTTTACTGCTTATCTATCTACATACATATATTTCTCAAAGAAAAGCGCAATGTATGAATGGACCTTTGCCAACGTAAACTCAATGCATCGACAGCTGTCAAATATGCAATAGCCATGATATTATTAGCGTAATCCGTTGGACCACAGTGGCCAAAAGGCCGATCAGCGGCATGACATTGGGTATACTGTACTCTCTGCCGATCCAATACTTCCGAACAGAAATTATTCTCTCGATGAATTTCTTTCATTCTTAGTTTTCACTTTTTCTTTCTCCTTTTCTCCTTTTCTCCTTTTCTCATTTTTTCTATTTTTTTTTTATCTTACTTTTCCCCCTGCAGACTGGCGTCTTGAATCCCTCCAATTTCCTATATTTTTACATAAGATCCGGGACCCGCCCCGCCGTGAGTGGACGACGTTTGGACTTGGCTGCTAAGTTGGGGAGTCGTCATCACAAAGCAGGCTAAACCACTAGTTTGCACTTCCTGCCGCATCCCGCGCGCCCCAACTTTCCCTTCCCCCCCGATACCCATACTCTCACCCACACTCTTACTCTCCTGCTCAGCTCTCCGCTGGTCTTCCTAATTCTATGTCCCTGATTCTCTGGACTGTGCGTCATACCGGTGCTCGATCTACGGGTTGAAGATTTTCATTCGTTGGATGGATCGTTGAATTCCACTCACCCGAGCTCGTTGGTTCGCCGCTTAAGGACACGGATGCGGTAGGGACGGACTCCAAACTGGATGACGAACGTTGTGTTGTAGAGCCTTCCCATGGCGCGTTGCCTTTGGCGATCTCCCACCTAGAGTTGATTTCCTTTAGGAGAGCTGACGAATCCCTTCCTCTCGGGTATAACCCTTATCGTCGCCAGGGATGAATTCCAGTACCAGCTTTGCCGATACCCTTAGCCCTGGGACAAGTAGTACGAACACCACCCGCAGATCCACCTCGACCGTGCGATCACGCCCTCGCCGCTTGGTGTCTTTCACCGATGATGAGAGTGATAATGGGAGACAGTTGGGACACTCCGGATCGTCCACCGTGCTTTCGTCGGACCTCCCGACGCCTCGGTCTCGCGGTGCTACCCCGTCACCCTACAGATCCCGTGGAGTTTCGCCAATGCCTATGAGACACCCTTCCCGTGTCACTTCATCGCCTGGTCGCGGTCCGAGCAACTCGTTGGGTGGGTTCAGCTATACTGGCAAGAACCAGGTCAACTTCGCGGAGTCGTCGCGAGCCGCTGTTGACTTTCTTGATGCGTCGTGGTCGTCATTACAGAGTTTGGCCTCCTCGGTCCTAGGGAGTGATATCGCCCGGCCGGCCACCAATGGAACGACACGCACCCATACGAGAAAACCTTCCCGCCCCGATTCGTATACCGTAACCCCTTCACGAACGTGGGCACCCTTATCTTGGGGACCGACAGCCCCATCGACCTCAGATATTGGCGCCGGAACCAAGGAAGAACGGCAAGCATTCGTACAGGCAAAGAAAAGGGAGGCTTTGTTACTGGCAGATACAGAGACAAATGGAAGTCTCACCACTCGACACAAACGCCGCGATTCCTGCGACCGGACGGTCCATTCGACTGCTGGTCCCAATCAGGATGAGGAAGCGCTGGCATACGTACATCACGTCCAACCGACGGACAGTATAACTGGTGTTACGATACGCTATGGCTGCCAGCCCGCGATATTCAGAAAGGCAAATGGATTTTGGCCTAGTGATAGCATTCAAGGTCGGAAGACTGTACTTTTACCCGTTGATTCTTGCTCAGTCAAAGGACGACCCATTCGGCATGATTTAAACCTTGTGGGTACTGAGAGTCCCAGGCGTGACTCTCTGGAAGACCCAAGTGGAAGCTCAATAGCTCCGAGTTCGTCTCCAGGGCCGTCTGATAAAACAGATACAGACGCTTCCTCAGAAGTGGAAGCTGACCGAATATGGAAACATGAGTCATGGGTACAGATTGATGGCTTCACTGCACCTGTAGAGATTGGCCGTGTTCCTCGTAGGGCGTTAGGGTTCTTTCCGCGCTCGAGACGGAAGTCGCTTTCTTATACCGACTCTGAGAACCCTTCGTTCTCGGGACGCGAGAGAATCCCAAAATTATCCTCGACGTCATCACCCATTGAATCTCAAGCTTCGCAACCTACATCTCCGTTAGGGAATCGACCCCACGCGGACTCGTCGGGGTCACGAATCTCAGCTAAATCTAGCCCTACCGTACGCCATCAACGCCAGCGCAGCAACATACAACTTTCCGGGCCGGGCGTTGGTACCCTTGATCGTGACACAATGGCCCCTGGACCGGCTCTTGATGGTCTGAGTAAATTCTTTGCGCAGCATCTACCGAACCTTACTCCTGCTCCTGCTCCACCGAACTTTCAAGACTCCACCGAGTACACGTCAAATACAGTGTCCAACACTCCCACCGGCTTGGACAATATAGGCGGCGCAGTCGAGGGCTGGGTCCGGAAGATGACTAGTCGAGCGAAGGCCGGCCTGAATGAACTACAGCAAACCACACATAGCCACCAAATGAACGGCACGACCCGTCGAACCGGCACACGGGGAGTAGGAGACCTGATTGAACTTAACGACGGGTTAGAGTCTCGAGATGCTTCGAAGACACGGTGGAGACCTGAGTTCAACCGATCCGGAACAAGTCTTCACAACGGGACGTCAGTGAGTGGTCGCTACCCTAGCCCTTCGGCAGCAACGAGCAGGACTCGTGCCACGGGTGACAGGTTTAAGGACGATTGATGTCCAGGGATTATACTACTGCACGATTTGCTGCAAGACGACCTTCTTTCTTTTCGAAAATATTTTTATCTTCTCTTGGCAATCCGTTCGGGTAGCGGCAACGAGGGACCGGATCAACTCTTGTGGGTCTTTGTGATATAGGATATCTTTCATGTACGCTTATAGCATAGCGCGGCGCAACAGGGTCATACTGTTGGCTAGTTGATGATACATTGTAATTGCTTGTTGATTTATACAGTTGGCTGTTAGGATCGATTTTTTTTTTTTTTTTCGCTGTGGCCCGGCCATTTTTGTACTTAGCACCTTAGATTCCCTTTGTGGTGGTTTATGGGCTGGAGATGCCAAGTGCTGGTATACTTTTATAAGGCATCATGGGATTAATATAATTCTTTAGATTATTGGTCTACCAGATACGATATATCTGCAGTTTTTCGTGCTGAGCGGGTTATCCTTTATTTGAAAACGTTTTAATGCTTTCGAAGAGTGCTTTTTCCTTTACCTTGACTGCCTGCCCCCGGGCCTCCATTTAATCTCCAACAGAGAGACTTTCTTCAGAGCAGACGTGGTAGTCTACCGAGGAAATAGTCCGTAAGCTCTTCTGAAGCCTAAGCTTGGAGACTTGGGGAGTCTTACGTTCCAATACGAATACTAATACCACAATGCCTTGCGAAGGGACCACGCTTCCGCTCCTTCGGGATACACCATATTGCAAAAACGGAGCCTGGGTCTTACATACTCCCGTTCTTTTTCAGACCCTGATGCCTAGACATTCTAAACTACTTCTGGAATCATTCCGAACAACCGTGCAATATAAAATTTATAAGAATAATTATAAATTTTTTAGAGAGAGTACTATTCTAGTTTCAAAATTAGGCCGGCAACAGCCCCTTTTTATACCCTAATTTTCTTATCATATACTCCTCTTGTAGGCATGCAGCATATAATAGTCTTTACGTCAAGAGTGGCGGAATATAATAATAAATTTGTGATTTAGTAGTAATCTAATGTTGCAGAACGCATACAGTACACGTCATAGATACTAATTGCACACACATGCAGTACATAACATACCTATACGTCCTTTATTATTATAATTCCATACCGTATTGATAGTGTACAGGTAATATAGTTATTCCGGAGCCTACCCTAACACAGCTTAGTTTAGTCTGCATTAAGGCTTGCAAAACAGTGAAAGAGTGCAAGACCCCGGGCTCTGTTTTTACAACAGTGTGTACCGCCACATTAATGTCAGCCCTCGAGCAGGGAGAGGACATACTTCTTGAACTAGACTACCCTGAGCAGCGGGTAGACTTTTCCATGTTTGTTTACAGTAATCGTGGTGATATTGAATATATTGTGTCGTATCATCTTGGCCTAGGTCAGTCAGAGACCTGCAGGATTGGAGATGTAAACGAACAGGTACCCGGAAGCTCTAGTGATTGTATTCCAGTTTATGTCAAGAAACGCCATCAGCAACTGGAAAAGCGGGCTCCTATTAGGTTTCCGTTACCATACAAAATAGGTGACCAGATTCCCCAGCTTTGATCTTTGCTAAGACTAATACGATGATTGCGCAGTTGACGAAACCCGAGGACACCCTCTTGAAGACTAGCGTCCTTTGGTATCTCGAATGATACGTATCGTGGCTCTGGGGGTCTACCGTACACGATCTAATCGGGGAGCAGCTGGTCCTTTTCAGTAGAGTCCATGCGGAGTTTGCGGATATTTTCGTAGAGGAAAAGAAATCATGCAAGCAGAAGACATCTAGATAGCAAATATATTTATGCAGTAACAGAGACTGGTACCTTAATATAGACCGATATTTCTAGACGCGTCGCAAAGCAGGAGCACCGAAAATTAGCCAGCTAGGGCTTTCCAGATCAGGAATCAGATAAGATCCCAACTATATATAACCTATCACAAAAACTACCAGACACCAAACGCTGATCCACCTCCCTACTTTTTCCAGATATTTAACGTATTTAGCAATCTATTAAGACTATCTGAGCATAGTTAATTCATATAAAAATGGATATTATAGACCAAGTCACCTGATACACAGCTGATGACGTATTCGGTGTGACACCCATTTATGACGTATGCACCAAGATACTTATACTCAAAACAGCCAGTATGTGAACCAACAAACCATTTCTATTCTCAAACGTGGATACCCGCACCTGAGTTAACCAAACTTCCCGTCCAGCTTCACCCGTGGTAAATCATTCTCCAAAAAGAAAAGTCTAAAAGCAAATGGCGACTATATCGATCAACGCCCCGGGAGCGACAGGCTTCCTATACAACAACGCCTCCGGCAAAGCAAGACTATGCATATCGGCCGAAACGCTAGATTTCGACACAGAGACGCTGCGAAACTGGCGCGATGAGGGTTTCGATGTGATCTATGTGCCGTACGACGGGGGCGGAAAGGAGTATATTGCGAGACTGAAGAGTGTGAAGGAGGGATTAGGGGTTGGGGAGAATTATGCTGTGCTTGGTGAGTTTTCTTTTACTCTCTCTTTCATTCATTCATTTGCTTTGGTTGATTGCAGTGATGTGGTGGGATGGTGGCTGATTGAGATGTCCAGCGTTTGGAGACGCGGCGTCGTTTTGTCTGGATTACTACCTCAAACCTACTAATTGTAGCCGGCTCTGCGCTTTTGTCGCGTATTATCCCACTAATATCCCCGATACGCGGTCGCGGTACCCGCCGTCTGTTCGCATGCTGACGCACTTGGCTGGGAACACGGTCGACGTGACGACCAACCCGACTATGTTGGGCATCCAGGGGAAGAAAAAGCGGCAGACGCGCCAGATCAATCCGGGCATGGGGACCGGCGAGCGGCTGAATCTGGGCCATACGGCATATACATATGAGTATGTGCAGCCTGGATTCGCCGAGCATGATCTAGACGAGTATGATCGCCTGGCGTGTGAACTGGCGTTTACTCGGTCATTACAGGTCATGCGGAAGGGGTTCAACAAGGACATCGATCTGGAGGAAAGGTGGGAGGAACATCTCGAAGGTTAGTCCTATTATTCGTGTATTCCCTATAGTCATGGCTAACTGGCTATAACAGCGAAATTCTTCTCTATGAACCTGTCCAACACAATGGAACCCTATGTGAACCATCTCACCCCCACTGTAACCTACACCCCCACGGTAAGCGGGGGAATCGGGAACCACGCCTTGCGCCGGTTCTACGAGCAGAATTTCCTGCGCGCATTGCCGCCTTCGATGCGGTTGCGGTTGATTTCGCGCACAATCGGGACTGATCGGGTCGTTGATGAGTTGCATGCGGCGTTTCAGCATACGCATGAGATTCCCTGGATGTTGCCTGGTGTGCCGCCGACTAATAAACAGGTGGAGGTGATTCTGGTGAGCATTGTTAGTCTGAGAGCGGGCAGGCTGTACTCTGAGCATGTGTATTGGGATCAGGCGAGTGTGTTGGTCCAGGTTGGGTTATTAGATCCGAAGCTTGTGCCGCAGGGAGTGCAGGGGGTCGACCGGCTACCTGTCGTCGGACGAGAGGCTGCTAGGCGGATTTTGGAGGAGAACCCCGAGGTTGAAGGGAAGGAATATCACAATCGGCTGATTCGCAGGGCGAAGGCCAAGAATAAGGGCAAGGAGGGTGTGACCCCTGGAGTGGAGGAGTCCGGAACAGAGTATTTCAAGAGCGAAGCAGAGAAGCCGTTGGAGAATGGCAAGGGGAAAGGAAAGACTGTCCAGAAGCAACCCCCCGAGCACGGGCCGGAAGGTAACGAACGCCATAAGAATGGTAATGAGGAGGAGAAAATAGATGATCAAGATGGTGCAGATGGGGCTCAGACACCTACCCCGTCCAAGGGCTCTGCCTCGGTGGAAGATGCCAATGATGAAGAATGAGCCATGTCATGATATACCCGGTCGACATTATTAGTTTGTATCTAATCAGCGTAATCTTTCACGCTCCTTTGAATCTCACATTATTCCTACAATTGAAGGAACACCCTCAAATTAAATCATTACCACCCCTTCCATGGCACCCAAGTCTCTCTCACCACATCCTCCTCATCAACAACATAATAAACGTGATACTGCGCAGCAGTAATACAAGCATGCTGACAATAAAGATAAACCCTCTGCCCAACCCTAAACTTCTCCTCTACCCTCTCATCACCTGCAGTCCCCAAAATCCCATGCTCCTGCGACATACGCACAACCGACCAGTGAGGACTACCCGCCACATCCCCAAAGCCAGGCAAAGCACTCGTCTCTTTCGACAGCGCAACCGTCCCCGCATTAACCAACGCCTCGTTCCGCCCGGGGTAAACGCTACACACCTCAGCTGCGATCCGAACAGCCTGCTGCGACTCATGCACCAAACCAGTACAGACCTGCTGGAGGTCATTGGCCGGGTAATTTCCTAATAGCCATCCATCTATTAGCCACTTTACGCAGACATACCAACCCCCGTCCCTCGCCCATTTTATTTTAACAAAAGGGGGAAAAAAGAAAGAAAGAAAGGAAGGAAACAAACCAGCATGAACCTCCAGCACCAAATGTCCCGGCAAACACGCCCTCAGCGCACTAACAACATGCGCCGTCGGCGTCGATCCAATCGAAACAACCACCTTCCTCTCACCCTCCACATCCAAAAGCCCAGAAGCAGCAACCACCCCATCAAGCTCAGCCTTCAGCACAGCCCTTGCCTCCTCCTCACTCCTCGCCGCATACGAATGCCCCGCATGACAATAAAACCCCTCCACCTCCACCGCAGCAGACCCCTCAGCACGCTTTACAAGCGCCCTTAGCGCACCGGAGGACGTCTCCAGGCCTGCACGGTGCGACCCAACATCAACTTTAATGAACACGGGCCAGGGCATAGTGATTCCCGAGGTAGTAGCGTAGGACTCGAGGATATCGATGTGGGCCTCGTTGTCGACCATGAGGAGGATTTTGAGAGATTGGGAGAGCTCGGTTAGGGCTGGGAGGGCGCTGGGGTAGATTGGGAGACCGTAGAGGCACTTTTTTTTTTTACTCCCCTCCCATCCCCGGGTCTTTTGTTAGTATATGCTATATGTGGGGAGAGGCATTAGAGTGGGAGGGGACAGACCTCGTCCAGGATGCCTTCATTGACTAGGGGAATTGCACCGCGGATTTCGCAGAGGGTTGAGGCGACGATTTTGCGGTGCTGGCCGTTTCCGAGCATCATGCGGGTTACTTCGAGGGACTGCCGGGGTTGGGATTGTTAGTGGTTTTGGTGGATGAAATGGTAGGTGTGGGTGGGTGATTGGATGCTGCTTGCTTACCTTGAGTGTTTTGACGTGTGGTCGAAATGCGATTCCCAGGTTCTTGACATCTTCGAGGAGCTGTTGGGTGTTTTTTTCGAGGATGGGTTTGCTGAGGACTAGAGATGGGGTGGGGAGGTCTTTTGCTGGCCGGCCGATGAAAGATTGGTGGTTTTGGAGGGAGAAGTCCATATTTGAAGGTCAACTGGGTGTGACTTAGGGTTTGTTATGGATTGGACTTCGTACTGTACAAGGGTCAGAGTAGAGCCATGTTATGGGGGGAAATGAGGGGTTATTATATTCTTATTGGAGGGTCTCCGCACAGAAGGATGTCTTATAGTCAGTGCGGGTGTGGGGAGAAGTTGGTTCAGCAATTGAGTTACTACTACTTTAATCCTTAATTTCTAATGTAACCTTCGCTCGTGGCATGTCCACGTGGTTACATGGATCATGGCTTCGAGAACACCCTAAGATCGTAAAATAACATAAGAACATAAATTTCTAGGGATATACGTTGCTATTTACAATACATGACTTAATCCAATCTATTCTGCCAACCAATTCCTGTTTATACCGTCTCAATATACCGTTTGAACTCCCTATTATCTGTTAGTCGCGATTCATCTCGTGCGTCGGGCTGTCGACTTACCAATCAGTCACGGCCTCTCTCCACACCCGCAGTTCATGCTCGCGGGTTGCAGTGAAGAAGTCCACAAACTCCCCATCCAAAATTTCTCGCGCCACGCTATTAGGCGCGTTGAATCGCTTTAGAGCCTCTTCCAGAGTGTTCGGCAGCAGCGTCGGACGGGTGTTGTTCACCTTCATCGCCGACACAGGCGGTACCTTGATCTCGAGCTTCTTCTGCACACCGCGCCATCCAGCGGCGAGGATAACACTCAGAGCATAATGGGGATGCAAATCTGCGCCGGGAATGCGAACCTCAAATCGCGTCGCGCTAGGCTTGCATACCGGTGGTGTGATAATACGGATCGAGGCCATCCGGTCCTCTAGACCCCAGCTAACATTAACGGGGGCCCAGAAGTTCTCTACTAGACGCTTGTACGAATTGATGGTTGGTGCAAATAGGGGCATGATGTCTGGTAAAGCTTCTAGAATACCAGCGAGGAATTGACGGCCAAGGTCCGACAGTCCAGCTGCATCAGACCAGGGGGCATTTTCGTCGGGAGTTTCGCGCGCAAAAAGATTTTTGCCTTCAAGATCACAAAGGGAGATGTGGATGTGACCGGAGCTGCCTGGTTGGCCTTGGATCGGCTTCGCCATGAAACAGGGTGTGATGCCATGCTCGACGCCTATGGACTTTGCCAGAAGCCTTTTATTGTTAGCCTGTAGTGGGGCAGCAAAAATGGCGTACGTACTTGAACAAGGATACTCTGTCTGCCATTTCGCGTACATCGCATACTTTGAGGGCCTGTATAATGAGTGGTATATTCTTGCTCAACCTTGGGAAGACCACTCACTGCTTCATATACACCTGGCCCTCCCTCCGTATGCCACCCCTCAATTCCACAATTTATTTCTGCGGAAGTATTAAAAATATCATAGAAATACTTCTTGAATGCTACTGGTCGCGTGGCGCTGTAAGAGAAGCTGCCTGCAGTTATAGGGCGCAGAGAGGAAGGGGTGTTCTTTTCGAGGAAGGCAGCAATATCGTGAATCTGGGAGCCATTGGCGCCGTATCCGTCTTGTGAAGGGGTCTGGAAGTTCATGAACTCCAATTCCACTGATCTCATTAGGATGCGACTTGATTATTTTGGGGATAGACTGGAGACTCACCACCCGCCATTGCCTGACAGTTCTCTGCCGCAAGCTTATCACATATCGACTTCAACATATTCCGGCCATCTGCAGAAACAGTCTGGCCGTTCTGAATGAATCGTACCAAAAAGAACGGGATATTATCTTCCCAGGGGATCCTTCTGAAGGAGCTCAAATCTGGGATTGCGATAAAGTCCACATAACCCGAGTCCTTGGGGGCAATATTGGCATCGGTAGTATAGAGGACATCCTGCATGTCCCAGCCGAACACGGCAGAACTGAATCCGAATCCCTTTTGCGCGATGCCCAGGAATTTCTCCTTGGCCATCACCTTGCCCCGGAGGATGCCATCGCAGTCAATACCGGCTACTTTGACTTTGATGTCATCTGCCAGGACACTCGAGAGGTTCTCTAAAGTGATAGTTGTAGCCATTTCGATTGTATAGTCTATTTGTACAAAAGATGTCAATTGTGAAGAAGAAGGGAATTGCTAAGGCAAAGCTTTAAAGAAATTCGGAGAAGACTGCGAACCGAGTCCCGACGCGGCTGCTTAGCTCCCATCGCGCAATACATCGCACTAACTCTACTCCGATATCCACTTGCATCGCTCATGATACCATCTGGTAGGAGGGGTAGATTGGTATGACCTCAAACCGCGCTGGAGTTGGAGAAAGCAAGCTGTCCAGAGAGCTTGCGGAATGTTGACCGCGGACCGCGCTGCGGGGAAGCAAAAAGACCGCGCTTATCGATAAGACCGATACCCCACTTTCTCCAACAGGCAACTTTTGGTGATGCTGGTTATTATCATTACTATATCCATTACTCCTGAAGATGTCGCCTCTTTTGAGAGACTTACGAATTAAATTGTGCTTCTATCGCCAACACTGGAACCATCATGACGCGCATTTTCCGAGTTGCTGTCCTGGAGTGCGACACGCCCATCGACCCCGTCAAAGCTCGTTACGGGACTTACGGCGATTTCTTCGACCGTCTCCTAGCTCCAGGTCTCAAAGAACTTGGAGTAGTTGAGACCGAGATACAGATCACAAAGTGGGACGTGGTGAAAGAATCCGTCTATCCCAAACCGGATGAATTCGACGCATTGTTGTTGACGGGAAGTAGTATGTCTAGGATCGCCCAAAATGATGAATCGTTTTAACAAATACAGAACATGATGCGCATGCCGATATACCATGGATAAATGAGTTGACGGAATACGTCCGGGGGATATTTGAGCAACAAAGGAAGCCCATCGTTGGAATATGTTTCGGACACCAGATTGTTGCGCGTGCTCTCGGCGCTCGCGTGGGTCGCAACGATGCGGGATGGGAGATAGCAGTGGAATCCTTTCATTTGAGTGATGCTGGAAAGCAGCTGTTTTCTCGGGATGATCTGGTAAGTCATCTAACGGGATTTATAGGCCAGGGCTGACCGATATAGATTTTGCACCAGATGCACCGCGATATTGCGTACGAGGTTCCCCAAGGATGCGTCAATCTCGGCTCTAGCCCTCGATGCGACGTACAAGGACTATACATCCCCCGGCGTCTGTTGACTCTACAAGGCCATCCTGAATACGATGAGTTTGTGATGACGGAGTTGATCCAGATGCGACATGGGCAAGGAATCTTTGATGATAAGCTAGCGAAGGATGGGTTGTCGAGAGCGGGGAGACAGCATGACGGCATGGCCATTGGGAAGGTTATCTGCAATTTTATTCTTTCCTGAGATATTCCAAGTAGTCTACTATGAACGCATGTGTATATAGAGATCAGCCATAGAAGGCCATAGGATCTAACAAAGTATTATGAGCTTGATACATTGAATGTTAGAGCTACGAGCATTTTGGACAATTGGGTATAATGAACCGAACGAGGAATTTTTTGTAGAATAAGGTAACATATTGTACAATATGTAGAATCTAAGGCTAGGTGCATTAGCACGCTCCACATAATAACCGCGCCTGCATGTGTGTTATCGGAGCGCGCTAGTTATCGATAAGCTACAGCTTGGGTATATTTGGCCCTACAACCTTTTTCTCAACACCGCAAACTCACCTTATCGCTTCTCCAGGCCACACATACTAGATACATCATCCAAAATGAGCAACCAGATCCGTACTCTTTCTCCCTCCACGAACAAAGTCATCTTTGAGCACCCAGGGACCTCCCTCGATGAAGCTCGAACGATCGCCCAAGCATCTGAGAATGCCTTCCAGTCCTACAAACAGCTCTCTCTTGCTGATCGCAAGGCAATCATTGTTAAGGCGTTAGACATAGTTAACGCAAACAAGGAGACCCTCGCCAATGAGCTCACGGCCCAGATGGGCCGTCCAATTGCCTACTGTACAAAGGAAATCGACACAATGCGCAAACGCGCAGATTACCTCCTAAGTATTGCGGACGAGAGCCTCAAGAACCTGCCAGGACAGGCTGAAGATGGATTCAGACGATTCTTGAAGAAGGAGCCTCTTGGTGTGACCTTAATCTCGACTGCGTGGAATGTAAGGCAGCACGTTCTGTGGTCTACCCAGAAACTGGACACGAGCTAACAACTGTATTTGTAGTACCCCTACCTGATCACCGTCAACACTCTTCTCCCTGCTCTCCTCGCCGGAAACACAGTTCTTCTCCGCCCCTCTCCGCAAACACCCCTCCTCGGCGAGCGGCTCGTCTCGTACTTCCAAGAAGCGGGACTCCCCACTAACGTCCTCCAACTCCTTCATGTTGGCTCGCTCGATGTTCTCGACGAGATCGTCAGACTCCCCCAGATTAAGCTGGTCTCATTCACCGGTTCTACAGCGGGAGGAATCCGCCTCCGCGAAGCGACTGCTCGCCGTGTCGTTCCAGTAAATCTAGAGCTAGGAGGAAATGACCCTGCCTATGTCAGACCGGACGCAGATGTAGCCTACGTCGCAGCACAGCTCGTTGACGGAGCCATTTTCAACTCAGGACAGAGTTGCTGCGCAATTGAGCGTGTGTATGTCCACGCCGATATCTACGATGCATTCATCTCCGAGGCGCAAAAGGAATTGAGCACGTTAGTTTTCTCTACCACCCCCCCCGGCAACCTTTGTCATATCTAGAGTTAACAAGACGAGCAGTTACAAACTCGGCGACCCAACCAATAAGTCAACCACAACCGGCCCTGTCATCTCCAAACAGGCCCTTGCAAACATCCAGTCGCACATCGACGACGCCCTATCCAAGGGCGCCGTTGACTCTACCCCCCAGAATGCTACATTTACATCCACACCCGCCGAAGGCAACTATATGGCTCCCAAGCTACTAACAAACGTCTCTCATGACATGATTACTATGCGCGAAGAAACCTTCGGTCCTGTCATGCCTGTTATGAAAGTTTCGTCTGATGAAGAGGCCATTGCTCTTATGAACGACAGTGACTACGGGCTTACGGCCAGTGTTTGGACGAAGGATATCAAAGCTGGAGAAGCGCTGGTCGAGAAGATCGATGCGGGAACTGTCTATATCAATCGCTGCGACTACCCGAGCCCGGTATGTTTCCCTTCGGCGTGTAGTATCCTGTGACCGAAGGGTAATTATACTGACTGACTTTACAACAGGATCTGGCGTGGATTGGATGGAAGAACTCCGGTCTGGGATGTACATTGGGGCCGCAAGCCTTTGATGGATTTTATAAATTGAAGAGCTTCCATATCAAGGAGGCGCAGGCTTAGTGTAGGCTGAGTTTGAAGAGTAGAATGGTCTATAATGAAATACGATGGATGCTTTATATGTAACTACTATCGTGCAGCTCTTCTTATTTATTAAAAAAACAAAGTAGACAGCGCCATCCGCGCGAAATACTAAACTATAGCCTCACTGTCAACTTCTAAGCTTGAATGGATTAACAAAGCCCCTACGCGCGCCATAATCCAAATCTACCTCCATCTCTACGGGTACGTTTACCGGGCTGTGGTTCTGGGAGTGGTAGCGGTTTAGGGGATCGGGTGCGTTGGTGTGTCGGGGTCTGCGGGTGTTGTTGTTGGATATTCTGATGTGGAAGTTTGGGGTGGGTTGGGTTGGGAGATTGTGGTTCATGGGTAGGTGAAGGAGGGCGGGGAGGGAGCTTGGGGGTAGTATAGTGAGTAAGTATCGCGCTCCGGGACCGCGCGAGGGGCAGCAGTAAGTAAATAGCCCCACGCTTATCGCTGTCTTATCGCTGCCGAGGCAATGGAGCGATGTCTGTATTGTGGACCATTGTGGGTAAGCTCTTACCGCGGTGTGGACCGTGTATCGCGATACACACTGTGTTATCTTCTTATTGTGTCGATGCGGGGTCTACTTATAAAAGGGGGGGAGGATCGTACGTCCTATTCCAATAGCTCTCATTCACTACTACACAATTGTTCGCATTGAATTGTTGACCTTGAGTTAATCACCTATAAACGTGAATCTGAGATAAAACACAATGGTCGGAAGATTAGCCGGAAAGAATGCCATCGTTACCGGTGCCGCTGGGTAGGTTATAATTTCTTGCGAAGTACAGCCGAGAAATAATTACTAAGGAGGTGTCTTACAGAGGCATCGGTCTCGAAACCACAATCCTTATGCTCCGCGAAGGCGCCTCCGTCCTCATGACCGATATCAGTGAACAGGGTCTTGAGAAGGCCATTGCGAAAGTGAACCAGGTTGTTCCCGAGCGCGATGGCAAAGTCGAGTACCGCGTGGTGGACGTGTCCAAGGAATCCGAAGTTGAGGCCGCTGTGGTACACTTGGATTCGTGGGGCGGCATTGACGTGATGTTCAACAACGCCGGGATCATGCACCCCAAGGATGGTGACTCGGAGGAGACGCCCGAGGCGATCTGGGACCTGACGATGAACATCAATGTGAAGGGGGTGTGGTATGGAAGTAAGCATGCAGTGAAGAGCTTCCGCAAGCACGGTAAGAAGAAGGGCAGTGTGATTAACACGGCAAGTATGGTTGCACTTGTGGGAGCTGCTACGCCGCAGTTGGCGTACACGGCGAGCAAGGGTGCAGTGTTGGCAATGACCAGAGAGCTGGCCATTGTGCATGCCCGCGAGGGCTTCCGCTTCAACTCGCTGTGCCCAGCCCCTCTCAAGTAAGTCCTCCCTTTCCTGCTGGGTGAGCAGCTGGAGCTGACGAATTCCCAGTACACCACTGTTGCAAGATTGGCTCGGCGATGATAAGGAGAAGCGATTCCGACGGGAGGTTCATTTCCCCACTGGCCGTTTCGGCGAAGCCATTGAGCAGGCCCACGCTGTCATCTTCCTGGCGAGCGACGAGAGTAGTTTCGTGAACGCCGCGGACTTCGTCGTCGATGGCGGTCTCACGAAGGCTTATGTCACTCCCGAGGGCTCTGCCACTGAAGCACCAAAGAACTTGGCCCAATAGACAGAAGCAGAGTTGCGCTGCTACTCGGCGAAAGTTCATGAATGATGATGTACTGTACATATATAGCCACGTTTAATCAACCATTATGCAAACGAGATCCAGATCTGGTGCTGCTGCATTGCCCGGCATATATTCCAAGGTCCAGCCTCCTCAAGAGGCATTCGCCACATATGTTCTAGTAATAGAAGGGTTCGCTGCATGTTGCCGAGACCGAATGTGTTGACCATGACGGCCAACCGCTGTCGCAGCTGCTCCTGCTGGTCTACATCAAACAGACAGGACCCGACCACAGCAATGGGCCAACAGAGACCGGAGTTGATGCGGGCGGTCGCAGATAGCTGGTCCAGATAGGACATCGCTTCCGTTATGGCAGTGTTGATCAGACCCTGGTGCATCCCGTTCTCTGCCCGTGAAAACGAACCCAGTGAGGTGTAAAGATAGAGAAGCATAGCTTGTTGGAAGACCCGACCAGCCAAAAAGACCTCAGGAGTAACGAATGTGAACGGATTCCATTGCATGATCTGGGCCTGCAAGGACCCAAACATGGCAATATCATCAGCAGTTGGCATAGCCGATTGGCCATCGACCATCATCCACTGGCGACCCAAGTCGAAGATGCACGGTATCATGAGCAATAGCTCTAACCAGCAGCCACAGAGGTTTCCCACGTACTCTGACTCTAGCAACTGCCGAGCCTTCTGTTCTAGGTCGAAGTTTAGTAGTAACTGATGGCTGACCCGCGCATCTATGGAGATCATGCTTACGGCTGCAGTGTAGGCGTAGTATTCGATGACAAAGTCTTTAAGGTCCTTCGGCACTGCTGAATCGCTTAGTGAGAGGAGTCGGGTCAATAACGAGTTTGCCGCTGATAGATGGTCAAATATCGTCCCGTTCATGTCTCCCTTGGCTGTCTGTTAAAGTGTAAGCAGCCTAATTCCATTTACGTAATTGAGAAAGAGTACCTCGGTGAAACACATCACAAGAGCCCCAACTGTGAGCATTAATGGGTTGGACTCTTTCCCATCAATAAACTCAGTGACGCCCTTGCGGAAAAGTTGCAAAGCTTTGGTATAATGAGTCTGAGCCACCTCGTCAGAGTCGTTTCGACACCGAAACGCTCGATGCGCAGCGCTCTGCGTTAGAACCAGCTGGAGCAATAGATCACTGGAGAATGCCAGAGGAACAATTTGGACTAGAAAAGGGTTGACGGGAGTAGATCCATTAGCCATCACGTTGGCGGTTGTTGCGAGATAATGGCTTAGCAGCTGGAATGATTCATGGCTGTACCCGGGGAGCATGGAAAGGCTCCGGGGCATGAAGCTCCCAATCGTCATTGAAGTAGGCGGATCTGGCCCGGAGATAGAATTTCGTGGAGTATTATGGGAATAACCCATTGGAACGAGTTCTTGTTCATCAGCTGGGGGTGAGAAGCCTTCTGCAGCGTCGAAGCCGTTCGACAGCGCTGATGGGGACACGGCTGACCCAGACGGTGAACAGGGTGAGCCAGACGATTCGCGATGCGTTTGTATGGTGGATGGGCTGTCCGGTTGGTCTTGTGTAGCTTGTTGAACTCTCGCATTGAAGCCATCTGACCTTGTGGAACTGGCGGGTATATTAGCCGGCCACTCGCAACTGAGCTTGTTCCGCACACATCCCCCACACGATGGCCGAACTTCATCGCACTTTTTCTTTCGCCGTCTGCAGGTGTAACAGCCGGTCCTCACTCGAACAATCGGCTCAGTTCGTATCCGTTTATTGGGTGGCATGATGATTGTAGCAATGCGATGAGCGCGTTAGCGTCGGGACTCGGATAGGAGGAGTCACGGTCTGGGTCTGGGGGAGAGGGAGATGAAATGGAATACAACTTTATGTGGCCAGGATAAGACCGAGTGGAGTCAGTGGGGTCCTTGCGATTGGCTCACGGTCACCGGATCTATTGATGTGTGGGGAAAAATACCGATAAGATAGATAAACAAGAACATTTCATTTCATTCATGGTTCTAGATAGGACTCTCTTCTGTGTTCAAATATAGAAATACGACCACGATCCTTTTTATCTTTCACACCCACATAATGTTCTACAGCCAATTTTAGCAATGCATGTATGATATTAGTATCTATTCGCAACCAGTCAAGAACAACTTCCGAGGCCTAATCCATGCAAAATAGCTCGGAAACGCAGACATGTTATTGCAGACTTCCTTCGATGTCTTCTCGATATCATAAAGCTTCCACACCCGTAGGACCCAGAGACTAAGCGCCCCCGGAATGATGCTTCCCACATAAACTTGAGCACTTAAATACCCGAGTGAGCGACTAGATTAAGAGCTATGGGCTCGGCAATGGTGGTTGGAATGACGAGCGTAAGGCAGATTAGCGCAAATGTGGATGGTAGACGACTGAGACCGACCACCTCCATCATCACTGGGCGTCATTGGTCCCCAGAAAGTTCCATAGACAGTTCCGACTAAGATAGCAAAAGCGAGTAACAGGGCGTATGTCTTAACAGGGATCTAAAACGCAAAGCAAATCACGCCGCAAAGGCCGGTCATCAGCATAGGGTTCGTTATACGACCAAAAGAACCACTAGGATAGCCAACAATTGGTCGTCCTATAATTAAACCCAGGCTGAGAGAGGCGCCTGCGACGGAGCGAGTCCCGTTGTGGAGTAAGGCCGATGGGTGAGGCATAGTTAGGAAGCAAGTATCGTACGTTATGTACCCAATCTCGGTGGTGACGCCCCAAAAGCCTAAGAGGAGACTATCGATTTGACTGATGCTACGGTAATCGAACGTGCGTGGAACTCTCCGAGACTGACTTTGTTTACGATCTTTCAGAAGGAGTGCAGATACTAAATCTGCGACCAGATTGCAATATGATAACATCCGGTACGTTTCCCTAAACCCCAACGTCTGAATAATGTGACCTACACCCGGGTTGTATGCAAGGCCACCGATGCCCGAGCCGGTAGCAGCTAAACCGACGGCAAAGCTCCGTCTGCTGGAGAACCGCTGAAGTAGAACCGACATAGCGGTAAGGTATACGAAACCCAAGCCAAACCCATTTACGACAACTTGTGTGAAGTGAAGGTGCCAAATTTTGTCACTAGGTATTCACGGGTTTTGGTGGCCATGTGACTGGATGATGGGATGGCAGAAGTTGAGGAGGACTGAGAATGGGATAGGGAAGCGACACACTACCATTGGGCTACGAGGCAGCAAAAGGCACTCCAGAGTTTAGCAACGTGCTTAATAGCAGTGTGGTCGTGGTTCCAATCGTCTTGTACGTTTTCATCACAACAAGGCCAAGGAACAAACTGGTGGCGATGGATAGGCCGCCCATAAACGCATAATTCAGATGTGTCCCATTGGGGAAGGTTGAATTGGACAGGAAATAGTCCAGGATTACTCCCCAGGTGCTGCTGATGCCCCAGGTGTGTACGTTCACCAAAATAACGCAAAATGCGCAGACCCAACCGTACCCTCCACTGGGGGGTATATCTTCCAAGACTTCAGTACTGCTGGCATTTATCGGGGTAGTCTCCTCATTTCGGATGGGCGAGTTTCTCTTGTGATTTGCTGTCGTACAACTGATCTTCCTAAATCGACGTAGGCCATCGTGAAGCAGGCTCTTGAATAGAATCTGGGATAAAGCCTCGTACCTCCACAGCAACCTTACTTGCATGGACGGGGATGTTAATGAAGAAAGGTCCCAGAGGAGAGAAGGAAAAAGCCATATGTGGTGGCCTCCTTTACACCTAGTCATTCATTAATTTGATTGCGTTGGAACACCAGGATAAGCCATAAATCGAACCTGGATGCATATTGCCTAAGCCGTGTCAGGGATACAGTGAGACAGATGACAGGAAGTAATGGTAACGTTGCGGTAGAGGATCGGGGTTCGTGCCACTGGAATGCGTGGATTTCGTTTCCTACGGAAATAGTTCTGTAATTGAGGACCATCATAACTGACGGCTAATTGGAATCAATCTTATATTGAATGATTGACTTCATACTGTGCGTAACTGTCATAGTGATATAAGGGTTGAAAACCTTGACATCGCACCCCTGGTACGGTGTTTCAAGGAGATATTTGGATTCTAGACTGCGATAGTAAGTGGACGGTGTTCGAACATAACTCTCTCACAGGGATTGGCCGGGGCTCAGCTGCTAAGCCGAAGTATTGGCACGTAAAAGTCACAGCTCTTTATAGAAGCTGACGTGTATAAGACTCTGCAATGACATAGTAAGCTGATACGATGGTCATCTCTTCAACGAGCCTAGAAACGATTAGTATCCAAAGCGACTTAGTGCTACACACCTACAACATGATTAAGGAACCCAGTTTGAGGAAGGTCCCGCAGGAAGATGTTCCCAAATGGTAGCACTGATCAGGTCAACATGGAGGAATCGATGTATTTTATGATGAACGAAGAATTTGCCGAATGGAGGAGATGATCCATCGAGCAGTGGACTTTGAGATACAGGTCAGATCTTTGGATCTTTGAACCGAATTATATGCAAAGGGGATATTTACTCCTTGCCAAGTTCCTCACGCGCTAGCGATCGGCGACCTTTCAATAAACTTATAACGAGGAGAATCAATACTATGTACTATGTCACGTGAAGTAAGAAGCTACCGAACTCGAGACTCCGCAGGGTTCTTCCTTTCTTTCCCCCTTTCGAAATTTATTCCTGGATTGTACTACGTTGCACATTTAATCCTACAAGCAATGAGCGGGCTGGCAAGAAACATACAACCCTTGAAAGAACACAATCGGAAGAGAATTTACAGTCCACGGTCCAGGACAGGATGTCGAACCTGTCGGTAAGACTCTTCATTACTAACCTATCCGGATGTTCACCAAACTGAGCTTCTTATTTTCACACAGTCTTCGCCATGTAAGGTGTGATGAATCTGCAGGCGCATGTACAAACTGTACCTCCACTGGCCGGTCTTGTCCAGGGTATGAGCGCCGGCTGCCTTTGACACGCAAAGCCATCCGTGGTGTACATTTATATCCACCCGTGGCTAGTGTGTCTCACACAGCTATGACCTCGGACGAGCGACGATGCTTCTCCTACTATCAATATTATACAGTTCCTACCCTTCTTAGATTCTTTGACTCACTGGTATGGCAAACTTTTGTCCTCCCGGTTAGTAGTATAGAGCCAGCTGTCTTCCATGCGCTAGTAGCTCTAAGTGCAGTGCACCAGAACGTGGAGATGGACAAAAACCTACCGGTGACGGCCGGTAGCCATAGCGATTGGCAACACTTCGCATTGGAACAGTTAGGGCGGTCATTCGCACTTCTGAGAAGCCGTTGTACTTCTCAGGACCCTGTGATAACGGAAGTGGTTCTTGTTTGCTGCTTGCTTTTTCTCACACTGGAGTTTATATTAGGAGAGTATGATAACGCATTCAAGCATCTTCAACACGGTGTACAGATTTTGAGCGAGGTGAAGGCACAGGCGAAGGACCGCTTGCATCCGCCTATAGAGAAATGTTTGCTCATGGCATTCGCCCACCTTGAAGTTCAAGCCTCCTACTTCGGGGCCCCAGGCCCAACACTCGGTTGGGATAGTGAGCTGGAATGCTGTTCGTTGGGCCCCACCCCTCAGCTGCAGCTGCATAGTGTACAAGAAGCGCGTCACCATTTGGAACCCATGATGAGCGCTGTTGTGGGGTTGGATGGGCTTGCTCTAAATTTCTCAGATGAGGATATTGAATCAAACTATCACGCAGTACTGCAATCAAGACAGTTACACATCATTTCACTGCTAAAGCAATACTCTCAGGCGCTCAAGGCCTTTCGCCGAGAGGCATACTTCTCGCTCAAACCCAAGGACCGAAGAGGGCTTGGTTTACTTGAGTTAATTCAGATTAGCTTGAGCTTAAGAATGGAAATGCCCTTTAATCACCTGTCTTGCAATGATCCGCAGTTGAACGACTACACCCCGAAGTTCCTGACCATCCTGTCTCTTGCGGAAAAAATTCCGAGCGAGAACTCAGATCTCCCAAGCATCAGTATGGACACCGGCGTTATTCCTCCCCTATACTTCGTGGCACAGAGATGTCGTGACTACAGTGTTCGTTGGCGCGCAATTGGGGTACTCCGTTCCTGTGGCCATCGGGAAGGGCCATGGGATTCGAGTCTTTTGGCTCGTATAGCCATAGAGACTATGAAACTTGAAGCGGCGGTAACAGCTGAACGGGATTGTGACGACATTCCGAGAGACTATACGCAGGAACGCCCTCCCCATTGTAAAGACTATATAATAATATCAGATGATTGGCGATGGGGGCGTATACCATACAGGGTTGGTAAGTCCGTGAAAGAATGGTGGTTCAGCCTCGAGAAGGAGGACTCCGGCGTGCCAAACGCCTTTACATGCAAAACTGGCACTGCAGGCTGGATCCGTGTTTTGCTTAGCCCTCTTACCTTTTCTATTCCTCGGCATCAGCGTAGGTTACCAAACGATATGGACGACGACAGTTTATATTGCCGGTCGATTGAGGAATATAAATTTAGATGAAGAACGGGCTCGGACCGGACCTGTACAGTTAGGCCAAGTCGTCTATCATAGTAAGCCACCGAAGCTGCGCATTGCGCAACTCAAGTTGTCAAGTTCCCATTGACGAAATTTGATTTGACTATCGGGATCGTTCAAGGGACCTCAAATTTTATTTCCAATGGATAGGTTTCTGGAGAACCTCCCAGGTCGTGTCACCTGTTCTTCGTGAACAAGGTAACAGCGGTTTTCCTAGACTCAACTGGGAACGTCGCACTGACTTTAGATACCCTCATAGACTCTGGCAATACCGGCAGATCTAATTCTCGTTCTTAAGGAACTCCAAATGTTGGAAAGTCTCCGGACATGCATTTGTCTCGATAAAAGCCTCCTTCCTCAATCTTTATAACTTCTAATGCAATGTGAGCGGCTAGGCTTCCTTCCAAAAGGCCTTCTCTGTGCGCTGCGGAAATCGATAATTTGGCAGCCTGCCGTCGGATTCGCGGCGCCCGACACTTGAGGGCTGTGTAGTAGAGTGGGGGAATCAATCCCATTCCGACAATAAAGCTGGAATTTCCCATGGGGTAATTGGGTGTTTGACTGGCTGTCATAGCCGGTGAGGCGAGGACAAGTATGTCAATCAGCCGAGCGATCACAGATGAAAAGACTTGTGTATGCGAGCCAAACATTGATTCGCCTGGGAAGACAAGTGGATGCCACGATTGTCGCAATGATGTGGTATACATGTCACAGTTGGTCAGCAGGTACGTCTCTATCATCCATTGTGCCGTTTAAGTGGATATGAGATGCTTTGTAAGTTCTCAGCCATATTGTAAGATTTGCCTGGAGACGCTGGTGGCGATCGAGTAATACCGGCGGGTGGTCGAGTTTGTGGAAACCTGTACCTGCTGGCACCGTTGTTGGAGATAATGAATCTTGCAAAATAGATACTCAAGATGTTATCTAGCATGTTTGATAGATTGGAGCACGAAGGGAAGAAGCTGCTTTTTGGGATCTGGAATGATAATAGAGGACTGCCCCAAGCTGTACCCAAGGTCTGCCGAGTGCAGAGTGCAAATTCAGTCTGGCAATGGCCTCAGCTAGGTCATTGTCCAATATATCAGTATCTGCCCTCCGTATGATGGCATTGCTCTCTTTTGTGGAAGACCTATGCAAAAGCTCTTCGAGGAGTTTCAATCCATTCCGAAGATGGGCGTTGCCTACTATATCGCGACCCCGCAGAGCCTCCAGACAGATGAATACCATGCAGGTAATGAGCGTGATATGAAACGCCTCCCGTGTTTTGGTAGCAAGATAAGGCTGGGGATGGCGGATTGATTTATTATACTGTTGTAGCGTAAACTGATCATGTGGGTGTAAGGGGGGGGGGTTCGTCTCTGTCGAATTATGGATGGCTAATATGCCATTCTTATGTACCAAACTGGGCTCTAGAATAGCGTGCAAGACTGCTGGCTCCTGAAGCCAGCCTGCCGTACCAGGGCATCCCAGAATGTGGAACTGAATACCCTCTTAAGATTCACTGCTGTCCGGTCTTTGAACCACTCAAGATGACCCTTTTCAGATTCGGACATATGATTGAATGGCACGGTGGCATAACGTGTAAGCACGTTGCATGGTTGCAAGCGGATGATCGTATACACTGCTCCCACCTCCCCACACCTCATACCCCTCACACGAGCGACCCGTAAATACACATCGCTGGCATGAGAGGCGCGTCTCGTCGCATTTCACACGGCGCATCCTGGGCAAGGTTAGCTAAGAAGACACCCACAGACAATGAAATGAATGAGCGGTTAGACCTGCAGGTGCGGCAGCCCGACTTGGTCCTGGTCTTTCCATTACTAGGTCTTTTGCTGTCAGATGACCGTTTGGCCATGACTGCCAGAGTTAAGGACCAGTCGACGAAAACCGAATGGGTACTTCTATGTTGCTTAAAAGGCGTAGGTGCAGCTGGTGAGGTCTTTACATCACATCTTCAATGTCGGGGATTGGTTCGCTCGCTAATTCAGGGGCACCATTCTTTAGACTGACTTCCACCTGGCAGTAAGAAGATGCATTTGGGCCGAGTCAGGCGGCAAATCCAAAAGTGGTGTTGCTGCTTCTCCTATTCCATAAATGCAAGGATCAGGGCAGTTTGGGTTGAAGTCCTATTACGCATACCAGGTACACATCAAATTTTTGCGCTACTTTAGGAACGGCCTCATCGATGTCTGGCTTCATTTGACCATGATCTACGATTACATGGAATGTATCGAGCTGGGCCTTGTATGCTAGTGATGCTGGACAAGGTCCGGCAGATATGTATGCACCTAGGTCAAAGCTTCGAGTGTTCGTAACAATTCCGAGCGCACAGTCATTCTGGTTTCTGGTCCCTACAGGCATTGGTTACAGCAGTGCTTTCAATCCCTGGATTGAACTGATGGTTTTACTAGAGTATATACCCTATCATCTAGCTTTTCATGCGACATTTGCCTTTCGATATGTCTTCAGTGCAAGTCACCGCTATACCAATAGAAAATATAAGTGAGTAATCAAGGGCACATATATACGAGGGTTGCCCAACCATACATGATAGGACCAAAGACTAGCTTTACACAAGAGTATCCGAACGGCAATAACGATAGTTTTGCCGTTAGGTACGTAGCGAATCCGATATACCCCCTTGTCTCCAAACGACTGGATGAATCGGGTTCCCCAAACTAAGGTATCTACTCAGTTATGCCAGTCTGAATATCTCCGTTCTTCTATAGGTAAGCACGACATTAGTAGATGATTCTGGAAAAGTAAAGTTTTAGACCTAGTAGTAAGCGTAGGACACCATGACATACCAACTTCCGGCTATACTTGATGCCAACATTGTTCCCACTAACAGAGTCATACGGAATTGGGCTGTTGTAGTTGAATGTTGCATCGATATCCTTCCAAGTTTGCTGGACAATGGGCAAGATGCCATGACCGGCGGAGCAGCTGCCCTCTGTCAATGGAGCAGGCCACTCTGGCGTGAAAGTGTTGTAGTGCCCAGAAGAAAGCGGACCAGGATGAGTCTCATTAAGTAGTAGATCGCCGGTCTCAACTTCCCAATTTACGTACCCGGTCTTTTCTGCCAAAAAGCTGAGCAGGTTGGCTCCGCAATCCCAGCGACCCAGAGAGGGGAGACCCCAATTGGCGGAAAGGGACGCAATTATGGAGTAGTGGGTGTAGAAAGTGTCATCCTTCTTGCCCCGAAGATTCTCTGGCACAGCACCTCCAACAATGACGCTATAAATATGGTTGCCAATCTCATAGGTATCATTCTCGTCGAAGGTCAACATGATGAGAGTGTCCTTAGTGAAGTACTCATCTTCCAGAAGCTCCGAGAGGAAACGCCAGGTCCAAGCTCCAGCAAAGGTGATGTCGGTGTCATGTGCATCGTTGGTCATGTTCGGGGTGACAAAGCTGTACTGGGGTAGACGCTGGTTCTTCAGGTCATCATAGAAAGTTGTGAAGTTCTTGATTTGGCGCAGGCGGGTGGCATCCTTGGTTACGGAGTTGTAAAATACTAAGGGGTTATGCTTCCGCACGTAGTCGTTCGCACGAGTCTCCTGATTGGAAAAGTTATTTCCTTGGTAGCCGGGATAGGGCATGTGTTCTTGGTACTCGCCCCACGCGATATTCTTCACGTCGAAGATATCCGCGATGGTGGAGATATTGGCGGGAACTTGATTGAACTTATCGTTGTCCATACCGAAGGTGTCACCTCCGGCGGAAGCGCAGTAGTTCGGCTCCGATGGATGTGTGACTGCCCAGTAGTTGCTGAGGACAACGCCCTTTTCGGCAAGCTTGGAAATATGGGGGTCATTTGCAGCAGCATCATAGTCCTGTCGTCATTTCGAGTCAGTGAGGACTCCTGTAGGGCACATGTTTCAAATTGCCAGGAAGAAAGGTCATACAGTGTTTTCTAGCCAAATATTCACAAAACGATTGAATGCGAGGCCCTGGACATTGGACACAGGAGTATGGGGGAGAACAGTGGCCTGAGCAGCCAGAATATCCTCTAAGGAAGGGTATTTCTCTGATGATGTCTGAGCTGCAGCGAGGGACAAACCCCCAAGCAGGGACACGACGGACCATCTGGTGAACATGACGCTCGCTGAAAGAGGGACAGTAGACTTTATAGAAACAAGTAACCCTCGCAGAACACGTCAGAGAGAGAGAGAAAGAAGAAGAGAAGAAAGGGGAATGAGTCGGGCTCCTTCTTATATGCACGAAGACAGAACCTTGCATATAAGCAATCTAAAGTTCTAACGGTGGGGACAGGCACTCGGAATTGGCCTGCCCCAAGGGTATCTGTATGATCCTCGGGACTTCATTGATTCTGCTACGCAAGCGACCATCTCAATGTAACTTCGGGAGCGAACTTCTGCACGTTGGAAATGAATGTCCGCTGACTGGCCGTGAGGGGGGATCATCCGCGAGGGCCCAATTAGGAAGGCGATCTGCTTCTAGGGCTAGGGAGACCGCTGATTGGATCGTTGCATCACGCAAACTTCAGGCGGGGTTAGTGCCTGGCACGTGCCCGGCATCAATCAACGGGAAGAAGCCGATTGTCAATCATATAAAGATCGGAAATCGATAGGAACGATTACGTTATGAATATACTCTATTACCCCGCAGCATAAGGATCCCGGTAAGATCCAGTAACTTCCAAGTTGCTTGCTCAGGGTTTCAAAGAATAGGGCTGAAATGAGCCTAATAAGACAAGAATACATACGCGGTCTTTTTACCTGCTCCAGCCAGGAGCGAATGATAGACAGTATGGTCAGACGATGTCAAACGAGTACCAAGAAACAAAAAACCAAGAAAACCAAGAAACAAAACGCAAAGAAAATTGTATAACTAGGTTTCAGTGATGTGTAATGTGTCTGTGGCACAGCTCTTGATCAAGATAGGACCCTTCCTAGCTTCCAACTGATATATTTCTTTTCACCAATATAGTTACACTTCTAGACCCTTCCGAACAAGCACCCCCCTATATCTCATGTTGCCATCTCGCAGAGTCTGCATCGCTCCCTCAATCCCGTCAATAGTCAAGGGAAATGTGATCACATTTGGAACAATCTTCTTCTGGACTGCAAATTCTAGAAGACTTCGAATATCATCACGAGATGCTACATGCGAGCCCTGAATCCGGATACCCTTGAAAGCGAACTGCAACGTAGGAATGCCAGACGGCTCAAAGGTGGCGGTCAAGGGGTAGACACTGCCGCAGGAATCTATCAGAGGAAGTAGACTTGTTGGCTCATTAGCTTGATCCGATTAATACCAACGCAGCAAGGCCATGATAACTTACGAAGAATAATCAACATCCACATTTCCGCATAGTAACAGATGCTTCAGTGGTTTGAAATCCTTGGAAGGTGGGCTTCCAGAACTAAATACGTGATATTCAGAGGCGCCGAACTCGATAGCCTCTTGTCTCTTAGATTCAGAACCAGAAAGTGTAACGACTTCACAGCCCATTGCAGCAGCAAGTTTGATGGCTAAATGTCCAAGACCACCTTTACCCATGACACCAACCCGGTCATTGGGACAAATCCTAAATCTAGTTAGGACACTCCACACCGTGGCACCGGCGCACATAAGTGGCGCAGCAGAGACAGAATCCAGTTCATCTGGAATTGGATAAACACAATTCGCATCCCAAACGGCGCCATGTCTGAAACAACCGTTATCAAAGTGATGGAAGCCATAGGTTTTCCTGCTTCGGCAGTATTGGTCCCTTCCTGTGGTGTGGGTTAGAAGTTTGAGGATAGAGATACAGGGCTCCGGCGTCATTACCGGTGGTGCAGTGATCACATCTTGCACAAATCGCATGGATATATGCAAAACCCACGCGGTCTCCCACTCTAACAGTGGTGACTTTCAGGGCCGAGAGACTTCACAATACCAACACCTTCGTGTCCAAGAACCTGGCCAGACCTGAGATGATGTTGATCAGTTCCGCAGAGGCCAGATAGGAGCGTTTCGATGAAAACCTGGTTGTGTCCCAGGGCCTGAGTAGTTTCAGCAAAGATTCTACCCTCAGGTGTGCCACGGAAGATTTTGTAAGTCACACTCATGTTGTTCATTTTGTCATAGATTTATACTGATAGTAGATTTGTCTAAAACCATGAAGATGGATGGGACTTTATATGCCCTGGGCTAGTCAACTGGACGATGTTCAGATCGAGGGAGCCTACGCTACTCGGGGACTTTCACCGAAGATGATCATGTTATTCATGTCTTTCGGGTGAAACGTTCCGAAATGTTACATTCTACTTTTTGTGGATCTGATAGAGGATACCACTATGTTCAAATCCCGTCCAGTCTAAGCTTCTCAGGAACTCCACAGTGGCATAGGGCGTAGAACAGAACACCGTTGCTTAGTTATGTTCGTTACCTAACGTTTCTCGAATATTACTCTTAACGTTGATGATAACCCGAAAATGCCAATCACCAATCTACAGGAATACACCGTTGAGTCCTTAATTATGGCCACTACAGTTAGTTTCGCATCTCGGCCGAGTCTGCGGGGTTTGCTTAGGAACTTCACGCATCGGCGACGAACCCAAATAGTTGCGCAGTGTATGTACTTACCAATGAGCTCCCGGGCTAGAATGATCCCGATATTTGTCATTATTCCGAGTACTCCTCAACCAGAAATGCCTTTCTACAATCTTTATCACGGCATTGTGCTTGGGAAACCTGCTGAACTCGCGCAAGCCAGTACAGCACATCCCTTCGGGAATGTCAGTTTGGCGATATCAGTCGGCGGCGCAACGACGTACTTCCTAGAAGAGAAGTTCTATATATAATACTTAATTAAACACGGAGCTATTAGTAGTCCTGCCAGCACAACAATGACAAATCTAGCTATTGCAGAGTGGGTGTTCTTATCTTCCGTATGGGAAGATATTGCAGCTTTGCCTAAGGACCCACTGTTACTTTTAGACCTCTGCCCAGGCTTTTGTGGGGGAGTTAAGACACCCCTAAGTCCGGAAAGGTAAGTGTTTCCTTTACCCGTCTTAGTTTGAGTCACAAATCCCCAACCAGTCTACATGCTCGATCAAGCACACATCCAGCACATCCATGCTAGATCGGATGTCCATATATTAGACAAAACCAAAAATTTCATGTTGCTCGTTCTGAAAAGAGAGCACTAAAGGGGCTTTAACACACGTTTCTGGTACCGTCACATTTGGACTCAGGTAGCAATGGGGTATGCGACCAAGGCCTGTTGGACCTGTAAAGGTGCGTGCCACTACCATACTCGCGGGATTTGATCCCTAACCTTAAAATAAATCCAGGGCGGAAACAAGGCTGTGATAGGAACCATCCGTCATGTAACAATTGCCGTCGTGCTGGGCGAACATGCCAGGGTTATGGGTGCAGGTTGAAATGGAATGCGCCACATCTGTCTTTAATAGGACGCTCGCCACAGGCCACTCACTACCATTTCTTGCATACATCTGCCGCCGAACTTGCTGCTTTCTATAATTTACCCGCAACACTACCGTCGCCGCAATTGCAGATTCGCCGATTGGGGCTCTCGGCGGAGGAGTCTGATCTGCTTTTTCTGTCACACTGTAGAAGTTCACTTGAATTGGTTGAAGCTTTAGAAAGACGCTAATCCACACTACTTGCAGACGAGGCCGTGCTTTCGCGGATGATCACTACCTTGGATAATGAAACAAATGGCTTTCGCCATGTACTTCTTCCAATGATCTTAAGTTACCCTGTCCGGATCCCAGCCAAGGCCCTTTGGCACGGTATCCTGGCTCTTTCAGCATTTTATCTGGGGCACTCAAAGCAAGCGCTGGCGCACAAAACCGCGGCAATCGGTCTTCTCTCTCGATCATTCGAAGTTTCGGACTCACCTAGTCGCTTGATTCAGATCGCTGCGTGTATGATGTTATGCGTATATGAAGTAAGAGAGCTGCTAGAATTGCTAGTGTAGGTCGACATTTTAGAGCTGATGAGTCTCTCTGCAAGGTGTTTGACTCCTCTGATGGGAACTGGCAGTTACACCTAGCTGGTGCGAAGTCTATAGCTGGGGAATTGTCGATATGTCGCGTCAGTTCTGCAGAGTCCAAAATAGTTTCATTCCTCATGACCTGGATATATTACCATGAGGTTCTTGCTGCCTTCAGCAATCCGACATTGCAATGTGATCTCCCCAAAAGTGGAAGCTCTATTCTGAGTCCACGGGTATATCACAGAGACCGCACTTCAGTACGTGCTTTTCGCATTCTCGATTTGTAGAAAGGAAACACCGTTGGCTGACGGGCTGAAGATTGTGGGTTTATTAGGCTGCTCTCTCGAACTAGCTGATATAATCTCCACAATCAATCATTATACTTACCTCCGGTCAACAAATACCAGCTTCGACCACAATATGCTGCAGCCCCTCTTCCACCAATTACAGACTATGCATCAAACAATCTCATATCCTCAACCATGCGATATGGATTCAACTTTGGTTCAGCAGACAGCGGAGCTATATCGTCTCGGGGCTATGATTTACCTCCATACCGAATTCTTTTCGCGCCGCAAATTTTCATGGGACCTGCATGCTTTAGTGGAAAGCGCCATAGACCTGCTCACTGAGATGTCGCATTGCACATCACCCTGGCCAGTCTTTCTGATCGCAGTGGCCAGCTGCCAAGATGAATGCCAGAGAACGACTGTCTTGACCGTCATAAGCAGAATGGAACAACAACGCAAAATCGACAACATCACATATATACGACGGCTGGTTGAACAGTTTTGGAAGCAACGTGACCTCGCCCCTGATCATCACCTGATAGGCTGGCGCGCAATGATGAAAGGGGTTCCATTTCTTCCATCCTTCATTTGAGATAGAACCGTTTGGATAATGCCCTTCTAAGCTGTTTGCAATTAAGAAGTCGGCCTGCACTTGTGTATATCACGATTTATCGAACCTTTATATGTCCACCAGAGAGCTTCGCCTCTATGATGAGCTCCACTTAGCTAATAGTATCTATAACCACACGCAGCCCTTGCACATATATACACTTTGAACTTTATAGTCAAACCAACTTGTAAAGTGTCGTCATCCCCCCAATAAAAGAAAATCGAACTTGTCAAATCCCGCATATCCCGCATGGCAGCAGGAAATATCGCCCTCGCTTCGCATCGAACTTCCATACTTGCCATCAATGGCCACCACAAGCTATATGGTGCACGTGGAGTCACGTTTGAGTGGAGAGTTTGCCCTATTTCTAATTCGGGTAATCCGGGAAGCCGCGTAATTTTAGCGTGAAAAAGAAGGCAAGTATTTGCTATCAAGCAGAGTTATCGCGTACTCTTCATAGGTACATTATACCATACTAAGTATGATAAAATATTATATTTAACTATCACGCCAGAATCTCTGCTGATCTACCTAATCTGTGAATCTCCGCTTTTGAACGACGGGTGTATACGGTGTGGGCTGGTTAACCTGACCATTTATGACCAGGACCTAAGAAGCAAATATACTACATAACTAGGCCAGGCCACGTATGGACTAGATCTGGAAGGGCAGGGAGATGCGACAGGCTAGCGGTAGAGGAGAGAATAAATTCTATGTAAATGCGCTGTACATTCTCCTGGTGCTATGTCCCCTAGACTGTGCTGCAGCGTGAGACCGAAAAGCCCTACAGCGAACCCATTGGTTATTATTTATCTTGTCAATCATCTCCCTTATTCCGCAGGATTAATATCTCGTTACCAATAGCCCACCATGACCAAAGTCCGCGTGGGAGCCGTACAAGCCGAACCCGGCTGGATCGACCTCGCCGCCAGTGTGCGCAAGACGATAGCCTTAATCACCGAAGCGGGCGAGAAGGGAATCAACGTTCTCGGATTTCCCGAAGTATGGATCCCGGGATATCTATGGTAAGAGGTTTCATTCCACAAGAACAAGCGAACAAGAACCCCACCACCACACTGACCTCACTGCATAGGACGATGTGGACGGGGAGCGTTGCCGACAATGTAGAGCTGATGCACCAATACATGGCCAACTCTCTTGCACGAGAATCCCCCGAAATGGACGCCATCCGCCAAGCCGTCAAGGATGCTGGGATCTTCATTGTGCTGGGGTATAGCGAGCGCGAAGGCGGCAGTCTGTACATGGCGCAGTCTTTCATCAACCCAGACGGGGAGATCATACATCATCGGCGCAAGATCAAGCCCACGCATGTGGAGCGATCTATTTGGGGGGAAGGGCAGGCGGAGTCGTTGCAGGCGGTTGTTGATTCTCCGTTTGGACGGGTTGGGGGTCTAAATTGTTGGGAGCATCTGCAGCCATTGTTGCGGTTCTATGAGTATTCGAAGGGGGTGCAGATTCATGTGGCGAGCTGGCCGCCGGAGTTTCCGGAGCCCAAGGGGATGAAATGGCCATTTCATGAGACGGCGGTTGCGAGCCGGAATGTTAGTCAGTTCTTTGCGATCGAGGGGCAGGCGTTTGTGTTGGTTTGTACACAGGTGGTGAAGTCTGAGAGTCTGGCCAGGCAGAATTTGGTGGAAGGGGGTATTATTCAAACGGTGAGATCCGGGTTTTGATTCTATCACTGTGAATGAAGATTTAACTAATGGGTTGTATTTAGCCCGGTGGAGGATTCTCCATGATCTTTGGACCTGATGGTGCTCCTCTTGTAGATGCGCCTCCGGCGGACGAAGAGTGCATATTGCAGGCTGATATTGACCTCGCAGATATTGACTACGCGAAAGCAATGATCGATACTGTGGGGCATTACTCCAGGCCAGATTTACTGTCTCTAAGAGTGAATACGGAGGCTGCGAAGTGTGTGTGGGAGAGTCAAGCCGAATTTTGAGTGATGGCATGCAATGGCTAAAAATGCGGATAGTGTTGGAGATATACTACTCGTTGAGCATTGTCGGAGAACAACACATGTATTTGCTCCAGTTAATATTTCTGCTTGCTTAGTTAGAAACACAGCGTGTGAATCTATAGCTACCAAGTTTTATATGAGAGGCGGAGCATGAAGCCTGATAGCGCAATATTCCACCAGACCCTTCGACGAACCGTCATGGATTATATAGTGAATGAACCTACAAGATTATTACTCACTCCAAGATATACTATATTTAGAGATAGGCTAAATCAGTCTAATCTTACGAAATCAGGAGTGCTATTTAATTGAAAACTTAATATTAGAGACTCTCAAAATACTCACTGTCAATTATTTAAATGAAAAAATAACTAACCGCTACGCCCCCACGAGACAACTCAATACCCTCATAATGAATCCGTGTACAATGGATTTTAGATACTTCATCATGATTCAGAGGTCATATTCTCAACTAATGTATACTATTCAGAAATTAGGAAAGCTTGGCTGAATCCCATTTCTTATACCCAAAAAAAATGAATGAGGGACTCGATGTACGACAGTGATACAAGAGAATCAAAGACTTTGTTGGGTGTGATATTCGAACCAGTATGCTGATTCTAGAGACCCCAAGACTCAAGGCGTACATGGAGCAGTCTCTTCTCCAGTACACGGAAGGCTATCTACTTGACGTAGATAATAGCAAAATTGAGAGCTATTCTGGTTTTCATGAACCATGGTATCTGAAGGTAATTTCTCATTCTATCACATCCAATGGTATTTTCAGGACGCCTGTTCCTGCAAATGCAACCGTATCGCAAGAATTGTAAATATTTTCGATTAATATTGTCGCAATTAATCTTTGCATTGAATAGACTCAAGTCTGGAGGCTCCTTGGTGCTCTTGTTTCACCGGGTTGAGTCGTGGGATACAGCGTGCATCCTTTATATCCTCAACAAACTTTCTGATATATAGGCGTTCAAATCGACGAAAAGCGCATGGTATCACTTCAACGTTCTACTTGGTCGCCAAAAATATTAACCTAGAACGAGGAGCTGCAATACAAGCGGTGCCCTATTGGAAAGAGCTCTGGAGATATTTCACTTTCCGAGAGTTCATTAGCCTTCAAAAGCCATCTATACAGCTTTTGGGGGATGATGAGGACATTTTTCCCGCAAGCTAATTGATGAATTTGGCCCTCAGCTCTTGGATGTTGCTCGGCCGCTATGGACGATTCAGGCGAAAAGCCTCCGTCAAGTACCCTTCATGAGGTCTGATTAAATGCTTACTTTAGTATCCTCTACCGTATGTGATACAGGATTTCCTACATAATGAAAGTATTTCACCCGCTTGATATCAGCTACTTGTATTTACTGTGGTTTGCGGATTTGGCCTCCTCGCTGGGAACAACCAAGTTATACTAGCGCTGTGTTCTAGCAACTACTGTAGGATACGGCAAAGAAATACTTGTGACATTGCCTACAACAAAATTGTACTGTAGTAACCCGGTGGCAGCCAGAAGCAGTGGCGATCAGGGCGAGTTTCAAGGTTTAAAGCCGACAGGGTCGGAGCCATTTTTGCAGTGGAGGATCAAGTCGGGGGGAGCTTGCAGACAATATCACTTTGTTAGAGGAGAAAAGAAGTGGAAAACCTCCTGTCATTAGCGAAGATGCTGCTCCCTTCGCTCCCAGACGAGTAGAAGACGGAGCGCGAATTGGCTGTGCATCTATTTCTTTTTTGACTACATTTGATTATATACATGAATAACCTGCACGCATTGGGCGTAAATTCATCACTGTAACGAGCTCTATATTTTCATTTCTCCCGGGCCTGTCCGATTCCTCTCAACTTTTCCCACTCATGTTCCAACATGGAGAAGTTAACAATATCATGCCAACCGCGAAGATGGTATACAGCCTCGCGCTCACGACCCTCTTCCACAAACCCAACCTTGCGGTACATTCTAATCGCATTGTGATTGTACGAGAACGTGCCTAGATGAACCCTGTGCAAACCTGCATGCTGAAACGCCCAGTCCAACGCCCAGTTCATGGCTTCTCCGCCATATCCCTGGCCGCGAAACCCGTCTGCAAGTGATATGCCTACCATTGCGCTGCGGTGATGACTCGAGCTTGAGCCATAGAGGCTGGAGATGCTCAAGTAGCCAATTGGTACGGGCTTGGCATCCACTGCAGGTTGGGCATTTTCTTCCCCAGAAGATGTTTTGGGAGGAAGGCAGATAATCACGCCGAGTATGGCGTCTTGGAGGTTTTTGATAAATTCCTCTGCTGGCCTTTTGGGACAAGGTTTTTTGAGGCGTAGAGTGCTCATTGATTGGAGGAGGGAGTCGTTGAGGATTTGATTTTGCATAAATGCTTTGTCCTCGTTGGAATCCTCTGCGGCTCGGTAGAGTAGACGTTGAGACCTGTAAAGTCCTTCGACAGCTTCGGTTGATGACATATTGAAAATGAGAAACTTATGACAATAGGGGATATTATCTGTGTCTAGATCTGGGTTTGATAACCTCGGAGTTTTCAGGGTTTATATAGGAGAAGGGGTTGTCAGTCGATGGAACATTAAATCTCACTCATATTCGTATTCCATTGTTAGCTTGGCCAGCCGGAGTCCCAAAGGGGTAAGTAACTTCGTGATCTGGCCTTACCCTACACGAAGTCCAGGATTCTTGGCTTGTATACTATGCTAAGGCTAGAATGAGGGAGGACCTATCAGAAGAGATAACGTGTTTCCCGAGCGAGCCGTTCACCCAGCCGGCCTTTCAAAATTTGAAGCCATTCAAAATAATAATATATATTCTTCAGGCTTTATGTGGTGATCATTTCGATCTTAATGATGATTCTTATTCCTACTATCTACAGCTATCCTACCACTAACACCTAAACGCTTGTCATCATCCTACTGAACGGTCCAACCAGGACCGCCAGCCGGAATCCCCAGCCAGCATATATTTTTATAGAAAAATAAGGGATTCGATTGATTTAAACAGTCTGTAATTTGATGACTCTATATTACAGGCAGAGTATCCAGAGGGCCCGCGTTTCGGACCCGATATAACAGGTGAAGCTTTATCTGTGTTACGAAACCGCCCTTGGTTCATGGTTGAACACTTCAACCACAACTGATAATATTGCTCTCTGCTGGGGTAGCATCTTAGCAACAGTAGTACCCAATGTGAACTTTGCGTGCGTAAGCTTGATTCGGTCTGCAGGTACAGTAGGGCTTTGCACTTTTGGGTTTCTTCTTGTTGTGATTTCAGGGGAAAGATGGGCAGAATGATGCTGTATCAGCTACACGTACGTAGCCCACTGAGGATCGGATGCCATTTCGATAGATACTCAATTCTATGGACGACTCTATCGACTATCTCAACCGCTTCTTTTTCCTACAACTAATGGGCTAAACCTTCAGGAGTTGGTGTTCGGTGATCGGCCACACTAGGCAATCACGTGTCTCATAGATTCATCACTTCTGCTTTTCCCCCTCTCCTCTTCCTGTTTCTGCGGCCAGACGCGGCCACGTCGCGGTGGCTACGCATTTGATCGATGCGCCTGCAGAGCCTAATTCTACGGTGGCACATGCCAATGGTACTACTGCTGTTAGATCGGGGATACCGATCCTAATATCAAGGTCAACAGCAGACGAACCTCGACTTTGGAGCGCTAGTTTACGCGGACGTGGGGACGTAGTGAAGATCCTTCTCGCACACCATGACATTACGCCCAATGTGGCCGATATTAATGTCAAGATGCCTCTACAGCCCTGCCCTCCAATCCTAATACGGAGTACACTCAATAATCGCTCGAGTTCTAAACTGCCCCCACGAGGCTTCGATTCTCAGACGAAAGTATTCAAAGAGATTCAATTATTTCCCCTGTGCAGAGATGAACAGACAATTTCTCAGCAAATTTCCCAATATTTGCAGGCGGGATTTCAAAGAGAAGGAGAGCAATGCTGTACAGAGTCAGTTGTCCATATATGTGCTTCTGAAGCAGTACAACGGGGGATTAATAGGGTTCTAACTGACCACTTATCGGATTTGGCCCCCAGGCAATGAGTGGGTCACACCTCGCAAGGCCAATATCTCACCCATAACGGTAGAAAATCCCCTGCTTCAAGGGGCCGTCTCCGAAGCTGCCCGACTAATTGGAAACCACCTCTCTTCTGTAGTGGAGGCGCTTACTGACAAAACGGTGTTAACTTATCATGTTATCCGAATTGGGCGGACATAGGCGGAGATAACCCCGGGGGAGTTGCTGTTTATCTAGACCCCCTGCCCTCGATTTAGGACAAACCGCGTTAATGACCCAATACTCAGTTCTCAGCTTGCATACATACCATGGCTCGCATTCTCGTCACCGGAGGCAGTGGATTCCTTGGCGGCGTGCTGATCGACACGCTTCTCGCCCGCGGCCACTCGGTCGTCACTACCGTGCGCTCGCTCGAAAAAGCAGAGTCACTACAGGCCCAACGCCCCGGAATCTCCACCGCTCGACTAGACTACAAGATTGTGGAAGATATCGCTCAGATTAACGCCTTCGATGACGCAGTCGTATGCGACCCGCCTTTGTCGGCTGTCATCCATACAGCTAGTCCCTTCCACTACAGTATTGAGAATGTCAAGCGCGACATGCTCGACCCAGCGGTCAATGGCACCGTCGGGGTCCTTCAATCCGTGTACCGCTATGCGCCCACTGTGGAGCGTGTTGTCATCACATCCTCCTTTGCCGCGATGTATAATCCGACGAAGGGCGCCGGATCCAAATATTCGGAGGCGGATTGGAACCCCGTCACCTGGGACGATGCTGAAAGCCCGGCCAATGCACAGGGCCAATCGGGGTACCGGACCAGTAAGGCCCTGGCGGAAAAGGAAGCCTGGGCATTCATGGAGAAATACCATCCGCGGTATACCTTGACCGTGTTGAATCCGTCGTTGATTTTGGGGCCTGTCTCACTGTCTCTCGCGTCACTGGAGGAGGTCAACACATCCAACCAACGGATCCGCGATTTTATGACCGGAGCAGCTCGGGAGCGGTGCCCGCCTACCGGCAGTCAGTTTTGGGTGGATGTGCGTGATGCAGCGCTGGCGCATGCCGTGGCGGCGGAACGCCCAGGGGTCGCAGGGAAGCGCTTTTTCCTCACCGCAGGCACCTTTTGTAACGTCCAGATTGTAGACGCCATCGGGCGTGCGTTTCCGGAACTGCAGTCGGCATTGCCCCGCGGGGATGCGTTAAAGCTCGGCAATTACCCTCCGGGTGGTCCACCCTATGGCTACGACAACTCGGCCTCCATTAAAGAGTTTGGATTGACGTATCGAAGCCTGGATGAGAGTGTGGTGGACACCGTCAAAAGCCTGATGGCGATCCAACAAGCGGCACCTCAATCAGACTAGTGTGGATTAGATGTTGACCCCGTTAGTACTTAGAAATATAGATGTCACAATAATTCCATAAACGTCATGATATGATGTTGGCTAAAGATTCCAATATGAACCCCCTGATCTGCTCCAACCCTTTCGCGCATGTTTCTGCTCGGACTACTATACATCAACTGGCCCTGAGGCTTATTATCGCTCTACACTCTCATGACATTAGGGTTACATTAGAAAGAATTAATAACAGATATGCACACGCGATCGATATCATTGGTTGAGGCGCCGGACCCAGTCATTACCCCTCCTCCACCTTCAGAACACATATTCCACCTTCTGAACAACCCATTCCACCCCGGTGTGCAGCTCTGTTTTCTGTGCATAATTCGCCATGGCGAATCCAATCCAGACGGCAGCGTACGGAACCTGGGCCAGTCCGATCACCGCGGACATGTTGGCCCAAATCGGTGGCAAGATGGAGAATGTGGCGGTTGTAGGGCTTCACGCTTCATCGGGAACGTGCCGATCGCTCGCTAATTTGATCTAGACATCCGATGGAACTATATACTTGCTGGAAGCTCGACCACTCGAAGACGGACGAAACTGCATTGTGCAATGCTCCAAAGGGACAGCGCGAGATGTATTGCCGAGAGAGTGACCAACCCACCCATTACACGGTATGGTCAGACTGTACTGACTAGCTCCGTCAGTTATAATGCCCTCAGCCGCGTGCATGAATATGGTGGCAAGGCGATGACCGCCAGCCCGACCGGGGAGATCATTTTCACCGACGGGAAGACGATGGGTCTGTACCGGTTAGAGCCCGCAACGGGAACCATCGAGCGCTTGACTACGCCCTCGGAGACCCTGCGCTACGTGTGCACCTCTGTCCGCACCTCACCAGCGACGGGGAAGATCGACTGGATTCTGGCGGTCCAGGAAGACCACACGAAGCCGGCTCCGGCGGACGTCCAGAACACGGTGGTAGCAATCGAGGTGGCCACCAAGCAGATCGTTCCTCTGCTCCAGGGCGCGGACTTTTACAGCTACGCGCAGTTCTCTCCGACCGGCGATAAGGTCTGCTGGGTGCAATGGAATCATCCGGACATGCCATGGACGGGAACTCTACTGTGGACTGGTCGCTGGGCGGATGGAAAACTGTCTGAGTCCCACTTCGTGGCAGGAAAAGCACAGGCAGAGAGCGTTACCCAACCCCGGTGGGGGCCTGATGGCACGTTGTATTTTGCCAGTGACAGAACTGGATACTGGCAACTCTATCGTTTGCCGTCTGGCTCCTCGTCACAGGTCACTCGGATCCAGTTGAAGGGTTTAGAACAGGTCGAATTCGCCCATCCCGACTGGAATATGGGAAAGTAAGAGACCGTGACGGAAACAGCGGTATATGTTTGAATGTTAACGAATCGCCCAGTTGTACCTATACTTGTCTCACATCCCACCAGATCATTGCGGCCTATATGCGGAATGCTCAGTGGTCATTTATCCTTGTCAATCTCGACCACGACTCTTACCGTGAGCTGAACGTGCCCATCACGGACAACATCGAGTTGGCTGAGCGCCCACTGTCGGAGAACAGTGTCGCTGTGCTCGGGTCATCGACCACGAGGCTTAGCAACCTGTATACATTGAGCATCGGCGAGACGGTCCACCTGCAAGCCCTCAAGAAGGCGGCCGATATCTCTCTTCCGGAGACCTTTTGCTCTCCGGCACAACATATCTCTTTCCCGAGAGTCCATGGCAAATTCCAACAAGGCGAGTGCTATGCGATCTTCCGTGCGCCGCAAAACCCGGATTATCAGGCTCCACAGGGGACTCTTCCTCCCCTGGTGGTTTCTTTGCACGGGGGTCCCACGTCATGTTCTGGCGTAGGTCTGCAACTCTCCGACCTGTACTGGACCTCTCGCGGCTACGCGGTTGTTTGGGTCAACTATGGAGGAAGTTCGGGATACGGCCGTGCGTATCGGGACTTGTTGAACAGCAGATGGGGTATTGCGCGCTCCCTCTCACACTCTCTCTTTCCCCGCTATGTAAAGCCATTGCTGATGTTTTATAGGAGAATTGGATATCGCGGACGCCGCCAGCTGCGTTTCCTTCCTAGCCTCGGCCTCCCGAGTCGACGGGAATCAGGTCGGAATTCGTGGCGGCAGCGCAGGGGGCTATGCCGTTCTCCAAGCCCTCTGCGATTATCCCACGCTCTTCGGCGGCGGGAACTCGCTGTACGGCATCGCGAATCTGCGGACCCTCTGTGAGGACACCCACAAGTTTGAAAGCCAATATGCCTATAACCTCCTATTCCCGCCGGACATGCCTGACGAGGAGCGTGAACGGGTCCTCCATGACCGCAGCCCGTGCTACCATGCGGACCAGATTCGGGCCCCCCTGCTGATGCTCCAGGGGGAGGAGGACCATGTGGTACCGCTGAATCAGGCACAGGATATGGAGCGCGTCATGAAGGAGCACGGCCGCGAGGTCAAGCTGGTGGTTTTTGCCGGCGAGGGACATGGGTTCCGGCAGGCGGCGAATAAGAAACGTGCTTTGAATGAGGAGGAACACTGGTGGCAAAAGAATCTCCTGAAAATGAAGGTGTGAAAGGTTGGTACATGAGTTATCTTCTCTATGCACAGGTTTACTCTAGCTCCCCTAGATGCTTATCCTAGAAAAAGTACAAACCGAAAGATTTATATCCATTTCCCCATTTCCATCATTTAGACCGCCTTACCTTTTTCGATCTACGAGGACGGATGAATGGCTACCTGCCATGGTTTTGCGGAAAGTTCCTGCATTAACTGATCAATAGGGATTATGAATGAGTAAAGCATGTGGTCGATCCATGAATATTTATATAGCTTGTTCTATTGTAGAAGCTGCGAGCATACTCACTTGTTCAATTTATTGTAAATTCGTTTAGATTTAGGCACATGGTCAGATATAAAGGTTTCAATATAACGGAAGAGAATGTTTTGATAGTGTTCGCTGTATCTATTTAGGATAGAGCTGATCTATTCAACTAGGATGAAGGTTGCCGCACCGTATGCACCTATTTGTAACCAGGTACAAAGTTAAACATCAGCCTTCAATTCAAACGATAGAAGGGCGACTCATACAGAAAAAGATATGTCCAGCTGATATTTGAACGTGTCAGCAAAAAGCGATATGGTGACTTTTTCTAAGTTCCATACCTGTGCCCTGTATAGTAGTAGTAGTAGTAGTAGTAGTAGTAGTAGTACCGATCCAGCATGCCTTTCTATACCAGCCAAGTTGAGCTCCATCAATCAGTATCCTGTCTACTTAGCCTAGATATCCTAAAATACCTGTACAAAGAATAGTTTCGAGAGCAAATATATGTCATTTCCATAGATTGCTGAGAAGCCAGTAGTTGAATGACGAATAACTGGAAGTTTGAGATCTGTTGGTTGCTTGACAACGAGCTGTGGAGTCTAAGATGTGCTTAATCCAACAATATAAATAGGCCGGGACAAATCCTAGTAAGACGGCGAGTGACATGAGATCTCAGAGGATATGTAATTTCCTCGCTAATTTTCGCCGCTTTAATGACCTTACCCTACAGGGCAGGATAGATTCCAGCAAGCACCAGTTGTAAGAAGCTATGAATATGTCATCTGGAGGCTAATTGAGCCTGGCTATTTGAGCCTGGCTATTTGAACTAACTTTAGCCAATTACTCCGGAAATGGAGAATACTGATATTGTTGATCATGATATGAGCATCGGTGATGCCAGGTGCCTTTGACTATTGTCCCTCCCATGTGGTCGTATAATTGTTTACCGTGACAATGCCGCCGATGAAGCGAAAAAGATCTTCATTTGTTTCCATCTCTCATTTGCTGATGCGAAATGAGCATCGGCACGTCTTGTGTCGTTTTCACAGTAACCCCGGTCTTCTTCGCATACCTCCGGAGAAAAGGCTCTATTCGATCTAGATTTGCAGCATTGTGTGCAGCTTGGAGAACTTTCTCTCCCCCCATCTTGATTATAACATCCATCATCTGCTCGGGTTCAAGCTCATTTTCTTGTGCAGCCTTAAGTATGCCCTCTGTAATTGCAATTACCTGGCCGCGCTGTTCAAGGAGAATTTCCATCAAGTTAGAAGTGAATGATCTTGCCAGAAGTATTACAAGCTCTTCTGTAATGATGAAATCCTTGGCCCGTCGATGAAGCAGCCGCCGAATTGCCTGAATTCCGCCGTTTGGATTCCTCGCCGCTGCTGCAACCACTCTGGCTGTGACCATGACCCCATCCTCCCTGTCTTCAAGTAGGTCAACTCTATTATACGTCTCATCGTATATCTCTACCGCTTGGACAAGATACCCTTCATTTAAGTTGGGGAACAACGCCAAGAAACGTGGCATCGTATAAGAGGGAGGATGGGGTAGACCAAACAAGAATAACGCTACGTCGCGTATCACATCTGTAACACTCTTGGTGTAATCTGCACGCAATGAGCTATCATCCCGCACGTCAGTAGCTAGCCCAAGTAAGGCGAAAATCATATCCCGAGGGTCACTGGCTTCGCTTTCCTTAAAGATCCGCAGGAGGTTGTACAAGTCCCGCTTGCAACTCCACCATGAGTTGTTTCTCGACGCACCGGGCATTATATCCAAGACCGCCTGACAGCGAGGCTTGGGCTGAACTCCGAGAAGCGAGGGAGCCAGCGTAAAAATGCGTGCCGGCACACATCTCTTTCCACACCGGACTACGGCGCTTCGTGCGTTCGCAACTTCTTGGAGGATCCAAATTCTCCTAAACCAAGGCCGATCCAAGAGCATCTCCATCCCCATTCTTTGTAGATCCTTGAAGCCGGGAGACTGGATAGATTGGGCAAGCTGCCAAAGCCTGGACCAACCCGCGTCTGTTGGTTTCCAGTGCCTATGTACGTGCCGTTGGCTTTCTTCTTCCAGTTTCTGCAAGGAATCTAAGAGGGCGTTTGTTGGGTAGCTCCCCTCACCCAACCACAAGATCACTTGTTCAGCGTGTGAATATATGGTACCCATTTGTTGTACTTGGTGTCCTCGCTCTTCTGCATTGCTTTGGTCAATACAGATTGCATCCGCCCAAAGGATTCGATCCCTATCGACAAGACGCAACTCCCGAAGTGCAAGGAATAGGTTCGCTGTGATAACGAGTGTTTTCCCGTTTACTTTGATTGGGTTTGTCCTTTGGTTTCCACCCCATGTATACGATAATGCCTCGTAAGGACATGCGTTTTCTCCGTCGAACCAGGCTTGCAGGAGGGTGCATTCAATCCGATCAATGGTGCTGCCTTGGTGAAGCATGAGCAAGCGAAAGGTGGTCCTCCCAGATCTATGGGCTCATAGTCGTAGTCATCAATTGGTGTGCAGCTTTGCGACATGGTTTTCGTTAGTGTGTGTGGCTGGTGATGCGGGGTATTCAATCAGCCGCTGCTGGTTACTGATAGGCAAAAGTCTTTCAAGGGCCAAAAGATTTGGAATCTTTGCTTGCAGTATATTTCTTGCAAGGATATGCCATGTCAGGAGGTTGTCGGAAGCGTTGAGTCGAATACAGTGGCTACGTTGGATAGAGTTCTTGCTGTGGTTTTCCCATCCTACAGTAATCAGCGAGTGCTAGAGCCTTCGTCTACAATGCTGGGCATTCCTTGAGTACATACTGGGTCTGTAAGTGTAGCTTCCTCGGATTTTTACCTAGAGATATACCTCGCCATTTGAATCGGGAACTTCGAGAATGTTAAATACGCCCACGAAATCACCTAGTATCGCGGGAAGATGACATACGCCTAGTGAAATAGGTGCTTTGTAGTAGAACCATGGGGCTGCTTGATTACTACGGCAGTCAGGCTACATATAAAAGCGCTCGTGAGTCCCACCTAGATAAGAAGACTTGATGGTTCTATAGAATTATCAATCCGATCATTTTGACATCATATTACACGTTTATCTAGCCAGATATTCTACAGAGAATAAAGCCAACCTAAGGCTCAGTCCCGTCTCGTATTTGGTTTTCCTGATACGGATAAGGCCCAATTTGCTTGTCGGCCAACCATGAAGGGCTGCAGAATTAGATGAGCCCTCACTATAAATAGAGAAAATATAGCTATCCCACTTGCGTTTCCAAGTTTAGAACAGGTTTCCAAGGTATAAACCATAACAGACTGGATTACTTAACCAACCAGGGTCTATAAATCATTGACCACCCTTGGAGTAGCAGGGGAAGTCTGTTTAGCTTTCTACCTCCCAGGATAGTCTCCAACCACCTTTATATTGCCTTCTTGAGGGCCATATCTGGACAATGCAGGATCTAGGGCAACTGACACTAGGTTCAAAAGAAGATTTTAAGACATTCTGCAGGTTTCTGCTGACAAGATTGGGTTTTCAATCTCGAACTTCCATCACTAGTGAGTTATATGGAACACCTCCATTCTCACTCCCAAACTCAGATGCTAATATGTCGAAAAGAAAATGGAAGAATTGATATTGAATTAGATGGTTCTGATAGTGAACATCTCGCACCCCTCCTGCAGCCCCGTCATGACAGCGAAGAGGAGGATGCACACTCAACCGGCAGAGGGGATGATACTACCATTCATTCATTGACGCCACCCCGATTAAACATTGTGCTACAGGTAGTAGGCTCACGCGGAGATCTTCAACCATTCTTGGCTCTCGGGCTGGCACTACAGCAGAGCGGGCACCGCGTTCGGGTCGCGACTCATCCGGTTTTCCAGACCTTTGTACAAGATATTGGTCTGGAGTTTTTCAGCATTGGTGGAGATCCGCTGGATTTGATGTCCTACATGGTGAAGAATTCCGGACTCGTTCCGAATGCGAAAAGTATCCTGGAAGGCAGCGTGAATGAAAACCGAAGGATTGTTCGCGAGATTTTAGAAGGCTGCTGGCGCTCTTGCTTCGAGACAGGTGACGGCCTGCAATGTTCGAGCAAGGCTGAATCCAGCCAAGCGAAACCTTTTGTTGCCAATGCTATCATAGCCAATCCACCTTCGTTTGCACATATTCATTGTGCAGAGAAGATGGGGGTTCCCTTGCAGTTCATGTTCACGTAAGATTCCCGTATTCATATTTTTGAAGGGAGACTGATTGTTGACGACTACAAAGCATGCCGTGGTCTCCAACCCGAGAGCTTCCTCATCCGTTCACTAATATCAAATCATCGTCTGTGGAAGAGAACGCAGCCAATTATGTATCATATTACCTAGTTGAGCTATTGACATGGCAAGGGTTAGGAAGTACAATTAATGCATTCAGACAAAAGACACTGGGCCTTGATCCGATTGATATCGCATCTGCCCTGGCACTGATTCCGCGACTACGGATCCATTCTACGTATTGCTGGTACGTTGTCATTCCAGCACTTCCCACTATATCCAAGTGTCTCACAGCAGACTTGCCAGGTCTCCATCCCTTCTTTCAAAACCTAGGGACTGGGAGTCCCATCTTACAGTTTCTGGCTTCTGCTTCTTACCGTTAGTAACTGGGTACACACCTTCGCATGACTTGAACACCTTCCTCGACTCTGGACCTCCTCCAATTTATATCGGATTCGGCTCCATTGTCGTGGATGACCCGAAAGCCTTGACAGAAATGGTCCTCGACGCAATTCGGCTTACCGGAGTAAGAGCTGTGATCTCTACCGGATGGGGTACTCTCCTCGAAGAAAAACACGTGCCTCGCGAGAGCGTCATATACATCAAAGACTGCCCCCACGACTGGATCTTCAGGCGAGTGTCTTGCGTCGTCCATCACGGGGGAGCCGGAACGACAGCAGCAGCCCTCGTGGCTGGCAAGCCTTCAGTGATCATACCATTTTTCGGCGACCAGTTCTTTTGGGGTAACACTATCGCAAATGCCGGTGCAGGACCTAAACCTATACATTTCGAGAACCTCTCCGCGGCCAGCCTGGCAGCTGCTATCCAGACTGCGCTTCAGCCAGGCATGCTGACTGCAGCACAAGTGTTGCAGGATAAAATTTGCCGAGAAGATGGCATCACCATGGCAGTTCAAAGTTTCCATCGAATGCTCCCTGTGGCTGCACTACGCTGTACATTAGATGAAACCCGTGCGGCGACCTGGAGAGTTCTTGCGACGGACGAGAAATTAAGTGCCCGCGCGGCAGCATTGCTGATAGAAAAGGGCTTGCTTAATATTGATGAAATTGAAATGTAAGTGGAATGCCAACTTGTCAACGACCTTCCTACTTACGTCGAAAGGTTGCAGCCATGCAAATATACTTGCGATCTTGGGCCGTGGGATCCTCTTACAGGAACCGCATTTGCTGCTCTAGACATAGGTAAAGAGTTTCTAAAAGGCGTTTCGAGAATTGGCTCCGCATTCGTCATCGATCGCCAGTCTGCTAAATGTAAAGAATTGGTCGCTGGGAAATCAAGGGCACTGCACAGCATTACAGGCCTAGGACGTGTCTGCGCCTCTGTTGTTCAAGGGCCTGCGAAAGTCGGGGTAGCCTTCACTCAGGGAATGCACAATGCGCCGAAGCTCTGGGGTGACCATACTGTACGGCCGCAGGAAAAGGTGGATGGTTTCCGAAGCGGATGGGAGGCAGGTGGCAAGGTATATCACATCCCATTAGCTGCTTAGGCAGCAGGGGTCCAGCATTCCTATCTCTTTGGTCTTGCGTACACAATCTAATCATGGGCTCAGGAACTGTTCTATGGAGTGCGTGATGGGTTATGTGGTCTTGCTATGGAGCCTGTTATTGGTGCCCGACGTCGTGGCGTGGTTGGAGGAATATCTGGGATAGGGATCGGCGCGCTATCAAGCATTGTAAAAACCGCTTCGGGTTTGTCTTCCTCGGTTATTATATTACGTCGTTTATTTTTTTTGTCTCTTTAAGGCTAACAAACTCGACAATCAGGTGTAAGCGGAGCCATCATTTATCCTCTCAAGGGAATCGAGAAGTCAATCGCAAAACGTTTGATCAGTCGGCGAGGCGATGCTATCGAGGACGCGCTCCTCGCCCAAGGTAAACTTGAGCGTGCTGGTCTAACTGAGGATGAGTGCAATGCTGTCATAAGGAAATGGCAGACTTGCGTCAGCGAAAACGCCATCCGCTAGCTACTTTTGAATGATACTATCAACTGATAGGAATACAAGCCCGGTGATCACTCTGCTGGTTGAACGGGTTGTATGTACGTCCGAAAGAGGCCGTAAGGTCTAATACAGGGACCATAATGGCCTTGGTAAAGATATTGTCTGTTTCTTAAGCTAGACCAGGAACGTGAAATTAGTAAACGAAAAATTGAAGAGCATCTAACTGAATATAACCTCTTTGAGAAAAATCGGCTTTAAAATGCAAGAGAAGATAGTGCAATGTCTTAAGAAGTTGAAAGCGAATACGAGCCCCGGCCACCGCCGTGCTTTGATTGGATAGATCGTATTCGGCGTCTAGTTCAGGCTAAGCGCTAAAGCGAAAGCGAATCCTCCAAGTCATGCCTCACCTTCCCTGAGTCAGGCTGTAGACAACTTTCCTCCAAAGTTGGAGGGAGAGAGACAAAAGCAGTACATTCTGGGTGAAGAGCATGGGGACAGCGGGTATCGGAAGTATGAAACGAAAATCACACACCAAATCTCGAACTGGCTGCCGGACATGCAAGTACGGAACCCTATACCATCTCTTCTCTTATTGGCCCAGTGCCTTGCAACCTAATCTTTCCTATTGTTCACATACAGGGTACGTCGGGTACGATGTGACGAGACGTGGCCTTCATGTAGGAATTGTTCTACGACTGGAAGGCGCTGTGACGGGCCATCCTCACCATCGGCCAAACCGGAGCGGGTGTCGTTCATCCAAGTTTCCATGTCGACACTACATCCGGTGCGCTTACTTTACGAGAACGAACAAGAGGCTCACTACGCCCAACTTTTCCTTGATCACGTCTTATGTGTTATGTCCGGCTACTCCACTCGTCCAGCCTGGCGTTCTCTGATGGTTCAAGCCGTCCATGAAGAGGTTGCCGTCCGCCACGTTGCCATTGCGGTGAGCGCCGTGCTCTATGAAAAATCCGCTACCCCTGTATCTGCAATTAGCTCTCCTCTTTGGAAACATGGAGATGAAAACCGCCGCTTTTCTCTAACAAGATATGGAAAGGGTCTGTCTGCGTTAAGAAAGATGATGTGTTGTAAGGACCGTCGATCCGTAGAGGTGACCCTGATATGTGGTGCTCTCTGTATCTGGTTCGAGCTTATAGCCGGAGAACCCCTAATGGCCTTGAACCATTTAGATCAATGCTTAAAGATTATCTCGGGATCTGGTGGTAAGAACCAAGCTCCTGGCACGTTACTCGGATTAACAGTTCTGTTCGTACAGACAAGCTTGACCCTAGTATCTCGTACACCTTCTCAAAGCTTGACCTTCAAGCAGCAACGTACATTGGGAGACGGCCTCCTGCAATTGTTGCCACGGACATGAAGCCAATTCAATACATCTTCGACTTTTTCGACGAGGCAGAACAATGCCTGCTTGAGGAATACAACCGGATATACAGCTTCAAGCGTACCGTTGCGGCTCGGTACCGTTATCTAGGGCCTGACTGGATCCCCATGGAGTTGCTCGCTTACGTACAGCTGTTACGGGATCGCCTCGAGCACTGGGAATCAACGTATAAATTTTCTTATGCCTGCCAGAAGGCCGAAGGCACTCCTCAATTGGCACAACGGGTCACCCTGCTCTTTATCAATTATCATACCGCCCTGATAACAGTGTCGACGTGCCTCTATCCGGAAGAAACTATCTACGACCGATTCCTCTCATCTTTTCAACAGATTCTTTCGCTGGCAAAGGTTTTAATCGAGGGGTACTTTGCACAGCGCCACCAGAATTGGCCGGGGTTTTCCTTAGATATGGGCGTTATTCAGCCTTTGTACATGACCGCGACCAAATGCCGCAATTCTGACGTCCGTCAGCATGCTATCGACCTGTTATCTTCGGCGCCAGTCATAGAAGGTGTTTGGGACGGCAGGACCACTGCCCTCGTTTCAAGAAGGGCAAAGGAACTCGAGGAAGAAGGGCTAGAACGTGCCACAGATGGCATACCTGAATATCGCCGAATCCATTCTATTGGGCTTGATGTCAATGCTGAGCTGCACCAGATAGAAATCGCCTTTCGCAGACGGTTAAACGGATTTGATGGCGAATGGAATGATACGATTGAGATACATAGCCTACCTTAGCTGTGCCAAGTTGGTCTCCTTCTTATAATAGTATATAGATCTCAGAATCCCGAGGAATGGTTGGAATGTACGTCGAAATTTTGTTGGCGCCCAGGGCTGAAGAATCTGGCTATGAATTATGTTACCTTGTGCAGTACGAGCGACAGCAACAGCCCTGTTCTTGGCGGGTTCCGGGATTCAATTTCAAGCTTGCGGCTTACCCAAAGTCGGCCCCGAATAGACGAACAATAGTAGCGTAAGTCATTTAGATTTTTACCTAGGAAAATATCTTGGGTGATGACTTTCATTATTGATTCATTGCCCGCCCGCAGCATGTTGGCACCGTCCCTTGCTGGGGTAGAGGATGCTGGTGATCCGTGTTCTACAAATTATACCTGAGATAAGCCACAAGAATACACCTCGAATGAACAATATTATAAAACTCTAAGTCAGCGCTAATTCGGTATCTTTCAATATAACTCTGGCAAATAAAAGGTCTCTATATAATATTGAAACGCGTTTTCAATATACTAAAAATATATATGTTAAAGGTATAAGATTAAGAGAATAGCCCTCATCGGACGGCATCAGTGTAGTAGATAAATACCAACGCCGGATCATGGGACAGTTCAGAGCAAAACTCAGTGACCAACAAATATCAACGAAACCATTTTCGAGTCGAGTATTATCATGAGAACTCTTCTAATACCGCGAGACCTATCCTTGACAGTGAATATTCTGACTAATTACCAATTACGACTAGGTCCATTTATGTTAGAGCACACGGGATACAGAAGAAACTCAAAACACACATCACTGCACGGTTCGTTTGGCCCGCAAAGTATTGATCACTTCTTTTCTTCTCGTATCCCTATGAGTTTTGAGGCACAGCCACCTCGCAACAAGAGATGGCAGACATAGGTATAGAAGATAAGTGTCGCATATAGAACGTGATAAAGGCTGCGTGACAGGCACGTATGATTGCAAGTGGCTAGTATGTAACAATGCTATAGGGCAGCTAGCTGCGCCCTACTCCTGGTGCATTGATAGAACGACAACATATGACGCATATGACTCCGTCTTTTTGCATGTATCTTTAGTAAACTCTTTTCCTTGTAACTCATCCAGGCTCTCATATTGGCCGTTGGTGTTGCCATCTTGGTTGCACGACTCGACATGATTAGCCCTCTAGTCCTTATGTGTAAAACCTGGTCTCTTCCCTCCTAATCCATATTATCCTGGAGCATCCAAAGGAACTGTAGACCTGTGACCATTGTCCAACTGCTTCCATGCCCATACCCACACCGGGCAAGGGTTTTGTAAACATCACGGACACCTTCAGGATGGAAGTCTCTGAAAGCAGTTTGAGAAGCGCAATCATCATGGGTTTATACTTGGCTACTTTGGGAACGTTCATGCCGTTCAGCATTAGCCTGACTTGCTTTAATGCTCGTTGTTTGTAGGGCTGCGGTGTTAATGGCGCGTGTGGTTGAATACAGAAACCATCGTCCATACGAACAACATGTTCCGGCGGGTTACTATCAAACAGATCGGAGGGTTCGTTTATTTGTTCATCTGGTGAAGGAGCGGAGGGACATTGCGTGAGTCCAAAGGCTTTAAATAGATCACAGTCTACCTGAAGATCATGGCACGGAGCTGCCTTCTCGCATAAATCATCGATACGGATAAGTAGTTGGAGAGCCAATGTTGATGGGATACTTGACACAAGCCATTGCCTCATGCGCTATCGCTCTGCATCTGTGAGCAAGGGGGGTGACAGAAGCATCCTCGCCCGTTGAGCTCTCGAAGTCAAGGAAGATGCCCTTTTCGTACCCGGCACACGCGAACCCGAAATGCCGACACATAGCACATGTCGGACGTCCTTCATCGCATTTCGCAGTCGGCTTCGACACTGCACAGAGCTGTCAGAAACAAAACAAGACAAAAGCAGAGATGAAGAATGGCAATTGTTACCGGTGCTTCCCCCACAGGATCAAGTCCGACTGAAGTCTGAGGATTAAGAAAGTTAAGCCCATGACCATCATGGACCTTCCAAGACACCATCACATTTCTACAGTCTCCTAGGGAAGCCAGCATTCCTTTGCATTTAAAGGGAAATCAATGCCCGGGTAGATTTCCCAAGTGACATTCGACCCTACACCATGGATTTACGTCGTTGCAAGCAGTGTCTAGTATTACATTCCATTTTGCCTTCGTAGATCATCAGAATCTTCTATAAACTGTGAATCAACACACTTGCACAGTTTCCTCTAAGTACAACTTTGCTCATAACAAAGTGGTATGTATCCGCTTCAAACTACCCGGTTCCATTCCATCAACAACTGACCTCAATCCCGCACTAGATCGCCATAACTGAAGCAGCCTCCGGCATAGGCCTGGCGACAGTTAAGCTGCTCGCATCCCGGGGAGCGATTATCTCATTAGCCGATATTAACGAGGCCGCTACCAAACCGGCTACCGAGCCTTTGGCCGGAAGCGATAAGCACAAGCACACTGTTGTGAACGTGCGTAGCAGCAGCTTGGTCGATGAATAGGTCAAATCGACTGTAGAAAGACTTGGTAAGCCCGATGGTGCTGCGAACATAGCTAGAGTCATCACACCTGCCAAACAATTGCCGAAGAAAACGGATAACAACTGGGATTTCAACTTTGCTGTCAATACGCGGGGTGTTTTTTTCTGTCTGGGGGCCCAATTAAAGACGATGACTGCAGGTGGTACCATTGTAAGTTCAGTTGGAGTATTTGGCCGTGGAGAAGTTACAAAATGACTTTGATAGGTATCCGCGGCAAGTACCTTTGGTCAAATGGGCTCACCTAGAATTGCTCCGTATTGCGCTAGCAAAGCAGCTGTTATTGGCTTGACAAGAACGGCAACAAAGGAAATCAGCACATAGGAGTGAGCTGCGTTTTGCCAGGTAAGATATATGCCTATGCTACTGGAACTAGAGACTTGATATGCGTCAAGGCTAACATTAGATATATGGGCTCTGTGAGCACCCTATTGTCAGCCGGCGAAAACCCGGAAGATGTCAAGTGTGGTCTGCAAGCAACGGTGCAAAAGCAAAGAGCTGAGCCCACTGAGATATGGACTGTAATTGTATGTTTGCTGAGTGATGAGGCATCACTTGTGACCGGCACGGCTTTATAAGGTTGATGGTGGTTGGATTTGCTAATTTACTCGATCTGTCACTAAAGCGATAGTAGTATTGAACATAGTAGCATAGTGAAAATGTCAGCATTCTAAATATATGTTACATGTAGTTCCTTTAGTTCACAAGTATCGGTATCTATAATTTCGAGGCCGGTTTAGAATCTGCGTGCGAAAGCTGCTCAGTTTCATCGGTAACCAAATCTATGATAGATATTTGGCATTTTCAGAAGCCCTGGATTTCTGTAAAGCTTGCATATCAGTGATTCTGAATCACATTCAGCATTTTCAGCATTTTGGATAATATACAATATAATGATACAAGAGACAGAGAGTAGACTCCACGATACTTCAACGTTAAGGTCTATACTCAGTTCTGATGAATTAAACAATGCTTTATAACATAATGATACCTTAAAGCAAATTATAGTATGGATTTAAGCAAATTTGAAACCTTCCCAGCCAGCTGCTATACACTGCTGGCATCGCTTGCGATAGTCAACCGCGCTACCACTGTATCGCGCCACACTCTTAACTCCCTTTCCAGGAACATTGGTGTTTATTCCTGTCATCCAACTGTCAATCTCATTTGACAACAGGCCCTTACTACACTCAACCACATGCTGGGTCCATTTGTCGGCAGCTTCTTCTGTTGCTTCGACGAAAGTGTAGTTCTCATTCTTACAGAACTCTAGTAGCTGGGTCACAACTTGTACCGCATGTTCGATGCTCCGTGGGATATTTCCAAAGGGCTGGTGTGGGCCTAGCACCATGAACATATTGGGAAAAGAAGGAGCCATAAGTCCGAGGTAGGTGTATGGCCGATGGTCAAGCCAGACGGCACGTTTTCCTGTTTCGCTGTCACCACTGTCAATGAGTGGTCTATCATTCTTTCCATGCCACTCAATGGCATTGAAAGCACCAGTGATAGCGTCAAAGCCGGTTGCATAAACCAAAATATCCAGCTCATGCTGCTTGTCGTCTGAAGTTCGGATTCCATTCGGGATGATCTTCTCAATGGGCGTCTTCTGCAAATCGACAAGATGAACATTCGCCTGATTGAATGCTTCAAAGTAGCCACTCTCTAATGGTACTCGTCGTGTGCCGAAACCATGGTTCTTAGGAATCAGGCTCTCTGCCACGACGGGATCACGCACTCTCTGCCGGATTTTGTTGGCCATAAACTCGGAATATAGTCTGTTCGCTCCGCGATCGGTGTAAGTATCAGAAAATGCCCCAAGCCATTTAGCAAAGCCAGGTTCAGCGTAGATCTTCTCCCATAAAGCGACGCGCTCTTCCTGTGCTACCTCAGAAGACTTGCGAGGGTCGGGTTGGTGCAGGAAACCGGTAGGGGTTGAGGCACATCGCTGGAATGTGACATTGTATTCTGATTTGAACTTCTCCATCTGCTGAGGTGTAATCTTGGTGTTGCGAAGCGGAGCAGACCAATTGGGAGTGCGCTGAAAGACAGTGAGTGACCTGATACTTGGCTCTTTGGATATTTCGGTAATCAGTTGTATTCCGGTTGCACCGGTACCGATCACTCCGATGCGTTTATTGGCGAAGTCACGTTTCACGTTGAAGTCCTTTGGCCAGCGTGATGTGTGGAAAGATTGGCCCTGGAAGTCCTCAATACCAGCAATTGCAGGTAACGTTGGGTTGGACAGAACACCCAAACAACTTATGAAGAAGCGTGCACGATATTGAAAGCCGGCCTCGTCGGCAAACAGCCACATACGTTCAGTGTCTTGCCAATGCACCGACTTGATTCGGGTGCTAAACTGGATATCTCTGTACAAGTCATGTTTCTCGCAGACTCGTTCAATGTATTTGAGCGTGTCCGGCTGAGCAGAGAACGTCTCTTTCCAGTTCCATTCTTGTAACAATTCCTTGTCCCAAGAGAACTGGTAGCTAACTGTTTCCGAGTCAAACCGAGCTCCGGGATAGCAGTTCCAGAACCAGGTCCCTCCAACATTCTCCCCAGCTTCGAGAACTTTGACGCTCAAGGAGGGAAGACGCTCTCTCATCTGGTGCAAACTGTAGATGCCCGAGAGGCCCGCGCCAATTATCAGCACATCGTATCTCTCCTCTCGTACACCGACGGAACCCATATTTATCAAAGTTGTTTGCGAGGCTTTCTTGTGGTAGATGAGAAATTTCCCGATGGTGTGTTAAAGCGGGGTATATGTCGTCTTTTATACTGTTGATCCTGCCAGCAATGCTGGTCCACATTGGCCCACAGTGAACAACAATATCATACGTTAGCCAACCATCATACGTGTTTCCTTCGTGGGACTGTTTCTCCCTGAGTTTCCTCTGACAAAAAGTGGGGAGCTGATAAGAAAGCAAGACTTGAGCGTCTATGCTCCCCAAATCAGGAAGGGCATCGCAGTCACGGGATGCGGAGACTCACTCCTTGTAGCTTCAGCCTTGATTGGCCACCTAGCTATCAAGGGATGCGGTCTCGGCCTCATAGACTGGGGAAGGTTTTGGAAGTCATAAACCTATCTTACGGAGTTGAGCTATTGGGGAAATAGACATAGTCTCATATCGGGACAAGACCTCAAAATGATACCAAGCGTAGACTAGCAGATTGCGTAAATACTGCCGTGACCTAGCTGGGTTAAACTTGAATGGCTTCCTAGACCTTTTGATGACCCTAGTACATTATTTGACTACTGCATCCATTCCCCTTTTTCAATGACTGAGAGTACTGATCCACCATCTTCAAACAAGGACAATGTCAAGAAGAACCGAGGACACAAGCCTCGAAAGCTGTTCCACCTGCCTGCATTTTCATTATGGTGAACAACATGGTACAAAAAGAAGCATAAAGACTCGTCAAGCCCAAATAATGCGTTGAGACTGGTCTCTTCGTTGGTGCTGGTCAGACCCTTGCTATTGGAGGACCAGGCTTGCTTTTGCTTGTATGCGGACTGATGGCCCTTCTGGTTTACGGTATCTTTACCGCTGTGATTGAAATGAGCATATACGTTCCCATACCTGGGTCCCCTGTCACCTATTATTGTACCCGCTATATCTCACCGTCACTTGGTTTTGTCTTAGGCCGGCTCTACTTCTACTCATTCAGCATTATTGTGGCATATGAAATCGCTGCTGTCAGTCTTGTTATCAACTATTGGCCAAACAATGTCCACATCACCGTATGGGCCACCATCTTGTTGGTCGTCATTTTAGGGTTCAACCTATGCCCGGTGGGTATTTATGTGGAGACAGAGTTCTGGCTTGCGGGCATCAAGGTAGTTATGATCAGGATGATTATCCTACCTCTGATTGTTTTGCTCGGCGGAGGGCCCATTCATGATTGACTTGGCTTCCGTTATTGGAATGATCCTGGGGCAACGAGTACCTATATCGTCGAAGGAAGCAGAGGCAGCTTCACTGCCTTTCTCTATGTCTGGGTTTGGTCCGGCTTTTCTTCTTCTTTGGCCCGGAGCTGCTGGTATTCACGGATGGTGAGAAGCGCAACCCATGTAAGAATCTCCCCATAGTCTCTCGTTGATACTTTGGTCAACTTGTTGTGTTTTACATCTTGGAACACTTTCCATGGGAGTCACCTGCCCATCTAATACCAGCAGTCTCACTACCACGTCCGGGTATACTTCCTTGTTCGCGTCTTGTATCATATCCCTCCGTTTCCAGAAAGCCTGCACGGCCCAGAACTTTACCATGTCTTATCGGTCTCATATCCAGCCCATTGCAGCCTGAATCTGCCTGTTCTTGTTTGCAGTCCTACTGCTGTGTAATCGGTCTACTGTTTTCTTTCCTGGCCGATTCATAGCCAGTGGATTCCTGACTAATCATTTGGGCATTCCACTCTTCTTAGCTATTTACCTTAGGACACAAGTTTACTGTTGGGCGTAAGGACCCCTTGGTATATATGCCAGAACATGCGGACCTATGAACCGGCATCGAAGAGGTCGAGGCTGACACAGCGGTATGGACCAGGATGGACGCTATTAAGAAGTATTGAATACGCTCATGAAACTAGCTAGTATCGCAGGCGCCTGATATATGCCTGGTGAATTGGCCACCTGCGGAAGCATGTGGATTGTTGATCTACTATGGTAATCAGGCCACATATAAAAGGCCTCATAATTCCCATCTAGATAGGCCTTCTTGATATTTTGATAAGTATCATAAATCTGATCGTTTTGACACCGTTTCATACGAATACCTTACCAGTTACTCTGCAAGAAAGAAGAGAAAGGTATGCCGAACAATTTTTTGGCGGAATATATCTTTGATCTTCGTAACAATGGGGGAATGTCCGGTGTGTTATTGTAGTTTAGGGTGTAACATATATCTTTTGTTTTGTATGAGGGTTTAAAGCCAGAAAGAAGAGGATATTGCACCTGTTCTGGTTGCATCGTAAACACCAAGCCAAAGCGACAAGCGAGTCAGGACCCGTACGGATCAGTGGAAAACTAATGATTAAACGTTCGAGAAAGGAGGTTTGAGAAACCAATTGTTATGCATGAGTGCGCATAAGGAGGGGGGTGAATACCCACCTTTTTTTTGGCGTGTAGGGCTCTCGGGCACGACAATTTCCTCCTGACTCACTTCATTTCAGGGCAATAATAAGCATACGTAGCAATATCGAGCCTACGCTGAAATCATAATACTCACGTATATTTTGAATGCGAATAAAGTCTTGCACCAACCCGCAGGTAGTAGGTCAGTGAGCCAATCTAGAACACTTAGAATCAATCTTACACTCAAAGTCAGAAGCAGTGTCCAGGATTGTTTTTTTTTTCTCTCTCAAGACCTAGTTCAATAAGCACTAGTACTAATACCAGGAAAAGCCACGAGATAATAATCTTCCCAAATTTACTATGTATTGTATAAAACAGTTTCGAAAATGAAGTCGTGTAAGGTCTACATACGGTTCCATACGAATTATTTGCTTAACTGGGACCTTCCATGAAAACTAGCGCAAACACCATGCCCGCGAAAGTAAGACTCCCTAGCAAGGCAACTGTCAACATCCTTCCTGTTCCTATCTTGCCCCATGGCGTGAAGGTACGTACCAGAGCTATCCAGTAACTAAGCAATATAACATATGACTCTGCTTATCATTCTCCTTGGCTTGTCGGGAACCAGTAATCCTCTATATTAGACATGCACTCCGTTTGAAAGCTAACGTCAGATACTATTAACAGTAGGATTCTCAGCAGCATCTTTTGTCTCGAGGAAACAAGCTCTATCCCTCTGAAAAGCGAGATTGTCACCCAAGTGAGCAGATGGGAACTGACACCTTCATATACCCTCACTCCTGGTGACTTCGACCTCAAGTGAACTCCATCTGTATTTTGTCCCTCTCCCACCTACACGTACAGTGAACCCGTCTTCCCCCTTGTATAGACCCACTTCAGACCGCCTTGGCTTCCTTGGGGACACCGAGCTCAACCGGAGAAGAACACAAAATGAGGACCTTTCCAAGTCTATAAAGTACCTAATCGAGTGGAAGGAAACCCTCAATAATCGGAACTTGGCAAAGGATACCGAACAAGGCATGGCTTTCAAGCCTAGTTCGTACTGCCAGCAGCTTAAAGACAGGGCTGAGCGTATTGTGCAACCAAAGAAATCTCGTAACCAACGAGCATAGTTAGATGATGCTATTGTTGTTGTCACTCTAAATGATCGCTCGCAACGTGATCTTACTGAGCGGTTGGAAGGCAAGGATGTTCATTGGACTCCTATTGAGACGCAGCTCAGACTTGTAGTGTCTATCAACTACATAGAGGGCGAAGTTCCTCCTCCATCAAGGACTGACAAAAGAGACAATACGTCAACAACTAACGGGATACTTTGTGACCTTCAAAATCAGGTGGCCGCCGAGGACTCGTCAGGGCTACCTTCAATCTTGGCTCAATATATATAAGAAGATGCGCTGCCCTGGACTGCCTTGTCACCACGAAGGGAGAAGTGTTGGCTGGATCCAGTGGGAGAGAAAGAACATTACAAAATGAGAGCCCATCATATGATAGTTAAGCATGTAGAACTGGAGGTAATGACGATATTCCCGATACGATTTAGGACCAATTATATGCGGAAGAGCGGCGGCCACTTGAGAAACAGTAGAAAGCCCCCCAGCCCCTTCCAGCGCGTCGATGTTTCCCCCTATCAACATCAATGCCACCTCAAGCCAGCCGTCCCAGCCGACAGATAATTCCCACGATTGTAACTACCGAGAACCCCATTGACCAAGCCGACTTTGAAATTTCCGGGCCAATTGAAGTAGCCGTGGAAGAATATACATACCAATTAGCTCTTGGCAAAAGTCAGCACTGAGGACTTTAACGAGAATATTCGGAAAGCACGCGATATGGTGCTGGCAATTGTCTTGACCTTGGTCATCTCTATAGTAACCCCAAAATTGGTCCTGAATGAGTACACAGGTTAGGTGCCGCTTCAGAGAAGCCGCAAGCCGGCCCCACCGGTCTTAGCAGTAGGGGCGAGGCACCTCAGATTTTAAATACTGCACTATATACCGTGAAATTTGATGTTAGGTGTGGTGTGCGTCACCTAACCAGTGCGATACTATATAAGGCGCTTAGGGAAGTCGGCTTCCATGTGCATTCATTGTGTCTCGTGTTGTGCCCGAAACGAATGAGGAACGAAGTGAGAAGAAGGGAAAAAGGAAACGAGCCCGCGAGGCCGTACGCAAAAGAAGATGAGATCTCTACGTAGAAACGCAACTGCCACGCGTACTCCTCGTATGTTCACGGGTTGCCGTCCTCGCTTTGGTTTTGTCTTGGCTTTAGGGTTCGATGGCTTCATCTGCGTGTTGTGTTTCGTGATTGCGCCATTTTCTGCTCTGCTGTACTTATATTACTATAACGCACTTTAATATACTACCACGCGTAGCCCTATGAAAAGACCCTATCTGCATTGTATATGCTTTTGAGTGTTGACATATATCGTGCATTAATATGCGCTTGCCTTAACATAAGATAAAACTTTACTTTGGATAGGTAGCATTAGATATACATAACTCCGGTAGTGCCTAATATATCATTAGGTGGATATATATTCGGGAGCCAATTATTGACCTGCAAGCCCGACTAGCTAACAAAACTTGCAGCTATAGGTAGTTCCTACCCCTCCATTTCTCGTATGGATGAGTCTTCCTGTCTTTGATCCGAAGGAAACAGATGACGCCCACTTACTAAGTTTACTGTTGTTTCTCGCATGGTACATACACGCAAGGATGACTTTCTCGTACGATGACTACATGGTCGCATGGATCTGCGCCTTGCCGCTAGAGATGGCAGCCACCAAGGCCATGCTAGACGAGACTCATGTTTCGCTGCCTCAGCAAAAGTCCGACCATAACATCTACACTCTCGGAAGCATTAGTGGTCATAATGTTGTGGTGGTTTGCCTACCATCTGGTGTCTACGGGACGATTTCTGCTTCCGCTGTGGTTTCACACATGGTTTCCACTTTCCCAAGTATCCGGTTTGGATTGATGGTGGGCATTGGTGGGGGTGTTCCAGGCAGGAAGGCTGATATTCGCCTCGGAGATGTCGTCGTCAGTAAGCCAACTCCCAGCTCCGGTGGCATTGTCCAGTACGACTACGGCAAGAGACTGCATGGCGGGCAATTCCAGCGTATCGGGTTTCTTAATAAGCCTCCTCCAATATTACTAAAAAGCTTGTCTCAAATAGAGAGCAACTCTATAACAGGAGAAAAAATAGTTAGCAAAACAATGCTGAATGCAATGGAGAAGAATAAGGAAATGAATGAGCGGTTCTCACGACCAAAATGTGACTGGCTGTTTCAAGGAACCTACGAACATGAGGGGAAAGGACCTGATTGTTCAGCGTGTGATCAAAACCAGCTAGTGGATCGGTCCCTGCGAGCAACTGATGAGCCTTATATTCACTACGGTCTAATTGCTTCGGGGAATCAGGTTATGAAAGATGCCAAAATCCGCGATTCTATTGCTCAAGACCTTGACATCCTCTGCTATGAAATGGAGGCTGCTGGAATTATAGATGAGATCCCGTCTCTTGTCATACGAGGCATCTGTGACTACTGTGATTCTCACAAAAATAAGCAGTGGCAGGGATATGCTGCCTTTGCTGCTGCTGCCTCTGCGAAGGCTATTCTGTCCGTGATTCCTCTTTATCACTACAAGAAGGATACGCGCGTATCGAAGGAAGCAGTCTGGATGATTCCCTTTAGAAGGAACTCACAATTTGTGGGTCGGGAAGAAGAAATAACCAGCATCGAAAGGTTGATAATGCAACGGGAAGGACCAGGAAAAATCGCCATCTGTGGGTTAGGCGGGGTTGGGAAGACCCAAATCGCACTTGAATTGGCATATCGCACCCGATTTCGAGACCCTGAATGCTCAATATTCTGGATCCCATGTACCAGCTATGAGAGTGTGGAGCAAGCCTACATTAACATCTCCCTAAAGCTAGGGATAATGGACGGGAAGCCAGCAGTGGCAAAGGAACAAGTCAAGGCGTATTTTAGCCAAGAAGACGCTGGAAAGTGGCTTCTTATCTTTGATAATGCAGATAATATGGACATGTGGATACAGACCACCGCTGGTGCACTGGTGCTGACAGACTTTCTGCCTCAGAGCGAGCAAGGTCATGTCCTCTTCACTACACGAAATCAAAAGCTGGCAGTTAAACTGGCATCTTCTCATGTTGTACCAGTCTCTGAGCCAGATGAAGAAACTGGTATAAGGATCCTGGAGAAGTCACTTATTCGCAAGAACTTGCTTAATCGTGATGCAACCATTTCCCTGTTAAAACAGCTGGCTTTTCTCCCACTGGCCATAATACAGGCGTCGTCATACATTAATGAAAACTGCCTGGAACCATCTCAATATTTAAAATTGCTACAAGATCCAGAGCCCAATGTCGTTGAGCTGCTGAGTGAGAATTTTGAGGATGATGGACGATATGCAGAAATCCAAAATCCCGTCATTGCCACATGGGTGGTCTCATTTACCCAGATCCAGCGGATAGACCAGTTAGCAGCTGACTATTTATTACTTATGGCTTGTCTTGATTTTTGCAATATTCCTGAATCCCTTCTTCCATCCTCGACATCTCATAAGAGAAAAACGGATGCACTAGGCCTTCTTAGTGCTTATTCCTTTATCGATATTCAAGCTGAAGACATGCTACTGAGTCTACATCGACTAGTATATCTTGCGGCTCGTAACTGGATGAGACAGACCAGTCTATTTGCCCCGTGGGTTCAAAGAGCCGCTACTCAGTTGTCTGCGGCTTTTCCAAGTCATGATCATAGAAATCGAGAACTGTGGCGCAAATATATGCCTCATGCCCTACGTGCAGTGAATGAAATAGACAGAGCGCAAAAGAAGCAATGGGAACCACTCATCTGGAAGATGGCGAACTGCCTTTGCAGTGATGGCAGATTCAATGAAGCGGAGGGGTTATTGATTGACCTGGCTGAGATACAGAGAGAAGCTACAGGTGCTATAAACCCTTCGACTCTGGTCAGCATGAGTAATCTGGCTTCAACGTATTGGAAGCAAGGACGATGGAAGGAGGCAGAACAATTGCATCTACAGGTAATGGAAACGCGAAAACTCCTCCTCGGACCACTGCATCCTTCTACTCTGACCAGTGTGGCCAACCTAGCATCCACATATTCAAAACAGGCGCGGTGGAGCCAAGCAGCAGAGCTACAGGTTGAAGTAATTAAGGCTCGACAATCGACATTGGGTGCAGAACATCCAAATACCTTGATTAGTGTGAGTAATTTGGCTTCTATATATCGCAGTCAGGGACGATATAAGGAAGCAGAAGAGTTAGAGACCGGAGTTTTGGAGGTATACAGACGAGTGATGGGGCCATACCACCCCTGCACTGTAACCAACATGGCTAACCTGGCGTCTACATACGCAAGTCAAGGACGCTGGAAGGAGGCAGCGGAGCTACAGACCGAAGTTCTGGGGCTCTGTTTAAAGATGCTGGGGCCGGAGCATCCCGATAGTATGACTAATATGGCCAACCTTGCGTCTGTATACTGGAACCAGCAGCGTTGGAAAGAAGCAGAGGCATTAGAGACCCAGGTGCTGGAGACTCGGAAGCAGGTACTAGGGGTACAGCATCCGGACACCCTGACCAGTATGAATAACATTGCACACACCTGGAAGTACCTAGGCAAAGAAGATGATGCTATACTCTTAATGACTGAGTGTGTTTATATACGCAACCGGTATTTGGGTCCTGATCACCCCTATACTATCTCTTCAGCCGCTACTCTCCATGACTGGCAGCAAAGTACACACCGCCTCAAGGATTAAAGTCGATAAATTATGTACTAATCATATATGAATATTCGCATATTAATATGTAGGATAATTATTTGTCGTGAAACAAGGCTTGATTAAAAAAGGAAAAAGAAAGGAAAGGGAAAAGGAAACAGATGGATATCTGAGACCGCAGTCAATTTTTTTTCTGAATCAGTTTGGCTGGAAACAGCTCGGTATATAAGCCTTACATATATTTCTGACCAGAGAAGCAGAAAAAATTATCTTCCTTCGAACTCTAACATTATCAGGGGGAAAAGCGCGGTTCCAATAACACCTTTTTCCAAATTGGAAGAGCTATTAGGCCTCATCTATCCTTCTACCATGATTACTATGCTAAAATGGAGTTGGCCCACAACGACTATGCCGTAGCATGGATCTGCACCTTGCCACTGGAAATGGCAGTGGCAAAGACTATGCTGGATAAGGTCAATCCTTCACTACCCCAGCCAGAAACCGACCACAATGTCTACACGCTTGGAAGTATTAGCGGCCACAGTGTGGTAGTGGCCTCCCTCCCGTCCGGTGTGTATGGAACCCCATCTGCTGCAATTGTGCTTGCTCACATGCTTCCAACATTTCCTTCTCTTCGATTTGGGCTGATGGTAGGAATTGGCGGCGGTGTACCCGGCAAAAATGCTGATATTCGCCTTGGTGACATCGTCATTAGCCTTCCAACTGCTGCTCATGGGGGCGTGATTCAATATGACTATGGGAAGACTCTTTGTGATAGATAATTGCAGCGCACTGGGTTGCTTAACAAGACCCCACAATACCTGCTCACCGCAGTATCTCTCAAATATGAAGTGATTACATAGTCAGAGATTCGCTAACTAGAACGGGGATATTGGAGATGCTTCAGAAGTGTCATAGTATCCACGAACAGTTCTCACGGCCAGACTAAGACTGGCTATTTTTACCAGGTTATGATCATAAGAACCAGACTGCTGACTGTTCACTATGTGATCAGTCCCAGCTGGTAGTTCGCACACCACGAGAAACCAATGAGCCGGTTATCCCTTATGGGTTGATTGCTTCTGGGAATCAAATTATGAAGGATGCTAAATCATGAGATTCCATTGCCCAAGAGCTGGACATCCTCTGCTTTGAAATGAAAGCGGCCGGATTGGTGGATTAGTTACCATGCCTGGTCGTTCGAGGAATCTGTGACTATTGTGACTCGCAGAAGCACAAACAATGGTAGGGATATGCGGCGCTTACTGCAGCTGCTTATGCAAGAGCTCTTCTGGAAGCGGTTCCTCTGTACCGAAATAATCCGAGCAGGAAGAAAATAAGCCACTGGACGGTCCCCTTTGCGAGAAACCCTAGATTCATGGGTCGGGAAAGAGAAATTGTCAGGCTCGAAGAAGCACTCATGCAAGTGAATGGTCCATCCAAAATCGCAATCTACGGGCTTGGCGGGATTGGCAAACCCCAAATTGTACTTGGAACGGCTTACCAGGTGCGACAGAGAGACGCCACCTGCTCCATATTCTGGATTGCATGTACCAGCTATGAGAATGTTGAACAAGGCTACATGAGTATCGCACAGACAGTTGGGATACAGGTGAAGCACAGAAGAGGCAAAGATGCGTGTCAAGGCTTATCTTAGTCAAGAAAATACTGGAAAGTGGCTTCTGATTGTTGACAATGCTGATGATTTATACATGCGGATCAAGGACAGCCCGACAGGACCAGCTTTCAAGTGATTTCTTCCTTAGAGTTAGCAAGGTCATATTATTTTCACAACGCGTAACCGCACGCTAGCTGTGAAGATCGCATCTTCTCATTTGATCTCATTTGATAGCTGTCCCTGAGCTGGACCAGAGAACTGGGCTGAAGATGCATGAAAAGTCACTGCTTGATTATGATCAGTCTACCGAGAACAAGGATTGGACTCGAGTACGCTTTCCTTCCTACAGCAAGTCTAAATAAGCTAATTTCAACTCTGAGAAACTGCACTGGAGGCTCCCCTTTGCCACCTGGAGGAACGGCTGGTATAGTCATGCCCTGCACTGCTCTGCCCACCACTTTGGGACAAAGATCCCATTACGATGCATCCGAGTGTTACAGTCGCGCTCGTAGCGGCAACTGTTGCAGTGCTGAGTTGGGTAGCCAACTACCGTCTCATTTCCCATGCCGAGAGGAAAAGGGCGCACTTAACGGCACCACTTACGCACATTGAACGGCAGTTATCCGAACTGTACGGCCCGCTCGTGTCCTTAGTTCATGAGGGTCGAGCTACCTTTGAGGATCTTCTGAAAGGTTTGGGTCGCAACAACTACGTTTTCAGAGATAGCTAGCCTTTGCCAGACGACGAATTACAAATGTGGCTGTTCTGGATCGACTTCTCTTTTCTGCCACGAAATGGCAATATTCAATCGATCATCAACTCAAACACCGACTTCATTGAAGAAGGCGAGTTGCCAGCATCATGCGTGAGATTTATCTACCATTACAACAGCTGGCTAGTGGCTCATGAACGCTGGAAGCGATCCGGTATGTACCAATGACATTCAAATGCGAACTGGCCCAAAGATTTTGCACAGGATGTTTGCTGGCACCTTTCAGCACTTGATGAGGAGACATGCCGGGCTTATTGGCACAGTTGTTTAAAATTATTGGCAGGTGTAGTTTTGCCGATAGCAGGCTGCGAAGCTTGGCCTAACATTAATAACAGTGTTGAGAGCCTCAGTCGCCCGTCGCCCTGCACAAGACAAGAAAGATAGACACGTTGATGTGCTATGGGCCAAAACATGGCTCACCCGATTGATCAGGCATTTCTCTACTTCCCGCCAGCCCCTGTCATCAAACAATTTGCACACATTGTCTCTGGATGTATATGTAACGTTCAAAAACGAATGGATGTTAGCCCGTATACGACACAACAATCTGCGATCTTCGTTCCCCGCAATCCCATTCGAATGAGTCTCCACAATGTGCTAAAAGCAAGCGTTCATACCTATAATCACCGTTGTTCGTAAAAGTGGTCTGACGGGGAGTTATACTGACCTTCGCCGCTGGCAGGAGCTTCGAGGGCTTTTATATCCATCTAGTATCCCTGAAATTTGAGCATGACAATACATATATTGATCATTCACTGGCAGCTGCAAGCTTGGGTTTTCGGCATTGTTGTAATAGCTGCAGGCAGCCTTGCTGAGCTCTGATGCCATCACCATGGCTTGCCATAATGTATCTTGACTGCCCAAGTAGTAGCGGTCGCATGTAGGCTGGCCCCCACTGAAACCAGTTAAGAGAAATGAATTGAAACTCTTCGCACGAATGAACCTGATGGTGTTTTAGGTCGTATCGACGACGCTGTTGCGCCTGTTTGGTGGCGGAATCGGGCCACTTGGCCAAAGTCCGGGCCAAACTGGGTCATTATTCGAACGGATTTCTGTACTTGGTGGTATGAATATGGGCTTTGCAGTCGAATCCGCTAGCGGAGTTGCTTGTCCTGTATCCAGTTTGTATCCAAACTTTCTGCAGAGAGGAGAGCGGCATAGTTTGTTAAACTCGTTGCGGAGATCCAATCATATCAACTGTGTTGCACCGTGTGCGACTGCCAATGGAGTGTGTCTGGTATATAGGGTTGTGCTGAAGCGTCGTTGAGATATCTCTGTGACTCCTGGCCCGGCATCGCTGCAGGCAATGATGAATTTATCTGGAATTCTATTGGAGGCCAGAATTGAGGCTTAGCACGGCGTGGTACACAACTCGCATCACCATTCTTTGCTTCTCCTGTTAAGAGTAGTAGATTATATACCTACAGGGATCCTGACAACAGCGTTGCATGACCGCGGGTTACTGCATCAGGCATAGTTCTGACTAGTTATCGAAATTGGATTAGTAAATTCCAAAGCCATGACTAGATATAAAGCCAGACGGCCCCCAACTTGTAGCCGAATTTCTGACTGCTTCTCAATCTCCCATAACCAACGATCTTGCCCACTGCCGTATAGTTCAGTCTCGTTAGTTATATTTCACGTTAATTAAGCGAAGGATATAAAAAACATGTCGGGGCCTATGTCCGATGCGCACGGCTCTGCGGTATCCGCAGAGCCTGAGCGCCAGTCACGGTTTGTAATCCTTTCTCCGGCTCATCCCTCGGCCAATCTTACTGACGCGGCTGCCCTGCCTTTTTCGTCGGATCCAGACAAGCAATCGAAAGTACCTCGTGAACAAGACTTTGCTGCTTCAGACGTTTCGGACGACGATCCTGTTGCCACCGAAGACGAAGTTCGACAGCTTCTCCATGTAGTGGATAGGATCCCCGTCCGACTCTGGGTGGCATGTCTAGCAGGTATCCTAGAGCGCTTTGTATGGTACGGGGCGACTGCCCCTTTGCGTGAGTGCTGGTCTGTTCCTTTGTTGTGACGTTAGTTGTCTAATGGGTCTTCCAGAAAACTACCTACAGAATGCTCCCGGCGGCGAGGTCCCGGGGGCTCTAGGTCTCGGACAGGCGACAGCATCTAATATTGTCAATGTGTTGATCATCGCGTCTTATATTACTCCTGTCCCCGCCGCCATCATTGCCGATAGCTGGCTGGGCCGCTACAAAACGATGCTATACTCAGCCATGTACCGTTGAGTTCTTTTTCTTATTATCCTCCCTCCTGCCTGCGTCTTTATCTCGGCTGACTTCAGAACAGTATCGAGGCCATCGGAGCGACCATTCTGTGCGCGACGTCATTTCCAGCTGTCATAGAGAGGGGGGCTGGGCTTGGGGGGTTGGTTGCTGCATGTGCTCTCATGGCTATTGGTTCGGGGGCTTTCAAAACCACGGTAGTCCCTTTTATCGGTGAGTGAGCGTATCTCAGTCTTACAGTCTTCCTCAACTAATGTATCCCAGCGGACCAATATGATGAAAGCGAGCTCCATGTCCGAACCCAGAAGGACGGGAAGAAGGTCGTCACCAGCCGGACTCTAACCATCACATATATCTACAATGTCTTCTACTGGTGTGTTATTCCACCACCTCATTAACAGTGCCAGAACCAACATGACTGATAAAACCACAGGGGCGTAAACATGATCAGCTTTCTCGCCGATTGCACCCCCCTCCTAGAAAGACACGTGGGCTTCTGGCTCGCCTACCTAATCCCATGCTGCGCGATGTGGCTAGCACTGCTCCCAATCCTCCTCGGACGATCATACTTCAGTCGGTCTCACCCCCTCATCCCTCTCCAAGACAAATGCCTAACCTAAGGAACCCAAACCCACAGTCCAAACATCCCCAACAAGCAACATCATGCCCCAAGTAGCCGCCGCCCTCCGCCACGGAATAGCAGGAGGCTTCCAAATGGACGCAGCCAAACCCTCAAACCAACTAAACCACGGCCGACAAGTCCCTTGGACAGACACCTTCATCGACGAAATTAAGCGCAGCCTCCTCACCTGCCGAGTCCTGTACGTTCATGCCAAACATCCATCCTCCCTTTTCACCCCCCAAGCACCGCGCCCAAGCTAACATGTCAGCCACAGCCTCCTCTTCCCAATCCACTGGCTCTGCTACAACCAAACCTTCAACAACCTAATCTCCCAGGCCGCCCAAATGACCACCTATAACATCCCAAACGACATGATCAAAATCTCCGGCCCAATAGCCGGCATCCTCGTTGCCCCCCTCATCCAAAAAGCCCTCTACCCCTACCTAACCCGCCACGCCATCCCCTTCGGTCCCATCGCCCGCATAACAACCGGCTTCGCCATCCTAACCCTCTCAATGGCCTACACGGCCGTGGTCCAGAAGCTCATCTATAGTTCCGGGCCATGCTACGACAGACCGCTGGCGTGTGAGCATGCTATCCCGAACCACATCTCCGTGTTCTTGCAGATCCCAGTTTATGTTGCGGGGGCGTTGGCGGAGGTTTTTTGTATGACGACGGGGACCGAGTACGCGTATACGAGGGCGCCAGATGGCATGAAGACGCTTGTGCAGGCTGTTTGGCTGGGTATGGCAGGTGTGGGGACGGCTTTGGCGTTGGCGTTTACGCCGCTTACTAGGGATCCGGAGTTAGTGGTTATGTATGGTATTTTGGCCGGGTTGATGGGTGGGGCGACTGGGTTGTTTTGGGTGGTTTTTAGGCGGTTGGATCGGGATGAGTGAGGGTTGATTGGGGGAATGTTTCGTTAGGAGGGGATTTGGGGGACGACTCGTGGGTGAAGGGGCTATAGAAGGGATGTTGAAAGGGGCAGAGTGTGTGAGTGTGTATGCCGGTTTTGAACTTATCTTGGGTTACAAGATTTATAGCAGAAGAGGGTGGGGGTTGAGCAAAGGATAGCCTATTGGCTAGGTCAAGTTCTGAAGGGAGGGTACATACAAGTAGTATGTCAGGAGCGCGAAGTTCTACACGTTATTGAAGATCATGAGACGTTAGGAGAGGTTTAGAACGAACAGGTTTGATAATGTCTAGAAACGTTCAAACATAATGATTTAGAAATTGATCGTAGCAACATATATTAAGTAATGGTAACTCCAAAAGAGCGTCTCATTTGTGGTCAGAATGATTGATATAATGCATCAAAATCGTTGCCTCCATTAGTCTTTTGAAAATCAAATCTATCTATCTATAGATCGTGACTACGCATTTTTGCAGGCTATGCCCGATATCGCTTTGGGCTTAGTTCTTCGCAAAACGACCATGTACCAAACACACATCCTGTTCATAACAATGTCATACCCGCTAGAAGAGTACTCTAGAAGTTCTTGGTCTCACCCTCCTTGAGCTTACCGGCACCGACGAGTGTCTTAACCTGTTCGGCCCAAGCGTTCTTGACGGCGGCAGCGTCCTTGCCAGCAGAAGTAAGACGCTCGGCCAGACCAGCAAGCTCCTCAGCATCAATCTTGCTCATGACGAGGTCAACATCGGTCAGAACAGAGTCAACTTGAGCGGCGGAAGGCTCGCCGTCGGCGAAGTAGCTAACATCCTTGACGGAACCCTTAAGAACACGCTTGTTCTTCTTAGCAGCGTTCTTAGCGGCCTCCTTGGCCTTCTTATTCTTCTCACGCTCAGCCTTGGCGGCCTCCTCGGCGTCCTTCTTGCGCTGCTCCTCCTCCAGGCGAGCCTTCTCCTTCTCCTCAGCCAGGCGCTTCGCTTCGGCCTCCTTCTCGAGACGCTTCTTGTCCTTGTCGGCACGAGCGGCCTTACGGAACTTCTTGATACGCTCATCCTGAGCGGCACAGTCGTCAACGAGATGACGGAGACGGGCAGTGTCCTCAGTCTTGCGCTTGCGGCGGGCGTTGGCGTTTTTCTTCTCAACGTGACGCTTCTGGTCACGGTTCTCGTTGTCATCGGGCACATCCTCATCGAGGTATTCGAAAGTACGCCAGCTGTCGAAGTTATACCAGAAGTTGTAGAAGTTATCAACCTCCTCGAAGGTGCTGTTCTCATCACCCAACTCAGGCACGGGCTGGATCTTGGAGAAACGGGCCTCAGCCTGGAAGACAGGGCGCCAGAGCTTGAAGAAGTTGCCCTTGGCAACCTCCTTCTTGCTAGGGGGGTCAACCTCGGCAGCCTCATCGACGGAGTCGAACTGGCGACGCTTGGTGGGGTCCGTAAGGATCTCGTTGGCCTTCTGGATACACTTGAAGAAGCTGTCGTTCTCGTCACGGTCACCTAAGGCGGCCTTCTTGTCGGGGTGGTGGCGGAGGACCTTCTTGCGGTGAGCACGCTTGATCTGCTCGGGGGTAGCGCGCCAACGGTACTTCCTCAAACCGAGAACAGCGTAGTGGTCTTGGCTCTGTGAGATGAAAGTCAGTCCATTTTGACCTCACATTGCATATATGTAGATTGTAGAGAAGTTTTGAAGTCATACCTTCCAGTCCCTAGCCTCCCGAGAAAGCATCATGGGATCTTCATCTTCGGAAATGTCGTCGTCCTCATCCTCCTCGGTCTTCTTAACGTTCTGCTGGGCCTGGAGTCTCTCATCCTCGGAGAAAGTGCGCTGGTGACGCTTCTAGAGGGGTTGTTAGTAATGATCCGATCTATGAGTCTAAAGTAGAGGGAATTCTATCGGAAAACCCAACTATCGACTCTAACAGGATGAGAACATACTCTACGGGCGTGGGCCAAGAAGTGAGGGCCAACAGCCTCCAGATTCCTCTGAGTAGCAGCAGACAAAGTGCCGACAGCCTTGAAGTCCTTGTCAGCGGACCAACCCTCAGAGAGGGCGGGCAAAGAGACGTTGACAACTTGAACAGAGGCCATTTCGTGTAAAGCAAAGCCAATGATATGCCTTGTGCTTCGAGGGAATTAGGGAGGGAAAGATACCCAAGATTGTGTGCTAGCGATAAGAAATTGGGGGCAGAAATTTGTGACGCCGTTTTTTCTTTTTTTCTGCCCCGACTTCCCGCTCTTGGGGCTGCCAATCAGACAGCGGATGTTTCGGAGGTCATCGAAAGCCATGGACGGAAGTCAAAAGAACGGAGATTTATCTACCTTTCGCTGTTTCTTTTTCTTAGGGCTCTAGACTCTCGCATTATTCGTTGTTTATTTGACTCCTACATAGAGAGCCTTCGCTCTTCTTACTCACATTGACTCGTTGTGTCGTTGATCCGGTCCAATTCTTTATCACCAAAACCTCAGATACATACGGGGATCGCCGCAAAGCCGAGCAGAGAGAACGACATAAAACGATCAAAGCCTCTTTCTAACTACATTCGACTTGTATCTTACGATAATTCGGTAAAATGGCCTCCCAAGCTCTCTCCGCAAGAAGCGCCTACCGTCAACTTCTCCGCGCTACCCGCATTGCCTTCCATGGTTAGTCCTCTAGTTCATACAATGACCGATCTTACATACTGACTATCATACCTATAGAGGATACTCGAGTCCTCCTCGGCGCTCGCCAGGAGGCCCGCCGCCAGTTCGACGAACACAAGCGTGTCGGCATTGATACCCCCATGCAGATCAACCATGCCATTGAAGTGGCAAACATCTTGAAGCATAACATCGTGCAAGGAGTAAAGGAAGAGGGCGACGAAGCTGCCAAATGGGGTATGTGTTCTCTCCTCTGACGTGCAGTGGTTTTAAATATGAGTCAAGGCTAACACTTCAACCTATCCAGAACTTCGGATTCACGATGATATCGAGCGTGGTGACAACGATACGATCAAGCATGCGGGGAAGGACATCAAGATTCATAAGGCTTGTTCGTCCTAGACGTTGCTATGATAGAGGACTTCCTACAATTACGGTACGGATAGACAGGTTAACAGTAGCATATTTGCGTTGTATTATAGTATACCCGACTTTTCTCTCCTTCGGCGTCTTTTGGGGTATTTTGATTGAAGATATAAATGTAGCAAGAAATACACACACACATAACAACGCCTGCTCTGAATATACAAATGATGCCTCCTGATTCCCAAGAACGATATATGAACATGTGAACGTGCAATTATTCGCCAGTCAAGCTAGAATACTGAACCTCGCCACTACCGGGGGGCGGAGCGACTACGTAATTCCGCGGTTTCTCTTGCTTGCCAGCATCCTCACCAGCAGCGGTGATTGTTTTATTACCTGAGGTCGAACCTCTCGCCGTCGGCGCGGCCGACCGGCCTTCACGAGCATACTTCATTCGTTCTTCGCGATCCATGTTATCCAAGGGTTTAGGCTTACCCCAACGAATGCGTAGTGGGCATCCTTGAATGATAGCCTTGCCCTGACAGTGCTGCGCAGCCGCTTCGGCACCTTCACGAGTAGCAAAGTTGACGAACGCAGAGTGAGCGCGGTGAGAACAAACCAGCGACCGGAGCTGTCCAAACTGCGAGAAGAAGGTACGTAGCGTATGCTCAGGAAGATCATCCTCCACACCAGTGACAAACAGCGATGTAACATTCGGATCTGCAGGCGGGAGGATATCCTCTTGTGATGGGGGTAATTGAGCCGTGCTGGGGAATGGGCGGCCGCCACGACCTCCACGCATATTCCCACGCCCTCTTCCAGGTAATGGTGTACCCCTTCTGCTATCACTTGTGCGGATGGGCCCCGGGGCATTGCCATAACGACTGTGTACAACCGGTGCGTCGGACGACGGTTTCTCGCTCTCTTCGTCGGCGGGAGCCTCCAGTTGACGAGGCTTTCTATAATAAGGTTCGCTATTTGCCAGTCTCCTCAGAAGCTCACGCGCCTTCTCATCAGTCTTCTCATACGCTTCGACCGCACCGCGTCCTTCTTCAATTTCCTTCTCGTGTTCCTGCGCATAGTATTCACGGTTGATTGTGCTTTCGGGGCCCGGTGCTACCATCTTCAGCGCAGCATCACGGACCACGATGGGCAACCCGAATGACAGATCGAGCATGCAGCACTGACAGCAGTTCTTTAGACGGGCGCAGGTTAAGCAGATCGCGGTTCTCTTGGTGCGTGCTGTGCGGTCCGCTTTCCAGCGGAAGATAGAGAAAGGACGAGTGCACTTTTAGCATGTTAGCATCATTAACTGAGCAAAATAGACGTCATATCCATGAGGTGTTAACATACAATTTTACATTCTGCGCCGTAGTCCTCCTTCAACATCTGCACGTAAGGGTTATCGGGCAGACAGTTTTCGCACACAGAGGGAAAATCTGTAGTTTCCCATCCCGACCTATTGAGGTCTTGTTTAATCTGAGGGGGAGGCATGGCGAAGACTCGTTATTCCAGCTCAACTGGCGTGCGGACCAAGAGCAAGGAGCAGGATGTAACTAGTTGGTGGCGTTCAATGACCGGCGAAAGATGATTATCGATAGCAGCGTTTGCTCGGACTGTGGCTGGGCAGTGTGGCTCAGGTGGCTATTGAGCTGACATAGCAACTGAACGCACGTGACAGTTTTGACAGAGCAGAGCTGGAAATTTTCCAAGTGCGTATGTGGGGACCCTAATCGATAAGATTCTATTATTGAAGATTAACGGTCCAAGCGAACGTTCTTCTGGTTCCACCAGCAGCATCAGACATCAAATCAGTTCTGAAATTAATCTCCATCGACGTCGAATACGCAGAATACGACGGTTTCTCACATGTGACTACTCAGAGTGGTTTAGCGATGTGTCGGAAAGGGATTTATCCGGCGCCAGGGCCAGAACCCCGGATGGCTCCATTGGGCCTAGTCTTGGTTGGCTGGCCAGCTGATTGGCAGGGGAAGTGTCAAATCGTCGCAATTCCGCCTCCTTTTCTTTTTTGTCGATCGTCTTTCCTGGCTTGAATTTATTTCGCTTCTCTTATTTTTGACCCGCTCCTTTTATTCCCGTCTCTCTTTTCTGGTTGCCTATTCGGTTTCTTCACTTTTTCCCTTCTCTTTCGTTGCTTCGTGGGTATAAATCACCTTAGTCGTCGCTGTCCTGCCAAATTCTTGTGCTCTTCACCGATTCACCCCTTTCTGAATCTTCGACAACACCGACGTCAATTACAACCAACCATGGCTCCCACTACGTTGGAACAAGAGAACCATACCCGCGATGCGGAGTTCAATCGCGTCCTTCATGGCAAGTCGTCTCAGGCTAAGGGTGGTTTCGCTGCCATGCGTGGAAAGGATGCCGCTGCGCAGAAGGCTGCGGTTGATGAATACTTCAAGCACTGGGACAACAAGGATGCCACCGAGGAAACCGAGGAGATTCGTGCTGTATGGATATCCCAAATGTGAATCATTCAATTATCTGTGTTCTAACTATCTATCCCCACAGGCCCGCCGTGCGGAGTATGCGACCCTGACCAGACAGTATGTCCTAACTAAATCCAGCATCTTACCATTGAGTTCTCTGCTAACGCCTCTCAGCTACTACAACCTTGCGACCGACTTCTATGAATACGGTTGGGGTACCTCGTTCCACTTCTGTCGCTTCGCCCAGGGCGAGCCCTTCTACCAGGCCATTGCCCGTCATGAACACTATCTGGCCCACACCATGGGCATCAAGGCCGGTATGAAGGTCCTCGATGTCGGCTGTGGTGTTGGCGGTCCCGCGCGCGAGATTTGCAAATTTACCGATGCCAACATAGTCGGCTTGAACAACAATGATTACCAGATCGAGCGTGCGACTCGCTATGCTGAACGCGAGGGATTGAGCGACAAGCTAAGCTTCGTCAAGGGAGATTTCATGCAAATGAGCTTCCCTGATAACTCATTCGACGCCGTATATGCCATTGAGGCTACCTGCCATGCTCCTGAGCTGGAGGGGGTATATAAGGAGATCTTCCGTGTCCTGAAGCCTGGTGGTGTCTTCGGTGTTTACGAGTGGCTCATGACCGAAGAATACGACAACGATAATGCTGAGCACCGCAAGATCCGTTTGGGTATCGAGCAGGGAGATGGTATCTCCAACATGGTCAAGGTGTCTGAGGGTCTGGAGGCTTTCAAGAACGCCGGATTTGAGACTCTCCACAATGAAGATCTGGCTGACCGTCCTGACGAGATCCCATGGTACTACCCTCTGGCTGGCTCATTCAAGCACATGACCTCGCCTTGGGATTTCTTCACCATCGCCCGCATGACATGGTGGGGACGTGGCATCGCCCATCGTTTCGTCGGTGCCATGGAGCGCGTTGGCCTCTTCCCCAAGGGTTCCCAGAAGACCGCCGACAGCTTAGCCCTGGCAGGAGACTGCCTCGTGGCCGGTGGTGAGAAGAAGCTCTTCACCCCTATGTACCTGATGGTTGGACGCAAGCCCGAGTAATTGTCCTTGTCGAATTTGCATTATGTTAAACGTCTGTACAAAATACCTCTTCCTTGTCAGCATCCCACTTACAGACGTGGCGGTCTATTATCCCCTTTAATCTCGTGTTCTTATATGTTCTACGTCTTTGTTGACGTTACCTTCTCCCCTTGTCATTATTATGCATGCCGCCGTGGGACGCTATGTTCTTTTTCTGCCTTCATCTCATGTGTTGTCCGAATTGGCGGGCCTTATACGAATCACTGCTGGGAATGCGCCATGGTGATGATTTCTCGAGCTTGTTTTCCTTATTTTTAATCAAAATATGTTTCAATAGCAGCGGGTATCTAGAAGCGAAATTCTTATCATGTATTGAACCAAGATTTCCAAGCATGAAGCTACCATCTGTATCTCTACAAATATATGATTCTTTGGTCCTCACAAATCAGCCATGATCATTCATTGCATTGTGCCTCGCAACGAACCATGGTATTATACAATTTACCCATGCCATACGGGGCCACTCAACTGTCAGGTATGAAGAATTCGTAGCGGTGCCTCGCTTGGAAGATTTTTGCAATTCAGCCAGAGCTCAAATAGTTTTGGGGGCCCATGCGCTAGTAGACCTCTCTAATGCCCACTCTATTAGGGAAGTGGAGTACAGAGTACAGGCTATATCGGGTTTATCGACAGCAACTAGGGGAGGCCTCGGAAGGGGCGAATGCACGGGGCAGTCTTTAAAATAGTCATTTGGCAATCTGGCGAGCCCCTCTTAAACGGCAATTCCAATTAACAGATGGTTTACTCTGCGTCCTTTCCATATTAATTCAATATAGATAAAAACAAAATATCGTGGTAAGACTCAGCACTCTTTTAGGGTTATATACTTGGTGTTGGCCCGACCAACACCCATATATATATATGCAGCTTAGACGACATAGCACTATATTTACCTAGAAATGCTCGCCATCACCTCCAACAATATTATTTTTATATTTTCATTCTCCCCTCAATAAGTTTCCAATTAAAATAGGGTTGACAGTGGGGGCCCAAAGGTATAAGGGCGTTCAACTATGATCTCTTGATTGAAATGGATTATGGAGCTCGGTATTTGACGGTGCAATCGCCGATCACCGCGAGCTTTATCAGTCTTCGGCGTTTGAAATGGAGCAGAGGGTCTACGAACCACTATCAGAATTCGCCTTCCGGACCCTCCATACGGAGGAGGATGTTCATAAGGAATCCGTATTGAGTTGCAGACTGACTTTGCCTTTTCCATCACCACACTCACTTTAACATCTAATACCACCTGACCAGAACTGGTACATCTTACAGCAGTAGTTACATTCCCCGGCCTCTTCAGTCCCCCCCCATACCAAGACGTTTAAAGAACGATCAATTGTCGGCCATTCTTCGGAGATTCGCCCGAATCTAACCGTCCATAACCGGTTTAACGCCGAAGTCGGTTCCCGAACTATACACAGGGAGTTTTCTTACTAGACTCAGCAAGAAAGAAACCCTGACCTTCCGCAATATAAACTAAAATTAATCCTTGAGATATCTAGATCTCCGGTTGACCTACACAACCTGTCTTTCTCCTCTTGCTGACCGTTCCAATCTACATCATCTATAATGTCGCAGTCAGAAACAACCCATTCAGCCATCTCACAAAGGGCACAAAACGCCATAGTAGCGGGATCCAAAAACCTGATGTGGGATGTCATGAACGACTTATGGTGTGAAGATACCAACCCGAATGGGTTTGTGAATGTGGGCGTCGCAGAAAATGTCCTGATGCACGACCACCTCTTGAGTTTCATCAACCGGAAACTGGAGCTGCCTGCCAAACTACTCACATATAATGATGGGCCGACTGGGTCTGTGAGATTAAAGCGAGCCGTCTCTGCCTTTATCAACAGACACTTCCATCCTTTCAATGCGGTGGATCCCAGCCACCTGTTCATTACCAACGGCGTTTCGTCGGCAATCGAGCATGTTTCTTGGGCCGTTACGGAGCCCGGAGAGGGGATCCTCCTGGGGAGACCGTATTACGGGACATTTATACCAGACATCTCGCTGCGGCCGGGGGCCACGGTTATCCCTGTGGATTTTGATGACTGCGATCCTTTCAGCTTGGAGGCTGTCCAGAAGTATGAGCGTGCACTGTTGCACTTCAAAGAGACGACAGGGCGGAAAGTAAAGGGGTTGGCACTGTGCCATCCCCACAATCCGCTAGGACGGTGCTACCCCAGGGATGTACTAGTGAAGTTAATGGAACTCTGCCAGAGAAACCAAATGCACTTCATCAGCGACGAGATTTATGCCCTGTCTGTCTGGAAGAATACCGTTGACGAGAGCCCGAGACCAGTTGATTTCGAATCGGCTCTTTCAATCGACCTTACCGGGATTATTGACCCCCAACTGGTCCATATATTGTGGGGTGTAAGCAAGGACTTCGGCGCGAATGGTCTCCGACTGGGCGTTATCATCTCCCAAGCTAATCGCGACATGCTCGCTGCATTAAGGAGTCTGGGCTTGTATTCTTATGCCTCGGGCGTCTCGGAACATTTGACGTCTCTTCTGCTTGAAGATTTCGACTTCACGGATGAATACATCAGGATGAATAGCGAGAAGCTCTCGGAACATTACTCTTTCGTGGTACGGCAGCTTAAGAGTAGCGGTATTGAGTATTCGCCCGGGGCGAATGCTGCATTCTTCATCTGGATGAATTTGGGAAAGAAGTATCGGGAATTGCACCCCAAGGTCAAGGATGACGAGGATGTCAGCGACAAGGTTATGGACCTACTATTGCAAAAGAAGGTATTTTTGGCGAGCGGGTCGTTATTTGGTTCGGAGCATGGTGGATGGTATAGAATTGTGTTCTCACAGCCTCAAAAGTATCTGGCTGAGGCGGTTCGAAGGATCATGGCTGCGCTCGAGGCTTAAATCCGGCAAACAGGAAGTTCTGTTAGCCTTATGGGGCTTGTATTGTGCTGAGTAACGACTTTCGTTGCTGAGGAAGCCTTTCTTCAGCGCATACAATCCTCGCCTAGTACGCCTTCACGTTAAGTCAGCGACTCGTCGCATAGTAGGTAGATAGTCATATTTTTACAGACAGGGATAGATTTTAATGTATATAAAAAAAGATGCATATTAAGATTTATTTATTGTAGAATTATACAGCTACTAATCGGATTTGGTCAAATCTATTCTAATCCATTCCTAAAATCTTTTTTATTATTAAATTAGAAGACTCTAAATCTAAAACCTAGAGCAGGTTCTATCTTCCTAATCCGCCCCCGTACACTCTATATAATGGAGCCGTGCGCAGGGAAATTCTGGGCATCTTTTAAGGTCCCTGTTGTAAAAGACATACATAGATCTTATCCTTGGTCTTAAGAAAGCGTTTAAGGTATATGTGCCACATCTCGAAACTTTGCCAACGCTCATAAGATAGGTTTACTTCCCAACGTAAGTTGCCGAGAAGGAAACACCACTTACATTCCACAAGAAGATAATCCAGGTCTACATGCCGTTTTATATACAATACTGGACCTGGCAATCATAAAGATACGAAAGACCAGCTACATATAACGGGATACGGAGACATCCTTGGGCCACGTACCACATTCGATCGAAATATAAAAAGAATGAAACACTAAGTACCTGAACGTAGCATGCCTGTTAGGCGGCCAAAGGAAAATCATTTTTTAGCAGGAGTTTCACCATCCATCTATCGGCCCAATTGCTACTGCTGAACCTCAAAAGGTACGAAGCTAGCAAGACCCTTCTTCCACCATGGCTTCGTTGCGACACGAATAGAATTTGAGCCGCAGTGGACCTCGCCGCCATCCCTGTGATGCGAGTACCAATTGTCGATAAAAGTGACATTGTAACCGACCTTTCCATAAACCTGTCTCGTTGCCTCGGCCATGATATCTATTTTGTTGATTAATGGGCCCCATGGATTCGGAGATAGGTATTGAGAGTCGCTGAGGACGAGGCCGTTGATGACCCCTGGATATAGTGCCGCTGCATGCTCTCTACTGCAGTTACGTTCTGGACTCACGCCTTCATCATAGCCCCAGCACACTCCCGTTTCAAAAACGCTGGGCACTCTATAAATATCCTGATTGCGTAGCCCGGTTTCCTTCTGCAGAACTTTTAGAACCTCCGTAATATGGTCGGCAAACCGGTAGTTATCTTTGATGAATTTTGGTTTAGTTAGAAGTTCCTTGATTGTATATCCGGGTACATAAGGGTCTGGTGGCTCTGGCGGAGGGGGGGTCGCGTTGGATCGAGAAAATGCTTTAGTGTCCCCATACCCATTCTTTGCAGCGTCCTCAAGTATCTTAATCCCACCTATTGGGTCTGCAATAAACAGTACCCATCCACGGAGGTTGTTCTTATATGGTAGAAATTGTACGAATTCGTCCACATGACCCACCCCAAGCCAGTCGGCGTCTAGTATAAGGGGATCTTGGATCTCCTGAGCTCGCATGTACTGATAGATATGCGGCTTAAGCTTCCCATGATGTCCCTCAATGATACGGCCGGCCGGGTAGTCTCCGTAAGGGGGAATAGTCTCCAGGTTACCCATTGAATCAACTTCGTCTCTGGTCCCGCCCGTACTGTAGACAGCACCTCTACCCGTACCCCTCAGATATTCGAACACTTGCCGCCCTGCAACTCGGGATCCCTGAGACGAGCGAATCATAACTTCCAAAGTAACTGGCCGACCTTCGGGGCCGGGCATGCTTGTATAGGCAGGCTCCAGGATGTCTTGTATCCATGGGTCCGAACCATTGAAGAGGTAAAGGGGCCTGTCAACGCCGGTATCCTGCAGTGCTTTTCTAAAGCCTGAGACAAACTGCTCCTGATAAGGCACGTGCTCTCTGTCCTTGCCAGATAACGTAAGGAATTCTTTTACAGCCTGAAGATGGTTGTATGTAATAACGGGCGCGACCCGAAGACGCACGTAATCGTCCGATGAATCTGTTTCGTTCTGTACATGGAAATGCACTTCAACTCGTCCATCCCACCCTCCAGGCCGACGTGTATCTCGAGCATCTATGCCAAGCTCCAGACCTTGCTCCAGCTGTTTCTGGGAGAATCTGTAGTCATTTGTCGTGAACAGCCAGTTCCATCCATCACGTCGAAAGATGCGCACGTTCTTCCGAGCAATCTCTTCATTGACTCTGATGGTAGCGTATGCTTGTGGGCTTAGCCCTTTCAAGGGAAGAGTCTTGAGTGGGGCCATATATTGAGGCGACCGTTGGATATCATCGGACGCATCATTGCAGGCGGCCAGAGCTTCATCAGATAAGGGAGGCCACTGCTGCGCAGCGCGAGAACAACGACGATCCGTATCACCAATATTGGCCAAGAAAACTGCTCCGGCGGTATTGGACCATTCTAACTTATGGTCGTAGTCTGACCAGCCGTGTATATCAATGCCACCGTCTCGGTTGCTGTCTGCCCGTATATCTGCTTTTAGAGCCCGACAGCAGTTGCACAGAGCTGTGTATAGCACTGAGGTATTATTAGAGAAGTGTGTACGGGTCAGGTGGATATAGCACATACCGGCGAGACGAATTATGAATGCCAAATCCTTCATTGTGCAGAGACAGACCTGGCGAATAGGAGTGTATTCGTATGTCTAATCCGTGATCACGGACCAAACTGTCCCACAACTAGATGTAGAGACGAAGTGATCGCCTGCCTGTTTGAAGGCAACCAAAGCTGTATACAGCTAGTATGAAACCAAAAAATTTGTGGGATAATGCCGGTGTCCCACTCTCCAAGCGCATAATTGTGGATGAAGAGGATGCTGCCAGCTTTATATTTGATCTCCCACCGGTGTCAATTATCATCTTCCCTGGAATAGCGCAAATGGCATAGGGTGGTCGAGCTCTCGACCATACCACACTTTGATACTATTTAGATTTGCCTTTGGAAGATGGCCACCGACTCTTGGGACGCCGTTCCATGGACATAGATTTAGTCAAAGAGACGCCTGGAGGAATATGGTTCCAACAGGCAGGGTTACATTAGAACAGCATAGTTCAACAAATACATCATACCTCTTTCCACTATAAGCATGAATTGGGTTTAATGGACCCCGTATGTTCCACGAGTTGAGTAACCGTGGGTTGTTGACTTCTGGATATGGAATATTGACGTACTGTCACTGTTACATTGACTGTTACATAATCCATTGATAAAATGGCTACACCAGCCGTTCCCGTACGATAGGGAGAGCCATGGCGGGCTCTGGACTTCTCGGTGTTATGAGTAATGATCCATGAATGGTAGCGTTACACAACCGTGTCTTGGAGGGCAAACACAGAACAGATGTAAAAGTCCTAATGAGATATATATATATACCCTGTGTCTCATAATATTATGTCCATCCTACGAACAGCTCATGACCGCTAGGAGCCTCACTAGATTGGATAGAGCAAAAATAATTCATCTTCTTAGCACAAGATACATAGAACTCTGATCTGTTCCATCATGCGGCTGCTAGTCCTTCTCCACTTTCTATTACTCTCCTACCTAGGTGGAGCGCACAGCAAGCACGTCTTCGCAAACCGCCGAGACCAGAAAGGCGTTCACATCGAGAACGTGAACGTCCCTGTATGCACATTCTATATGTCTGACATTTCAAGTAATGCATAGCTGACTAATATTGTGCTTTTATGTAGGGAAGCATCTGTGGAAATGCCGAATCATATGCTGGCTACGCTCGCTTCCCCCCAAATACCATGAAGGAGGTTAAGCATGACTATCCGATTAACACATTCTTCTGGTATTTCAAGGCGCAAAACAAACCAGAATCTGCGCCTCTGGTCATCTGGATGAATGGTGGGCCTGGTGCATCGTCTATGGTTGGACTCTTTACGGAGAACGGCCCGTGCTACGTCAATCCAAACCTCACGACGAGAGAGAACCGTTGGTCTTGGAACAAGGACTACAACGTTCTGTACCTTGATCAGCCGGTGCAAACTGGTTTCAGCTACGATGTCCTGACGAACGGAACACTAGATTTAACCACCGGCGATATCACTCCTGAGAACAAGGGCCCATCGAATAGTAGTACGCTACTTCGGGGGGTATTCAGCAGCCAAAACGTCAATTCAACTGCCAATACTACCGAGAACGCTGCGCGGCATTTTTGGAACTTCCTCCAGGTTTGGCAAAGAGATTTCGGCACAGTCCACAACAGTTCGGACAAATCCGTTAGCATCTGGACGGAATCTTATGGCGGACGATATGGGCCAAGCTTCGCAGCATATATCCAGCAGCAAAACCAGCGTATCGCAGGCGGGTCTCTCTCAGCAACCCCGATTAACCTGACCACAGTGGGTATTATCAACGGCTGCATAGATCTCCTGACCCAGGAAGTATCCGCCCCAGACTTTGCATATGATAGAAATGCATATGGAATCCAAGGATTAACTCGGCAGAACTACAGTGACTCCTTAATTGCATATTCACAGAAGTGGGGCTGTCTAGACAGGATCCAACTCTGCCACCATCTTGCTGACACTCTCGATCCAAAAATGTACGGGAATGTTACTCAAGTCAACGAGGCATGCGAGAGTGCCAGCGATTATTGTCAGAACGAGGTCGAAGGGCCGTATATTTTCCGAAATAAATGGGCCTTCTATGACATTACCCACTGCTACTTGGATCCAACCCCAGAGAACTTCTTTGTAGAGTATTTAGCCACGAAGAAGGTCCGCGACGCGTTACATGTCCCAGTGAACTATACCGATATATCAAACACAGTGGGCAAAGCGTTCAATCTCACGGGGGACTACCCTCGGAAAGACACAAAAGGGTACCTTGAAGACATTGGAGGGCTTCTTGACTCCGGAGTTCAGGTGGCATTAATATTCGGCGACCGGGATTTTGCCTGCAATTGGATAGGGGGCGAGCGCGCTAGCTTGGCAGTCAATTATGGGGAATCTAGCAAGTTCCGGCAGGCTGGATACACGAACATCACCAGCGGGGGTTCACCAGTTGGCCAAGTCCGTCAACAAGGGCTGTTCTCATTCTCCCGCATCTTCCAGTCAGGACATATGGTTCCTGTTTACCAACCCCAAGCCGCGTACGACATTCTCCACAGGGCCATGCGGAAGAAAGATATTGCCACTGGGAATAAACCAGCCACGGGTAATTACCATACCAACGGCACCTGGAACTCTACTGTTACTTTGAAGGTAGAGACTACGCCGTTGCCGACTTGCTATTTACGAGGCATGCCGTCGACCTGTGCGAAGAACCAGATTGATGCAGTGAGGAATGGAACTGCCAAGATCAGACACGGCATCATTGAATCCCCCGGATTCCCTAAGGGAGTTTGCCCCTAGCACCGTTTCCGGGAACTCCAGGCAAGCTGCAAGGGATTGGACTAGAGGTGACAGAACTATATCGTGGAAATACATCCACTACTTGCTGCAGATCACAATGGTTAGCTAGTTTGCTCAGTGCAGAATCTTATGCGGTTGCATCGGGTTAAATTAGGCTCGTGTCATGTCACGTTTTGAGTTCAACCCTACGGAACTATTCAAAGACCTTAGGAAACCTACAGAACTTCTAACTGAAGTTAATGGGTTTCCCTGTCCGCTTCCCCTAATTTAAAGCACGTATTTTACACATGAGATTCCGCATTAATGTTATGCCCTGATTGTTCGGGGGTCGTTGATCCGTTAGATCTCTGAATGTGATAGCTAGGCCACCTCCATAGCCTCTTATACCAACCATCCCCGCCAAAAGCAGAATCTTTCGTTGATACTCTCCGTTGCTACTTAAAAAGTGGCTTTTTGTCTACCGAATCTATCTTCGGGGCAGTTGGAAGTGTTATGTTACTTAGATGACACCGAACCGAGGGGTAGAGAAATCAGTGATGAATTATAGGAAAATGTACCCGGTTTTGGTGGGACCGTGGGCTCCATTCCACCATTGGTCTTGTATGATTTCAAAAGCGAGCTGCATGTAGGCCAGCTGCCCAGCTGTATTCCATAGAAAGTGTTCCTTTTTGGCACTTCAATATCTAAGCAGTCCGAAGGAATAGAGATGTGAAATGTAATATTGGGACCTGTGAATTGCTATCCGTGCCTTCCAGCGCACCCACCGCTTTCGCTTATGGGGGGCTCGCGGGGACCCGGGGTTGGAGCTTGCTGTAAAGCCAATTGTGATGGCAATCCGATGATTGACGTCCATGGTGGCTCCAGCTCTACTGGCAGGTGTCCATGGCCGGGAATCTCTTGCGACTGGAGGGCGTTTGAGCAGACCGTGAGTATGGGCAGACATGCTTGGACTGAAACGGAACAGTGGGGCGTGCCCATTCCATGCGGTCCTGTTCGCAAGATACGGAGCTGAGAGCAACCGCTATGTAGACACAAACTACGAATTCTACCTGTTGCTGGCTTGCTTAAGCTCTTCATACTATTTATGCTCCATTTCACAAGAAGTACATAAAACGTATCTGTTGTCCCCACTAAGGCTCTTTTCCGTTCATAAATTCTTCTCAGTTCTCTGTATTGGTGTTGAATAATAAGCACCTTATCAAAGTAAGTATATGTACTGATGTGATCAAAGCTTCTATTTGGTCTTTAGTCTGCGGGGTTGGTTGGATCCACCACCTAATAGGCCGTGTTCAATTTGAGTACTTGGTTAGAAACACTAGTATAGTATGGCAATTCAAATAAAAGAAAGCAGAGAGGGGTATGAATTCATCACTGAAACTATCAAGGCTAATTTGTACATTTTAAAAGTAGTGTGGCATACTCATTGGCTCTAACCACACATTCAACATCTCCTCAATCGTAACGTCCTGAAGATCCACCCAAGGAAAACCAGGATCAGGCTGAGGCTCTTCAGAGATATTATTTTCTGAGATTCCAGTGGTGAAGACTCCCAGTGCACCATTATTCTCTCCAGCACTATCAGACTGCGCAAGACGATATTTCTCTTCAAACCATTCAGAAAGAAACCGCAGCCAATCTTGGTAGAAGAATATCTCATGTTGATCCCACTTCCCACCTTTACACTCCTGATCAAGCGTATTCAGGCGCTTGACAGGTTTCTGGATTTCATGCCGCATATCCAATGTCTCTCGCAACCCTCGGACTTGATCGTGATCTCGAACGGATGGCTCCAACGATGCGAGAACAAGTTTGCATGAAGCTGCAACGCTGAACCCGGTCATTGTCCATTGAGTGTAACTAAATCTCTTTTCAATACCAGGTGGTAGACTGAAGTAAAAGCTCATAAATTGTTTTGCAGCCGCTAGTCCGTGACAAAGGGCATCGATTCGCAGGAGAGCCATGGAGTGGTCGAATGACGCGGCGGAAGATGGGTATACATCGAAAAAGATAGTTTGATAGAGATGGATTTCGAAGGCGTGGGACGGAATGCCTTGAAATACTAATCAAGTGTTAGAATTTATATCTGCAGTACAGATAAGGCTTGGTCAACTCACCATCATGGTCAATAGGGACAGGAAGCCGGGTTTTGCAATCTTCAAAATCGCTTTGAAGAGAACTAATCATAACTTCTATATCCGCAGGAGCCTGATTCTCACCGAATCCCCGTGCAACTAGGGAATCAATTCGTACAAGCATGTGTTGTACTTGAACCTGGCCTAACAGGTATCGATCGGTTGAGAATTCGCATTCCTGCGACAACTTCGCAGCGCATGATTCTATGAAGGGTGACCAAGGCATTGTTCCTGTCCGCTGTAGTACTATGGAGCGACTAGTCATGTGAAAAGAAAGTAAGCAAGACATAGTCTTTTCAGGTCTAGACCGGGCTGTACAGGTGGTAAATCGAACTTACCACGCGTCAAGGAGAAAATATCCAACCAAAGCTCGCATTTCCTCGTTTCGCAGGGAAATCGACTCTGTCGGAGGATCCGTTTCCGACATGACGTCAATTCTTTGTCTTACTCCTCGCAGCTTGGCTGGGTAATCCAGTCTGCAATCGTTGATTATACTTTGTGCGAGGTGCAGATATCCAGAAAACCGCACTAGATGGAGTTTTTTCTTCGTTCTATCTTCCGTGTTAGCTTTTGTGAATCTAATGAAGAGAGGAATTGTCTAGAACATACCCAGCTATAGTAACCAGCAATCCCTGTAGTATATCAAAGGGTTGTTGGCGATTGCCTTGCAAGACTTGTCCCCCAAGGTAAGACGTCGAAACGTCCTCGAGGGCCAGGTGCAGCGGGACATTTCGAAACGAGGAGACCAAAAGAATAGAGAGTAAGAGGAAGGGTTTCTCCGATCTGAGATCCTCGACAGTGGCGTTTTTCGGCAGCTGTACAAATGGGAAATACGTTATGGCATCACGAAAGCTCTCTATCAAACGATTTGCCTCTTCGTGGGTGATCAGCCCGTTCCCGATCACATCGCACGGATTTCGAGGAGTCGGAGCACAACTTTCACTTTTCGGGGACAGTGGCAGTGGCAGTGGTGCCTGTTGCAGGCTTGAGGGAGGCTGATTGATCTGGCCTAATATTTGATCCACCTTGTCCTCGAGTGCACCTATTCGCCTAGGTTAGATGCGGTCAGCTTGACAGATCGTATCGATACGAGGAGTGGGCAGATATACGTCTGCCTCTTCTTAGGAGTACGAGCTTTTGTGGCGCGGAAATAACAATCTTTGTTCAGACGGAGACACCTTCGAAACGTGTTAGGTTTACGTTGCTAAGTAGAAGAGAAGAGAAGTAGAAGTAGAAGCGGGATGTTGCATACCGATCGCAGCTTTGGGTAGAGGTGCGCGAGCACCTAATTTTAGCACGCACACAGTTCTCGCAGGTCCTGACTCGGCCTAGACTGGTCGGCGCGGACATAGTAGGCAGCATTTAAAGAATTGGAGCTAAGATGGAGGCTGGACAGGAACAGGAGGCCTTAAGAGTCCGCGGACCGGCCCCCAGGCAATTCCCCTCCTAGTCCGCGGACTCGGAGTTGGCCTGGACTCCGTGTCTTGGCACGGCCCCATTGTCAGCCCTGGGAAGTATACTCGCGCCAATGATAGTCCTACGTCGGATCGGAGATAGCATAGCCTCGTGGCTGACTTTCAGGCGTCGTTATTTTGTCAGATTGTATAAAGAGTGTGTGTATTCGATGCTATGTGGAGGGGAATATCAACCTCAACCCATCTAGACTCGCATTCTACCTCTCCTCCTCCTCACGATCTCAAAAAAGAACAAGAAGAAAAAAGAGAGAAAAAAGAGAGAAAAAGAGTAGAAATATCAACACTGAAAAGGTCGGAAATGAACATGGACGACTGCACCTTGGCAACTTGCCCAATTGACTTGGCCTATATCAATTACCAGCCTAACATCCCGGCAAATGTCCTCTTCCTCGTCATCTTCGGCCTTCTCCTCGCCGCACAAATCGCCCTAGGAACATGGTTCCGAACATGGACATACATGGGGGCCATGACCGCGGGGCTCATCCTTGAAGTACTGGGATACATCGGACGAGTCATGATGCACAGCAACCCATTCGACTTTAATGCATTCCTTCTGTACGTGACCTTTGAGACATACCTCTGAATAAAGCAAGCTAATCAGAAACTTGACTTTTAGATACCTCATTTGTCTCACGATTGCCCCGGCCTTCTTCACCGCCGCCATTTACATCTGCCTGGGAAGAATTGTCATCGTCTACGGGGAGGATATCTCCAGGATTCGCCCGCGTACATACACCATCCTCTTCGTCACTTGCGATATCATCGCTCTAGTCCTACAAGCAGCCGGCGGCGCCATTACCTCCATCGCCGACTCAGACCAAAAAAGCCTCAGCGATACCGGTGTCAATATCATGATTGCAGGATTGGCTTTCCAGGTCGCCTCGTTGACGCTGTTCATTGTGCTCGCTTCGGAATTCGCCCTGCGAGTGCGCCGCAGCTCAGAAGATATGAAGAATGCGTCTACAGCATCTGTTCGCAGTGGTTTGAAATGGAAGATGTTCCTTCTGAGCAAGTGTCACTAAATAATCCGCATTTATCAGCCTATGCTAACCCAATCAAAGGTCTTGCCATTGCCGTTTTAACGATCTTCACTCGCTCGATCTTCCGTGTTGCGGAGCTGAAAGGTGGATTTAACAGTGATCTGGCTAATGATGAAATTTCCCTGATGATTCTTGAGAGCACTATGATTGCCATTGCGTGCATTTGTATGACCGCCGCTCACCCAGCAGTTGCCATGGGCCGGCGATGGGGGGAACTCTCGGCGAAGCCGCGTCGTGGAGTCGTTTCGTCTAAGGCGTCGCACGCTTCATCAGAAATTGAGATGATGAATGCTTAAAAATATATAGCAAAGCCCCTGATGACTCGGGGTGGTCGGTTTCAAGAGATTGGGTATTAGACATTTCAGCGTTTGGATTGGTCTTGGTAACATCAGCGAGTTAGATCTGGAGTTAGATTTTATTTGAGCGATTTGAATCATAGCATTCTCATATTCCATATTCCAATCCCTCCAGTCATGCAAAGAGTTGAACCAGCTAGGGTCGGTGGAGTCGTATAGATCCTAGGTTGCCTTGAGGTAGTGGATGAGGACCAATGAAGGACCAAAATCCTGAGGTGTCCGCGGAAAAAATGAATACTTTCCCTGACTCTCGAATTTGAATGCCTAGGCATACATCTGCGCCGCATTTATTGCTGTACTCGTGCGACTCTTTTTTCTAGGGACATTTTGCGTCGATCTCTTTTCTGTCGCAATGACTTCTTGGTCACGCTGAAAACTTTCGACTGGCCGCTGGAGTTTCTGGTCATTCTGACCGAGTGGTATGGAAAATTATAGGCAAACAGTACGCCGGTGTCAAGGCACGGTATTTTTATGATGAACGATAGGTGTGTCTTCCCAGGGGGAAAATCATAAAAAGGCAAAAAGCGCTTTTAAAATGTTGCTTTAGCCAAAGGCCACGATTCTCGGGACCACCATGGTTTTTACTCTCTAGGTATGGGCTGTGCTTTCTGTTCTTGCTCTGGAGAGAATAGTAGTTGAAGATGAGCCGAGGTGAGAACGAGATTGCCTAAACTGATCTGCTTCAAGGATCTCACTTTCCTCCTCGCCCAGGCAGTGAACCATATCGGCCAATCAGTTCTCAACATTGAATCGAGCTCGGCTTTTCATATCACTGACTCCTCTTTGGGCTAAGCAAACTGTTCAAGTGTAGTTGTTCCTTTCAATGCGAATGACTGACCCTAGTCATGAAGTAAACATGGCGACATCTTGGCAAGGATGCACCCGCCAAGTCGGCCTCGCTTAAGCTATTTCATTTTCGGCAGCTGCTCGTGCCCTGCCGACAGAAAAAGGTATCGCGGCTTATGAAAAGCAAGACTGTTTCAATTCACACTAGTGCTGGTTTGGCCTAGTGTAAATCACTATGGCAAACCTCCGAGGCACTCTATTGCATGGAGTAGATGGGATTCAATGAGATGACGACGAAGAGAGTCCAGTCGCTTAGAGGGAAATTTATGCGGAGGAGGGGTGGATGCTGAGCGACGAGATGCACCATAGCAAATAATGCACTCATCTATTGAACAGTCCAGATTATCCTCTTCAGAAGGCGAGGGCTCCTCTCACTGGTCTGCAGTTCATCAGTCTCGTCGTCGAACTTCCAATCAACGCGCTTGCCTCGCCTACTCGGCTCGCAGAGGCCCAAGAGCGCAACCATATCCTTCGTAACCTGGATTCGGCGTGTAAGGAGCTTGTCTTCATCATAATTCTCCGCTTCGGGCCCGGAGAAATTCTCTACAAGGCGTGCCCGTTTGGGAAAAAGGTATTTCGGGGTAGGTAACTCCCAGTCTTCATCGTTAGAGCTATTAGCAGCTATGTCAGGCTCATGCTTACCGAGCAGCTGTTTGATCTGTCGGCTGACTTCGAGTATAGGTGCAATACGGAAATAATCCTTTCTGGCTGTCTCTCGTGTATCTGTTAATAAATTTTTACGAAGCTTGGTTAATTCCTTACCCATAGCTTCGTGCCTTTGATAAAGGTGTGGGAAGGACTGTTGTGTATTTCTTCACCGTGCCGGCCAGAGATCGTATCTCCACGATAAGCTCTCTCTTTTCTCGTTTTAGCTCCAATATTTCCGGATGTTGGTAAATAGCCTGCTTATATATAAAGAATTTGGTTCTAATAGGAAAAGTTAGTAGCGGATCTAGTAGTATAGCACACGAGGTCGTAAATACGCTTACCTATCGGCACCTTCCGGTCGACCTTTTAAGTTACGAAACTCTATAATAGTATAGAGAACGTCACTTTTACTCTAAGGGTCTCGGAGATAGAATAGCTTAATATCGCAATAGCAGACCGAGTCTGGAAAGTCTGTCACGGGAATATACTTCGGGAGATTACTCTGAAAAATAGGATTTTGTTTACGCCTACTCGTAGAAGAGTTACCGGGTAGGGAGATGTTCTGTAGAAGCAGGACGCCGGACCGGGTTCTAGTAATAGCGGACTAGAGCTAGATAGTGGTAAACTAGTCGATTATACTTCTATGGCGAAAGAAGTGTGAATGGACCCAGTAATATCGATATATAATAATAAAAGATATTTATATCTAGAGTATTTTTTTTCTTCGTGTGTCTAGGGATTTTGCGCTTAGCTAGAAATATGCTATTGAGAAACTATGCTCTATCTAGCTTAATTCCCTTCAGAATAGAGAGAGTAACCGTACGCGTTGTATCTATTTATGAATATTGTTATTATTACTACGGCGGGCGAATAGTTCGAAGTATTAACAAAGACGGCGCTAGTATTTGTTATATGATTGAAGTGCTTTTTTTTGTGGCGTCTTAATTATCCAGTTGAAAAAATTCATGTAAATCACTTAATCTTCTAGCAGAAGATTGTCCATGTAGTCCTGGTTCGATTGAATATAATACCTATTTCCATATTATTCTCAGCTGGGCTTGTATTCCATCGAGGGCTAACCCACTTCCGCTAGTACCGTTCGACGACGGTAATTCCTATCAGAGTTCTTAGCTTGAAATTTGGAGGGAGCTATCTAAGACTACGGAAATGTTTCAATCTAGCTCAAGTTTCCTCGCAAAGGATAGGATCGGTCCAAAATTGGTGCTCATCGCCTTGAGCAGGTGGTAAGGGTAGAGGAGCCATAGGAGATGTCGGGTATAGGGGCCACGGTTGGGACTCTGTGACAACAGGCCTGGGATTGAAGGTCGGTCTAGGCAACGGGGTTGGGACGAGGAGAGGAGAATGTTGAAAGACTCCGGAAGTGAGGGCGGACGCTGCATCTTAGGCGCCCGGCCAGGCTGGGCGAAAAGGAGGGGGCGTCGGGCTTGGATGCAGAGGGGAGCCATTTCGGCGTCGTTTTCACAGGTCCCTATATTCTACTTGTTATTTTGGTATCCGGTAGCTGAAACTCACCGTCTTGCAGACCCAGAGAAAATGAACACTAGTAACCAAATGAAGATCTACACGTAATCATAAAAGCATATTTGTGAACGATAAATGGCTTGACAGGCTTCATATGTGTCCTGACTCGCTGAGGGCTTTTAATACGAAGCGCCGGATAGAGAGCATTTTCTTTCTGGAAGAGTGCGCAATTGCCCATAGTGTGACGTGCCCAACTCTATGATATGGGATAAATTCGCCAAATGATTTTGTATAGGTCACAGTTGCTCGGCAGTGTCCGTAATTCAGTGCAGTAGGCGTTTCTGTACACTCTCCAGCATCGGAATTTCTAAGTTAATGTCGTAGATATAGCTAAGCACTCTTTAGTCTACTAAATACAGCTTCGGTGACATGGTAGTATTAATACCCCACTATTCAAAATTGCTAAAGAAGCAGCACGAATATTCCTCCAAAAATCTCTATAGCGAATTTATTTACTTTTATAATCTCTCGAAAGAAAAATAATGATCTATACCAAGGATGATGTTGGGCATTCCCAGTCGCATAACAATCGAAATTAATCAGTCGTCTCCACCAATGATGTATTGCGTCAAAGCTAGAGGGTACCTATCTGGAGGAGCATTGCTGGAATGCTCTGTATAGCGCGCCTTTCATAGAACAACCCCACTTGCTCCAGGTCTCTGCACCTAAAGGTACATACGGCGGGCTGCATTTACTATTTCCTTTTATGAAAGAGTACAGTTCCAAAAAGAGAAGTACAGGGTTATCAGGAATGCCGTAACGTAAAAGTTTGTCTATAGCTGATGTATGTGACTAAGTTTCTTGAGGTTCAAGCTCAGGGTAAACGCTTGTGTCTTACAATAGGGATTGGCGTATGAGGTACATTTTGTGGGGCTTTTAAGACGTTCAGAAGTACGTTATGTATATTGAAATGAACTACTGCCTATCTGGTGACAGAGTATATATTATCATATCTTTATGCTGCACCGACATAAGTGGCCTAACGCGACCCTCTTACTTATTCCGGCGACAGCAGCAAAAGCACCACGAGCAAAATACCATGGGTATCCAGTCAATTCAAAATGTTATAGACTGTTGTCTGATTTTCCGCGACCAATCTTATAAACCCATGACACAGTTCAAAGGCCTAAATGCGTAAGCATATTCAACTGTATAAAGACGGTTTACAGGCTACTCACCTACCCTTTCTTTAAAATTTAATACCTGCATTCCACATTCTTCCTTTTAGTCTGAAATACCGCACTTGCAGCCTGGCTTACTTCTTTCTCTTCCAGATATCAGCCGAGTTTCCTGTTTGGAATGAAGATATCTCTCCTCTCAGTCCTGCTTCTAGCCCTCTCCACCGAAGGCATAACCTCTCCTAGCCGCGCTTGCGCAAGGGAAGGACAAGCCTGCTCATGGAAGACAATGACTTTCTGCTGTGAAGGGCTCTATTGCAAGTATAGTGGGGTAGCTGGAGTAAGTTGATATGGCTATTTATTGCTAGGAACTGTGCGTACTGACTAAAGGAATATAGACATGTAAGCAGAGCGGCCGCACATGGGATTTCTGATAGGATGAGTATTAGGTATGAATATAGCCAGGGTGCCCAAATATAATCATTTCTATCTACACTAGGGATTTAGGATGTCAACTCCTTTGAAGTATCTTATCATAATACGAAGAAAGTTATGGCCAGCATGATACATTGTTACTGGAAAATTCGGAGGTTTGCAACCTTCAGTTGCCCGAACGCTTGTTGTGGCCCTTCACAGAAAAGTTGAATGGCAGAAAGAATCATCGTGTGTGTACTAAACCGGAAAGCTACTGTAACGAATATCAACCCAGATTTTCTGTCAATTTATTGCACATTTCAGAGCTATGTATTAAGAAAATAAGATGTTGGCTGGGATTTTGGCTGGCGGTTTTGATTGGGCTGGTCAGCTGGATGATTTGGCTGATGTGCGGAAATAATTTTCAAAATGAGCGTTTGCGTTCAAGGTGGCTTAGATAGGGCTTCAATAAGATCATGATTTTCATGGAGTGCGCTTCAGATAACCCCTCAACATAAGTTAGTTTATCACTGCCGTGGCATTGTCTCTCTTTGGGTAGTATGGAGGTATTACGGAGGTAAGGAGACAGCATATCATCCGCACTTACAACCTTGCAACGAATAAAATCAAAATCCAAGTCCAGGCCTAATGGAGGGTTGTAAGACGAAGAAAAGTTTGGCTTGGGTTTTGATACTATCGCATTCTCGACATGTGAGGGCCACCATGACGGATGAGAGACTCTGTTCGTGAAAAGATTTACTGAACTCGCATATACAGACCCGACTATGGACTATGGAAACCTGGCAACTAGAAGAGTTCAAACAAACCCCCCCCCCCCCCGGGATGAATCTCTTCTACATAGGACCGTCATTCCGAAAAAGCTAATAAGCTTCAGCTCCATGTCACTCGCCTGCTCGTTCGCTAGCACCGCCTACATGTCCTGCTCAAGGAGCAGTAATTTCATTGACGACGGCACCACCGGGGCCGCCACCAGCACCTCCATCCCCTACTTGACTGTCAGACTTACCGCCCCCGTTACGAGATCTAGCACCTTTAAGTTCACCCGCGTCTGCTACCAATAGCGCTGGTGCAGGGTTCTCTTCTCCTTGACCTCCTCTTCTCCTACTAGCTCCAGTGACAACGGAGCCATGCCTCTGGCCACCGGCGCTGCTCAGTGGGCTTACTGGGAGTGCGGCGGCTATGATGCTTGCGCTGGTTATGGATTAGGTGTGGATTTGGACTTGCACGCGTTTCGTAACCTGGATTTGGAGTGCGTGCTGTGTGGACTATGGTATTGCGGCTAGAGAATATTAGTGTATAGAGATGTCCTTGCGTTAATATTGTATGATATTGGGGATTTTCCTACCGAATGTGGTTGAGGTATGAGATAATAGTAGCAATTCATGTAGTATTGCTGTTTATTGTGTTCCGAAGTGGATCGAGAAGTCTAGAATCGTGGGTGCCAGGAATATCGACTCGGTCCTCGCGCTTTGGAATGTCCGACGAAAAACCCAGTTTTTCACCGATAGTCTTGGCAATTGTACAATTTCCGTTGTTGATTTCGTAAAGTTAGGATTCGACTCCTATGTTATATCATATGGCATGGAATCGGAGGCTATGTGCCCTGCTGTCAGGTTAAGAGACTCTACATCCTTAAAAAGTATCAAGGTCATGATCAGGTACCACGATGAGAACTTCAAGCTTGGTATCAGATAAGATCTACACGTGCCGGACAGCCGTGATGACTAATTAGGCTAGCCTTGGGTTTTCCGAAAGTGAGGTGCCGGGCCAATCAGCAACGGCGGAAGTACATCTATAGATGCCCGAATGAGAAAATATCCCGAGTCATCGGTTCAATTGCGGAGACTTCTTTTTTCTTTTACATCAGATGAGGTGACTAAAAGCTATCTGTCGCGATCAGGTAATGAATAAATACTACGCTATCCCACTGTTCATGTCATTGTCAACCCTGCAGCACTTTTAGACTCCTCCCCCCTTCGACCGTCTTGAACGGCAAGGACTACCCTCAAGATGAGCGAAAAGACGGAACTTGGCGAAGGCAGCGAGAAGGCTGAAGAGCCACCAACCGCTGTCTCCTTTTTTGATCCCGCCTTGAAATCGGTTCGATACCAGGTATTTCTCCAATGGGCCCGTACAGGTGAGTGTAGCTCCTTTGGATGCATCCGTAGGGTACTAAACGATGGCCTTATGTTGTAGTCCTCATGCTTTGCGTTTTCGTCCTCTGCATCCTTTCTCTATTCTGGGCCGTTCAATTTCGCGTACAAGAGAATCTTCATTCGTTAACGGTCTGGGTCGTCGACTTCGATGGTTTGGTCGATCCGTATCGCGAAACGAAGCCGATCGTGGGCCCGGCTGTGACGCACGTCGCAGAAAGCTTGGTCCAAAGCCCGAAAACTGGCCGGTTGGGTTACATCATTAAATATCCCTCGGATTTTAACTATGACCCTTGGGCTGTTCGACAGGGTGTGTACGATGAACATGCGTATGCTGCCATCATCGTCAACGCCAACGCGACCACGCTTCTCCGCAATGCTGTGACGAACGGAAATACATCGTACGATCCCACTGGGGCCGCGCAGTTCATCGTAATTGCTGCCCGGGATCAAACAACTTATTCTAGTTATATTATACCGGGGTTAAGCGCCTTCGCAAATACGGTCCTGGCGGAATTCGGGCCTCGTTGGGTACAAACCGTTGCTCAAGAGTCGCTCAATATCTCGCGTGTACCCCAAGCGATAAATCCGGCGATTGGATTCAACACACTGGACCTTCGGCCATTCGGTCCGGCCGCTGCGACACCTTCTGTGACAATTGGCTTGATCTACCTGATTATCATTGCCTTCTTCAACTTTCCATTCCTGATGCCAATCCACGCACAATTCCTGAAGGGCAATCATCCTCCGCTGAAGATTCCCCACTGGCTCATGTGGCGTGTCTGCTCCAATATCGCGGCCTACTTCTTCTTATCTCTATTCTACTCTTTTGTGTCGCTAGCTTTCCAGATCCCGTTCAGCAACTCTCCGGCGCCGGATACAGTTTCTGCCGCTAACCCCAATGCCTACGGACATGGATCCTTTATGGTCTTTTGGATGCTCAACTGGGTGGGCATGAGCGCTCTCGGATTCCCTCTCGAGAACATGGCTATGGTTCTAGGATTCCCCTGGAGCTCGCTGTTTCTCATCTTCTGGGTCATCAGTAACGTCGCCACGGGTTTCTATGCGCTGGATTTAGCCCCGGGATTTTTCCGATGGGGCTATGCGTGGCCATTGCATCGCAGTAAGTTTGACCGTCCTCTCACATGATTACGTCCCAACTAACCAACGACAGTTGTCGAAGCGTTACGTACCATCCTCTTCGGGATCCATTCCCGGATCGGACTCGACTTCGGCATTCTGTTTGCGTGGATCGGCGTATCCCTTATCTTCTTTCCATTTGCCACCTTTATCATGCAATGGAAGATGAAGCGAGGACTGTAATTTATGATTCGCTTCTGTCTCTTATTATGTTTGAGTTACTAAAAGTATAGATTTACCACTAGGGGTTACGGATATGTATAGACTAGACAAATATAGATTAATGATACCACATCTTCGTCCTTGCATGGAGTACACACTACAAGACATTGTTTTTAATAAACCCTAAAAGAACAACTCCTTGGGTCGTTCCATATCCTCCAGCTCCTCTTCTCCCTCGACACTCTTTTGTTGTCCCCATGTCTAAAACTCTCGAATCATCCATAGCCCTCCAGACCATCAGAAACGATTCTAGCCTCTTTTCCTGCTGTAACAGACAAGGGTAAATCACGGACTTTGTTTGCCCCTCAATACCGACATCCGATTGCTCAGTCAGGGAATCAATGTTCTTTGCACCATGCTCTTCCTGTCCCTTCGAGCGGCAGCGGCCACGGGTGGCTCTATATGTGGCAAATTAACTCGAGTCTTGGATACGAAAATCTCCAAAAAAGATAGCTTACAATCGGAAGACTTCAGCAACATTCTCGGGGAGTGTATCTATGTTAGAGGGTACGGATATTTGTGGTAGTGGATATGCACCAAACTGATATGTAAGAATTACTTTTAGTGCATGTTCAAAGTATTAGCAAGGGCTTAAGAAGTCATGTAGATTTATTTTTGGACTTCGTCAATATGATGAGGATAACACATAACGTAGGTCATGTAATGGAGGGCTAGATCGTTTCCTGGTTTTAATCAGCTGACAGAATATGACCGCTTACGTCTACCGGTAGTAGCTATATAACTGCGTGGTATACACATTTGTATGAATGTATGGGACTGGCTCGGAGTGCATCATACGTAGACGACTAGCCGCTAGGTTCATTGTTGTATGCGATCCCGGGGCATGACAGAACCAGAACAACCTGTGAGTATCTCTCGTCTTAGCGAGAAGGATGAAAAGTTCTATCAAAACCAGACGGCCTATGGGGAGCCGGTGAGATACTCAACAGATAGAAATTTATCGTGGTTAGTTTCACTTGTTCGTCTTTGAGTTTGTTCCACTAACCATCGACCCCTGAAGTATCCTGGAAAGAGAATTCAAAGATGGAGACATTCGCCATAAAAAGACATATTCGAGTACGTCAACAAGTATTACAAAAGCCTTTTGGAAGTAGACGCAACACACACCTCGGAACAGAAACTGGGGGCAAAGGTCATGCACGTTTATGTAAGTTGGCGCACAGGAATCCGGATATATATTAGTAAACATTACCAATGCTAAGCAAGATCCGGCATACGGGAGAATGATCCTGAGGACAAAAGAATACATCTCAATGGAGGAGCCTTCCATCCTAAGAGCGGCTCAGGAGAGCATCCAAACAGCTTTATAGATTCCAAATTCGCACCAGACGCAGCAGAATATGTCGAGACACAAGAGAAGAACAGGCCTGCAGCTACAGCAGCAGCAGCAGCAGCAGCGGCGATACCAAAAGCTTCAAGAGCTATAGCGGCGAACACATTAAGTACATCAAATGCAGCACAAAGTCGTGCTAGGACTAGCTACCTTCCAACAATTACTCCGCGCAGTGGAGCCATACTGAGGAACCTAGCTTGGTGACCTTTTTCAGAGGCAATTTGGGTACCAATTACAGATCAACATGGTAAGCGTAGCGAACGGAATAGGGGTTTTGAGAGTGTCGATAGATGTTCCGATCTGCAAGCTTAAACTTATGCAGTGCATCCTGGTCATAGAACATGGTACAATAGCCTTCCCCCCGCCAACCAATCTGTTACTCATATTGGTATTCAATCTATCATTCTGTCGGTTCCATTTAATTCATGTTTTTTGTAGTTCGCTTTCGCCACCCCCTTTTTCTTTTTCTTTGTGTTACTCTTGTTATTTCGCGTTATATCATGGCGCCCAAGCCTTCGGAACCAACGCTCGGCAGATATGCGTATGGAGATACATGAAGGGTAATAGTATGCTTTTCAATCCACATTCTAGCTCATACAGACTGTAAGGGCCTGGAATAGATTACAAGGTAATAAATATGGGAAGGCTGGACCGTTCGGTGACATAGGAGATGACCTGTGAGCCACGGTTTGGCTGGTGACCCTCAGCGATAGGATGACAGAAAGTATAGCCCGCCCCCATACAAGCGTGTCGGGGCACTTGGTTAGTCCTTTAGGAATAACATTCAGGCTTAGGGCTAGTGGTACTGAAAGTAACATGATTTGGATTCAGAAGGTGGAGTGGTGATGACGGATGGGGTCCTGCTTTCCTCTTGGGAGCTTCTTGTGCTTCCTCCATTCGTTCCCTCCCCATCCACTGGGGGTCTGTGTCTGCGATAGTGGCAATTAGACGACACTATATACCTGCCATTCTGGCCGTAGAGGTATCCTCATTATCCTCGTTCCCTAATATAAGTCATTTACGCCCGTTTGTGTTACTCAGCGATAAATATATTCCACTACTCTCACATCTCCCACCATTCACTCTTTACATATATTGAACCGGCCGAAGGGAATCATATCGCAACGCGCGACATGGCTTCTGCTGCTTCTGGCGGCGAGTCAAATTTCGACACCCTATTCGCCGATATCGAAGATCCCAACCAACGTCGTCGACGTGCCCTCGCCGAAATCGATAAAGTCTCATTTAGCTGGCATCATGCTCGTGCAGTCGTCGTGGCTGGCGTCGGTTTCTTCACGGTCTCCTACGATATTTTCGCTATTAACCTCTGCTCAGCTATGCTAGGTGTTGTTTACTGGCAAAATGCGGCTTCACGTCCTGGACAGATACCCTACAATTCCGACACGGCCATCAAGGTGTCCACCTCGGGAGGTATAGTCTTCGGTCAACTTTTCTGTGGATGGCTAGCGGATAAGATTGGGCGAAAGCGGATGTACGGCATCGAGTTGGGCATTATCATCCTCGCGACCTTGACCCAGGCTCTTGCTTCCAATTCCACTTCTGTCTCTATTACTGGGCTCTTAGTTTTCTGGCGCGTGATTATGGGGATTGGCATAGGGGGTGGCTATCCACTCTCGTCTGTTATTACATCTGAGTACGTGAACAACTTCTGCGACAGCTATGGGGAACTAACTCGAGATGGATATAGGTTCGCAATGACTAAATACCGAGGAGCGATGATGGGTGCGGTGTTTGCAATGCAAGGGTTTGGACAATTTGGCGCCGCGATGGTTGCTCTCATTGTCACGGTGTGCTTCAAAGGATCTCTGGAGTCTGCAATATCGGTAGCGAAGTGTTCCGGTGCCTGTCAACTCGCAGTGGACAGGATGTGGCGCGTCGTAATCGGATTTGGAGCTGTCCCGGCGTGTGTTGCTCTCTATTACCGACTTACCATCCCGGAGACCCCTCGCTATACCTTCGATGTTGCTAGAGATATCGAGATGGCATGCGCGGATAGTTTTGCGTACAATCAGGGAAGATCAAGGGGTCGCGTGGATGAGGCCAGGCGAGTTGCTGGTCTGCAAGACCCACATTCTGTCAAAAACCCCAGCTGGTCGGACTTTCGGACCTATTTCCTACAATGGAAGAATGGCAAAGTACTCCTTGGTACTGCAGGCTCGTGGTTTTTCCTTGATGTTGGTTAGTACTCGGATCTCTTCCCTTCACCCCCCCCCCCCCCCCCCCCCCCCCCCCCTTTTTTTTTTTTTTTTTTCTCTCTCTCTCGCGTAGGATATAGCATGCATGGCATCACGATCGTTACACGGTAACCCCTTTCCCCGCGTGCTGACAGTGTAGCCTTCTACGGTCTCGGACTCAACAACTCGATCATTCTTTCCGCTATCGGCTGGAATGGAGGCAGCACGGTGTATGAATACTTCTACCGCAATGCCGTAGGTAATCTGATTCTGGTCTGTGCGGGCGCAATCCCCGGGTACTGGGTCAGCGTCGCTACCGTAGACTACCTCGGCCGCAAACCGATTCAACTAATGGGTTTCCTCATCCTAACCAGTGTGTTCATCGTGATTGGTTTTGCCTACGAACCTTTGAAAGGGTCTAGCAATGGGTTACTAGCCTTGTATGTCACCGCACAATTCTTCTTCAATTTTGGACCCAACACAACCACATTCATAGTCCCTGGGGAATGCTTTCCAACGCGGTATCGGTCTACCTCGCACGGCATCAGCGCAGCATCTGGGAAGGTCGGGGCTATCATCGCGCAGTGTGTCTTTGGGCCCCTGGCGCATAAGGGTGCTAAGGGAGGCAATGAGTCGTCAGACACTCCTTGGTTGAACCATGTCTTGCAAATATTTGCCTTATTCATGCTATGTGGCTGTTTTACGTCTCTGTTGATCCCGGAAACGAAAGGACAGACCCTAGAAGTAATAACAGGGGAGGAGGATTCAATAGTCTCTACGTCTCATTCTAATAATTCTCAGAGACAATCGGAGCCCCGTGATAGGCCCCAGTCTCGAGTGAAGGCCCGTGATAGACTTTGGAATCTGGTTAAGGCCCGTGGTAGGCCTCAGAGACAAGAGGAGACTGGTGACAATTCTCGGAGACAGGAGGGGACCGGTGAGAATTCTCAGGGACAAGAGGAGGCCAGGGATGGGCCCCAGAGCCGAGCGGAAGCTGATGTTGAGTCTCAGCGGGTGGAGGTTATTGTTGCACAGCCGAAGCCTGATGATGATACTATCCGCGAGATTGAATGACGGCTTAGGTTATTATAGGAGATGAGGCATGATAGAATCTTTATTATTGCTAGGGTCTAATATGTGGCTATAAAGCTACTTTGTATGCTCTTTTCAAGAAACCACCTCTCAACCAATATCGACTAACCCTATACTAGCACTTAACACTAGTAAACTAGATCCCTTCTTTGTAAGGGCATAAAAAAAATGCAAAGTCAAGCATCTCATAAACAGGGTTATTTTCACATATCGCGTAGACATACTTTCACCCCCCTGTCCCGAGCATTACAACCTCAGGCCACCATCTCCATATAAGTACATCCAGAACTACATCTCCAATACAGTATCCCCTATCTCCCCTTAACAACCACCATCTCAGCCCCACAGCATCCCCAAAATGCATCCAACTACCAACCTCCCATCCCTAACAACAACCCTCGCCACAGCCACCCCCGAAACAATCAACGCCCTCCACCTCATCTCCGACAGCATCGCCCAACAACGCCAAACAGCAGCCCGCTCCATAATCCACCACCCCAAAACCCGCCTCCTCCTCACAATCTTTCTCTTCCTAATCCTGACAACCCTCTATAAAGACCCCTCCTCCTGGCCCCTTCTCCTAACAGCAACAACGGCCTCCTTCCTTACCTTCCTCCTATCAATACGCTACATCACCCACGGCTACCTCGACGAGGCAGAACGCGTCGGAACATTGGCGTGGCTAGGCTCTGATGAACATCCTCCTTCTACTTCAGTCACGAATGGCGATTCAGACTCGGTCTTGGTGTCTAAGTACGGAGGAAACGTTATCGGGACGATTGTTCTTAGGGCTGTGGGATTTGGCCAGTTGGGGGGCCATATCTCGCTAGAGCGATGCAGGGAGCTGGGGATTACGGCGAGGGCGCCGGTGGGGGTTATTCGGGCCTGGACTGTTGTGCTGGGGTATCGGGGTGTTGGGGTGGGGAGGGGGTTGTTGGAACGGGCTGTTCTGCTTTGTCGGGAGAGAGGGTGGCAGGGGCCGGTTTTTTCGGAGAGGCATGCTCATTCGAGACACTTTGGGTTTTTGGGGGAAGGGAGGGTGAGGAAGAGGGATGGGTGGGCTTGGGGGTTTTTGGAGGGGGTTAGGAGAGAGATAGGGGAAGGAGGGGGAGGGGTTAGGGGAGTATAGTATCTGGTTGTGAGGAGGGGGTGAGGAATTGATAGTTGGGGGGATTTGCACAGTCGGTGATGGTATTTGGGTTTGAGGAGGAGGAATTTTTATGCTTGGGGTATGTTGATGTGAGTCGCCCCGTCTGGTTTGCCCGTTGGCGCCGCCGCTTAGTTCAAGTTGTTGTTGGTCTACATTTGACTTTTCCTGTTTTAGTATGCAAGAAAGGTCCAGCTGTCCAGCTTCCTCGCAGTCAGCTTTGATATATATTATAGCGGAATGAATGGAGGTGAAGGTCAATCTCTACCTACTAGGTATTGTTACAATCAGACAAATTGCTTATCATGTCCCTAGATGCTAGGACGCTCACCTCATTTGGGATCCCGCTACGACTTGATAACTCATGGACTGCTTCTCTCTTGCCTGACGACCTCATGCTAAGCTAGAAACAGGTATTTTTGCGGTTTGAATGATCAAAAAGGCGACGACCACGTAGTATCTCCCGTATCCAGTTCTGGCCGCCTCCGGTGCTGCTTTCCATTGCAATCATTTGCTCTGGCCTTCAAAATCGGTAGTCTAGAATAAACAGGAGGTACTGTCCGAATATTATCCCGTGCTCGGAACCTTGCATCGTTGGAGCGGATCCCGACATCACAGACGTTGGGAAAGTGTGTTTGATCTTTCTTGCAGTAAAAGAGCAATGTGCTGCCCATAGAGGTCGATCTATAGGTACGTCTTGCGGCATATGTTCAGACCATATGCGACGTCTTGACCCTGGAATTTTCTTCCAAGGCAGGCACGGCAAAAGCCACGTACGGTACATTCATTTGCTGCCTCTTTGGCCCCAGGTATAAAGATTGCGACATATGGGTCTCTCCATCATGAAAATACCTCTCAGGGAATCCTCAGAGTTACCCTACTGTCCACGCATATACTAGAACCACGGAGGATCAAATCCCCGGGCATAGCCCTCGCACTACTGGTATAGATAACCATATACTTGATCGTGGGTTTCTATACAGTCATGAATATGCAATGCCTCGGCAGTGAGCCAGGGTGCAACATCTGCGCCCGATCCAGTCCATTCGGCTATACCAGGCGCATAATCAACCCATTCAACCAATATGCGAAGGCTATTTTGCTCGTTGGCTCTATAATATTATTGTTGAGGGATACTTATGGGCATATGGACCCGTCTCATTTACCTGCCACCGTTCCGGCCTTTTTTTTTAGAATCGGGGCAGAAAGCTTGGATCTAGTATGCTGACAATACCAAGCAGTCGCTATCGGGACGGCAATCTGCTGACTTGCACGATATCCAAGCTAAGAGCTCGAGTGAGAGATCAGTGCTCCCATACTGGTTGTGTGATGCCGATGACATCCCAACTAGGCACTGGATCGAAAATATACAATTTCGGCCCGCGCCAGAGGGCCCAAAACAAAAAATAGCACTTCGGGTTCCACGCTGCCAACGCACGCTAGTTGCGTTAGCTATCCTCTGCATATCGATATATGATAACGAACAAACTGTAGACTTGAAGTTTACATCGGTTAGCAATGATTGGGGATGCGTCAGATATCCGTGTTAGTGTCGATATTACCTTTGAGTAGCGGAGGCATCCAAGTTGCTGTTGCAGTTAGGGCGAAAGCCTAAATATGCCTATCGACTTCATTCCAAAGTCTGGCCGATATCGATAGTGGCAGGGGATATATTAACCCATATACCGTGTGAAGGGTAGAGGTGCTTCCTACGATTACCGCTGTTACAAGGAGCATAGGCTGTTTCACTACTGGCTCTAAATTGGTGTGATGCATAAAGACTAACGCGAATTGAAATGAAGACATCAGGAGTTATCTACTTCTAGAAAAATACATGTTGAGGAAATCTGTCAAAGATTGCGCGCAGTCGGCCATGCCCATCACCAACTCCACCATTCGTAGACCCGGGCCATGTTGAAAGCTGTCTCCTGAGAGAACATCGTCAAGTTCACCCCATGTGCTTGCCCTGGCAGTTAATATAGGATATGCGCCATCGGAAGGTGCTCCAAAGTAAGAGGGCGATTGAAGATAATTCCATGGAGCAATATCATTGTATTCCGCATGCATCCCATGGATCAGACGCTCAATCGTGTACCCGTCATTATTGATCACGAAGATTATGGTATCCAGTTTCTTTCGAATGATAGTGCTCAGCTCTTGCGCCGTTGCTTGGAAGCTTCCATCGCCTTCAAAAAGGATTGTTCGCCCTTTTGAGGCCATGTCCCGTTGTGCAAGAGCTACTCCTTGTGCGGCAGCTAGCATGTATCCGATTGAGAGCCAGACTCCTGAATTGATCATACTCACGTTCTTCGGCAACACAAAGTCTTTTCCGCCCGAACTTGCTGTTCCGGTTTCTGTTAGAATTACATCACCGGGACGAAAAAATCGGGACATGCGTTTCCAAAATGTGTCTTGCGTCAGTGCATCTGTTCTGGAAACCACCGGCAGACTCTTGAGTAAGGCTCGTGGATTTGGTAACTTTGGGTATGGCATGAAGGAGAGCATGACTTCGTGCTGGAGACAGTCGACCACCCTTCTCAATGCACTCTTTGGGAGGACGTTCCAAGTCTTAGTACCAATGGTGATGGAAGTCTGGTCAAAAACAATAGAAACGTCCGGGTTAGGGATCGTCGTGAAGCAATTGGTATTGACATTGCTGTGGATGGGGCCGATGTTAATAATCAAATCGCTAGATTTGACGTAACGGACATAAGTTCCTTCTCCCACCGTTGTATAAATTCCGTGAAAGTTTGACAGAGTTTCATCCGGGATGCCCTTTCCAAAGGGTGTTGTGGCAGTTGGAAAACCAGTCGTGCGGACTAGCTCGTCTGCCTCGCTGGCTAATCCGTAGCGGGAGGTACCCGCATCGATCAAGATGAATGGTGTTTGTGCATTACTGATCCTCTCAACAATGATATCGCACACCTCTTGTTCCCATTCTGGATTATTCGACGGTTGGCTGAGGTCCAGCGGTTGGGCCAGCAACAAGGCAGAGACAGGTTCAGCTACCATGTCTGCCGGAACTTGCAAATACACCGGTCGACATTGGAGAACGCATTCCCGAATCAGTCGGTCGATCTGACCAGGAGCAATAGAAGCATCCCAGAGATTCTCTTGTGCAACGGTGACTCTAGAGTACATCTCCGCAAACATAGTGAAGTCACTGGGGTTCCCGCTGCATACCGAATGATGAAGTTTGGCCCCTTGTGTCTGCAGTGCACGTTTCGGCGTCCCGACAATATGAACAACCGGGGCTAGTTCAGCATACGATCCCGCGATGGCGTTAATAGCCGATAGCTCTCCCACCCCAAACGTGGTGACCAGGGCACCGATGCCTTTGACTCTCGCATACCCATCCGCAGCGTATCCCGCGTTGAGCTCATTACAGTTCCCAATCCATTCCAGCCCGGCGGGAGCGATATAGTCCATCATCAAGAGATTGTAGTCCCCAGGGACTCCATGGACGGCCTGCAGTCCCGCCTCTCGGAGACGCCGGAAGAGATACTCCGTTAAGTGAATTGTATTGGGCATGATTACTTTTGGCAGAAGAGGAGTGACACTAACGGGGCTGCCCTTGTCAAGGAGATGTGTGAAAGCGTGAGAGATCAGCACTGGCTCTCGCTTATAACCATTCGATTCTACAAGACATTTTAAGAAAGAGAAAGCACTTTGAACTACTGGGAGGATGATTCCGTGATCTGGGATTCTTGATCTGCAAATTGCCAAGGCTCTAGTTCTATGGAGACGCAGCGCTATAATCCTTCTTAATCTAAACCCTCTTTAGATTACAGATCTAATTCACTAGCCAAGTCTAGAATGAATGTATAGAGTTAGAGGGATTGTTCCGTAGTATTGGCATTATCATAAACCTCTTATCTTCAAGAAGATTCCATGCATGAATGGCTGCTGAGGGACACCACGTTGCCGCTCCTGACGTGGCCTATTAAAGTTGACGTCCTACTTGTTTCACCAAAAGAGGAAACTTAATCCACATATAGGAAATGTCTGCTCCGAGCAACTCAACATGCTAATAACAAATAAAACAAGTATAGAGAGTTCAACTCCGCTTCTTCTTACTACTTCTAGTATGTCTGGCTCCTTTCCTTCCTGTAACAGCCTTACTGCGTGGTTTATTTGAAGCCCTATGGATAGGTGGAGCGCGATATGGAGATTTTGCAATAGTTCCTTTGTCTACGGGGTATGCTCCGTATAGATGAAGAATATTCACTCAGACGCAGTAGCGGTCAAGAACACTGTAACCGAATCCTGCAATAATCAGTATCGAATCGCGTCACTCCTTTCTTCGGAACATTTTCGGGTTTTTACAGGATTTGTTTGGCTGATGTCTTGAACCCTCCATATTAAGGTTAATCAGAACCCGCACTAGGACAAGGTAAAATGTGGGGCTAAAAAGGCCTCCCGAAGCACTGTTCGATTTATGTCCAGGGCTGTGAACGGACTATTACCCAGTGGCTTTCAATTATGTTCACTTTAGGTTTTCCTTGTGGGTTTATTTTGGTAGTTTTTCCCTAGGGTTGCCGTAGGGAGACATGTGGACGTGAACAAGTTAGCCCTAAGTAGTTCACTCGTCTATCTCACCCGCCTTGGCTTCCGGTTATAGTACTATCCTTAATCATTTTTCTCGAAAGCGGATATGTCGGTCTTTACGCTGTGGATGGGGTGCAGGATTGTGGCTGCAGGTCTATTCATTACGCTAAATTGTCAACTCCACCGGCGTGGCCTGATGGCTGGTGCGGAATCCTGCCTCGCAATTACCCGGTGTGCTAAGATTATGTTTTGGCTTGTGAGGGATCGACGTCGTTTGCTGGGGATTATCATGTGTAGTGGTTTATGGTTCTCACTCTCTTGGCTAATTGAACTATTCTTTCACTATGTATTTGACGTACAGTCGGTTGTTTTATTTATCCTGATTCTCGTGTTTGGTATATGGGATGCTATAGCTGTCGCTATCGTTATATACTTTATTTGGTGAACACTCATTTTCGGATTCAAGGGTTCAATTCCCTAGAGTCTTAATTCGAGTCAGCGTTCTGGTGCGACTTCATAGGTTGAAGAGGACCATAATGAAAATAGTTTCTGATGCAAGTTAAATGCCTAGGGAATACCGAACCGGTGATTCAATGATTATATCATGATATCATTGTCTGTGGTAAATTTCTCTAGTATAATTTGACATTTACTGATTATTAGTATGTTGGTAGTGATTTATGGTTAGGCTCACATCCTATGAAGCAACTGGGAAGATGAGCAATATGTCATAAAATCATCAAATTAGTCTAGACCATTAAGAGTTTATATCTGAACTTTCGGATGCAGCGGACCTAATTGATTTCCCTATGTCATCAGGCAAATGCAAAGCCAAGTTGTTGTTATTTTCGGTTACAGGCACATCCGAGACATGTCTATTAGGTAAACAATAATATGCTTTCGATAAGTATTTCACAAGTAGATCTAATTTCACGTAGATAAAGCGTGTTTGTCATTTAAAACCTGTAGTGGAATTGAAGATGGATAACTTTATGCGTGATGTAGAACCCTGCGAGGAGACGACTTCATACTAACACTGAATAATCGATTTGACATCCATATCGTGACATCCGTCCTAGACCAGTATAACTCATGGCGCAATTGGTTCCATGGTACGTAGTATTGCACGGAAGTATTTCCGAGCACACTATGTGTTTGGTTCATGGACCCATGTTACCCTGCGGATAGTCTATGACATAGCTTAATAGTATAATGTCTTGTAGAATGTCCGGAAATAGTAACAGATGATTCTGCATAAACGAACCATGGGTTCCTTTTCCTGCATGCGTAAATGTAATGGGCTACATCAATATATGGATATTAAGTTTATTCTCTGGTTATGGTAGGAATTTGTCCCTTTGTCTGGCCCATGCAAAAACAATAGAGACGTCATCGGGACAATCGGGATCTTCGAAAAGGACACACTCCTCTTCTCTAGAGGCATAGATAGGGTTCTACCGCTCTAAACATGCGTCTTAATGATGCATCTAGCTTCATCTGAGTCTAATCCGGTGATATCATTACTCAGACGATCGTGAAGCCTACCACGTCACAAGGTGTTGCAGACAGTTCTGACGCGGCAAGGCCAACCTGAGCTACTGGCTTTTACGCTTTTTTCGCCATAGAGCCATGTTGTTGTACAATTCCGGTCCATTCCGTTCGTTCCCCATTGAGACCTATATAAAGGATCAGTATTCCCCATGTATACCATCGCTTGGTTTTCCAACTCTCGTCACTCTATTATTCCACATTCAATCCACCACCATACAGCAAAAGTCAATCTTCTTGTACCGCTGAGAATTTACCTAAGACACCATGGCTGATACCCTAGCGTTGGCTCGTGACGGACCTTATGGTGGCAATGGGGGCAGTGCCTACGATTTGAGAGATAATGAACACAAAATCAAGCACATCGATGCCTGGGAGGCGAAGTGGCAGAACTACGATGTCATCGGTGCACTCAGATTCCGATTCGATAATGGGGACTTGAGCAATCGTGTTGGCGGCAAAGATCCCAACACCAACTATTATCTTAAATCTTTTGATTTTGAGGACAATGAAGGAATAAAAGAGATGACAGTCTACGCTGGAAACAACGAGGGCTTTCTCAACGGGTTCAAGTTCCGTACAACCCACAACCGCGACTGGAAAGTTGGCGGAACAGAGGGTCACCCCTTCCCAGTGAAAAACCTCGGTAAGAAAGGTGAATGGGCTGGGGCTACAGGCAGGGACGGAATCCATGGTGCCGATGCCGTTGTGGATAGCGCGATTCTCTATTTCAAGGAATAAAAGGATATGGCTTCTTCCTGCATGATTAATATCGTGGAGGACCTAGTGATTCCTCATGTGGTCTTGCAAGTGTCGTGCCTTGGTATGGGTTTTTGCCGGAGTATTCTGTTTTTTCCCATCCTTTCATGCAAATGCAAAGGCAAGGCAAGGCAATTAATCTACTGTTGATGATTTTTCTGCATTAAATTTGCTGTACAAGGCCTCCATTGTCCCCTTTCCAATTACCACGACCCCGTACCCGTAATTTCCATAATAAACCCAACATTATTTCTATCTACCGTAAATAACGCCTCGAAAAGGACTAACCTACCCATTGGAGTCAACTCCCGAGGTGGTAAAGATCTAAAATAGTACAGGGTCATCACCATGGGAGTCAAGCAGCTTGGAAACTCCATCCAGAATATTGGCAAAAAGAATGTTAAGGGAGAAGAGGTCCTATTCAGAGAACCTAGATTGCACAGTTGCGTTGTTCTTCGGTAAAGCCCACCAATATCGGATACTTTAGGGCTAATCAGTCACGATCTTTATCCCACCAGCGCTTACGAATATTACCCGGATTCGTTGGTCCCAGAATAGACCTTGTTGATCCCAAGCATCCCTACGTCCATGCGGCTACCAGAAGCTGATCGACGCTTACGTCTGGAAGAATATGAGTTTTCTCCGAGCAACCTCACTGTAAACTGAGAAGTCATTCGCCTGTTACGTCAGTTCAGGACCGACCTATGATGCTTTCCAAAGACCAGTACCCCAAGACTTTAGACCGCTGGGATGACTGCGGGCACAGCGCGGTTTGGGGGGTTCATGAACTCAGAGCGAAGATAACCATCATCTGGCAAAGGATGCAACAACCCGTTGGCTTCAGAGCGATGGCGATGCAGGACCAGAACCTCAGTACCAGGATATACCTCCAGCTTTATCGCAGATCAGTTTCTCCATACAGTAAATCTCTTCCTCGTCCAGGCTCGCTATATCCATTTGTAGGTGAAGATCATTTGAAGAGATAATAACGCCTGAAAGACTACCGATATATACAAGCTGACAGATATTTGCTCTTATTCTCCTCGGGAAATATATTATAAAGCGGCCTTGCTTCGGGATAAGTTAGACGAGCTTCTGGATAACAAGCTATTCCACTAGCCTGACATCCGGGATATAAATACCGAAAGAGATCTAACTGTGGCCGACAGAACTGAAGGAAAACCTCCAACGACGCTCTATCTTCAGTTCCAATTGCTCTGGAATCATAATCATTTTGATTGTTTTAACTGTTCTATTATTTTATCTAACCTCGCCCTTCGTTGTATTCTGTTATTTGATATATTAAGAAATATTTCCGTCCGGTGTCTTGTACGAAAGTTCCTGTACTGATTTTGCGTTTATTACCTTTGTTTATACCACTCTATTTGTTACGGCTGTCTATTGCTCCTGGTATTTACTTTATGAAATCATTACTTAACATTAGTACTATTTTGCTGATAGTCCGTCCCCTGCACCTATTTAAGTTTTTTTTTCACACACTATTGGTCTTATTAATACGGTCTACGCGGACGTCGATATATGATTCTGTCAAACCAGCACAAGATCTGCAGCCGTCAGTCAGTAGCCCACTGATTTACGTACTAGCTTACAATAGGAGGAATAATTGATTGGTTCAGATTAGGATTCCAATTATTGCAGAGTCGTCAGACTTGCTATATATATGCATATATAGTAGTACATGTAAACCATTTACATGTAAAATATTTGCATGAGGGCTACCACACACAGTCGGACCGGAAAAACTCGAGGAAAAAAGTTCCCGATACAACACTCGTAATTACCCACCATCCTCGCCCTCTGATACAAACAACAGGATAGAGGCACTCCTCCTCTGTCGTGAAAGCACCAATGGTGCCCAGATCCAGTCAGTTGACTGTGATCGTCACGACCTCGCCAACACCCTCTATTCCTTCTACGGAGCTACTCTCCTTGGTACTGCAATCTTTTCGCCGCCACTGTACGGACCTGATCAGCGCCCGGGTCATTGTAGTCTTCGACACATATGACCGAGTCGGGCCCCGATCCCGCCTGAAAAGGGGCCAAGTCACTCCCGAAGTAGCATCCAACTACGGCATCTATAAACAAAACATTAAGGGACTAATTCTCCGCGAATATGCAATTCCCGACACCCCAATGCAAGAGTGGCAGGACCAGGCCGAATTCGGCCTAGACAACCTCAGCAATGTGGTAGATCTCTCGATCACACAGACAGAAGACAAACAAGTCACCTTTATCGAGCCGGCCGCGCGCCTGGGGTTTGGACTCGCTGTGCGCTCTGCCCTGCGCGTCTGTGAGACGCCGTACGTCTGGGTCCAGCAACATGACTGGGCGCTCGTGGCTGATATCCCGTTGGCGCCGTTGCTGGACATCATGGAGGGGTCGGACGCGGATAAAGCCGCACCGGTTAAATACGTGTCTTTTCTCTCAGTGCGCATGCTCTCGTACGCTGCCCAACCATGTGTTCTGGATTTTCCCGGCTTGCGGGCTGTGACTCGATCGTTGACGAAGGGTTTTGTTCCCCCGTCACGACCGGGCGTTAGCGTTCCCTTGACGCCTCTTTATTTCTGGTTTGATAAGCCTCATATTGCGTCGACGGAACATTATCTGTCGAAGGTCTTTCCGAACCGTCTGACGATGCGGCGGGGGGAGTTTATTGAGGATAAGGTTGGCCAGCAGGCGCGACAGCAGATGAAAGAGGGTCTGTGGCAGAAATGGGCTACTTGGCTCTATTATCCCGAGGAGGGGAAAAAGCTTTGTCTTGGCCATTTACAAGGGCGGACCTGGAAGGGGACAGAGGGTGAAATATTGACTAGATTCGGGTATTCGGAGACAGAAACTGAGTTGACCTGAACTGATCAATGGGCTGGACAATATGATAGTTCGTATGTATACGGTGTGCTTTCTGTGTAATATAAGGAGAATACATGGCTACATTATGGCGGTTTTATCGCATATGCATGCAGTTAAAGCGGCAATTAGTACTGTAATAATGTAAGTGGCGTTGGATAGACATAGGCTCTGCCTGATGGATTAGGCAATGAACGGCTATCCCACCTTGTGATAGGTATAATTCTCTTATTCAATACATTAACCCCATTATGTAAATATTTACGTGTGTGGCGGAGTATATATCACGGGGTAAAAGAAAAAGTCTGAATCAAAATCCGGGACAATGAGACCCATTTATTTTCCCAATAAGAAAAAAATGACCGGTCCACGGATATCTGCTTCCGAGGAAATCTTTTCCGTTTCAGATTTTTCACAGATAAGGCTGGACAGGAGATGAGTAGATCGTCACTGTCCGTGTACCCTCAACAAATTCATCAAGATAATAATAGGGATAGCACAGAGTACAGTGAGTTGTACACTCCCGCCACCACAGGAGGCAATGCAACAAGTCATAGAGACAAGGTAAGGTTCTCTCTAAGGCAGGCTGTAACCGGGATTAATATAAATAAAACACATTCACCAATGAAAGGGACAGGGAATTGCCGATCACCAATCGGGCCCCGATGCCAAGCCGGTGGAGCAATCCCAAGGACCATTGAGCGTTGAGCAAGTCAGACCAAGATTGTGGTGGTCAGCCCATGGCCTTTGAAATATAAAGCCCGGCTTTTGTCTTTCTGTGCCGTCTGACCTTTTTTTTTTACGTCTTCGACCTCCTATTTTATTTTAATACCTCAAACTGTCCTTCGTTATCCTCTAGACTTCTCATCCCCTAGACACTCGTTCAATAAGCCACCTGTTTAAGAGAACAAAAAAGCAAATACCCTCAGAATGTCGTCTACTACCTCCTCCCCAGCCGCCACCGCCACCAGCTGCAATACCGGCAGCATCTGGCAGCTCCCCATCCAGGATGCCGCCTGCGCCCTTCCTAAGTCCGGAAACTACTCTGACATCATGGACAAGTGCTGCTCCCCCGCCAAGGTGACCGAGTACGACGACGGCTGCGGTCTCTACTGTCTCGCCCAGGGCCAGAGCGTCAAGGACCTCACTGAGTGCCTGCGCGACAACGGCGCCAAGGACGGTCAGTTTTTCTGCAACAAGGAGCAGAACGCCACGGCCACGCAGTCCGCCCCCTCCTCCACCAAGACCGGCGACAAGACCGGCTCCTCCACTAGCAGCGGTGCCTCCTCGACCTCCTCCGACAACGCTGCCTATGCCATCCAGCCTGCCGTCTCCAAGAGCGGACTCGGCCTTTTGGTCATGGTCTTTTGCTCGGCTTTGATGGGCGTTGTTGCTTAAATTGAAAATACTCCGCTACAATTGATTACGGAAGAAGATGAAATTGGGGATGTATATGTGCATATGTTGATTTCGGATTGTCTTGCGGTGGATGGGGCAGGACATATTAATACCCTTATGATATGACCTGCTGTATTATATTTTGGTCTCTTTTTTTGTTCTGGATGGCTTACAAGTCTTTCCAGTATTAGCCCTAGGCCCCTTTAATTCTAATGTCTGAAAAATTCCAATCTTTGACCTGGAAGCCCACATAGCCATGCATGGGCTCTACTACACCGATAGCTACAAGCGTATATCCAAAAGTTATACAAGTACAACCACCAAACTATACACCTCTTGTACAATCCGAGAACAAACACTTCCAATCTATCATCAACAGATCCAACATACCTCTCCTTAACGAACCCTCCCCTTCGAATAAACTCCGACAATTCAAGCTTCCCGCCCTCCCGCTCCAACCTCCACAACTTTTTCGCTTCCCGACACTCCTGAAACGCTCTATAAAACCCTCGCGCGAGTAAACCTTATCCCGATCCGTATAATCATCAATAGTAGCCCTCGTTCTCCTCAACTCGTCCTCAAGCGCAACCTCACAACCACTACAACAAACCCCATTCTCTGTCTTTCCGCTCCCCACATCAAGCTACGGCAGCGCCGTACTCGCCATATACCGTAGAATTGAATCTAAACTCCTATTGGCGCGAATCCGTTTTGGCTCGTTATTGTTCGGATTTTGATATTCAGATATCCCAGAAACATGCTCTTCGGCCACGATCCGCAACTTCTTCTTCCACTCTCTCTCCAGCCAAGAGTATATCCCCAGCTGACCACTCACAACAGGAATGAGGTTGTAGATGTGTGCTGCGCCCCGTTTAAGCCGTCTCTGGGCCTCGGCGAGAGGTATAACGGGTGGTATACGATCTTCCTTGATACAGCCGTAGCAGCATCTCATGAATACGGGGAGGAAGATGTAGCCGCCGAATGAACCGCAGACGGTGCAGTCTCGGGCGCAGAGTACATTATACAGATCTGACAAAGTAAACCAGGAGGCTATCTTTGTTCGTAGGATAGCGCATAAAGCTTCCAGAGCGTGGGTTATTGTTGCGCGGTAGCTTGGGACTGTGGCTACGGTCTGGCGGGCCCGGCGATTCACCTGGCGGAAGTTGAAGAGGGATTGGATGTCTAGTAGGAAACATATTTCGTAGAGGATCTCTAGGGGTAGGGATCCGAGTTGTCCTAGGGTAGCTGAGGGCGGGTGATTCTGACTCTAGCATAGAGCTGTGGACTAGGTCATGGTCGCGGGGATTTACGTGTATGACTGTTAGGCCGAAATCGCGTCGATGATATGTAGTGGTGCAGATGATGTCGTCTTTATGGGGGTTAGCTGGTGAGGAGGTGGGATTGTAGTTTGTTCATGGACATTTTGATCTGTTGGCGTGGGTGGGGCCTTTGTTGCACTGCTGTCTTTCTGGGTTGTAAGGCTGAGACATTGATGCTTATATGCAGTATATGTAAAATCCAACGACATGGCCCCAGCTAGTATGGATTGGTTAGCTAAGCTGGATCGGGGCAGGTCACCTGCATGAAACTATCCCAATTTACACTTTAGTTCCAGGCACCGTTAGGCAACAACCGTCTCACTGCCTTTCCTCCTTATTACTTTAACCAGACTGAGACAGCTTAGATGCTCCTATGTTCAAGCCCTTAAGATTGTCTTCGCGCCTGTGAGCTCGTAATCCCCCCCGGACGATGTTTCTTCGGATGCCTCTTCGTATCTTCCTGACTCTGTGAACGAGGTATCCGACTCTGCAGCTGCTTCCCCGATAGCCTCGGTCGACGGTGATTCTATATAACACGGTTCAAGTGTTTTGTATGTGTAGTCACCTTTGTAGAGACATTCTAGCATTTTCTACACGAGCAAAGGCTCTCAATCGCTGAGCTAGAATATGCGAGGAGAGGCTTCCTTCAAACGCAAGTGATTGTCAGTGCCCTGCTCTGTCATTGATACACTGTTCGGGGCATGCTAGAAAGGTCCTACCACAGAGTACTCGTCACACAGACACGCGCAAAGTATATCGAGTTAGGGCAACTAATGGCCTGATATGCTGGGAAAGGTTCATCAGCACATAGAATTGTCAGATCGCTATATTTTCCACTTACATAGAGGCTGGAACGCGCTATGTATTAGCCTTGAGTAACACACGGTAACATCGACCCGTGGAGTCCTTTAGCTACCTAGACACTAATGTGTGTGTTTCCACCACTGCATCTGCACCTGTGTAGAATTCGCAGTCAGGTTGTGATTCATGAAACACGAGATTGTGTTGTTCAATGAATGGAGAGTCATGGAGGTGGTTACAGTGTAAGGAGGAGATTTGAGGTGAATGGGCTTCCAGGGCACCGGCGAAGGCTTCCTTTTCTGAATATGTCAATACGTAGTGAATGACCGGAAAACCTCTATCTTGTCCACATCAGTTCTTCAGAGATATTCACCATCTCTTGTGTACTGAGAATGGGATTATCTCCGCCGGCCGTGCCCTTCAACCCCTTCCCCATTTGCTTTGTACTTTCTCTTCTTCGGCTTTCCCATTTTGCAAAATAAAATGGGCATTCTTTCATTACGGAGTCCAGAAGGTGAAAGAAAACCACGACTTTTCAGCCGCTATACGGCACTGCTAGTTAGGCAATGTTGGCAACGAGCCAGTCGACTGCTGTGCGGATCTGGACCCAACTAGGGCGAGAATCGTATCCCACCATGTCAGGCCGACATTACTTGGCGATGGAGCAATTCAGACCATATTCCACTACCCCTCTATTGGTCTAGTGATTGACTCAGCCCAGCCCAGTCGATAAATACTAGAGTAACAGGTCAGAGTCCTTCAATCCTACAAAAAATCCACCAACATGGCATCAACTAACAGTATGGCAATAGAGACCGCTCCGGCCCATCAACTGTCCTCTGTTGAGAAGTCCACGCAAGAGACTACACATGTATTCAAGGAAACGGAACGATGGAACCATCCCAGACGCAACATACTCAAGACATTAGCTACCTTCTGGAGCTTTCTGGTAATGGGAGCGAATGATGCTGCATACGGGGTAAGTTTTACCACCTGTGAGTCAGACGAGGCTAACATTTGTAGCCGTTGATTCCATATGTAAGCTTGCAATCCTCTTGTGCCTCGGGTTTACCACTGATTTCCTAGCTCGAAAAATATTACAACCTCTCCTATACTGTCGTCTCTCTTGTCTTCCTGTCGCCACTCGGTGGCTACACCCTCGCTGCCCTTCTCAATAATAAAATTCATACGAGGTTTGGCCGCCGCGGAGTGGCTTGGATATCTCCGGGATGCCATTTACTGGCTTATATCGTCAACTGCCTTCATCCTCCGTATCCAGTCCTCGTTGTCTCGTTTATTTTCGCGGGATTTGGGAACGGCCTAGCCGATTCAGCGTGGAACGCCTGGATAGGCAATATGGCCAGTGCCAATCAACTTCTGGGACTCCTACACGGACTCTACGGCGTAGGAGCAGTGCTGAGCCCATTGGTAGCCACTTCGTTAATTACGGAGGCAAAGGTCCCATGGTACTATTTTTATTACATCATGGTCTGTCACCGCTTTATAATATCTCGGGAATACTCCCTAATCCAGCTGTACAGATTGGTTGTGCCGCTATGGAGCTCGCCTTCTGCGTGACTGTCTTCTGGGATTCCACAGCAGTAGCCCTCCAAGATACTTACCATCACGAGGACACCCAGCCAGGGGGCCTGCGCCGAGCCCTCTTCAAGAAGCAGTACGCCTGGGTCACATGGATCTGCGCCTTGTTTCTGCTCGGGTATGTGGGGATCGAAGTCGCCCTGGGTGGGTGGATTGTGACCTTCATGATGCAAGTACGGGATGGAGGGGATTTCGCTAGCGGCATGACTGCTACCGGGTTCTGGCTAGGTATCACCTTTGGTCGGGTTATACTGGGTTTCGTGACTCCCAGGTTGGGGGAGAAGGTGGCCATAGTTGTAAGCATTCCCGTCGTCGTCATTCCTTTGTATTTCACATGTTCTATTTCTTCCCGTCAACTAATGATATTAGGTATACTCCCTCCTCGCAATAGCCTGCGGTCTTATCCTCTGGCTCGTGCCTAACTTCTATGCCTCGGCGGTAGCCGTCTCATTCCAAGGATTCTTCCTTGGCCCCTTCTTCCCGGCAGCAGTCATAGTCGCCACTAAATTACTCCCGCGAACCCTACACGTCAGCGCCATCGGCTTTGCAGCGGCATTCGGGGGAGGTGGGGCAGCTGTACTACCCTTCGTCGTCGGAGCCATAGCACAGGCCCGCGGAGTGCAGGTTCTACAGCCATTTATCATTGGCCTGTCCGGGGGAATCCTACTGCTATGGCTGGGACTCCCACGAATGCCCAAAAAGGGGGAACCCAAACGTGACCTGAATGCATCATGTGCTATTCATCCATAACATGATGGAGAAGACAAAGAGGAAAACAATATGTGGTTTAGTTGCTGGCCAAAATTCCCTTCCGGGCTTAGTAGGACAAACAGGCGATCTAATATTATTGGATTCGGAGTAAATATACGAAGACGCACTATGCCTATTGTAGTAAGTCACCCAGCAGGCTCCATCTTCCCCATCGCAGTTACCAAAACGGTAGTCATCCGTCAATTATCGGGAAAAAAAAAAAAAACTTCGCCTTTACCTGCCAGCGAAGCAATCCTGAAGCTGTCTTGGCCGCCTATGCCAGTTTGTTGCTCATGTTCAAAGCCTCCCAGTTGATCTTCGGTCCCGTGAATTTGTTTTTCCGCTCCAGCCACAATATCATGATGAGGAAGTATACACCCACTAACACGGCCGACCCACTGCAACCACGTCAGTATCCATCCAGGGGAGCGGGGGAGGTTCAAACGAGTATTATTCTCGGGAACTTACTAGTTCATGGAGCCAGCTGATGTTGGGAGCTTTGTCGGGAAACAAAACAATACCCCGCTGAAGACTAACCATAATACCGAGAAGATGTTGACGGCATATCCCCATCTACCGAGATTGAAGGATCGGGCGGGAAGCTTGTCCCGTCCTCCTGTAACCAAGATGGCCTGGGGTACGGTGAAACTGATGTTCAGGAACAGTATTGACATGTTCACGATGCAGTTGAAAGCGGTTGTACTGGCAATGTAGACGAGGCCATATAGGAGACAGAACGAAACCGAGAGGAACGTGGTGCGCACGGGGATATTGAACTTTGGGTCAATGTAATTCCAATAGTGCGAGAAAGGAAGACCGTTCTATCCTTCGGTAAGCACTATCATTGGGCCGGTTTGTCAAGGCACGGGCTTACATCTCTGGAGAATGCCCACGCAATTCGACTGGAGGTTATCCATTGGCTTGGTCCGCAGGCTGATTGGTCAGTATTGTGCTCTGGTGGTGCGGTGCATAAACTTACTGTAATACAGGAATGTCATGAAAGATTGTAGTGCTGTAGCGGCTACCTTGCTTCCAGTGGCCTGGTAATAGATCTCCATGCTCGGGATAAAGGCATTGTGAACTGCGTCTATGTCCTGGATCCCGCAAAGCATGACCGTGATCCATGGCACGGCGGTCAAAACACCGACGAGGACACCGAGATTGCTATAAGTCATTAGCAGCATGCTATTTGAATTTGCAATCAATCATACATCACAAGAGGGATTCTTCGACCCGGTCGTGGCATTTCCTCCGCGATATGTGTTACCGCTCCGATCGCTGCATAGCAGTATTGTCCCATGGTAATACTTAATAACCATGCCGGAGCTGGTGACCATCCGCTGGTCCCTTGGTACGTTGTGAGTGTTTCGGGGTGGTAACGACCCCTTCCCGTGACAAGCACCGCGATCAAGATCAAGAGTAAACCGGTGATGGACAAGGTAAACGTGGTTTTAGTCAGGTAGTCGTAGCGTTTCTGAGGCACGGCAAACACAGGAACCACTATTTGGTTAGTTCCAAGCTCCATATCGTATAGTCACGGCGGCTTACCGGTCAGGATGACGACCAGCACATAGCACAAATATATCTGCCACCGCTCGTGCTGGAAATCGGGGTACCAGAACACCGCTATGCCAAATGCCGAGATCCCTGTATAGATGATCCCCGAAGCTGCACTCACCCACCAGGCGATGACATTGGTGATACCGACCGTATATGCGGCGAACTTCTTGAAACGGAACGGAGCAAGAATATAGGTGAAATGGTATTGGCCCTGGAATCCGTTAGCGTATCCAAAACACTGAAGTCTTCGCAACATGAATCCAACCCCGGAAGAAGGCAATGCAGAGCACAACTCTGCCAGTCCAAGCAAGACAACCCACTGCGCTACTGCCGCGATCATGACCCCAAACAGCGTGGTCGGACCACCTCCGTACGCCAGGGGCGTTCCGAATGTTGCTCCATAACCTAACCATGAGTTGGCAATACTACCAAAGTCAGCCAAAGGGACTTCTTCCGACTGGGATTGTCGAGTCCAACCTGAATGACAACCCAATAGCCCCCACCCAGGAAAATGACCGGGCGAGTTCGGGCCGGTGGCCCTGGGCGTGGAGGACGGCATCATCAAGAGCCAGGCTCTCATCGGATAGTTTTTCAACTTCGTATGGAACCTGCTTCCCAATGTCTGCAGTGTCAGTCATCTTGAACTATGGTGTCGAAGACTGGCAAAGTCGGCTCATAGATATGAGGGGGAGAAAAAGAACGGGGATATATTAGCACCACACATGTGAAATGCCGGTGCGTTGCACCACATATTAATAGTACCTACGGTAAGAGGTACTGATCAAGCAACTGCTTGGACATCGACACACCGAGACGGGAAGCAAGGATGTGGAATGTCCAAAAAGTGGAACCAGCAACGCAGGGGGGTAAGAATCCTACTTGGAGGGAATGATGATCATGAGAGCGTTTTGAACGTTAATGGAACCTTTTGTTCAGGTCGTCAGTTTTGTGTTCCGATCCTGCGAGCATGTACAGCTCTGCCGAACCATGCATGTTCCAAAAGCATGACAAGTCTACAATGCACAGCTTTATGCTGGCGGCTGCAAGAACAACGATAAGCCCCCGATTTAGACTCATGCTCCCCCGGCGGTTAACGTGCGTCGTCCCGCCCCCTTGCATCGAGGACTACGTTTGACCATTGTACTCGGGCTCTCCACAGCGTAAAATGTAGATCAAGATGGGGACCTCATGATATACCCTCCTCCAAGGTTGACCGACTTATGTTGTCATCGTGGTCTCTTGTTAGTCCTACATCAGGGTCAGTACATTCCGCGATCAGCGTGTTTTTGTTTGGGGATGCAAATGGAGGAGGTGTAGCGGCGCCCCAGGGAAGGGCTACTCATCACCAGCTGAATAAGAGACTTTTTCTTCCAGAGCTACAGTACAACCAGGTATGTGTTTTCTAGGAAAGCCGAAGTTACGGGCAAGCTATCTTATTAACCTTATATGGAATCCCGTCGAGCTCTCCGGCGTAGCTCTAAGGTGGCCAATGCTCCCTCTAATTTTACAACTAAACCCAGTTTCAATTAGTAGCTCGTTTCCCTTCAGGGTTACAACGATGCGGCTCTACAAGAAGGGTCAACATCAGCCAGCACGTTGAGTGGCTTGGCGCCAACTCTAGACACGAGAAAAAAATCTAAATCGCTCCCAACAAGACAACATAACAACAAATAGATAGAAGATAGAAGTCACATGATATAAATTATACAACTAATCCCCCACTTTAAAAATCTCTTAAGCAACTCTCATTCATAAGCAAACTATCATTCCTCTCAGATCACCACCCCCAAAAAACACCACAATCATGACCGATACCCCGACCACCAAATCCTACACGGGGAACTGCCACTGCGGCCAAGTCAAATACTCCTTTTCCCTCTCGCCGCCGATAGAAGACCAGGAGGTCGTCCAGTGTAACTGTAAGTTACCACCTACCTAACCCATTCCATTCGACCCTTCGGCAATAAACCAAAGAAAAAGAAAAATAAAAATAAAAATAAAGAGAAAGAGGGAAATAAAGAAAAGAAAAGGAAAGGAAAAGAATATAATGTGGTGTTCACCATACCGTAGCTTTTTTCCACTCATCACTTATTATAATTCTGAACCCGAAATGAGAATAATACATTCAATTTCAAGGCTCCATCTGCACGATCAACGGCTACCTACTCGTTTACCCAAAATTAGAGGATTTCAACTTCCCGAGTGAGGAGACTGTTAAGGTGCGCTTTTCCTTTCTTCCCGTGAATACAAAAAAAAAAGGGGGTCGTACGGTATTGATCAATTTGACTTTATCTGATTTGATTTCTATATAGCCCTACCGCTTCGGATCGAAACAAGTCCCCCATTATTTCTGTAATAATTGCGGTTCGAGCGTCTATGCCAGTGGGACGCTTCCGGGAGTGGGGAGTCTTGTTGCTGTTAATGTGAGTCTTTTTTTTTTATATAGTGGGCAAAGTAAAGTGATTGATTGTTATTTCTCTAGGTGCGGACTGTTCCCGGTGTTGAGATCGAGACTTTGAAGCTGAAGAAGATAGATGGGCGAAATTTTACATTGGAGAAGGAGAAGGAGGGTGAGGTTTAGGTTTGTGAGTCCTTCTTTTTGTCTTTTCGATGGGGGGTGAATAGCGGTGTTTTGGCACGGGGATGGGGGTTGGGCTGTATATATTATCGGGTTTGTTTGAGGTGTAGTTGGTGCACGTTTGGTGTTTATATATACTTTGGGTTGAGGATGGGGGTATGTAGTAGGTATATACGTCAGAAACGGAGTGCAGGTTCAAGTTGCATGTTGTACTTAGCTGTTATTGCCGTTATGGTTGGTTGGTGTGTTCGTGGACAGTAGAATTCATGTGTATGGCCCTGGGTATCCAATTATGTTATAATATAATAGTGGAGTAGTCTTTGCCCGTGGTCAAAGTACATTGTGAAGAAACATGGTTCAAAGTCTCGTGCGAAAGTGTAGATTAATCCACTCTTTGACCGAACAAACGATGGACTGTCTGGAGGCATTTGAATATGTGTTGAGTAAGTGTTCAAATTGAATGTATTGTTCCTCACCAATGCGTTAACGGAGGCGTAAGTGCAGAAGAGTATATGGGTTTGTGGGAAACAGCTGTCAGGGGTCTCTGTTGACACCTAGAGGTTCATTACAGGCTCACGCATTGTGTTCTGGCGTCAGAGCTATCTTTCACACGGACCTTATAGCTTTGAGATAGGTATGGAGAAGACAGGTAACCTTATTATGCATTGGGCCCTGATACGCGTCGGATTTAGCGTCAACTTTCCCTCTTGGGAGAATTATGCATTTACCCCCAGTGATTCTCTTAAACTACTGTACGATAAGAACCGGGAAGGGCGGAATTAATGACAGTATATGTCCATATTAACCACTATCACTAGCAAGCTCGGACTGCTGCGCGGAATTAGGGTTAATACTGCAGCAAGACCAGTGGCCTAGGTTTTGCTCAGGCATCACGTTCTAGAGTGGTCCTGGAAGAGTTTAGCTGTAAATTTAATCGGTACTCCATGTGGTTCCCACTCTCTAGGAGCGGCTTCGCATGTAATTGCCTAATCTGCGCCTGCAGGAAGGTATGCAACAAGGGGAATATCAATAGTGGCGTTTCAAGACTAAGATGGAGCCAGCTACAATAGATCACCCATTGGGTATCATATTTGCTCAATACGCATTTATGCGTACATCAGACCTCAGATTGAGCAAGGCGAGTCTGTGGAGGATGTGGATAAAGGGGCAGTAAGTGAAGAACTAGGTAAATAATGGTATCGGAAATGGACATAAGGGCGTTGTTGCATAGCATGTCGCAACCTGAGACACAAAGACAAAGCGATTGGCTTTGCTCGGGCAAAAGACCCAATTGACTTTTTGCAAAATTCGAGAACGATGCACAAGCTATCGTGAATCTCGGTGTTCTTTGTCATCTTTGTCCATCCACCCTAGGTATTTGGCTTGATCACGCCCACATAGTTAGTTCAACATCCCGTTAGTCAGCATACTGGTAATTGTTGGCGGTTGGATTCCGAGCGACAACCACTGCATCAATTCTGTGTGGAAGCGCCTTTCATCCTTTTCCTCCTTGGGCAGGAGGAGACGATATCGGGGATAGAGGAACTGTCATTCTGACGATCGACTTCGCCGAAGAAAGTGCGTTATTGGGATTCATGAACATAGTGGGTTATACCCCATACGCCCTGTCCAATAATTGCAGGAAGTGTTTATAATCCTGGACGACCAGACCCTGGGCATGAAGGCTAGGTGGATCGATAAACGATATTTTTGGTTGCCTGAAGCTTCCCCGCATTTCCATTATTCGCTTCCTGTCGGCTATTATCAAGGTTCAGCCTAAAGTAGGCTACTGATGTACGATGAGGCCAGTCTATGCCGATCTTGCTTGGACCAGCCCGTCACAATTACCATGTGCAGACCAGCCACGAGGACGAGAAGCCTTCCATCTCCGGCCTTTACGGGACAGGGAAGCCAGCCAGCGAGTCACGATTGATTCTGTGTTATCGCGGAGATTGCCAACAGATCGGCAATCTGGCCTTATCAAGTCCCGCATAGACTTTCCTAATTGGGAGGTGGCGAGGTGCTTAGTTGTTGGAGAAGTGATAGTTTTCTCGACATGGTCTCTTATCGTGGTACGGCTGAGGCATTCGTCTGTTATCTATGTCCGTACTGTACAGTGCAGACATACACGCATGAATCGTAGAGAAAAAAGCGCATTCTATAAGATAGGCGTAGTATAGGACTGTCCGGCATGATCAATTGGCGTGGAATATTCCCGCTGAGATATTGGAGATGTAACGGTGATAGAGAGATTCATGGTTCTCATTGAAGGGAAGGGCAAAACAGCGCCATCCCCACTTAGGATGTCCTGCCGAGTTCAGTCAACACTAAAAACAAAAAACCCCCGCAAATTTCTTTCGGTACGGTAATAAAAAAAAAAAAAAAAAAAGGCCCAACGTCACCCCAAATACTACGACTTATCAAAAAAAAAATTCGCCTATCAATGACCGACGATGATCCCAACCATGACCAATCCTACTGATTAAACTCTCCTTGATAATTATCTGGACTATTTTCCACTTTTTTCCCTAAGTGGAGGGCCCGAAAACGTCCGGGGTCAAAGCAGCCAGACCGTCCTTGCTTCCCCTCTCCGTCTATCAAGGCCAGCCATTTTGATATATGAACCCTGAGGGTCAGCATCTTGGAATTCTCTCCAGAAAAAAGTACGCGCAGAAAATGGAAATTTGGGTACATCGCTTGCCCATTGAATTGACTCGTTCACCTCTTGGCTGAAACCCTCATCATCTGTGTCATACGCGAATAAATCTCCGTATGGACCTGGAATCTAACTCCCAGCCCCTTAAACCGTTCTCGGTCGATCAAAGTGTCCAAGATGCTCACGATCTCGCGGCCATGGGCCATGACCAGGCCCTCACTCGCAAATTCGATTTGTGGAGCATGTTAGCCTTGGCGTTTTGCGTCTTGGGTAAGACCATCTTTCTTGCCTCCTGATCCTGTTGCGGACAATTATTGACCAACTCTCTAGGAACATATTCAACATTCGCTCAGGATCTTAGCAGCGGTTTGACCAACGGTGGTGCGATCACCATTTTGTGGGGTCTCGTTCTGGTCACAGCATGTAACCTCTGTGTCGCTGTATCCCTTGGCGAGCTCGCCAGTAGCATGCCGACCGCGCTGGGTCAGGCGTACTGGGTCTTTCGACTATGGGAAACCCCCTTGGGTCGCTTTGCTTCGTACATGTGCGCCTGGATCAACACATTTGGCTGGTGGACTTTGACCGCATCACAGGTCGCATTCATGACTGAGTTTCTTCTTGGCATGAAAGTCATGTTCAACCCCTCGTGGGGAGGCGCCAGCATTGGGTGGCTGCAGTTTCTCGTCTACATCGGCTGCGTGCTTGTCCTAACCGTGATCAACGTCGTGGGCTGCAGGAAGGAGAAAATCCTCCCCTGGATCAATAACTTCGTCGGGGTCTGGTTCACCGCGTTGTTCGTCATCCTGTCGCTAGCGTTGCTTATCTCTGTCGGAGTGAAGGAGGATCTGTCGTTCCAGCCGGCCTCTTTCGTCTTTGGCGAATGGATGAACCAAACCGGCTGGAGCGACGGGGTGGTGTGGTTTACGGGACTAGTCCAGGCCGCATACGGGCTGACAGCTTTCGACGCGGTCATTCACATGGTTGAAGAAATTCCTGCCCCCCGGAAGAATGCGCCCAGAGTGATCTGGTTGGCTGTGCTACTTGGCGCTGTCACTGGGTTTATCTTCATGCTCGTCTGTCTGTTTTGTATCCAGAATGTGGATAAGGTGGTTGATTCACCCAGCGGACTCCCGTTCATCGAACTAATGCTCGAGACGATTGGCCTGAAAGGCGGCGCGACCTTGATCGCATTGTTTATCTTCAACGGCCTTGGACAGGGCATCAGCATCTTAACGACCGCGTCTCGACTGACATGGGGATTTGCACGAGACGGTGGATTACCTTGGAGCGGTTACCTGAGCCACGTGGATCCAGTGTGGAAAGTGCCCGCACGGTCACTTTGGTTCCAAGGCGTTCTGATCGCCTTGGTCGGCATTCTGTATCTCTTTGCAAACACTGTCCTCGAGGCTATTCTAAGTGTAAGCACAATCGCCCTTACCATCTCGTATGGTTTACCCATTGCCGCTCTGCTCGTCGTCGGACGGGATAAGTTGCCACCGGGCCAGTTTAATCTTGGGCGATGGGGAAAGCCTTTGAACTGGGTCAGTATCATCTACTGTGCCATCACAACGGTATTCTTCTTCTTCCCTGGCTCGCCAAATCCGGCAGCAGGTGATATGAATTACGCGATCGCCGTCTTTGGAGTGATGCTCGTGGTGGCGGTCGGGTTCTGGTTCATCCAAGGAAGTCGCACCTATTTGAAGACAGAGGATGCCATTGCGCAGATGATTGTTGCGCAACGGCTGGAGAATGACGGAGGGGTTGAGTCGGAAACGAAGAAGGAATAGATGGATCGGTATATATATCAGCGGCAACGTCACGTTGCGTTTCAAGGGTTATATAGGTCTTCTCGTATACTGTGAACATGTTAGATTACAAATATGCTTATCATATAACTGTCCCGATACCTATAGAGCGGAAATACTGAATGCGTCCCCCATTGTCAAACCACATATGAACCAATTTGGCTCAATCGATAAATCAATGAAGATTCTACTTAAACCTATTCGAGGCCAGCCAATATAATCCAACTAAGCTAGTTGGATTTCTAGATCCACCCTGCGTTCTATACAGTAGCCTCCACAAACGATGGATCTTGACAAATTTAGTTAGTGAGGGCTGGCATAATATGGGTCAAGCACAGGCCATACAAGCTCCCTGCAAGGACGATCTACAAGACCATGCAGGACGATCTATATATATATATATCATATATCTCGATATTACGTCGTCTGCATCATAGATGGAGTCCTGCCTTCTGCAACTGACTAGGGCTCGGCATACTATTGAAAGGGCTTTCATGGCGCTTGATTAGCAATTGTCGCATGCACTGGATGTCCTTCGGGGTCTCGAGGATGCAATAATTTTCAATAGCACTACATGACCAGCATATCCAAAGACATGCCTCCCTCAAACTATCAATAAACCTTTACGCCGCCCACCCAATCTCGCCTACAAAAGGCACGAACCCTGACCCTACGACCAAACATCATACCATACCGGATCACCACCGCCATAGCCCAAAGTTTTCCCAACCCCCACCACAGCCCTACTACTCCATTCTCAAAAAGAGAAAAGTCATAACGCCCACCTAATAAACATGTACAACTCCATCCCCGTTTCTCTAATCAAACAAAGAACACTAGGAACAAGACCAAATCAAGTCACAAATCCCCACACACTAACCAAACAAAGAACGAACGCCTACGTAGGAGTAACTACCACCATCTACTCATCTCAACCCACAACCCACAGACACCGAGTAAATAAGTAAACACGAGCCCTAAACTAAACGAACGCGACAATTCCCCAATTCGTATTAGGATCTTCACTCGCCCAATCCATATGGGGCTCAATGGGGCCGGCGCCAAGATAGAATACGAGAACAGAAAGCCCACAGGAAGAAAACTCGGCGGAATGTGAATGTGATGAAGCTGAAGATTTAAATATCCTGATACCCTCTTTTTACTTATCGCGGATTTTGATTTTGATTTTGATCTTGTGGTTTGTACCTTGCTATATTCTTTTCTATTTTCTAGTATACGATACGATTTCATATTATACCATATTACATTATATTATACCACCAAAAGAAGACAAGCCATGTTGCTCGTTAAGACGCTCTCTATTCTCCTAGCCACGGCTACTTTCTGCGCTGCGCAAGGCAGTGAAGAGAGCGTGGAGGCTGTTCGTGCCCCGATCCCCGCTCGCAAGGACTTTACGCCGATCGAAGAGGCCGGGCTGGAGAGGAGGGCGACCTGTGCGGATGGGGGGCAATGTTTGTTCGGGCAGTGTTGTGGGGGTGGTTGTGCGCCGATTTGTTGTGCGCATGATAATGGAGGACGTATGTTATTCTTTTCCCTTCGCTTCTTTTATTGAGTGTTGGTGATGTATGTGCTTTGGGTATGGGGATATCTTTGCTAATGGGAGTCGAATGGATCTAGTTGGATGTAATCTGTCCGAACGATGCCAGTTCAAGGGAAATGTATTTGTGGGGTGTTGTAATGGGTTTATTGGGTATGTTTTATTTAAAAAATATGCCTTTTATTTTTTTTTTTTCCTTCTTCTATTTTGGGACCTTGTGGTCTGAAGGATGAGGAGGTGATGATATTAACTGTTAATACCTAGACGATGCACTGGTGAAGCGACGCGGGTGACTGTGCATTCGCCGGCCGACAGTACCATGTTTAATACTCAGACTGCCACTTCGACGGATAATGATGAGACGACGACGACGTCAACGACGAGATCTACGCGGACTAGGACCTCTGCGGAATCTACGGCTACGGTGACCTCTGATGATGATCATAGCTCCGGCTCGAGTCCCAGTTCCACCTCGAGTAATGGGTATCGGAGGACGTCGGCCACTGAGACTGGTTCTACGACACGTAGTTCGCCTAGTGCAAAGGATAGTGTTGGTTCTAGTTCTACCGGTACTTCTACTGCCTCAAGGGCTACTTCTGGGCAGAGTGGGGATGAAACTGGGTCCGCTAATGCTGCTCCTGCTATTACGGCTTTGGCACGGTTGGAGATGGGAGCTGTTGCTGTTGGGGCTTTGTTGGTTTTCTAGGTTTAATGGGAGGGAAGGGTATCCTGGGGCGATATCGATATGAATCAAAGTTATGGTGGATATGAGCTAATGGGATTGTATATACTAATGAGGTCGGTTGGTAGCTAATGCTTACGCATTTAGTTATGGATTCTATATATATGAATGATTGTATGAGGTTGTTTATTTTACTTGGGTTTGGCTCGGTTCATGGGATATCCATTCCTGTAGGAGGGTACATTATTTATATATATATATAGCACAAGTAGTGTTTTCGAGGGTGACAGGGCTAACGAGCTGTATTGCCAGACCGACTACAAAAGCCAACAACATCGCCAACGACAGAACAACACATATTACAACTCAACCCATATTATATTGACACATGACATGCTACGCCGAATTGTAAGTAACGTACATCATATATATCATTGGTATCTGTAGAATATACACCCCATCACTTAATTGCCCACAGCAAGCTTAACGAGCTTGCCAAAGTCAGGTGTTCCGAGACCAGTGACGGGATCCCAGCCCTTGGTAGCGTTCCAGCTAGCGAAGGGGATAACAGGACCGCCATCAGGGGCGCCGCCGAAGCGAGAGTGGCCATCACAGCCTTTGCTACCTCCGTGGACGATGTCGTTCAGGCCGTCACGGCCAGCCTTGTAAAGCCAGGGATTCAAGAAACCGAGGGTTGGCTTGCCAGCGCGGAGACGGGCATCGTTCAGAAGAGCCACGATGCCGCTGAAGGTTGGGGCGGAGGCGGAAGTGCCGTCGAACTGGCCCAACACACCCTTGTCGTAGACAGCGTAGTTCACACCCTGGGCCGAGACGTCGGGGAAGGCACGGCCGGAGGCGTTGTACAGACCGTCCCACTTGTCACCGTTGGCCTCAAGGAAGCTGCTGACGGCCTCATCCTGCCACTCGGGGCGGCCCCAGTAGTCGGAGAAACCGCCCGAAGAGAAGTAGACAGCAACCTCAGGGTTGGTCTTGTAGGTGGCACCAACGGAGGTGACCCATGGGCAGGAGGCGGGGAACTGGGGAGGGAAGTGAGTGGTGTTCTTGCCGTCGTTGGTCATGCAACCGGCGCCAACACCGGAGTCACCGGACGAGAAGAGAACGGACACACCACGGCTACCGAGCTGGGCGATGAGGTTGCAGACGGTGCGAGCGTACTTCTCAGGGATTTCCTAAACCGGGGTTAGTAGGTGCCCACAAGGCGTGAGAATTGGATTAGTTCCATACCTGTTCGTTCTCGCCGTAGGAGGTGGAGATGACCTGGGGGAGGTCCTTATCGTTGAGCTTCAGAACATTCTGGAAGAACTCGAGGTACGGCTCGTTGCTGCTCTTGTTGGGATCCGGCTGGGTCAGATCCGGAATAAGGGGACCGCGGCCGCCAGTGCTGAATTCGGTGACGGGCAACGGGGCGCTGATACCAACAATATACTGCAGGTCCAAGTTGGCCTCGCCACTGTCGCTCGCGGCGTTCTGGTCATTGAGACCGCCGTTGTACAGAGTGACAGAGAAGTTCAAGCCACTAGCCCAGGGAGCAATGTTCTTCTCGAACTTGGCCAAGTCACTATACCGTGCATACTCCTCCAGATAGCTGGCGAAGGCGATCTTGCTTCCTTTGCGGGGATCGGGCTTGTAGTCACCGATGTTATAAAGCTCCTTCAGACAGGTGGGAGTGATAACGCTATCACAGTGCGAGCTGTCCTTCGAAAGGATCGCCGAAGTGAGGGCGGTCTCATCGATCTGAGAAGGCTTACTGTGGAGGATAGCGCCGTTGGGGCTAATCTTGCCAAAGCGGGTGGTAGGTTGGATCACATTGACATGGGAAGCCACCGAGTCGGGGATGGAGTACTGCAGTGTTCTGAGGCGACGGATGGGCTTCGCCTGGCTGACATACCACTTAAAGTCGGCATCCAAGAGCGCATTGGCCTTGTCAACTGTGGTGCGGAAGTTGATCCAGTCGGCATCCTGGTCAACGTCGGAGATTCCGGCGGACCCAAGCCACTCGCGAACGGCGTCAACGGCGGTATCGGTGGGGAGAAGCATGCGCTTCATCTCATCATGGGTCTTGAAGTGCTTGCCGTAGCTCGGGTGGTCCGGATCGGACATCTCCAGGAGGGCCTTTTCGAAGCCAGCGACATCATGCTGCTGCAGCGCGATCTTCAGGGCAATGGGAGTGTCACCACTGGGGGTGTTCGAGTAGTGCCAGCCTAGCGACGAATTAGTATTGTGACCGACCACTACTAGCACTCATGTTTGGCGGGAACATGGACCAGGCGATAATTACCCTTTGGTACGGCAGACAGCTTCTCGAAAACCTCTCCTGCAGCAGAGGAGCTGAGCAGTGAAAGCACCGCCAGCGAGAGCGCTGGGCGGCTGAGGAGGGATGACCACATGGTGAATTGTCTCTCCCCTGGGCTCAACGGCGGACAAGGGTTGCTGAAGGGGGGAAAGGAGAGGAGCTCAAGCAGGAATGCGGAGAGTATTTATCTCCGCCACTCGACGACGACTCATCGCGTGATTCTTATCGATTATTGGGGTCGGAGCGATGGGCAGCTGTATGCATACCATTGAGCAATCAATGCATCGGACGTCCGTCGGGACCCTCTCGAGTGAAGCCGCTTGATTGGATGGACCCTGTGGGATCCAACCAGGAAAGGAACTTACAGTTACATGGTGTGAGGGAGAAATTGGCCGTCCTGGCTTATCAGAAGGCTGGGCGAGAGACGATCGTCAGGGGATGTGGAACCGTTTTTCTAATTAGGGATGAGACATACCTTGGCCAAGACGATGATGACTGTGATATCACCGCCGGTCTAACAGACAGGGCATGTTTCTAAGGGCCTGCATTTTCGAGTGGTCTGCGAGAATACGAGAGAGGTAATGAAGCAGTCAATTTAGGCGAAGCTCACGTCGCTTTTGAGAATGTTTCAAGCTTTCTCCTCTTTGGGCGACCTTTTTCGTGATATTTGTTTGTCTAGTTTGCATTGGCCCAACTATGCCAAGACTCGTCAATAATGAACAACAAGCCGTTGTTTATTATTATTGGCAATGATTCAGAATATTGTTGATTCTAATTGTCTATCGCCGACCAGAAATAAAGAACCAATGGCTTCGATCTTAAAACCCACTTTTCGTAGTTTTCTGCCTATTCCTCCACTTTTTCGCCCACAAATGTAACCTGAATTGCAACCCTCCGCAATATTCAGACTCAATTGAGTTCCACTCCCAAGCTAAGCTTCTTCGGTACAAGCACCGCCCAGCCAACGCTTCTTTCCCTGCCGAGGAAAAGCGTGCCCTATCTATCATTTAGATTAAAAGCCCGGTCTCCGATATCACAGTTGCTACAGCTCCACCAGAAAGGCGTGATATTATTAGGTAATAGCTAAACCACCTAATGGAAACACTGACATATTGCTATATCGTAACTTGGACAAGAAAGATACACCGCCAGATCACTCGGTGAAGAATGCTCCACCCCCGTGCTTGACGTCGCTCTAACCCTACATAGAAGGGGGAGGGAGACTTAATCTTAAACCCAATGACCAGATCTTAAGGGCTTTGATCACCCCTAGTAGCTGTTTGTATGGAACATAAATAATTGCCACGATCCTTCCGCTAGAATGCGGTTTGGTGTAGCTCCAACAGAGATGTGGAGCTTCAACGGTGGAAACAAATGGATAACGGAAGGGCTTCCGTGGCTTGATTACCATGGAGACGCCGACTGAGCGGGAGGGGGTTGCCCTGCAAGGTCAGCAACCTCAACCTTGCAGTAAATCCTTGTCAGCATGTTCTATTCTTCTTTTTCTTGCTTATGTTGCCTTGGGCTTGGGGCGGGGTTCATTACAGCCTGTAACCATAGTAGTCAGCTCCCGCATTGTTGCAGAATCGGGTGTTGCCGCAATATATATTCAGAAGAGGTGTGGAGATATTGAGTGAGAAAAGAACTGATTTTTTTTTTTTTTTTAAAAAAAAAAAAAAAAAAAAAAAAAACACTGCCTTTCTACTGATTTACATAGAAAATATAGTATTGGAATCGTATCCGGTGATCAAAATAATGATCAAAATAGATTTGATTACTCTATTACTATCAGGACGCCTATCTAGGGGGATCATGTGCCTTTTTATAGTCGGAATTAACGCTTCGCTTAATTCAATTTAACCAAAGCGCCAATTCACTAGGCATGATCATATGGTTGAGAAACCTGGTGATTTTGTGGTCACATTCAATAAACCAGAAAGAACTCAAGGCATAGGTAAGGCGCTCAAGATAGGCAAGCCTGTCATTGTTATATACAGGGTTGATTGAGTAATCTCAGTCCAGACTTGAACCTACCCCGAACCGGGTCTAGCTTTGCGCTCGGGAGTCAGAACTGACCCAGAGTCACCAAGCCACAGGGTATTGGGCCATCCTAGTCATGATGGGTTTTTCCCGTCAAACTCTTCAATAACACTCCGAGGTTCCTTATATGTCCCAATACTGGTCCATTGGAAATCCAACCCAAACCCCGCAGGGCCACCCACTTTCAATGCTTTCTCGCTTGTCCATAAAGGATGTGCAGCCATAGCAATCACATGGGCAGTTAGACCATAACGAAGTTCCGGGGAGCCAATTGCTTGACCGTCCTGTCCGATAATGGAGATAAGGTCGGGGATACTGCATATGACATCCTCGCAGCCTGAGTCGACAAAGGTAGCATAAAGATACTCGTTCTGGAAGGGAACAACAAGATGGCGTTGCTCTTGCGGTTGCCATGGACATGGGCTTGTATGGGATAAATCTTGCTCCTCAGGGGAAAGGGGCGCAATGGTCACCGTACCCATGGTATAACCCCCGGATATATCTCTCTGGACATGAACTATTTTTCCAGTGTAAAGCAACTTACCCGGGTTGACATCAAGCTGGTACTATATGTTAGCGCAAGTAGTATTTTGGCACGATGATTGACGTACAATTGACTCTACCACATCTACCTTGAGTTGCTGGGCTCGTCGTACTGCTCTTCCCAGGTACCATGCTTGAGAAATTGTGTTTGGAACGCAGTATCTCTTGACCAGCGTGCCGGGCAGTGGTGTTGGGGAGACGCCTGTCATCAGGCCAAGCTCCACTGCCATGGAACGAAGTAGCTTCTCGACTTTCCCGTTGGACTCAGTGCTCTGTATTGGCGGTTTCAGTCTGATTGCAGCTAACATTGCTAAGCTATGGGTTAAATGCGAATGGACCTACCGTTATCAATGCCGCGTTGTCTCTGCAGTCCGAAATCGCACAGGGTGTAATGGGAGCACCGTAAATATATGGTAGAACTGTGAGATTGGTAGTTAGCCAAGCTCGGACTTGTATCGGCACGATCATACTATGCCCGATGGTGGGAAATGCACGTCCCATATGGTCGCCATCAAGGACCGGAATATCGTAAAACACGCCTGTCGGAAATGCTGACATGCCATTTCCACCGCCGATCTCGGCTGCGATGATAGCATCGAATTTAGCGCAGCCTGATGCTCTAACAGACCATTCAACTGCATTTCGAATTTCTGATCCGTTCGGTATTCGCTCACCGGAAACACTGGGAGCACCGTACCATACACCCAATACACAGACATCAGAGTCTGAAATTGCTTTTGGAGATATGACACGCATCTTGCCTGGGTGCTCAGAGTCGAGTTTGGAGAGACAGTCAAGATACTGGAGGTAGCTGGGTCCGCCTCCTCCGGCACCAAGTATTCCAGTTCCAATCGAAATTAGCTCTAGGTCAGTAGCTGTCAGCGACCAGACCCCGCCCCGTACAGAGGGCTCATATATCAGTATATCAACAGACGCTGGTGTCTTAGGAGGTGGTGCCGGCGTTATGCTGCTCTTACTAGACAGTGTCTTCTTGTGTTTGCCCGCCTCTTTCTGGAAGTCTTTAGACTTCTTATGGGATGAGTGAGCTTTACCGATAGCCACTTTACCAACTGCTTTAACAATAATCCTGGCCGCTTTGGTTGTCATGTACTGAAGAGGGATTTGCTCCAACTCAACAATTTTTATGTCTTCCTTTGCGGCTCCTCGTTTCAACGCAACTTCAATGGCTTTATTCTCTGTATCCCTTAAGACCTTCGCTGCGTCGTTTCCTTCGAGGATTTCAATAGTATCGACAATTCCGGAAATTTTTGCCACAGCGGCACCGACGGCGTTCGCCGAATCATGATGAGGGGGAATAATACATTCATCGACACCATCCAGCTGGTCCATATAAATCAAAGAGCCCCCGCCAACAAGAAGCAGGGTAACTGGCAAGGAAGACGTCTTCATTCTCTGAACTGCAGCCTGTAGCCTCTTTTTAATCTCAGCGCGAGCCTGACTGATTACTGCCTGCGGTACCCTCGAGACATTTATTGCATTGCCGAGTTTTGCCTTTCCAGCAGCCACGACAATATCCGTAGCTGTCAATGTTTCCCCCCCAAATACCAACGCCTTTTGCCTTAACAAATTCCCAACAGACGTAGGACCGACCGTGACTGAAGAGGCAGAGCTATCATGCTCAACACAACTACCACCACCAAGGCCGATTGAAAGCACCTCTGGCATTGAAAAGGCCGTCCTAACACCGCCAATCTCAACGAAGCTGGGAGCAGGCCTTGGGAAGCCCGATGGAAGCAAGGCGCACACGTCCGTGGTGGTGCCACCAACATCCACCACGAGGACTTGCTTCTCATGGTGCACGCCTTTGAGCTCGACTGACGCAAGGAAAGCAGCGCCAGTCATACTATTGATCGGGCCGCTCGAAAACGTTTGGATAGGAAATTGGTTAGCCGTGCCCACGTCGGTGAGAGTGCCGTCGTTCTGAGTAAGAAAGAGGTCACAGGCCAGGCCTAGCTCGCCAATAGCAACAGAAAAGGCATTGAATGCGTCCCTCGCAAGATCCAATATGGCTGCGTTGAGAATAGTTGCATTCTCTCTTTCAAGCAGCCCAGGGCCCCCGATATCGGCAGAGCACACGATGTCAAGCTGTGGGTTTTCCGTGAGCATGATTTCTTTGCACCTACGCTCGTTAATCCCGTCTTTATCAATTGCCGAGAAGACTCCCACAAGTGCAACCTTATCAATACACACTTTGCGGAGTTTGCGGACCGTCGCCTTGATTTCGTCCTCATTTAGGGGAAGTATCTCCCTTCCGTCGATTTCAATACCTACACGGAGTCAGATTGGAGTCACTCTGAGTAGTAGATGGGGGGAAGGTTCCGACCTCCATCAAGGTAGAATACAGGGCCTTCCACGATTTGTTTGAGGCGTGCCGGGAAATCCACGAAAGGGGGTACCTGTTTAGCGTTTTAGATCGGTTCAAATCCTGGCTGACGAATGACCGTGCTCACCTGGCGGGTAAATGGGCCACAGAGCCGTATGACAGCCACCCTGGCAAGCTGATGTCCCTGGGCTTGAACAACAGCATTGATAAAATGGGTTGTTCCAATTGCGACGCTTAAAACGCCCTGGCGATCGACACCAGACGCTGTAAGCACTTGTTCTACGGAGCATTTAATGCCCTCGGAGATGTTGGGGGATGTCGGGGTCTTCGCGGATGCTAGGAGGCCTCGCAGTGGAGAGCTCGTCTGAGTGATATCCAAAATTGCCGCATCTGTATTCGTTCCCCCAACATCGACTCCGATACGATACATCGCGTGGATAGATTGTAGATGTAGGAAAGGAACAATACTAATGGTAGTACCAGTCGGATTTCAGATTTGAAGACTTCTAGTTATCATTCCCGCCACAGAGCTGTTCAAGTTGGCGAGGTTCCCCCAGAAGGGAATTAATAATACCAACCCTACTATCAAGGTTTACCGAAGACAAAATTTGGCCAACGGAAGCGGGAGGTTGGATAGGAGGGGGCTTCTGACAATTCAGGCCGAAGTATACACTGCGCAACAGAAGGCAGCCAAAACTACAAAAAATGACTACCCAGATACGGATTGATTGGCATTCGCGGGATGATGGGATAAGAACCTGGTGTTGCGGGGCGGGGCGAGCAGATACATCGTTCTTTACCCCGCCATTATCCAACTTCTTACACGTTTGATAATTCCCTCTTGGAACGGCAGAAGCGTGTTCTAAGCAACCAAGTATGGTGCTCAGTACAGACCTCGTCTTATGCATAGTAGGTTACTCTGCTAGGTAAGTGAGTAGCAATGAGATCTAGATTTATCGGACTCTAGAGGTAGGCTTGCCATCGAGGCTTTCTAGTCTGAACTACCGCACTTCCGCTTCCTCTATTTTCACTTGAATCTTTTTTAAATGGAACCGTTGGCTTTTTGGGAAGCTACTTGATTAAGGACAGCTTGATTCTGGATCCTTAAAAGTGAAACAAGACTAGGGACCAAAGAACAAGCATTAAACATGATCTAGGAGTGGCCGTAGTTGGCTAGAAGGACTGTTAACTTGTTTGGTAGGGCTTTTCAAAACGGCTAATTATCCACAGCGCTGAAATTAATATTGTTTGAGTCAATTATTTCAATATACAGCCCGCTTTTTCTGCCTTGTAGTTGCTTAACCGGGTAAACTAATCCTTAAACCTGGTTGAAGGATGGCTCCAATGAGTCTTGAGACTTATAAGTTGTCAACAAAGTCTTTCCATTCTGCTAGAAGCTGCGACATTGTTTGCTTGGTGGTCCTTTGGGGCTAGCTCCCTACATTTTGTAAGAAGAAAGTACCGCGCTGCTCCCTGAGGGCCAAATGCATCAACGAAAAAGCCACCTAGTATAGGCCGACCTGGATGAAGCACATCCGCGATTGCAAATAATGCTTGGCATTCAGGAGACGTTGTGCCTTGGAAGAATAGCTGAGATGCTGACAAACGTATATCTCTCGGAATGGCTATGGTAGCGTAATTCTAGGTGTTAGCACATAGCCTTAAGTGTGACGTGAACTACTCCACTCTCTTTTCAAAAATACCGTTGATATAAAAGATGACCAGGGGCTAGTCTTATTACAACCACGCCTAGAGTTAGCATTGCCCCCATTTATATCTTCACCTGAGCCCTTGATGGGTTCAGTTCTGTGACTACATTTCGTACCGTAAATGCATCAAGTTGGACGCAGGATTAGCGGATTTCTTCTTTGGCTTGCGTTAAATGTCTACATACAACTTCAACGAGTTTGTATGGGAAGATTAATTCAAGACAGAATAGCTCTTCAGCTCTCTTTTGCCAACTAGGATTATCTGTCAACACAGCTTCCCAGAACCGATACTAGTTAACATGGAAGTGATACAGAAGAATGAGGCCTTCAGAAGGATCGATGGTAAAATGAAATTTTTCTACGTCCAGATCTTTGTCATAACCTGTTTGGGATAGGATGGAATCTCCTCTTGCAGTAGAGTGTGAACAGACTGTATCTTGACATCTCCTTGGAGCAGAGCTAGGATGACATTAGTAGAGAGAACATGTTGCTTCCCGCGCCCTAATTCGAAACCGCGAATCATATATTAAATACATGCAGATAACAAGTGGAGTCTCCTCTGGGTAAAGAGCTCTAATATGCGATCGGCAGTGACTGCTGGCTCAGGTCAACATCTTTGTAGTTCAAATGTATTCACGTGCCTAGCGCGTCTGGACTTGGCGGGGATGCGTTAACCCACATCTAACATACCCATATTCAAAAGAATTTTCGTGTCGACACGTCGGACAGCCGTATCTCGCTCAAGAATATTTTCTGCTTCAGCTACGGAGATTGTGGATTGTGATACCTTTTGAACACGAACTCCAGATGGAATTGTCTTCTGCTTCTCCAAAGTCGAATTCTATCAATGACAAAGCGTTGTACCGGTATTCAACGCTTTTGGCAGTCAGGGCGCTTAGGTCTACACGGCCCCGGAAGGGAAGTGTCCTCATGCTCACGGAGACACTGTGTGTCAAGTATGGGGCCTGGGTGCATTTATCCGAGGCACACGCCATGCGCTACATATCACAGCATACGTCCATCCCAGTCCCCAAAGTGCTATGTGCATTTGCACATAATGACTGTACTTATATCGTGATGGAAAGAATCAAGGGTGACATGCTCGGTACTGGCTGGTTGAGACGTAGTGAAGATTCAAAGGCCAGGCTACTTGCTCAATTGAAAAAATTAGTTCAAGAGATGCGAGAGTTGCAAGCCCCCAAAGGAGTGGGGGTTGCTTCTATCGACGGCGGGTCCCTCTATGACGCCCGTGTGCCGGGTCCTACCCTACGCTTTGGCCCTTTCCGCACTATTGATGAGTTTCATCGGCATCTAAGACGTGGTCTAGAGTTTGGTCCCGATCTAGGCTTGGAAGTTCAGGAGCTGATTAAAAGCCAAGATAAGTCTTGGCCCTTGGTATTCACTCACGGTGACCTTAGCAGTTTCAATATCTTGGTCCGCGAGGATGATATTGTTGGCGTTGTGGACTGGGAAACCGCCGGGTGGTATCCATCCTATTGGGAATATACTACAGCCTGCCAGGTCAATCCACAGAATTCATTTTGGATTACCGAGATTGACAAATTCCTCGACCCGATGCCAGAAGAGCTATCAGCAGACCGTATTCGCCAAAACTTTTTTGGCGATATTTAGCAAGACAACATAATGACCTAACAATTCGTAGGGTTAGTCGTCTCCCTCTGCTCAACTACAATGTAAGTTGGAGACTTTGCCATATAAAGCTTTCACTGACCATCAAAGCGATACTGAGGGTCTTCACCGGCTTCTTCGATCTTTGGGCCAAAGATCAACGCCCAGTGATAGTTAGATGAGGAGATATATTAGCTTTGTGTATATCCTTAAAGGCTTCTCCATCGAACCCAGGTATCCTCCTTTCCAGGCATAGTAGGGGCTCCTTCACGCACACGTTTGGCTGCCGTGTGAAGGGACCCCGCGCTATAACGGGCATATACCTGGTCAATCTATGCCTACCGCTGTTATATAATCGGTTCTAATGGTGGCTTGGTATTGATGAGTTAGCGAGTTCCCGGTGGGAAGGGGGGGGGGGGCGGGCTTTCTACTCGCCTCACATCATTGAATTGAAGCCTATCCAGAAGAAGTTCATGGTGCGCGGTACCTGTGCGACCTTTTGTTGTTGATTGGCTTAGGAAGCGCTAATACCGTATAACCTGGGGCAAAGAGCTCGTACTTCTAAGCCCAAATAACATGGAAAGAGCAGCCAAAACATAGAAACCATCGCTTTTGAATGACCATATGAAATACGCCTCTACGGCTGCGATGATGCGTAGGAGTACGACTGTATATGATATCTAGGTATTACTGTGCGTTTATTGTCAGACCGAAAAATGAATCAGAACATAAAATGGGTATCCTTTACCACGCAAAATAGAGGCTGAAAATGGAGAGTCGTATTTGGTTGGTTTTATCAGGAGCGCGAATAACCCCTTATGCTTACCACCATGTAGCTTGTTCAAATTATCTTGAAAAGATAGTGGGCAGCAATCGCGTTGCAGATTTCCTGCGTGGAACCGCAACAAAGAAAGGCAAGCAGGGTAAAATACCCCAACTTTGGATGAATGAGGCTTTGGTGGTTATATTTTGTTGGGCACTTTACCATAAGGGCGGTTCTGAATTCGTTTGAAAGTCGACACTATGAGAAGAAAGTACGTGCGAAGATAATACACACCAGGTAAATCATAGGAATTCATTAACTAATGAAGGTTAAGGCTTTGCCGGTATGTTAAGCCCTAATTAATCAACTTAGTTGGGATATTTTGACGGAGGTATCCACCAATCAGTAAACATGAATTGCATAGAATTCGGCATACAGTGCTGACGTGGCAAAACGTACGAGGCTGGGCTAGTTTTGGCAGAATCAAATAGGTATTTATATAAGTTATTCAGCCAGTGACCACTGCTGCCAATGATGTTTTGCTCGACTCTCACCACGCGTCAATATTTATATCAACTTAATTTCTCGGAACAAGCGGAAAGACTGATGGTAACCTGAGTATCAGATGGCCGCTCAGTATGACTTCGACGACCTGTGGGCGAAGGCCGTTGATAAATATATTGAGTCCACTGGAAGAACCGTGCTCGAACAAACTCTACTCATGCAGTTAAAGAGCCTCGAAGAGCTACAAAAGCGTCTGGAACAGGACCGAGACAAATTTACTGGGTTCCGTGCAAAGTATGCAAAGTTCACCGAGAGAGCGAAAATGGTGATCAGACCTTTTACGGCACTCTCAACTGTCACCTCTAGCGCTTTGGCACTCTCCTCCTTTGCTCCAGCCCCGACAATCTTTGGCGCCGTCCTCTTCGTTGTAAAGGCTGCTGATGGGGTGTCAGAGGCATATGACTGGATCGACCAACTCTTTGATAAGCTCGGTGATTTCACGGTCCGCCTAGATGAGTATGTCAGCGTTGGAATGGGCCGAAATTTAGGAATAAAGGTGGTCCATATTCTGGGATGTCTGCTGGAAATCCTCGCCCGTTCTGAGAAGACGATCAAAATCGGTAGATGGAGAAAGTACGCTGCTGTGCTCTTTTTAGGGCAAGATGAGGAGATAAAGGCATCCTTTGATAAGCTATCTAAGCTGCTCGAAGATGAACAACGGCTTATAAGTGCAATTACCTTTGCAACTAACCGGAAAATGGACAAGAGAATCGAGGAGATTGAATCGACCGTGTCACAAACACTTACAGTTGTAAAGGACACTCAAACTAGATTTGACACAACGCAGCATAATCAACTCCGAGATGTAATCTTGAAATGGATATGCACAACTGACTTTCCCTCCCAACAGTCCGATGTGATAAACCAGAGAGAAACAGGAACTGGGCAGTGGTTCCTCGATGCACCCGCGTTTAACACATGGGTGCACGGATCAAAGCAAACCCTATACTGCCCTGGTATGCCCGGTTCTGGCAAGACGGTGTTAGCTGCTACCGCGATTGAATATCTGGCTGGAACAGTCCAGAACGACACCAGGGGGGTTGTTTATGTATACTGTAACTATCAAAACCGAGCAAGGAATAGTACTACCATGTTCCTGGCAGCGATCCTCCGGCAACTGTTGCAGGGCCAACAATCCATTCCGGAGTTTGTGTTGCGTCTCTATGAGCGTCATTCCAGGCGTGGGACTACAATGTCTTCCGACGAGGTTCTCACTACCCTCCGTTCCGTGCTGAAAACCTACTCAAGTGTTCACCTAGTCATCGATGCTCTAGATGAATTTGCAGACTGCAAAGATGACACTCGCAGGCGACTCTTAGCAGTTGTCAGCTCGCTTCAAAAAGAAGGCAATATGAATATAATGATCACCTCACGCTTTATTCCTGAAATAGAGGAGGAATTTGAACATACTGAAAGGCTACACATCCGAGCAACCGATAATGACGTGAAACATTTCATCACGAACCAAATCCATCGACTACCAAAATGTGTGATACGTGACAAGGAACTGCAGAGCTTAGTACAAAACGAAATCGTTAAAGCAGCAGATGGGATGTTAGTACACTACACTTACACACTGCGTTTTGCTTACTGATAAGCCTATAAGGTTTCTTCTCGCGCATTTATACATTGAGTTACTCCAAGACACTACTACCAAGAAGCAAGTCAAGTCCATTATAGAGGTAATCTCAAAGAGAGCTCACGGCGGTAAGGAACTGTCACAAGTGTACGACCAGTTATATGACGAAGCCATCAAGCGGATAAAAAGCCAGCCGCGTATGAAATACCAATTAGCACGGAACGTCCTCTCGTGGATCACCTATGCAGAGAGACTACTTACAACTGAGGAGCTCTCCCATGCTTTAGCAGTTGAGCTCGATGAGGAACACCTCGACGGAGATAACATTCCAGATGTGGAAGACATGATATCTGTTTGCGCTGGCCTTGTTGTAGTTGATGAGGCAAGTAATGTTATCCGTCTCGTGCATTATACCACCCAGGAATACTTTGAGCAAATCCGAGAGAAGTGGAACCCCAGTGCTCAAGAGGAGATCACATTAGTCTGTCTCACTTATCTCTCATTCGATACTTTCAAGAGCGGTATGTGCGGTAGTGACAAAGAATTCGAGAGCAGACTCGACCAGAACAAACTTTTAGATTATGCCTCTCGACATTGGGGCCAACATGCACGCACAGTCCAGAAGCAGGTATCTGAGACAGCACTTCCTTTCCTACAGGACAACGGTCTGATTGACTGTGCTACACAAGCTATGGCTGTATCAAATTATAAACACCAGGGCTATAGTCAAAAGGGCCCAAGACAGAGCACAGGCCTGCATCTCACAGCCGGGCTTGGTTTGCTGTATTTTTCACAGATGCTAGTATTACAACTAGCCGGAAATGCTGCCATTATAATCAATGCAAAGGATAGCTACGGCCAAACGCCATTATCATGGGCTGCAAGGAACGGACACAGTGCCGTGGTGCAGCTACTGATAGAAAGTGGCGCCGATATCGAGTCCAAGGATGCAAGCGGGTGGACACCATTAACGTTAGCTGTAAAGCACGGATGCGAGGCAGTAGTGCAGCTACTGGTCCAGAGTGGCGCCGACATCGAGTCCAAGGATGTGCATGGGAGGACGCCGCTATCTTGGGCTGCATGGGATGGGCATGTGTCGGTGGCACAGTTTCTGGCTGAGAAGGGCGCTGACCTTGAGTCTAAAGATGACACCTACGATCGGTCACCGCTATCATGGGGTGCGCTGAACGGTCATTGGGCAGTAGTGTTGCTTTTATTCAAAGAGGGCGCTGATATTGAGTCTAAGGATTTCAATGGTCAGACACCGCTAATCCTAGCTGCAGCAAGTGGGAGAGTGAAGGTCGTGCAGTTGCTGGTTGAGGTCGGTGCTGATATAGAGTCTAAAGATATGAATATTCGGACGCCGTTATCATGGGCTGCATGGTGTGGATATGAAGTGGTCCAATTGCTACTTAGCAAAGGTGCAGACGTCAAGGCGCAGGACAAGGAGGGTCGGACACCTCTATCACGGGTGGCAGAGAACGGGCACGAGCCAGTAGTCAAGCTGCTGGTTGACAAGGGTGCTGATATCCAGTCCAAGGATAATATCCTTCATCGGACACCGCTAGCCTGGGCCGCATTAAATGGGAACGAGGAGGCGGTAAAACTATTGATTGAGGCGGGTGCTGATCTGGAATCCAAGGATAGCGATGGTCGGACACCCCTGACTTTAGCTACAGCGAACGCGCACAGGGAAGCGGTCCGGCTACTAGTTAACAATGGCGCCGATGTCAGGTCGAAGGGTATGGATGGTCAGACGCCACTCTCGTGGGCCGTACGGAGCGGGGATGAGGCGGTATTGCGAATGCTGCGGGACAAGGATGTAGGAGTCCTTGATACATAACTTCTTAAATTATCATGCGATTTTGGTATAATGTGGATTGAGGCCTACCAGGCAGAAATCACACGCAGCACCTGTGCAAATTTTGTTCCTGATTGGCATGGGATACAGAGTAAACCAAAGCTAAGACTTGACACCTTTACCTCCACACTACATGGAAAGACTTGTCAAAGAGAGAAACCATAACTTTTGGTTGAGCATATGTATTACACTTTTATCATACATGTTTTATCTAGAAAGGTGAGATTCCGCGGGAAACAGATCCTGGCCGCGTGACCTTCTAGAATCCCTTGCTGTCCCAGTAATTGATGAAACGTGTCAATATTGCCGCGTCAAAAGAAGTGTAGTGAACACCTGTTGCATCCACCAGAACTTCCAACGTGTTGGTGCAATCATAATGTGGAGTACTGTGACTGGTTTGCATCCGTGACACCCCTCCTTAAGACAGCTTCCTGTAACAATGGCAAAAGAGATAGCAGGGGGTTCTCCGGGTCATGAACCTCTTGCTCCAGTAATAGGTGCATCCAATAGAAGACTATCTTGACCGGATAGCCTGCCCGATTAATGATTGCGCGCGTGTCGACCATATCCACCGAGTCTCGGCGGTCAGGAACAACCATACTATATGATCTGTTGAGGTTCTCACGTTTGGCAATCTGTAAAGCGACTTCGTGCAGGTTTATTAGATAGGAGATATTGGACCTCAACATCCTTTAATATTTCTCTCATGAGGACATGAGGCACGGATAGGTCGATTGGCACACATGCCTGATGATTCCGTCTCAAGGCTAATTGGGCAATGACCGTGTACGCACCAGCACCTGCAAGATGCAGATAGGCTCTTCCTTGCGACAATTGAGCCTCTTGAGAAACTCTACCACGCTGTCGGTTAACGGCTGCCAGTATAGCACTTGCCATTTAAAACTTAAACAAGTAGCACTTGTTTCCTGGTAAGCCACGGTCACGTCTCAATTAGCGAACTTTCGTGTCTGTCAGTCGCGGAACCCGCGTGGCAATACGGCTGTTTAGCTTGTATATTCCACCAAAGATGCCATCACGGCAGTTCGAAGCAAGGAAAATGGCGACCCGCCTACATACCTACGTGTGGGGGCGATATTCGAGGGCCGTTGCATTCGTACTATGACGTTAGTGCTGCTCTCCCATTTATGATCGGTTGCGATATCCTATTAACTAAAGATACATGGCGTAGTTGGCTAGGACAAGGGAGGTGGAGAAGCTGTAGCCTGAGATACTCCTCTCCACATCAAGGTCAAAAGATGGATCGAAAGCTTTAGTGTTTTAACACGTCATACACAGCATGCATATCACGGAGACTCGCTGATATACCTTCCTCGAGGTTTACGTTGTAGCTCAGAACCTGCTACTTCAATATATTAGAAAGATGTACCGGCTTTCTTTTCTATAATCATCTCCAGCCATTACCTCCTGAGTCCCTACTTTATGTCATAAGCCGGGGCGAAGACATAACAGCACACCAACGAACTTCTCTGTTATACAGGTGATCCGTGGTCCTTGACTTTGATGTTGGAAGGTCCTATGAGATCGGGTGTGCCCGCTACTACCTTACGGGTACATGCCTTTCAAGCCGTATCATGTTGAATATATTGAGGTGCAAGATTAGGCCTTTTGCCAATGTTGGCTATTGTAGTTGAGTGGGAAAAGCGAAGAATTCCTCATACCTGACCAGAAAAGGCAAGGAGGTACACTCATTACTTCAATGTGGACGGCTAGGAAAAACAACGTATACATGTTTGAAACGGCACTGGCCAGGCATGATGAACCGGGATTGCACACCACTTCTGCAAGGTTTCGGGAACACGGCCAGCGGTTGCTCCAAGCTGCCCAAGCCTGATGTGGCAGCAAATAATGGAAATGGTAGGCTGTTCCTGAAAGGAATGACTAATTCAACTTGTCTTCTTCATTTTCTTGCTTGCTGTATAATTTATTTTCGTGACTCTAGAGATTACCTTCTATGCCAATGGTAGTGAAGGAAATTATTGTCAGTTACTATACTCTTGTCGTTAAGATCAATGCAATGTGGCACGCAAGACCCCCTTCAGGGAATTACATAAGTCTTTCAAAATCTATCGAGAAGTACGGCTATGGTTAAATGGGTTCCCATCAATCAGTCCCGGTTGAACAGCCATAGCCTACACGTGGATTAGTGGCTTCATAACCCTCTGACCGTTGAAGATCAGAAAAGTGGGGTGGGGGTGGCGGGGATGGTAAAGGCCTTCATGTTCTCCATAATCTGGATTAACGGGCGTACTATAATTATCACTAGGGCCGCGTTCTGATTCTTGAATCAGTTATCTAAGGTTACCTTGTGCTGCAATACTAATAACTAACTAATACTAACCCAATGACTCAGCCACTCGTGTTAGTTAGGGCACTGCCGCGGGCATGACTCACGATCAGTCAGTCATCCATGACTCTTGTCGATCGTCCGATTTCCGCTTCAAACCTGTGGAGACTTTCAGCCTTGGCAGGAAATGTTGTCTGACAATTCTGATGTTTTAAATGATTCTAAATCCATGGCAACCCTTCTTTATTCCTGAATCAAAGGAAACATAGAGACCCTCACTCGTGATACCTGTCCCTTGCTAGCGCTCTAGCATTTGTCTCATTCTGGGGAATTTTTTCGAGCGAGTTCAAGTTTGATTCACGATAAAGTATGGCGTCGAATCTAGCTATACCATTGACGTCATACGAAACAGCCCTATGTCTCGTTCCTCCGTCGAGTCGAACCGGAGATATCGACCGTCTACGGGCTCTTTATGATAAAGCACATGGACGATGGCCACCACATGCCAACCTCATCTACCCCTTTGTGGCTCTAGAGGCCCTTCCCCAGGCATCCCAATTATTACAGTCAACTTTAGCCAATAGGACGAAGGCTGGCCCCATCCGTCTTCGTTTGGACAAATCGGACTTCTTCGCCCACAAACGCAGAAGCACAGTTTATCTCACAGATAGTGGAAGTGACGGGTTAAATGCCGTGACACATTTGCAGCGAGATATCATAGAGGCTTTCGGTGCCCAAGGACGAAGTACTGGCCACTTACATGTCACAATTGGCCAATGTGAGGCGGAAGACCTTGCCCAGAGACAATTCCTACTCGACAAACTCGCCTTGATCCCACCGATAGAGTGGGAGGCGGAAGAGCTAGTAATTCTGGTCCGTGACCGGTCCCAGGGCCTAGATACTGGTTCCAGCCCAATGTTGACCTGGGGAACTGTGTCACTATCTGGTGGATGTCCTGTGACGCGAAGCGCACGTTTCAGAGATGAAGAAGAGGCCTCATCGGGTGCATCGTCGTCTAGCTCAGCGGGTGTTGGATCATCTTCGCCATCGTCCTTACCCTCACAGCTACAAACCACATACCAGTTTTTGCAAGCGAAGGACAGTGAGGAGGGCAAATGGCATGCTCTACCAGCATCAACTTCGCAGGGAACAGAGGGGAACCAACTAGATTCACCAGTGACTGTCGCCTCTTACAATGTCCTCATTGATTCGCCCTATCCTCCTCCAACTGAGAGGTACCCCATCCTGCTGCGTAATATACTCTCGGATGCGGCGGCGGCCGAAATCCTTATCCTACAGGAAGTGAGCGATGACTTCTTCTCGTTCCTTCTTAGAGACAAGGGTATCCGCCTGCGGTACCCATTCGCGACGCATGGGCCACCAGATCAACCCGAGATCGGTCCGTTAAACAGCCTCCGGAATATCGTAGTGCTCAGTCGCTGGCAGTTCAAGTGGGAATGGCTACCCTTTGACAAACGGCACAAAGGTGCAGTAGTACTTCGACTGACAGACCTAGGAACCTTCCAGGATTCTAAGTTCTTCCCGCTCATTGTTACTGGAGTACATCTTACTTGTGGTCTTGCCGACGGTTCCATCATAGCCAAACGGTCCCAGCTCCAAACCATACTCAAGCATCTATCTAGGAAATACTCCAGTAACCATTGGATAGTGGCAGGAGATTTCAACATTACAACGTCTTCTTACACAATCGATGCTGCGTTGAAGCGCAATTCTATTTCCTCCCAAGCCGCGTCTGTTTTGTCATCTTTGGATGGTATGCTTACCCAGCATGGTCTCGCTGATTGCTACTTCGTTGGCCGTGCTAGTGGCTCTGCTAGCAATGTGGGAAAGCCCCGGGGTAGGCTAGATTTTGGGGCGTTGTATGAAGGTGAAGAGGGCGCGACGTTTGACCCGACGGAGAACGAACTAGCTGCACGGATCGCAGGAGACAGCTTTCATAGCCGACCTCAACGATACGATCGGATCTTGGCCCGTGGTGACGAAGTTCAAGTTCTTTCCTTTAACTTGTTCGGGTTCCCTGCCGGAGATGAAGGCCAGCTGGCAAGTGATCATTGGGGAGTTAGAACGACCTTCAAATTGAACCCCTCAACTATTGAAGATCCTGCAGGAGCTGAAGCTTCCATCGATCTTCAGACGGCACCATCGAGCCTTGGCGGTGTCGATAGTTTGAAGGAATGTCTTAAGGAGCATCAAGCATTCCCAACCGAGGAGGAAATTGCGCGGCGGCAAGAGGTCTTCGACTTGGTCAGAGAGTTAGTCAACCAACGTGACGCGAATTTGCCAGATGATACCAGGTTGAACCTGTCGTTTGCAGTCGCACCCGTTGGGTCTTACGGTCTTGGGGTGTGGAACAGCTCCTCCGATATGGATATTCTTGTCATCGGGCAGGTTAGCCCACGAACATTCTTCACTCTCATGATCGCAAAGCTCCGACGAGCGACAGATCGCGATGTGTTGCTTCTACGGAAGGTAAAGGCCGCATCCGGAATGATGTTGGAGTTGGAGGCTCGTGGTGTGCGCCTCGATCTGCAGTATTGCGCTGCAACTCGTGTTACTGAAAGGTATCTCCTTGATTGAATTTGAACTTCCTTTGTTCTAACAAAAGCTAATATGCGTTGTAGCTGGCCACAATCATTAGAGCTCCCTGAGGAGGATTCAACCTTTGACCTTCCCATGCAATCCTTGCTCAAGCTCAACTCCCTTCGCGACATGCACTACCTACAACGTACAATCCCCGACCTGGCCTCCTTCCGCCTTACCTATCGCTTTATCAAAATCTGGGCCCAGAAACGCGGGATCTACTCCGCGAAACTGGGCTATCTAGGAGGAGTCCACATAACCCTTCTTCTGGCACGCGTTTGTAAGCTCTCATTTCGCCAGGCCGGCACCATTTCCGCAGCCGACATCATCTCCACATTTTTCAAGCACTATGCCCACTTCAACTGGCAGAGGGATTTCGTCTATGATCCTAGTTTCTACAAGTCGGCCCCACGATACTTTCGAAATTCGTTAAGGGAACCCCTGGTGATTCTCACCCAACATGCACCGAAGGTTAACGTTGCCCGTGCGGCTACTTGGCCCTCTACCGCAACTCTGGAGCAAGAATTCAAACGGGCAGACGAACTCCTATCAAAAGATAACGTAACCTGGGGGGAGGTGGCTGGCTCCATGGGAAGCTTCAATGGTGCAGAAGAATTCCTCAACTCATATCGGACCTATGCAAAAATAAACGTCCAATACTGGGGCGGTGCAGCCACAAAGGGCAGAATGCTGGTTGGCTGGCTGGAATGGCGATGCGTTTCCCTTCTTGTCGGTATGTTACTTACTCAACATCCCTAATTAGCAAACCCATGCTAAATGTGGACAGATATCCAGAACAAATTCCCCGATATTCACGCCCGGATCTGGCCGGCTCGGTTCACGGATATGGAGGACGTCAACGAAACCGTCAAAGAATACCAAGGCTGCTACCTCATTGGTCTGGTCAGGACGAATAACTCGTTGAGATCATCCGCGACCGAGGCTGAGCGACAATCGGCGAAAATTTCCCTGCTAGCTGTGCTGAATGCCTTTGCGGAGAAGATTCGCCAAGACGAGAACTACTTTGATAGTTCGTCCAGCTGGGTTGATGTTAGTTTGGTCCAGCAGTCTGCGCTTCAGGGTCTCCGGGTTGATACTTCCGACTGGGGCAACACCGCTTACGATGACGCATTTGACGATGATGAGGATGAGATCGAGCTTGAGGATGACGAGTCTGAAGATGTGCATCCACGTCAGCGGATTATGCCTGTGCGTGGTGCTAAGGCTGTTGCGATGCCTGAGGGGGTGAAGCTACGGTCTGCTAGCGATGTCCTGAACCGGCTTCGCTGGGATGCGGATATTGATATAGAAGATTATATTGTCGGTTATGATGATCGGTTTGTCGGGGAGAGGGAGATGCCGGTGGGGCAATGGAAGGCAGAGTTGACGGATGAGGCTTTTATCCCCATGCATCGGATTCTGTACTTCAAGAGAAAGAGTGACGGAGTCAAGGTCTGGGATCGTGAGACGCGGAGGGATCTACTTTTCGGTAGTGGCGCGTCGAGCAAGCAGGAATGAAGGTGTAGTCATATACACCAAGCCAAATAGTAGAATAAAAATAAATGTAACTTCTTACGAGATCGTGCAGAATTATTTGGGGGTTCTATCTATTTCTTAATATAAAAATGAGGTTGCTTTGTTACTCTGACAACGCCAACCTGATCCACACGAACCACGATCATTCAAGTTCAAATCTGAACGGACATACTAGACACACCAGGTAATCATCAATTCTAGTTACCGATATACGATGAATGAGCGGAGTATTGGACCACAGCCTGGATCTCCGCATCTCCCTTCAGTTCCTCGTCTCTCGACTCCTCAAGCCCACGTACCACTTCCATACCACGGTAAATAGATATATCAATACCAAGTCACCCTGGCCTCGACCTCACTGTACTTGCCAGTAATAAATTTCTTGCTAGAGGCTGAGATGTGCGCATCGAGCGCGCACGAGCCTTTTGCAATCTCATCATCAGGCAACATGAGGTCGTAGTCCCAGAGATCCGCATTGATTGTGAGTTTGTCATCCATCGGCACGGCTATCATTGACCTGAGCAGAGGGATGGGACTTTGTGGACGCATGTCTTTACAGTCATGGGATCCTTCTGGAAGAGAACGCTCTGGCCAAACCTACCTGTGGCAGTAATACTCCCGTAAACATCGGCGGGGTCCTCATCATCACCGTTTATCAGAATGGAATCTACCAAGGCCTATGCTTTATTGTTCATCGCGACCTAGCCCACCGTCGCCGAGCCATACTCCCACGTTGATCCTTTCAGAATTGACGACAGCATACACGTTGAAAGGATCGTAAACATTCCATAAACCCTGGCCTTGGGGAGATGGATCTGAATACCTATCCTTAAAACATCCAGGTTAAGGAGGAAGCTCCCAGCGGCAGATGTGGCTCGCCCGGTGCCATTGAGCAGAACGCTTTGTCCTGGACTGATGGAGTCATCATGGTTCCTGTCTTTGTTTAAAATATATTGACTGCTCAAGCTGCCTACTGCTTTGATCGTGCCCTAGATATTGCCGGGTCCTCCTCGTCAATATTGAAAGCATTGAGAACTCTCTATAACCGAATATGGCACGACAGCATCATGGAGTATACGCTGAAGTATACACAACGGGCTTGAAATATCCACATATAAAGCATCACGAACCTCTCCTTGAATATGCTGCTTATCAACACACAAACAATATCTTAAACACAACCTGCGATTGTCTCTTACCAAGCTCATTGCCAATATGGAGTTCCAAACCATCCTCGCTGTCACTCTCGCCCTCTTCCAGGGTGGATTGTCTCTTGCCTAGCCGGTCGAGGGAAGCGTCGTCGTCAGAGATGACCGCCGTGGATCCATGCAGGGTGCCCGGACTTGGTTCTCTCAAGAAGCAGGTGACTGCTGCTGGCAGCAACACCATGGATCTAGCTATTGCTATGTTGGAAACTAATGACATGAGCACCAACTATCCTTACGGTATGTTATCCGGTGTCTATAGTCTCCTATGAGCACCGACTGATGTGAGTATCAGAGGCGACCGCAAACCTGGCGACTCAACTAACTTCGGCATCTTCAAACAGAACTGGTACATGCTCCACCACTCTGTGTCGAAGTTCCAAGGCCAGTCTGTGTCCCAAGTCAGCAACGGTGCTACTTTGAAGTATGTTATAACCTTCTTTACTTTACCTTTCTACAGCACTATATTGAATTGATTTTATACTTCTACAGCAAGGACCTCCGCAAGGATATCAAGGCTCACCCCGACGGTGAACACAAGCTCAGATTCTGAACCTGGTTCTTCCATGTCAGCTAATATCTCTATTTATAACGATGAACAGGCTACACCGATGCCGTTAAGTGGATTAAGAGACAGATTGAGAATAACAAGAAGTACCTACTCGAAGACACTCGCTTCTGGGCCGATGTCATTGCCATCTAGGCGATGTGGCAGAGTAAAAAAGCCTATGCCGAGGTGTGGATGGGCAGATGTGTAGGTGTACTTGTCACGGATATGGTGCGTGGCGTGTGGCTTGATATATGTGAAAGTGGGATCCGTTGCTACAATAGCAATATAACTTTTATTATTGCTACTTCTTATGTACAATAGCTAGTGCGTGGGCCAATATGTACCGGTGTGGGATAAAAGGCCAACATGTTGTCTAGCAGGTAGTAGCAATCGTATGGATAGCCCAACAGAACTTTTCTTTTCTTTTTCTGCCTCTCATTAAGCTTACTAATTTTTCGTAGCTATTTGGCTATATTGGGTTTACAGCACATTATTGCCTGTCTACGCAAGTTCTACGGTGGACGTAACAACTCATTACGTGGCTCTCAATCCACATACAGAAGCGCCAAGGGTATCAGCCGCAGCAAGATAATACGTCTTAGAACTATCCAGTGAAGCATAGCAGATAAAGATGACGCTTTATCTGTTGCATAAAGCCTAATATCGTAATACAAAATGAATCATGCTGATGAGAGTAGTTGAACAATGTCTTGACGCATATGCTTCCTCGCTATTCCAAGCGCCGTTGCACCGAAGTCATCTTGAATGTTGGGATCTGCTCCTGCGTGGAGAAGAGCTTCAACGATTCCAACATGGCCTTCACTTGCAGCCACATGTAGTGGAGATCCCAAAGGCCCAACCGAATTAACAATTGCCCCATTATCTATCAGCGTCTGAACGGTTTCCGTATGTCCTGACAGGGCTGCTACCGCCAGCGGAGATCCGGCTGGTCCGTTGGATCCATTCACAGGTCTACCAGTATTGATTAGCTCTTTCACAACGGTAGACAGTCCAAACGACGCGGCATAGTAAAGAGGCGATGGAGGTTGGTTAAAGCTGTCCTCGGTAGCCACATCGTCAAACGGTGTATATCCATCTAAGAAGGACGCCCAGTTAAGATAAGCCGTCTTCAAGTTAAATAGCTCGAGTACTAATGGATAGTAAGCATCTCGTGTGTCCTGACCGGAAAGCTTCACGTGCATGGGCCAGTAGTTTGTCGCGTAACTAAGCAACGGCGAGGACTTCACTGTATCAGGTATGCTGGTGTACGGACACCTAAATTGGAGCAGATAGGCTAGACAATCTCTGGCAGTAACGGCGTGCGCGTCGCGCGCGGACAGCGCGCAATGCTTTGCCGGCCCAGTTTTAATGCGGTCTGATACAAGGAACTCCTTGACGGAGAGGTGGGCAAGTCGTACTTTCTGCTGTGTCTTGCGATCATTCAATGATTGATGCCGGGGCCCATCCGGCGCCGTGGCCACAAAGATAGACGGGCATATGTTGAGTATATCCAGCGGATCTACAAGCCTTTGGTCATGATTGAACTGACCTGATTTGTCGTCAATGGTTGCAATTTCAGCTAGTTCGGCCACGCACAATGGTCGGGCGGAATAGGTAAGCCACTTTAGCACCTTGACCACTAGATCGGCGTGCTCTTCATCAATCTCTGTGATTGCCTGCGTGTACATGTCGTCCATCGTTGCAGGAAGAGAATCCAGCCTTTTACGCAGCATAGAGGGGCTTAGACAGTTTCCAAGCGCATCCAGCTGACAGGCAGCCCATCGGAACCTAGGGGTGGTGAGCCAATTTCGTTGTCCAGATGGGGGGTCTATCAGATTTAATAAGACTTACATCCCATGGGCTTTGTTTACCAGTTCTTCCATGATCTCTTCTTTTATGTCTGCACGATTATTCCACCGTTTTAGTTTGCGATCCGTGAGAAGTTGTTCTCTGATATATAGCCGTATATCCTCGTCCACCTGAGCGCTTTGAATAGGAACCTTGACGCTGCGAGGTAAGCTTTGAAATCGCCTGTCGGCTTCCAGTTCCCCGCGCCCTGTTAAGAGTAAGTGCTGTTGTTGAAGGCGCCATTCCGTAATCTGTTGGATTATATCCCATTGCAGATGCCGTTCTGCACACTCGTCGATCGCATCCACGATAATAAACACCTCTTCAAATGATAAGATGCATTCCTTAAATACCTCAAGCAAATCGGTCGTAGTAGGCTGCTGTCCATTCTTCGATGCGAATAATACCTCTACTTTCGAGGGAATGTAGTCAATCGCTGCCAGCAGTTGATGCACAAGCGACCGCAACATTGCTTCGGGAGACCGCTTCCCGATATCCTGGAAATCAAAATAGAAATAAACAGTGGCAGTCTTTGAGCTCCCCCTGTAAAGCTCCAGCATGGAGTCTATGATGAGCGAGCTCAGAACGGTTTTCCCGCACCCAGCGATTCCATGAAGCCAGAGCGTTGAGGATGGATCCGCCCTCCACCTCATGAACTCTTTACTTTGTAGAAACCATTCCCCGGTTCCTTTTTGTCTTTTCCGGTGGGCGGCATTGTGGTTTGTTGATGGATCAGGTGCAGATAACCATGCCTTCACCTTTGCACGTTGGGTATCTGCACTGCGGTTAGCTGTATCAGATTATATAGATGGTTCCACGTACCAAGTTCAGCGCGCTGAGAGATCTGTCGGATACACCCAATGTCATCCCGAGTATCTAGAATTGCCTCGCGACTAACTGAAGCCGTCTCTTTGATAGCCAAGATAAGGCTCCTGGAGCGTATCGGATTAGCAAACATTCTTCATCCAATGTCGAAAGGCGAATACAGTGCGAAGCATAAAGGCGCAGAAGTAACGTACGTCTGATCAGCATCCAAAGCCAAACTAAGCGTGCTCTTTAATCTCCCAATATCCTCCATAGCCCTTCTAGTCTCCGCCTCCCTCAGTGGCCAGCTCAAGGCACTGGCAAAAGCCCTCCGTCTCGAAGAATCACCCGGAGCTAGCCGGCATTCCAGCTCTTCAAGGAACTCGCGCGTTTTCTCCAGTGGCCCACCGGGTTGGCATAGTACCCTCAGGGATGGCAGCTCGTCTTGTCGAGCGAGTGACAACAGCCGTTCCAGAACTCCGCCTAGATTTCTCACTTCGTCGCATAAGCCCCACGGTTTAGTAGTCGATGCGTAGCTGTAGCATATTGACAGGACGACATTGGTAGCCTGGAGAACTGCGATGAGACTGGCTGTGAAGCTGAGAGGATCCATGATTGTTGTATTTTGGTTGGTCTTTGTACAGAGGGACAAGGCTGTTTTATAGGTGTTAGGGCTCAGCCGCTGCATAGCCTCATTGCCCCACGTTTCTTGGATAATGTTGTTCTCTACGAGAATGGACGCCCCACCACCTGCTGATCATGTACTGCGAGATTTTGCTCTGCTTTATCTCTGTGGGTATGGTGCTTGGAACGTTTAGTATAGGGTTATCTTTAAAGAGTGCCAGAATAGTACAGGGAGAGATTTCATCAAACAAGGCGCAAAATGAGCATTCACACTTCATTCGTATCAATATATATCCATCTATATTTATTAAGAGAAGACATGTTCGAGTCACTAGTTCGCAGCACAAGCGAGTCGTTCAAGTATCGATACATTCATCGTATACAGATCGGAACCATCCTCATACAGAAACACCGAAGGCCCTTTGCTAATCTCAAAAGTCCCACGTCATTCTCAAATACCAAGGGGTCGTGAATCACCCCCTCATGTTCAGAAACGTAATCTCCTTCAGCAAAATACCCCGTCTGAGCGTGCGTACCACTCCCCTTCAACACATACATCTCGGCGCTGTCGAGATGCCGATGCCGAGGAAGGACACCACATTTCTCTGCCCGAACGATTATGGTATACTTGCATGTTTCTGGATCAGCCTGGAAAATTTTGATGTATACATGGGGAGCGAGAGGTAGCCTTTCCAGGTCTTTGCAGTGGACGGTGATGGCCCCATCTTGAAGAGGCTTATCGCTTTCTGATGGGGTACGAATATGTGCGGATGGATCTTCGATCATAATTGTAATTGGTCCTGAACGAAGTATCTCGAAGGCTCTATCTGAAATGCAGCGTTGGTGAGTATGGCCGTATGTTTGATTAGGTTGCTTGTTTTATAGGGCTTGCTCACCAGACTTGTTTTGTTGTATGTGCTACGTTTGGGTCGCTCCTTCATGCTACTAAGCGACTTGAAGAAACTATAGACACTGCGTTATACAGCGCAGACGGCAGTAGGGCAGGCTGGTGGTATATCTCAGGCAATGGCTCGGCAATCGCCTAAAGAAGCATCTCGACATTTTTCTGAGGCTAGAATGCTGGCTTTTATCCTCCTGTGCTTTCGGAATTTCCCTCCGATCGAAAAGGGTTAGCTTTCGGACATAGCCCTTCAACCCTGATTAGCTAGTGGTAGAATATGCGTTGCATCGTTCAAAAATAAAGAAACTACCAAAAAAAAAAAAAAAAAAAAAAAAATAAAAAAAAAAAAAAAAAAAAAAAAAAAAAAAAAAAAAAAAAAAAAAAAAAAAAAAAAAAAAAAAAAAAAAAAAAAGGAACATGGATTTCATCTTATCGGGTTGTTGTTATACTGGCCGTGAAGATACTGAAGGTATGAGAAAGACGGCTTCTCCAGGCGCAATAGAACCATTAAACTGAAGACAATGATTATCTGGGAGGGGCCATTGTCTAAGGTGAAAGGTGGTTGAGGTGGGAAGAACTGGGAAGAACTGGGAGAACGGGGCACTCATTGCATTGTGGTAAGCGTTGGAATGAGAATGGAAAGTCAAACAAGAGGGCTCCCTCCAGTTTAAACTGACTATACTCCCTAGTACTAATGTCCACGATGACACGACTCCTCATTTTAGTGCGCGCAAAGCTATAACCCTACTGACTGCGCACCACCGGGCGGTACTGATAATGTAATTTCTCGAAACCATAGACGATGGTGTCCCAAAGCCGAGCCTGGGTAAACCGGAGCGCGTGGCGGACCAATATGACTTTGGCGGCTGAAATATAGGTTGTAGATAATCCGAATCAACGGATACTGCGCAGCATTAATGATGCGAAAATGCTTGATCCTAATAATCCTAATACATGGCCAGACGTGCTATCAGCAGGATAGCAGCTACCATGTTAAGAGTGCTAGGTGCCCTAGTGATGAAACTCGAGGTAGCAAGAGGTTGCACCGAGTTCATGGTTTGGAAATAATATATCAGGAGGCGGAGAGCTAACATCTAAATAGTAATCCCGGGGGGCTAACCAACTAAACTAAGCCTTAAGGGTTCTTTATCTCTGCCGTCGAATCGCTTACTACAAATGTACAGTACAGTAGTGCACGTATGCATGCTGTGATGCTTGGCTCACTTCTCCTCTCCCGCTGCCAGTGTCTTTCGCTTATCACCCTTTTGCTGTTAGCCTATGCTCCTGCACGAGGATCGGGGATTTATTCAATTCAAGCATGTAACCGTGCTTGGACATTTATAGATGTAGTGCTGTACTCCCGATCACTTCTATAGGTCGCCAATTTTCGTCCGCTAGGAGAGCCTGTAAACTCTTTTGTGTGTGCAGGTTTGCACTGTACTTACTCATATATGTAGTCTTATCAATTCATCAAGGCAACATAAGGGATCAGTGTGCTCTCTGCCCCAGCTGGTGAAGAGTCCAGAGCTGTCAATTCCGTCAATCAGCTAGCTATGAGCAATTGTCGCTCTTCATACTATGTGTCTATCGCTCGCAACGGCGGGTGTTGTGATGCAACCCTATGCACGAGTCGTACCTTAGAAATCTAGGTTAGGATTGGATGACTGTGATTACCTTGGCATCTGTCTTCCCCGAACGCGCGCTCACTGAGACTGGCAGGCTTTTGGTGTTGTCATGGGTAAGGCGTGGGCAGTGTCTTCCCCATATACAGTGAATATGGTTATTCTGAATAGGGATAGTGTTTATCAGTGATCTTCTCTTGCATGCACGGTGAGAGAATTAATGATTATATAAACTGTTCATTGTACTGGGCTCTCTAACTAAGCGCCGTATAGCATACCACTGGGGAATATGAAGGCACCTTTTGTGCGTGTTCCTGCCCTAGAGGCCCATCTACCTATCCTACCTTGCCATGTCGATGCCGTTTAACTGAATAATGCTATCTACAGTGTTTCACGATCGCTCGGTATATTTATCTCCACTTGATGCCACCAGTGATACTCAGCCTTCTCTTGTTCTATTATCGGATCTTATGCGATATCTTACCATCGATAGAACTGTATTCGTTTCTATTACGCACATTGTCGTCTTCTTTCTCACTATTTTCGCCTGTGCACCTGTCTCTCATGCATGGGATGAAATTTGGCGAAGGATATTGATGTATAAATTCTAGCTTTTCAATTAGTCTATAAATTTTATGCAACTAGATTTTCTGAGTATAGCAGTAATTAGTAATAGCCTACAAAAGACTTATGTACGACGGCGTCCAACTGAGCAACCGCCCAATAACTCCAGGATAGAGCTTGAAGACTAGTATCTCTCATACATGAAGTCGATATCTCCCCACCAGGTCATTCTCAGGGTTTCAGCGTCCGTGTGACCCACTTGTTTTTCCCTGATCTGCGAAGACCCATAACCAACTGGCGAAGATTTGCGAACTTACGATTGGAAGCATCTGCCCTGAACGTGACAGTCTAAGAATAATATTAATACGTTCAAAAGGAAATGAATAAAATTGATCAACACTTTGACTACCATCTCTTGACTTGCAGGACCCACATTTGTCTTACAAGCTTGGGGGCGATTTACTACAATTTACTCCTTCCGTTGACCTTAACGAGTAATGATATCATAAAAGTGGTTTAGCCTGAAGTTAAACACGAGGAATATTAGTTCTATGAAAAAAAAAATCTGAAGACAAGGCTAACGGCGTAAATACCCCAATGGCCCCACTAGAGCCCCTGAACAATGGGTACTGTGTGCGAAAAGATCATGGTGTGGACCGGTGGGGGGTTCGTGACATGCTTTCCCTTCTATGATCATGTCCATTATGTAGAAAGTATGCTAGGAGAAGAGGTGAGTGGTTTTGACCTTGCTACTGGTGGTACTCACAGTTCCACCACGACCACAGTATGGATTTTCAGTGTCTTCAACTCCAGCAGTTGCTCCGTACGATGAGGCGAGATGGGGCAGACAGAATTGTTCGATCAGGTTCATATGAAAGACACACCGGGATCCAACATTCCCAGCTCTTGTGTAGTATTTTCATTGGAAACTACATCAAGATTTGAAATTCAATCCGGCAAATCATTAGCTCAAGCCCTGTGTCATCAAACTCAGCCTCACAAGGCACAGTATAATCTCGATACTATCCTATACATTAGAAACCGAATGCCGAGAAGATTCGGGTCCACGCTTCGGTAACGTCCGCCAGGCACCGTATTGCAATTGGATAGCGAAGCTTCCTTGCCCTAATTAATAGATGCCAAGGTATCGCTTCTGGATCTAATTTCCCTAGATTGGAATTGGCAGTGGCAGTTCAAGTTTCTGGCCCCCTTCCACGTGAACGCTGGGTGCACTCAAGGCGTATAAAAAGATCCCTAGGAGCGCGAGAAGTCGGAATTGTCTTTCTTTCTCCATAACCTACATCCCTCACTCATTATGGGGATAGAGCGCGGCATCTACCGCATGATGCATCTTTGCATTATCGGTCTGGCGCTGTTTGCTGTTACTTTAGCATTGCCTTCACCTACCGAACTGCAAGAAACGCCAACGTCTCTTGATGGCGTCCCCCGCGTGGAAGCTCGCGATGCCAAGCCGTTTGCTCTCCGTATCATGCCTCTTGGGGCTTCAATCACTATGGGCCTTAAGTCAAGTGACAGTAATGGTTACCGCATATGGATACGTGAGCAGCTTCGACACGCTGGATGGGAAGTCAACATGGTTGGATCTCGCAAAGATGGGACTATGAGAGACAATGTAAGCGTATCACCGAATAGGTCAATTCCTCTACACGAAGCTGATATGTCAAATCTCTAGGACAATGAAGGATGGAGTGGATGGATCATCGATGAAGTTGCCAGAGAGGCCGAGAAGACAATCCCGAAAGCCCCTAATCTTATTTTGATCAAGTAGGACTTGCCTGATCACCTGTCTTTGCATGCTTTGCGAATTCTGACTGCCCTATTCTACAGTGCTGGTACCAATGATGCTGTGAGAGGCATAAAGGTCGACGAAGCAGGACAGCGGATGAACGTGATGCTCACTCGTCTGTATGATAAGATACCTGGAACGACTATAATCCTATCAACACTGTTGTCCAATGGGGACCCGAAAGCACAAGCCAATGTCGTGAAAATCAACGAGCAATACCGTAACATTGCCGCCGCTCGCCGAAAGAATGGTGACAAGATAGTTCTAGCGGAGATGAGTGACTTTATCAAAGTCAACGAACTTGTCGATGGAACTCATCCAACTGATCACGGATACAAGAAGATGGCCTCGGTATGGTGGGCCGCGATTCAAGAAGCCGAGAAGGCAAAATTCTTATCAGAGCCCAAAGATATCGGGGAGAGCGACTGGATTGATACAACCTGTGAAAAGAAGTTCGGTTCTGGGAATGACGGCGGCAAAGTCCAGACACAACGCGGCAGTGGCTGGGACGATGGCGACTACAAGCATAACTCCCAGAGTATGGGCCGTATCAAGCAGATTGGGATTACCGGCTCCAAGGGTGATACCCATCCGGGTATCAACTACGCCCAGTTAGTCAACCAAGGAGGTGCCCACCGCGAAGGAGCCCTGGATGAGCTTGTTTGGACCCGGGATGGAAAGGGGACGTGGATGTACCCGAACAACAACAATGGCAAGTTCGGTAATCCTGTCAAGATCGATGTTAAAGACAACTGTCTTGCGCGAGGTGTGCGTTGGGGTGATCTAAACAACGACGGACTGGACGACTTCATCTGCATTAGCAGGGAGGGTGCCATGTATGCATCAATCAACCAAGGCGGGAATCCCCCCCAGTTCAAGTCCATCGGCCTGGTGAGAGAGGCGCCCGGTGGTGGTTTAGCTCAGGCGAACGTCCGACTCGGTGACATTGATGGCGATGGCCGCCTTGATTACTGCCTTGTCAAAGGAAACGGTGATATCCAGTGTTGGAGAAACGGTGGTCAGAAAGATGCCCCAACAAAAGAATTTAATGGGTATTGGCAGGACCTCGGGACTGTGTTTAAAGGTAAAGGTATGGGCGATATCGCAGGTGTTCGTCTCGTCGATATTAATGGAGATTTCCGTGCCGATTGGCTCTGGCTTGATGACGAGGGCAAGGTCACCACGTATATCAACCAGCGCGGCACAGGTAAAGGCAGCCTGGCCCCTGATTGGCGTCGAATTGGCGTTACTCATGCTGGAATGGGTGTTAAGGGCGCTAGGGATCGTATCAAATTCGGCCAAGTCTATCCACATGGGGGCGCTGATTACGTGTGGATTGAGTCTCTAAAGAATGCTGATACTTATAACCACTATACAACCGTGTGGAAGAATATTGGAAAAGGGGGAACTACACTGAAAGGTAAGATATCTCTCTCAATCATCTCTATGATATGTGGTCGATGTGGCTAATCTGTCTGACCAGCCGATGGTGACTTCTATTGCGACTGGCGTGGCACTGGTGCCGATGACTATATCTGGATCTCCCCGACAGGTAGGGGCTTGCTCTATGGTAACATCCATAAGCCTCCAACTTGGGTCCCCGAGGGACCCCAAATATTTGACCTGGGCAAAGATCGCAAGAGCATTCATCTAGCAGACTTCGATGGTGATGGCAAGTGCGACGTTTGGGCCGTAAACCGTGAGACTGGTGCCGCGGAAGTCTGGATTAACCACTGGAACGAAGAGACCACCAGTGGCTTTTTGGACTACAAGGGAGTTGTCACCGGGGATGTCAAATGTACCGAAGGATGGGGGGTCGGGTTTCGCGACATTGGTGTGCGGATGGCTGATCTTGATGGCGATGGGCGCGCAGATTACCTGTGCATGGAGTAAGTACTTCAAGGTAATTGTTATAAGAGCCCATCATACTAACTCTGTCTGATCAGGCCCAATGGACGAACAGTTGGATGGCTAAACAAAGGTGTGAATAAGTTTGAAGCTAAGAATCAGGTCAAACGCACTCACGGATATGATCGTGCCAACCACATCTGGGCCGATGTAGACGGTGATGGTCTTGTCGACTTTCTCTGGGTCGATAAATTCAATGGTGACACCAAGGTCTGGATCAACAAAGGTCCACATCCTACCGCAGGCTCCAGTTATAAGTGGGAACTGCTTGACGGTCCTCGATATCAAGGCTCGGATCGAGGGGTGGGTGGTACTTTGACTGATCGCGGTGAAATTGGCTGACTATTGTGATAGGCCAATTTATTCTTCCCAAACCTTGGAGGACTGGGCCGTGCAGATATGCACAACGTCATTCCCAGAACTAACATCGTGAGTTGTCCCTGGTAGCCCTTGCGCACTAAGTTGGATATTAAAGCTGTCTAGGCCTATACGTGGTTCAACACTTGTCCCGGAAGTGATAGCAAAGCTGCAGATGATATCGACCCGTCTAAAGACCCTGGGTTACCCCCATACACGCCCCCTGGTCAACCCACGCCTACAGGCGAACCTCCCATCAGTCCTACTGCGACTGGGAAGCCTGGCGATGCTCCTGATGGTTATTAGTATGCTTTAACTTGCAAATCCCGCGAAGTGATCCCAGAGCTGATAGGGAATTCTAGTGAACATTGGCCCTTGAATGACGAGGGTAAAACGAAATCGGTCTGCAATCACCTCGATGAACTGGATAAAAACCTCTGGAATAAAAATGACATGGGCAACTGGCTGACTACCACGTAAGTCTTAGGCCAGATTTTTCTTTTTTTTTGGATTTCTTGAAAGCTGACTTCAGGGATTGAACTAGTGCTGGTTGGTACCAAAAGCTCAACCGCAACCCCGATGTTCCTTTCAAGTGGCCTGGCGGGCTTGCCGATGCGCTTGCAAAGTATAACGGAAGCGAAAAAGAAGAACCTGCTCCTTACTCATGGGAATGTCCCAAGTAGGTATCTCCAAGCCTCAAGGCCATGACTGCCGCTAATCTCGACGTTACAGTGTTCGTGCAGATTGTAGCGTGAAACATCTGGAAGATGTTGCGCCTTGCGAGGAGGGCCGGATGTACCGAGTCCAGGCTCTAACTGCGATACATAACCTGGCGCAATACCTTAAGGTTATGTATGATATGACGTCAGAAATCTGGACGGACATAGGTTTCGGAAACGCAGACCTGGTCCGGAGGTACTCACACAAGAGTGATGATAATACCGAGTTTGGAGAGGATGCAGGAATGACTATTGGCGCAGGATTTGCCAGTATCATGGGTGCTTTCTTTCTTGCCCCCATGGCAGGTGTCGCCGCAGGGGCGATGACCATTGGAGCCGGCGCTGTGGCTGCACTTGGTGGACCTTCCCCAGCCGACCTCAAGTTTGATACGTATGCAGACCTCGGCAGGAGATCGGCTGCTATGCATCGTGCTATGACCAAGAGCTTGGATATTTTCTACAACGGTCTTTTCTTCAAAGACCCCCCCAACGACCCGCATTGGGCGACTAGCCCTACTGCCCTCCCACGCATGCTCTACACCGGAAATTTTGCCTCATATAAAAGTGTTGTCGCACCCACCGATGAGGAGACGATGAGGGATTCCATGGTTCCTGACAAAGCCGGCCTTGTTAAGTATGTTGTCGCTCCGTTGCTCAACATGCTGTGGGAAAAAGACCTGTACTTCATTGTCAAGATTGACAACAAGGCCATTCGAAACGTCAATGGAGAGGAGTACCACCCTTGCGACAAGAATGGAGACATGCACGAAAACAAAGATACCACCAATATGAAATGGTGCAATCCAGACGACACGGCCTTTTTCTTTGTATGATTTCCCTCCCACCTGGCGACACAGACTCAGACTTATAGTATTGACTGACCTCAAACAGTATAGTCGAGGGGGGAAGGGCCACGTCCCCAAAGGCATTGACAAGCTGCCAGATGAGTATGGGTTCAACGGATACGATGTCGTACGATCTTCCTATCTGGTTCAAAAAACGACAAACGAATGGCAGTCCAAGGTCAAGACGGATTCATACTTCAGCTGGGTTCCCCAAACCTCCGGTACTGATATCCCTGCATGGCAAATGATGCGATGGAACTTGCCAGTGTGTGATCTTACAGAGCATAAGGTTAAAGAAGACTGTGGCTCTGGACTTTTATGGCATGTTGTATGTCTTGACTTTCCCGTTTCTCGTTTGAAGAAAAGGTCAAATTATTAACATACTTGTTTAGTGCATGTATTCCGCTATCAAAGAAACTTGTGGGAGGCTAGATGGGTGGCCAAGTGATTATGATTTCCCCAATGGTTTAAGCGGCACTGTACCTCACAAAAAGGAAGGATCCCCTTATTCCGAGGCTTCGTCGGCTGCGGATGTAGTCCAATCCCTTTCGGGCTGATCTTGAAGCCGTTGAATTCTTGGTATTCAAGCTACAGGCTAGCATGAGCAAGCATCGCTTCCAATTCACCAACGATGTTTCATATGACCGCCAACGGTCATGGGTTTCTTGTTTAGGATAGGCTCGGAAATTTGCAGATCTTTGTGAATACCACTGCCGCATTCTAGTCCTTCCAGCCCAGGGATATCATGCGGAGTATGTGCTTTGTTCTATATTTTCTTGAGGATTATCTTGCCATAATAATTACGTTGTAATTCTATTTTGCCATTTTTCGAAGTCTCGATTCTGCGAAACCCTATCGTGCTACTTACCTATCGCAGCACATAGTAGATTGACTACAATTTACCATTTCAATCTGTTTAAGGTCACTGTTCTATTGTTTTGATTCATTTCTCGTTGCTCGACGCACATATTTACATCACTGACTTGTTTCACAGTTCAGTTGAGAAACGATTCGCATTAGTCAAACCCCCATTTCTACCAGGCAATATCTTTCCTATCATAAATATCCCAGCCAGGAATATCAATGTTCTTAGAACACCCGTTCGAGTCCTTCTCAGCCTTTTCAACCACTTTCAAAACTGCTTGTGCTTCCTGTACAGCAGTAAGGTGCGCATCGCCACCACCCATATCCGTTCGTAGCCACTTTATAGGTTAGTAAATACAAACCAGGAGACTTTTTAGATCCAATCACATCACTTAGCCCTGGACTCACGGCCAAGGAAACGTATCCTTCATTCTTATACGACATAGCATATTGCACCGTTAGCGCATTCAGGGCTGCCTTGCTAATCTTATACGCCGGGCAGGGAGCAAAGGAAGAAAGCTCAGCTTTGGTCATAGAAGCATAAACGCTCGAGCTAGAAACATGTTCAGAATACTTCACACGAGTCTGAAGCATCGTATACGACAATAACTCACATTTTGGCGACTTTCTTCAACGCTCCCTTTCTTAACAGAGGGAGAAAGGCGCGCGTCATGTTATGTGCTCCAACAAAGTTTACGCTAAGCTGGTAATCGAGATCGGACCTTTGGCGAAGAGCGTTAGACTGCGCTTGGAAATATGATGTTAGTATGAGTCGAGATTCCTCACATGAGTACACGTTCTCCATGAGTCTCTGAATGAACTCCGGCGCAATTGATGAGACCATCCACTCCTTTTTGACCCACGACAGAGCTCGCCGTCTCAGCGCAGCTTGAAATGCTAGACTCGTTGGAGACGTCTAGGGAGATGAAAACAACACCGCCGGCTTCCCTTTTAACGATCTCTTCCGGTGCAGTACTTCATTTTCGAGTAGCAGCGACCACAAGGCTGACTTCAGCGGTGTCTCGAGATACTAGTTCTTTCACCAAGGCCAATCCCAGTCCTCGGGAGCTTCCGGTTACGAGATAGGTTGCCATATTGCTTTCGGAGGTGAATAGATTTCTAGGAATATTCTTACACTCGGAAGGGTTTAATGTATGCAGCTAAAGGACTCTTAAATCAAAAAGAAAACTAGACAATTAGTCATAAACCCGAATCGAGATTAATTGCTGGATCGAGATTGTCTTGAAGAACCAGAGTGGGCCCATTAAGGAAGCTCAGCGTTTCATACGACAACGTAACTGGATAAAAGCCTTGAAGACCGAGAATGAAGAGATATATACGTCGGCAAGTGTAGTGCCGAGCTTGAAAGCCACACTGATAGCCAATTGATGGCGTGTATCTAGGGAATATCTCTAAACTATCACGTAGCCGAGGGTTACCTCCAAAATTGGACGGAATTCCGAACGACAACGGTTTAGCGTGTCGAGTCTCGACCCCCGAAGATTCATTTGAGCCACTCGAAAATCACACGAATCTATCCTTATTAGTAATTTATCTTGCTCCTATTTCTGTGTTTAGTTGCCAGAAGGGAAAGCCGTAACGTCTATAGATTATTGTGGAATCTTAATTTGTGTGACTTAAGAGGCCAAAGGTTAAGTCAAAGAGATTAGACATGTACTTGCTAGGGTAAAACACATTGAAATAAAATAAAGCTAAATCTACAAAAAATAAGAAAGAAAAGAAAAGAAAATAAAGAGGACCCTGGGGACTAACCGTACCAACTGTATTTCTACATGGTTAACGCTGGAATAGGAAGAAGTCTGGTTGTTGAAAAAACGTGTCACACTAAGACTGCTTCACTACATTTCGTTCAGCTCTAGGGCTGCAACATCAGAACAGCACAGGCTGATAATGTCCAACTTAGGAGCGGAAAAGAGATAACTAATTTGTTCGCTCCAAACTAGCACTCTTAGCAAGATAAGAAGCGAAAAGATTCATCGTCTTGCAGCGGTAGAAGTGACATCATGGCGGAGTACCCTCTACCTGCAGTGAGCTTATCCTGATTCCCTGTACCCCATTGGTCCGAGACACCAAGTACTGATGCGACAATAGTGTTATTTGTGTTATTCTAGGAAGATGAAATGCTATAGGCAGCGTAATTGTGCGAATTGCGTTGATACGGGTGTTGCATGTCAACGCTTTCGTCCCGGAAAGGCATCGAAGAAGCTTTCAACAAGGTATTCAACTCACTTTTCATATTAAAGGCTGATGGGAGAACTAGGATACCGGAAGAGAATGTCTTTAGATTGGAGAGTGCGCCATCAGATTCAAATCTGCAAAGGTGTGAATAGTCAAAGTTTCTAAGATATGAAGACTGTCTGCACATCAATGCTCGGTATTGCTAGTGAACATACAAACACATTAGTCTCCATGTCAGGCCAAGAAGGGAACACAACTGCTAAGCGGAGGAAGCTTGAGGATCATAGAGATGGAAACCCTCGCTATGACTCGAATCCGCCAATTGCTCAAGACCATCATGCACAGCAGGCTAAACTTGTAATGTAGGAGGCATCTAGACGAGGAACGATGGAAGATCCTCCAGTCAGCTGTCAAACTAGTTGATAGAATGTCGAGGGGAGAACACCTTGATTTTCAAGAAAGCTTGCCCTCGGGAGGGGCTAATCGTGAGAACCTCGGTGCTGGCATTCCTCAGAGCCCTCCAGCAGAGCTATTGTACATGCTTCTTCCAGGTTTGCCGGTGTATTCTTGTTGTCTGTGATTAGTACTTCTGGTATCTAGAACCTGTCATATGTGATGGGCTTTTTTCCCGTATCAGGTGGCCCGATCATATATCCGACAGAGCTTTGGAAAGAATGATGGCAAGTCTTCTAGACAACGAGTGCGGGGAACAGCTTTTTCACCAGTATAATATTTGCATCTACGTGAAAGGAATGTTTTAACTATATCAGCTTGCCAGGAAGTCCACGAATCCTTCAGTGAAGCAGCTTCACAAGACAAAAAGAACATACGAGGCTGCTGCACTTCGAGCACTCGAACATATCAATCTTATGTCTACCCCTAGTTTATTGCTACTTCAGGCCCTTATATCCGCTGTAAGTGACATCGCTGAACGAGATAATTAGTCCATCTAACGAAGATATTCTAAGCATTGTTGATGCAACATATGACCAACATAAGTCAATGCTGGGTACTAAACTATTATGCTGCTCGCCAAAGTATCTCTCTTGGTTATCATAAGTCTTGTGAAGCAAATTCTCAAGGCGGATACTCTGATGAAATTCAGAGCGCAGTATGATGGTGCTTCTATTTGGATCGAACTACAAGTGCTCTTCTTATGCGATCTCCCTCGTTACTGGAAGTAAATGCGCCTCCTACTCATTTTAATACCTCATCGTCGTATAACAGCCTGCTATTAAGACTCCTGGATCTCGCCAAGGTTCAAGGCTCATTGTTAGATACATCACTCAGCGACGAGGACAAATCTAAGTCTCGCATCTTTGAGATCTTCCAGGGCATTCAAGAGCAGAGGGATAGAATTTATTCAAACTTGCAAGAAGTGAGCTTTGACTTCGAGCATTGAATGTTCCAGATATCTGACATTCTCCCAGAACCAAAGAAGCCTCTCCGGCCCTGCCGTATTTGAATAGAGAGCGGCGGACTTCTCCTATTATTCAATTTATGTTGACATGCTTCGAACACGCTTAGGCTACGATGCCAGCCAGACTAATCACGTCGACTGCCTGTTATACTCAAGAAGAGCACTCCGGGCCTTTCTATTCCTTCAAGAAAATGTCGATCATATGCCAGGATTCAATGACCCAGAGCCCCCTTTTCTTACATGGTTTGCATCCCTGGCTTTGTCTTCTTACAATTAATGGGGAACTAAGATTGGTACCACAGGGCTATTGCTCTATGCCCAGTGACCCCCTTCTTTGTTGTCTTGCAATATTATCGCAACATCAGACACGCACGACTATATACTGGGGCGGCGCATCATCAAGGGACTATCCCAGTTCAAATCTAGTCCGTTACTTACGCGGTTATTGAATCTCCTGACCTCCCTCCTTGAGAGCTTTGTGACCCATTATTCCAGAATACGATCGACCAAACCAGACAATCCGACCTGGAAGGGGAAGATCATACATCCATAGATGTACCTTTAACCCACAACCTCAATAACACAGCAAATGATCCTTCCTTAGATCTAGAATATGATCCTGATCAGCCCACATCTTCCAACTCGATGAACATGGGTGTGGAGCCTTGGGGCCATGGAGTAGGAGATCCAGCACTATACCCACTGGCAGACGATCTTATGTGGCAGTTCGTTAATAGCCAGTTTCCGTATAGTTGGCTTGAGCCGGGTATAATTGTTGATACCATGTGAAGTGTTTTAATACTAGGTGATGTGTTCTTGGGAAGCAATCCCTGTTATGCCCGGTAATAAGACTTCGTAAAGATTGTCGGAGATGGTAAAAGCGCAACCCGTGCGACTTCCCGTCGTCCTGTGGAATAGAGATAGTACCGCAATATATTGCCTATGAAGGGCGACAGAGGATCAATATTTTCCTTACTTCCCAAAAATCTATCTACACTTATTAACACAAACGATCTCAGGTACCGTTCAAGGCTGTGGCCCCAATCTGTCTGATTCATCCACCAGAACCACCCTGAAAAGAAAGAGAGGGGAGCAGAGTTAAATCAATCATCAAGACCCAAAATCACAAAGCAAGATCATAAATTCAAGTAACGCTCTAAGATTTATTTTTACCCTTAACCATCCAACCCCAATCCCATTCCATCCCTCTGTAGTCCAATATTCAACGCCCTCTCCCATTCCCCCATTTTCACTGGAGTAAAATGAAACCTCTATAACCCAATCCAAGAACACCCAGAACCCTAATTTATCCACTTCTAACGTCCCGAATCGAGCCCCAACACCCCCTCTATCCCCTTAATCACATCTTTAATGCGCGCCCGATGACCCTCTCTATCATTCATCCGCTCATGGACGTAGTACGGCTCCGTCCAAGAGGGAGATTCCCTGTATCGAGAGATATTATCCAGCTCGGCGTGGCTCCGCGCATTCTGAGGTATGGCATTCGTAGGCTCCGTGTTTGGCGTTGTACCCGTCGCTATGGCGGTGGTAGTAGTGGTTCGACTCGTCTTACTACTGAGTAAGAATGGAAAGTCAGTCCTACCCTAGACCAAGGTACCCACAGGAAGAAAGGGGGAAATCACGCACGAGGAAGCCGTCGTCTTGGACATTTCTCTTGTGATAGCACAGCACAATCAGATAACTTAAATCGTAACAATTAGATCGCAATATATCCCATACACAATCTGATTGCTACGAAAGACTATCTATCTATCATATACCCAACCTAACTCTAATATATATCCCAGGCAAACCCCGAAAGAGAAAGCCCACCCCAGGGGGGAAAAGAGCAAGGAAGAAAAATCCCAAGCTAAGCTATGCTACGCTACGGATCATCCTCCCTGTTCTCAGTCTCTCGTCCAATCCTGATGGTTCCGGCACACCGTAGAAGACTGGATCTTTTCTCTCCTAACCACATAACAAAGAGGGAATCAGGCGCTTCTAATCCCCGTCTCGTCTCGGTGACAAAGGCCAACACGAGCAGAGGCAGACAAGTCAAGACAAAGACAGCGTCATCGGCCGAAAGATGTCCGACGATGTGTCGATTGTATCGGGGTCTGGTATGTCGGCAGAAAGGGTACACCATGTAATGTAAGTACATCCTATACCTAACGTTCAGGCGGAGTCCAATGACGAGATGAGCAATGTGTCAGGCTGGATGCAATCATAATCCTGAACAAGTCATGTCATACCCATACCCATTTTGACCCTGCATTTGCAGGCGGGTAAGGTCAGGTCCGTCATTTCCGAGGCGGAACCGGGATGGTGCAGATTATGATTTTTATTATTAGTATAATTGATGATGAGAATCAAATGAGATGAGGTGCGAACCGTACCTACAGCTAAGAAAAGAGAAGGAAAGGGAAAAAAAAAAAAATGAAATAAAACGAGGCTACGGACCCGCTTGGTCTAGACCGGATGAACGGAGTTCGTTTTAGCTTAGCGGGTGCCTTATGGATATTGTCGGAGATTTTCCATCGCGGTTGGTCTAGAACTTCTGCCCTGGCCGTTTGACGGTTGGGTTGGGTATGAATTGCGAGGACCAGCATGTATTGGGTAGGTAGTCTGACGGACGGACTGACCTGGTCTGTCGGTCAATCTCTTTGCCTTTGACGAAGGTGGAGGATCTCGTTTAGTGCCTTAGTATGAATTGTTGTTTGGGGCGTAGTGAGGCAGGGGGTGGATTAGGGTTGCGGTGAGTGTGTGAGTGTGTGAGTGTGTGTGTGTGTGATGTGCAGGGATGTGGCTGCATTAAATCGTTGGAGATTTTACGCTGATCTTTATTTCGACTGGCTGGTGGGGTCTTGAAACCTGTGGCTGGAACTCTTAGAAGGAGGGGTACCTTTGGCTAGTTCGATGTTTACGCATTGGATTTGCAAATGTAGTCACAAAGTGTGGGAGATTTGATTGTCTAATAATCAACATAAGAAAATTGTAAAAAATAAAAATAAAAATAAAAACATGAGAAAATCAACTTTTGGGTATATCACGACCAGACACCGTTTTCGCCAACCAACCCGATCAATCAACGAATGGAGAGTGCTCGACTCATTAAGGTAATGTATTGTACAAGAACATAATCGTCATAACCAGGAGAGAAATCGCAGTAGGATGAAGGAGATCAGGCGCGATACGGCTCAGCCCCCTTAGGGTGTCGCCACATCCCGCTCGGGATCATGTTTTGTTTCATCATGGCTAGCTCCTTCTGGAGGGCTTTGTTTTCTTCCTGCAGTTCTTGCATGTAGGCGATGGCATTGGTCAGGATCTCAGATTTCTTGAGCGACGCGGACCCGCTCTTGCTCGACTTCTGGACTCCGCCACACATGGCCTTCTCCAGGGCGACGAACTTGGCGTTCATGTTGGTCCGATACCGCTTTTCAATGATGTTGTGTGCGGCTCGTTTCGCGGCGTTGCGTCCACTTGAGGTCGTTGGCGTGGTGGTCTGGCCTGTGCTAGCATTGGAGTCGGCGGACATTGTGCGAGTCATCTTTCGGCTGGTCTGTGGCGATGTGGGAGCCAGCTGAGGAGAAGTGTGGGCGTTATATTCTTGGGGAACGAGTTCAGGACTGGAGGACCATGTTGTCTCACGCTTCACCGGTGGGGTGGTCTTGCGGCGGGTGGATTGTCTTCCCGAGGCGGGAAGCATCTCAGCGGGGGCGGCAGCATAGGTGGGCGACCAGGACTGGTCGTCACTTTCCAGGTCCTATGGTATTGTTAGTCGGCACTCATCATCAAAGGCGTCTGTCAGAGTGGTCACATACTGAAGTGATGGATCCGGCATCTTCACCCGAATGGTTGGAGATGGTGAATCCGCTGATATCAGGAGGAGGGGCGAAGAAATCCGCGGGGAAATCCTTGGGGTCCACCCCCATGATAGGCTCATTCGGAACGTCGAGAGCGAAGTTCTCGGGCATCATAGTGTTCAAGGAGAACAGATCAATGGCGCTGTCGTAGTTCCAGTTGGCCGACAAGGGATCGGGACCCTTGGGGGCCGGGAAGGCGTCATGAGGGCGATGCATGGGGCTGTGATGGCTCATGTACATGCGTTCGTCGTCACTGAGGGTGAACGACGGGTCTTGTCTGGAGTATGGCATGGACATTGATGTTGGATATTGTCGGGTGTTGATGGAACTGATAGAGTTTGGTGGATGTAGATAAAGATATAGATCGGAATCTAATACCGCCAGGGGTGGTGTGTTGAAGAGTTGGCAGGGGAGGGAATGGGATATAAATAAAAGAAAGCTCTTTAATCTTTGGAACCGTGGATCTGGTAGAAAAAATAGAATTATCCGATGTGAGTATGAAGCTTCTTTATAAAGGCAACGAAGATTTTCCTGCAAAGTGATGTAATTAACGTTTGGTACGGAGAAATACCAGTTAATGCTAATTCGAGTAAAATCGTTAGTATTCCGCACGAGTGATTTGCTTCGGTGAAGCGCAACCGAGATCACCCCAGCCGGATCCTCGAGCATCCAGGCTCGGTCGGCTCCGATGACAAGTCGTCATTATACTAGACAGGAAAAAAAAAAAAAAAAAAAAAAAAAAAAAAAAAAAAAAAAAAAAAAAAAAAAAAAAAATAAGAGGACCAGGGACCAACAAGGCCAGTGGGGACTTTGGGATGCACGACCGTTAGAAGGTTGAATTCGCAGGGAAAGAAACGGGAAAAGCTGCCAAGAGGCCCCGGCCGAGTCTCGGGGCCGATCGTCCGGCCGTGTCTGGCCTTCGATCGGACATTTTTAGTAGTAGTGACTGACCTTGTTACTTACTTAGTAGGGAGTTCCCGGAATCTCATTTCCTAGTCAACCTCCCAGTGAAACCATGGCGGATGTGATCTTATCCCGACTTTGCCCGTCACTGCCAAACCTGAGGCCATCTTGTTTCCTATTGTGTTCGTGTACTCCGCTTTCCTTTACTGCAGTTTTACTTTACTTTACTTTTCATTACTATCAGGTTAACACACACACACACACACACACACACATTCTTGACCAGGCACGGAGTACATGCACACTTCTGTCAAAAATCCTTAATCATTTGGGATTAGATTGATGATGACGTTTCTTGGAATCGCTTCCTTTCACCCGATTATTTTCTTTTTCTTTCTTTTAGGTCGACCAGTATGTAAACCGAGTGATGTAACGTCCGTTACCCTGATCCCCTCCAATCACATCGCTCCCATTACCAATCCCCTTTCCCTGCGTAATCTTTCCTCAACCACAGGCCGGTAATGGCAGTACTACTACTAGTACGTACAGGACGGACTAATGATACCAATCTGTCAATATTTGACACACGGACCAGTCCCAGGGGATGGGATCGCGCATCCGCTGTGGAGTCAGGGAGGGACCTTCTCTCTCCGACCAATCACCCACGCTGTTTCACTCATCCGAGGAACGTGTCCAATTCTCTTCCTCTTGACACTTGCATCGCCCGTCGGAGAATTTTCTATTTCCCTGGCTTTTTCATGTTGCCATCATGACTCGTGACCAACCTGATGACTTCGGATCGTAGAGGTACCGTTCTACACGTGTTGTCCTTCTACACATTGCCCTTCCAGAAGAGGAAGTATACCCTCGTTACTGCGTCCATTAGCTGCTGATAATTAGGTTTATCGTCGCAATGGTGTGTCTCGCAGCCGTTTCTGATCTGGGACATGTTCCCCCCTCCTCAAGCCCTTAGCCTGAAGACTGCTGGTATCTAGGGTCTCCTCTAAGTATAGTACCCATATCGTTTTTCTTAACTTGACTCGACGACTAGTCTCTCTCGCTCGCTCACACACACACCCTTTCTCCAGTAGCATAGGTCTAGACTAAAGGAGATACCCCGAGTACATGCCACACTAACCAAATGCAGGTAAACGATGACAAGGTGGACCAAAAAAATGCCAATAATTAACCTCCCGTAGTAAAGTTAACCCGCAGACGGTAGTACGCCTCGGCTCCCCGTTCGGTAGCCGGACTGAGAGAGAGGGCTCTAGCTTAGTTTTCCTTTTTTATTTTTTTTTTCCCGTTTTCCCTCTTGTTTTTCTCTTGACCCCCCAAGTGGTGTGATCCGGCATCTCAGCGCTCAACACCCGCTATACTGCCTCATTCGTCATTCGTCAACTTTACAATCCGTCACAAACATTAATGATACCTGTCATTTGAATATGGGTCAGAACTCCCGATGATATCGTCCGAGAATGATATGTTGCTCTCGGGTGAGTGTCAATGAGGGTCAGCTGCCCACGAAAATTTTTCTTTCATTCGGACGAGATGCGTTTCAGTAGGGGGCGGAAACTGGGTGTCCGGATCAACGTGTTGTTGGGTACAGTATTTTTGACTGATGGAGGGGCTCAGCCCTACCCATTCCAGTTACGCCTCCTTGTCTTTTTTCATTTTTTTTTTTCCCTTATTTTTTTTAAAAAAAAGTGTCGTTTTTTTTGGGGAATAGAATAGTGCTGACCTTTGGAATTAGGGCTTTTTTGATGTTTCTATGCACACGTCATGGTTCGCGATGGCTATCTGCCATGATGGGTGACAGACATTATCCCGCCTGTTCACCATGATGTTGTTCTGCACTGGGCAATGACATGCATTTATTGATCGTGGTGACCCAGAAGTCTGGGGAACCGATCTGAGTGGATCGGGACAGCCAATATGCAGCTTTGATCCTGCGACCTGCCGCGGGGTAATCTTCAACCTACTGTCCCAGGTCCAAATCCCGGAACGCAGGTGTCAAGAACACGCGGAACCTCGCGAGGAAGGGGATCAGAGCGATCAGGATGACCTTCGGCAAGGTTTGCACGACGGTCGACGACGGGAGAAATCTTGTTCGCGGGCCAGGTTCCTGGGGCAGGTCCAGGGAGGCTTTGAATATGAGATTGAGTTCCAGAAGCTCTGACCACCAGCGGGGTTTGGGAACTGCACCCTTCCCCGGATCCAGAGTTGAGGTCAGCCGTTTCGCTAGACTAGCTCGGGTGCGCTACTGCTAGATGCCGTGGTTCAGATGCGGCGAGCCGGGTTCAGATCATTTGCCGACGAACCAGCGGTGTGTATCTACAACAGCGTGAAAACATGGCCAACATCGCCAGAAAAAAGGTCCCGGATGATGAGACGAGTGTCCTCCACCACCGACTATCTTTATTTGATGCGTCCGAGGCGTGGTGTCGGGGTTTGCGCCCCTCGGGGGTTCTGTAGGAAAATTTGTAGAGGTGCAAGGTGATGGAACCCCGCGGATGGAATCACATGACATGTACTATATATAAACCCCCCCCCCTTCTTCCCCGTCCACCTATGCTCATCCTTAGTCAGTACAAATCCAAATCAGCCCTAATTAACTTGCATCAACTCCGTGACTCCGTCCTCTCACCTCCCGGGCTAAACCCCGAATAGTTGTCTCGTAGTCCTCCGGCTCTCGTCCCAAGAGCTCCCCCAAAAGCGGCGACACCACCGCCGTCTCCCCGTGCTGGATCGCCTCCCACGCCGTCGCCCACTCCCTTGCCAGGTCAACCCCATGGTACGTATGCTTGTCCCCATGCGTCGACAACGCCGCATATTCACCCGTCGAGATCTCACGAATTCGGACCTCTTTACCCACCGCGCGACCAAGAATCTCCACAGTCTCCCGCAGCGAATACGCCCGCGGGCCCGAGAGCAACAGCACGCGATTCACATAGGGGAAAGAGAGCGAATTCGTGTCCGGGTTCTGAACATACGCGGCGACGAGGTTGGCAGTGGCCTCGCCGAGTTCATCCCGCTTCGCCCACGTGACACCCGGCGGGGAACCATCGTGCGGGATGGTAATTTCATCCACGGGATCCGCCAGGTCAAACCAGGCCGTATAGATTGGGAACGATTCCGAGTAGAGGCCCTCCCGGATGGCCGTGTAGGTGATGTGCCCTTGCGCCTGGAGCTCGGCGAGGTATCGCTCGGTGCGTAGATGGGCGCCCATAACATGGGCTACGCTTGTGTCGGCCAGGTCGCCCCCGAACGCGAGCGAGGAGTAGAAGATGTGTTTTACGCCGCTGCGGCGGGCGCAGTCGATGGCGGCTTGGTGGGCCTGGTAATTTTCACTCGTTAGCGCTTCTTCCTTGAACTTCTAGATATGTGCCATATAAGAATAGATGTAGAGTAAGTAAGTACCTCCACCCGATACTGGATCTCGAACGACGCATACGAGATCAGCATCAGCACGTCTACCCCGTCAAAGACGCGGTCCAGCGTCGAGGGGTCTTCATAATCTGCTCGGCGGACCGTGGCGCCCTGGCGACTTAGTTCAGCGAGGGAATCGGGTTTGCGGGCGATGAGAATTAACTGGTCGGCAGGGACGCGTTGGACGAGGTGGTCGATGATGCTGCTTCCCAGACCGCCGGCGGCGGGGAAGATGCCGATCTTGGGCATTTTGCTTTTGCGTTTTTCCGTTTTTATTCGGGTCGGGTTGGTTTGGTATACTTCGTAGATTGTGTGGCAATTGTTCCAATATGATTTATTCTGTTTGAACTGATTCCAATACCTTTCAATGCCTCTTTGTTCCTTGGGGAAGATATATCATCGTTGTTGATATCACTATGTTCCTAGCGGTTGATTGGTGCTTACAAATGGCCGCAATGTCCGTTAGTTATATCCGTGATGCTTACCAACAGAGGTTGTATTTCTAGGGTGTTCATTGTTCTTGGGTATTCGAATGTATTCTATCTCCTATGATTTGTTGAATATTGGAAGGATTATTGAGTTGCGTAGGCATTTAGGGAAGGGGGGTGTTCTTGTTGGTGTCATGGTTTCACCCCCGTCCGTTTAATATAGATAGCATAACAACAAGATTTAACATTACTAGCTTTGGTGAGAGAAAGTTCTTTAGAAATACTATAAGGCGTCGGTAAATATATAGTTATAACTGTAATACAGTTAAACTTTCAATAGAGAGTCCTCAACTTGGTGTTCTTAGATGTGAATAACGTCCCAGTGTGCCAAATATATATTGTACATACGCGTACAAAATAGCTGCACCGAGAAATCACAGAAAAGGAGTCTGAGTTAGAAAAGATTCATTGAACAAACTGTCTTATTTCTACTCCATAATGATCCCAGGGCATAGGTGAGACCCATAACTATAGGCAAGTATAAAGGTCATTGAGGCCCTACCGGCCCTCTTTTCACCATGTAAACAGTAGGTTTGTGGCGGAGGTGGCGAATTGGTGTATTGATCCAACAACAACAGCATCCGTATTGTTAATGAATATTGAATCAAGAGCAAAACGATGATCTAAATATCTACGGGAAAACAATGAGGGGTCTGCATGAACATTCTCGCACAAAAAAAATGATACCAAGAGATCTTCGGAGAAACAGAGCCTCAATGGCGATATCACGTGGCTTGAATACACCATCCGTTTTATGCTCAATTTCACAAGATGGATAAAAAATATGACATAAATCGCAATCTCCTAGAAAGGTAATTCTATGCGTTGTCCCTTTTCACCCTAGAACAGGAAGAGGGGATAACCTAGCCCTGGTCTATACCGAGGCAGAAAAAGTCTTCAAACCGAATTTGCCTCTAAATTTAGTTTGCGCTTGTCTCCCCTATTCAGTCCGTATGCGACCAACACATGTATCTAATATAATCCCAGTTGACAGAGTAGTGAATACGGAGTAGCCGATATCAGAATTGTGATCTAGAACTGCATCTTCTCCGGCCGAATGGGCAAAGATTCTCGGAAAATCTAGATATGATATTTGAACCCATTTAATTAGTCCAGGGACCGTCTAGTGGGACCGTCATGACGTCGGGAAGGAAGCTCTTATTGGTTTTGCCAATGATTGATCAAGTGGAGAAATTTTACTACTATGGTAAGTAGTGAGTACTAGTCGGTATTTCGGACATACTATTTCTTTCTAGCCCTTCGAAGAGCAATTCAATTAATTCTCCCCTACAGACCGGCATGTGAACTGTGTGCTAGACTATTATGGATAATGGGCGAAAAAGAAATAGAGAATCTGCTTCAAACATAAATTAAAAAAAGGGGAAAAAAAAAAGGCAAACCACAGTATTAGGCAATTGTCTACCAACTGCAACATCCACACCGAACTCATCCGAGACCCCTATCCCTACACATCTCATCCCTGAGCGGAGCCGCCACCTCGCCAAACCGACTGGACAGCTTTAGATGCAACGGACGCAGCGCGCCTCGCAGATCCACCCCTTTCCGATCGTCGGCCGAGTTGTGCTGTGCGCATCACCAACAAACATCATGGAGACATTACAGAGCAACTGCCCCGTTATCGTCGCGCATACGCGATTCAGCATACGCGATTCAACACCCCGGGCACCCTCGTCTGCTGGCGCAGGCCCCCGGAGCCCAAAAGGGCGCGACGTCTGCGCGGCAATGGCGGCGAACCACCCGTTAATGTATCCGTGGAGACGCGCCTGCATCCCAATGAGGAGCCACCGATTGGACTCGAAGTGGAGGACGGGCCCGATCCGATCGCGATCTAGATGATGATTACGGTCCTCAGCATGGCGATGCCAACCAGCGTGGCGACGAAATCTCCGTAGTAGGAAATTGCGCACTGGATTCGGACTGACGGTTTGGAGAGGTGCTGGTGGCCGGGTCGCTGGGAATGGGTCCGGTGAGGAGGCGCTCTCCATGTATAGTTGCCGTTTGTCGCTGGAGTTGCTTTGATGGCCCAGTGCGATTCCAGGTTATCCACCCCGCTTAGCGCAGAGTGATTGGTCCTAGGTGGCCGAATATGTGGGTGTTGGTCTTATGCTTGTCTTGTGTGTTCATTGTTTGACTTAGATTTGCGAGCTCTTGCTTGTCGCTCAGAATCTGGAGCTCTAGCCCAGTGGCTAGGGTCGTCTTATTTGATCCCGAGGAGAGTCCAGATGAGGAGCCCCGCGAGGATGAGGAAGACAACGGCTTCTGAACCTGACGCCCAGACGACGATGTCGAACCAGCGATCGAGTCTTCTGGTCTTGGCGTTCGGGATAGATCCCGTCTCTTTTGAGTGACCGATGACTATTTTCCCAGCCAAATTTGGTGTAGGAGCTACGCCTGGATATGAGGCGTGGTGCCGGGTTTGCGGAGGAGGTCACGAGGCGATTCACGCTGGGCTGTTCTGGTCCTCTGAGTTTCTCTCTCTGTTTTCTTTTTGTGATTCTGATGCGATGAGTATGGGGCCAAAGGGGGAAGAAACCAGTGGGGAACAGTCTATCAAATAGATGGTAACGCACTCGACAGTAAGTATACCAAAGTGCAACTGTCAACTTACAGGAAAGAAATCTTTAGTCGTTCGTCACACGGGTATCTCAAGTCAACTATACCCTGATACAGCGTGTCATGTGGTGGACGAGGCTCTTAAAGCGCCGGCAGAGAACCATCTGGTCTGCGGTTACGGCATACCAGCACAACGATAATCAAACGTAGAGTTAGGACGAGTTAAATTACTGATGTAAATCACCGAGCTAAATTACTGATGAAGATCTAGAGACATTGGAGGTAGGTTTATATTAGAAATGTGAGATATTCAAAGACCAAGGTGGGTATGGAGCAGGTAGGTGAAGGAGGAAAATATCCCTTTTTTAATATACAGAGAGAGTTTCAAACTGTACGTGGCTGATATGTGCGAGTTAAATTTTCTGATGGAGAATCCCCTGGTGGGCATTCAGATTATCATGGACGACACTCATTGCTCCATCACAGCCAATGTCTCTCCCCCTGAATAAAAAACCTCCTCTCCGTCCTACCTGTTCGCCTCAAAGCTATCTAACAGGACTACCTTCGCGCTTGATTCTTCACCCCGTCACTGCACCAGCTGCCAGACCCTCGCTTTTGTAAATGAGCGCGGCCAGTAAGAGATATGTATTCTCTCACTAGCCCGCTCAATGACCAGTTCGTAGTACGCAGATAGAGAGTCATAACATTTACTTACCCGCGATGTAGACACAATGTGATCTCCATCCTTCAATCCAGCAAGAGCAGCCCTTGAGCCGGGGACAACACCAGAAATAATGCGTGTACTGTTGCTCGACTTGTCGTAGCCAATCTCTAGGACCTCCTGCATTGACCAAGACAGAGACCAGTCCTTGTTTGTCACCAACACATCACGCATATCAAGCACTTTGCCTCTCAGCATACTCTGGAAATCCCCAGCAATATCTGTGTTCTCTCCTAGGATTGGACGCAGATACTCCAGCCAGTCTCTCGCTCGAACCTGTCTCCCGCGATGCCAGCGTTTAGCCAATTCGACAAGTATGTCGTCTAACGGACTGTTCTGGTCGATTCCAAAACGACCAGTGACTTTCCTCAGATGGCTATCAATCTGCAGAAGATAGACACAGCCACGCATGTATGGAATCCGTTCTGCATACCAGTCATTGTAGAACTCGTGTTGGGCATCGGTTGCGTCCATCTCAATTCGCGGGCTTGTTCCGTATTCGTGCAAGACTGCATTCAGTCTGCTTTGCAGATACTCCACCCCACGAAGACCGAACCGATAAGGAAGGAATATAGAGTAAAATTCCGCGATGCCTAAGCCTCATCAGCCGTGCGCTTTATCACAATCCACAATCATAGGAAATCAACTTACCTTCAATAAACCACCCGTTATCGTACCCATCAATCTCCGGATCCATAAAAGAGAAGCTATGTATCATCTCATGAGAAAGGAGACAGATCATGTCCTCATCCGTCTCCTCCGAAACCGTCTTATCGTATTCAAGCATATAGCTCTCCAGACACGAGCTTCCCCCAAAGCCTCTAATAACTTTCCGAATAAAGACCCGGTACGAAGCATCCTCCCTCTGAAAAAAGCTAGCTAACTTCGGAAACAACAAAACATTATACTCATTCAACCGCTGCAGATTATCCGGCAGCTCTCCAAACCAATAGATATTCGCACCAGAATAAGCACCAGACAAAACACCCGAATTGAGATAACTCTTCACCGGCCCAACCATAAAGATCGAATCCGTTACGACATTCGGGTTCCCGTCCTTGGTTACAGGCCCAGGACCCTCACCGTACGACCACACAGCGCGCGTTCCCTCTGGCGCCTGTGCGAGATCCCACTCAACGATATTGTGATACTCACGATCGACTGCCGGTCGGGGCAGGAACCATCTTCCGCCGGCGCAGAGGCCGCCTTGATCACGACGCATGTCGACGCGTGGGCCCATTGGAGTCGTTATGTCTACTTCTCGGGGGAAGACGTTGAATTGCAAGGTGACGTCTCCGGAGGTGTTGCGGTCCACGCGCCATTCTTGGTCTGGGGAGTCAGATTTTGGGGTAAAGGAGATTTGGAGAGGACCAGCTGCGTCGTGGGCTTGTATGGCGTTCTCGGTGAATGGGTGCGCGGGGACATTTCCGTATTTTGTCTCGAATATGAAAAGGGGCTGGTGGGCTAAGCAGTTTGGGCTGGAGAGGGCTTGGTCTATGAATAGGTGATGTGCGCCTTGAGCGTCAAAATGGGGGGTGATTGTTATTCTGAGGGTGTGGGAGTCCTCAGCTGCCGGGGTTTTGATAAAGTAGTTCATTTTGGGAGTATACTGTGGGCTTCAAGCTAGAAGTTCTTTGGAGGCTGGAATGTAAAGTGTCGCGGACAGGGGATTTAGGGAAGATAACAATGGAAGGAAATAGATTGAGCGACTCTTAGGGTATACTCGTACTATGTTTAGACCTTAGTCTACGGAGTGATCATCCTTCCCAATTGACCGCGGCGTTCCTTAGGTGTTTTGGTGGCGCAGGATTGACATCCATGGCACAATGTTTAAGTAGGTTACATTTCCAATATAGAGAAATTGGATCTAGGGGCCATAGAGTCATTCGAATCTACTTCCACCTGACGCTAAACACGCTAATACGCGCTATATGGAGGGGAACCTTGCCGCGTCGGCCGTTCTGTACCGGCGCATGGATCCTGCTGTGCGCTAAATAATGAGGGGTTGCTTGCCTTTAGTACTAGATGTTCTTATCTGGTTCGTACAAGCTAACTAGGGCTGTAGCCTTGACATGTAAGGACAAAGAACTCTACATACAGGGTCTGATATTCACCAATCATCGGGTAATCATGTTTTCTGGTGTGTGACTCTTTTTCCCGTCTCGGGTGACTTCACCACGCATTAAGATGACTAAATGTTCATTATATGAGGTTCTATCTGGATTCCACAATACTTGGCCAATTCGAGCATCTAGTAGTTTGTCTTTATTGCACGTCCATGGGTCTTGGTACATACGTATTTCCAATCTGAGAAGAACTGTACAGATCTCAATCCATCATTATTAACGTCACTTCTAACATGGGTGTAGTTAATGAGGGGAGCCACCTTCCCCGTCTCCATATTAAGAGGGTCGCAAGTCTCCTAGAGCAAGGCCTGACCGGATTGGAAGTTAAACAGGATTGATATATGGTGTTAGAGCCTATGGGAGCCTAAGGCAGCAACCACGTGACCTGACCACAACACCAAGGAATCTCTGTATGATAGATTTAGACCTTAAGACAATCAATCCCATTACACGTGAGCTACACCAGCTCCATCATACGGTAAATCGCATCACACAACAGCCCGTTCGTATACTGCGAAAGGCATACAAATATAGATACGTGAAACGGATAAGCGTGAAATTCGAACAGCGCCTACACATAAAGCATATCTTTCGAACTTACTCGACCTTAGAGCACCTGTGCTGGCCCCAAAGAACCACAAAAACCCAACAGATATCACACCTCCACTTCAAACCAAATCCAAACAATCTTAACTTCATTACCTATCTACATTCAAAAAAAAGATATTATTTCGGAACATGCGCCACAACCTCAATCTCAACCCTCATATCATCCTCCCCCAACCTCGTAACTCCCACACAAGTCCATATCGGCTCATGATCCGGCACCCACTTCCTAAAATTCCTGACCATCGCCACCAGCGCCTCATTATTAATCGGCACATGATATGAATTCACCCGATAAACCTGCTCCCAGCCCTTCCCGCCGGCCGCCTTGAGCGCAAGATCCACGTTCGCAAACGCCTGGTCAATCTGTGCATTGATTTCTTTGTAGAATACGCCCGTGTTGGGGTCCCAGCCGCCTTTTGTTTGCATTAGTATGTTATATTGAACTAAGAGGGATAGAAAGGAGGATTAGTCAGGCGGGCGAACCTTGACCGGAACATTCGATGCGGTCGTTTATGCGGACGGCTTGGCTGTATTTGAAGTTTTGGCGGTTGCGTTCGCCAACGCCGGGGTAGTCGTAGTAGGTTAGGTGGGACATTTTGGGGGTTGCCAAATTGTGTTTTTGTGGTTTGGGTGGTTGAGGGGGGTTCTTTTATATTGGGCTTTTCGGGCGGAATATGTATTCCGCTATGAGGTCATGACCCAGTGCGGTGGAACTTTGTGGATGGATGGGATGCCATATATGACAAATCGAGATCTGGGCGTTGTTTTAGAAGAGATTCATGTTTATTTTGGGTGGGAGTTCATATTGGTAGGTTTTTGGGTTGTTGCGATAAATTCCCCATACAGTAGGGGGTGCAAACAGATCATGGACAGGATTAACAAATGATCACCCTACCACATGCGGCCCCAATTGATTTGGTTCAAGATATCGAAGAATCCATAATCGACTGGGAGTGAACCTATTGGGACGGAGAATTCTAGTTGGTTGGCTAGTGCGTTCCTCGGGTTCACACTTGGATTTGATTCGGATTCGTCGATGACGTTGGGTAGCTCGGCACCCATGTCGAGCGGGGGACTGGGGCTCGCTTCGAACGGATATAAGCCATTCTCTAGAGAGAATGACTCGTCTGATATTTCAGACCGACAGAGCTTCCGCAGATTGTGCCCGATGTGTCCTGCCGGATACCATGATTTAGATAGCTCATCGAGCACTGTTAGACACAAGGCCAGTTTGTGCTTGTGAGAAGGAGCATTGAGATTCTCAGTTTCGTCGAGAAGAACCAACGCTGCGGATAGGGTACAGTGCGTTGCGGTGATTGGGCTTCGATGGTATCCGCCGAAGTTGTGGCGGTATTTCTGGGCGACAAGACAGATTAAGCGTGCAGATTCGCGACAGATGGAATGGGCTAGCTCTGTGGTTTCGTCCTTCGTCTTTGACGGTATGGTTCCTTTCATGATGAACGGCTTTGCGAGGAGGATTCTTGCTGTGTGGTACACCATGTGCAAGGTGTAGGCTTGAGGGATCTCGTTGGCACGATCGACCCTTAGCTCTTTGGGGAGGTCATAGAACCAGGATCTTAAGTCTAGGAGGCAGGATTTGAGGAAGGCGGGTCGTTGGTAGTCTTTAAGAAGGGGTTTGGGCGCCCATCTGGATTTGTTAGTTGCGCTGTGAAGGCGAGCGCCCGGGAAGTACATACAGTGATAATGTGATCCTTTCTTGTATGCGACAGACACTAATCATGGCTCTTTGCAGTAGTCTGAATGCTTTTTGCGTAGGACTAATTTCTGTATCGATCACTGGGTCATCGTCTGGCATCTTGACAGCACCTTGCGAGTCCTGGCACGGTCAGCACACTTTCAAGGCCATCTACCACCTAGCAGGGACTTACAAGCATGGAACAAATCCGTCCCGTATAGCTAGATGACAGTTTGTCATGACAATACAGAGTCCAGTATATCTGTCTCCTGAGCTGGATTTCCCGTTGAGGCAATGTATTCGCCTCTTCAAATCCGGCCGGGTCTAGGTTTAACCCCATATCAAGACTCAACCGGTTTGCCATGCCGTGGTGCAGCCAGCCTGCAGCGTCAGCACCCATCGCCTGTTCCCCATTAGTATGTACTAATACCTGACAGGAGTCCTGCATCTTACGATGTACACCATTCCAATAAGACCCAACGCCTGGATTGTAGTCAAACTGGGACTCTCCATCTCTCTGTGAAGTTGGGGTTTCGCTTCTTCAAGAAACATTTTCCCCGCTGTATTAGGATCATCAGGATCCAGTCGCACATCTACGCGGTCGGAATACCGCGATCCCAAAGCAAGGATGCAATTGTGCAACAGCGGAGTCCAGTATCGTCCGCCACTATTCATGCTTTCCCGGAAGAGATCCTCGTCCACAATAGCATACCATGGTTGCTCCCACTTGAAGTACAAGTCGATCAAGTGGTTCTGTACATCCTTTGGGACCCCAAGCCCGGCCGTGACCGGGTCGATAGGATCGATATACCCAAAGCTATCGGATACTTGGTCCGGCGGGGAGACCGAAAAGGAGGATCCATTGACACTAACGCCATTGCTGGAGGTCGAGGACTGAAACTGAAGGCGTCCGCTAGTGGGCCCGAAATACCGCATCTCACCGTCTTGGTCAAAATTCAACGACTCATCCAGAGCAAGTCTGCCTTTGAAACCTTCGGCAAGGTCGTCTATATCGGATGAAATGTCGTCTGGTTGTATGCTGCCATTTACTTTTCTATTCAATGGCTGCTGGACTGGTGTAGGCGGTTCCCTCGCATCGATACCATGTCGTTCCAGCAGCCTTTCTAACGATTCTATCCTCTGCCGTAGAAGAAGCACGTACGTTTTAGAAGCCGGTCTTCGACCGTCCTCTGCCACAGAATACTGGCATGGAATGTGCCATTGTAAGCATCTGGAGCAACCGGGTTTCTTTCCGTCGCACTGATGGGTTTGTTAGTATTACAAATCATAGCCCATTGATGTTCGTCCCCTTGTTGGTTTATATGTATCACTTGAACTGACCTTCGCTCGACGACGTCGACATTCTTCACATGCTCTAGCGGTGTATTTACCGCGCTGATTACTGGCATTTCTACGTGAGTCGGAGGCCATGGTGGTGATGTGAGAAGTAGAGAGATCGAGGCAATTGACTGGTGATCGGTGTAGGTGGGACGAAAGACGTCAAGGTCTTGGCGATGGTGGATCGATCCACTTGGATATATGGATCTGGTTTCTGGCCACAAGACATTGTTCGGTTATGTCACACTTTCAAGTCTTGGAGACTTAAGAATATTAGCCATATAACATATATAAGTGACATAATGAGTTATTGTTAAGACTACCGGGCTCAGCATTCAGAGCTTAGGGCTCGCCAGTGCATATCGAGTTGCTCATACTCGAGAAAATCTCTTGATCTCAATCACCGCTTTAGGTTCTTCTAGACTTTATATTCAACAAAATTCAGAGCCTCCACTTCCGTTCCCGGAAGAAGCTTGGATCTAGACTTTCAGAGACCGGGGCCCCGTTCTAGAGATCCATCGGCCCGTTTCCGACACGCCGAGTACCGAACCCACATCGACAGGCTGAAGTGTGCTATTGTAGATCCAACCCTATTGTGAAAATTCCATATATATAGATAGATAGATAGCTTTTACCCAAGATATGCATTGATATAATCGACTTAAAAGTAGAAAGAGTATACACTACAGAGACTCGTCGAAGCTAACTTGGGTATTGCTAATCATCTGCGAGTTGCCTTAGCACACCGTGCTATTGCCGGGAAAGTTTCAATTCTGGAATATCAAGCTCTAGTCCGAGGCCATTAAATGAAATATTGCTTACGGAGGCCTCCTTCGCCGATGATGTGGTTAGTTTATGAAAAGCATAAGTTCTCGAAGCGCTTAGGACGATTCCATTCGTCGGTCTAACCAAATAAGTCTTATCTTCATTCATCCAGTAAAGGTACTATATTTTTGGGCACTGCTTATGTATTAGTTATTATACGATCAATGAAAGTATACCAAGGGGTAATACTTAAGGAAAATTCTAGTGTTGTTGGCATCGGCCAACAAAGGAAGCCGCCCATTGGACCTGTGAACTTTGTCAGTATATAATAATAATAATGAAAGGAGTTCTCGGTGACTTACCAACACACCCTATTAAGTATTTCTGATACTTTAGGCTCATGATGGCAGGCATTGCGAGCATCGTCAAGGAAGATTCGATGAAATAAATGACAGCAGAAGGACCAGCGAAGCAGCGGCAAGTGCGGCGGTGGCCAGACGGGATAGAGGAAAGACAGAAAGGGGAGGAGGAGGCTAAGGGCAGGGAGGAGTAACTTGGGGATGTCAGTGCTCGCGCGGCATCTTCTGCTTCTACGGGCATAACGGCCCCCTTGCAGGCAGTAGATTCCATAAATAAACTCATCCTAGGAGGGCGCAACGCTTCATCCCTCTTAGGCTCTGGAGAGCATGGGTTCAAGGAGGACTATTGGCGAGCTTGGGGTTTCTCCAGCTTGAACAAGCAAATCCTGACGTATCATCTGTTGGTTCTGGTTAGGGCAGATCATACCTGGATAGAAGAATCCTAAGCCGTGGCTTGCATCATCAACGACGATTGCTAAACTAGGCATACTAAGACACCGGGAGTGAGCCGCCTCTTCCCCGATTAAAAGGATTAGCATGCCCTAAGGGCACATTGGTCTGCGCTACATCCGGCGATACGCTCTAGCAGCTCGTCTGTCGCTGAGTGGACTATGAGGGCGTGTCGATCCCCGTCGCCGAGGCACACCGACTACATACGGTCAGTCAGCTGTATCCTATCCTTTTGACCTGGAGGCGAACGGCAGATCCGGGTGCAGGGTCTTGACGTGCGCTCTTCGCTGGCGCACATGATTCCAGCAAATAAGAGTAAGCCAAAAGAAAAGCTAACCAATAGAAATTTGTTTATTCTGCGATTTTACTCGTCAGCTAATCAGATCACATCATCATCAATACGAAATGACGCAGATGCACCGCGCCTCGCGCTCTCGAAACCCGCATGTCGACCGGCACGCCCCTTGCCCACCCACGAGGCCGTGGAGAACGGCATGCCGGTCGATATGGAGCCTTCAAAGGGCACTCGTCTGGCCGTCGAGGCGGTTGGAGGCACGGGCGGGAATCCAGATGGTGATCCGCCACTAACGTAGAACCGACGGGGACCTAAGACGAAACCATTAGCGAACCACCCTAGTACATAAAAGTAGCATATGGGGCTACTTACCAGAAAGCACAGATGGTGGCCATCCTGACGTAGGCGCATTCCCGCTGCAGTTCAAGCACTTCCATGAACGACCCCTGCCGACGAGGATCGGTCGATGCTGGCTTACTAGTCAGCTTCATCCGTTTTGCCATTTGGATACTCGAAAACCCAGTTCTCTAGATCGCGTAACAATTGCCGGATCGGAGCACAAAGTAAGGCCGACTAGTTCCCCTTGCGCTGTACCATATCTAGTAGGAGCATAGCAGCCCGGCTGTCTAACAGAGGCCGCTAATAAAGCTATAATATACTATGTGCCAGTCAATTTGACGCGATTGGGCAGCCAGCCTCGATGAACTGGATACTAGATCTTGGTTACGATAGGCTAATATTGTCCCTGATGCAGACTCCGGGGCGGCGTATCGGCAGTACTCACGGAAGGATCTCTCCATTGTACTCTAGTTGCCGAGCAACATGGTGTTTCATATTAGTCGTCCAAATCTCCATCCAGCTCAGGCGAGCGTGGAGATAGAAGGCCACTATAGCTGGGCATTGTATCGCGGATAGACAGAGTAAGATAAATAATAAAGCAACAAGAACTTTTCAGACGCTTGACAAGGGATACGGGTCAAAACAAATCCAATAATAAAGAAGTGCCTAGAAAACAAAAGAGGAAAGATAGGAGAACGAGTGGTGAGGAAGGAATCATAAACAAGCGCTCGAGGAAAGGAAAGCTACGAGAGGTGGTTGGTAAAAGGGTAAGAGATAAAGAAGTGTGAGGTGAAGAAGTGAGAGGTAGCGATAAACAGTAACGTATTACTTGCCGAGCTTATACGACCTTCCTTGGTAAAGTACCGAAGTATGTTTGTACTTCATACCTGGAGGAGGGTGGGGTGTGGAACGAGAGGACATCTCTATTCTGCTCGGGAGTCAGCTGTTCGTGCGTTAACTATATGTGGGATATATAAGATATCTAGCCCTTACCGTGACCACTTCTCGAGGCTTCCGGCTTTTTCAGTGACGATAACACCGAGAAGCCAAATGCGCACGCCAAGAATACAATACTAACATAGATCCCTGGGCAAAGAAGGTTCCACGGATTCAGACTCGCCAGAAAGGTCCTGTGGCAATGGCCCCGTCTGAAAGTTTGAGTGTTTTGTCTCGACAGTGGTGATTCCGTGAAATACGTCGATAGAAAAAGGAGGATAGAGCTAAACAAAGTCGCCCTCAGGCCAAGTAAATACAAGGTCAGACCATTCGAGAAGCTCTGCCACTGTGAACACCATGCCATGCTCTAATGGAGCGTTAGGAGCTCGGTCAAAAACCTTCTCGAACTCCACTATCAGAGGAGCTCTCTGAATAGTGGAAGGTTTAATCCCCTGATCCAAGTTAATAGCTGTAACTATTTTTTAGCTAGTATACAACAGACTTCGAGTAAGTAACTCTGCCCACCTACAAGGGAAAGTATTTTTTGACCCTTCTCTTGGAGATATAGGGTAGTTAAAGAGTTCACTGCACTAAGTAAAGAAATGTGGTGGGATTTCTGCCGTCTGTCTGGTTGCAAGGCAAGATCTATCGACGCATGTGTCAAAGATAGGTTTTGCCACTAAATTGTCACCTGGACGGCCTGAGTAATGGCTCATATGATTGTCCCTTTGCTCATTTCTCTATATCTCTTGCGAACTTTGTGTCAATGTCCGTTTAGTTTCGGCAGAAGTTACCACTAAGGCCCAGGGCCCTGTATCAAGATCTTGACCAAAGTAACCAATACATGGGGGGACAGGACAATGTTCGATTAGCAAGGATAGACAGAGAGTTTGTAGATACACAATCTAGGAGCAAGAGTTCAGGCGGTAGAGAAGAATGAACTTTAGGTAGAGGACGTGAGGTTGGGCCACGAAAGGAGAGGACCGTTGTAAGTGTCTCTTACGTTTAGTTAATACAAGAATTGTACCACCGGACGGTGAATTCCATAGATTATATCCATCTACCATCGGAATGTGAGTTAAATATAGATTGAATATATACAGAAATGCAGGCCTTTGCCTAGGGAATAGCTCTCAGGTACGGAATTATATTCCGAGGGTTTGAATTGAGTCCGAAGGCGCAAAAAGACCCACCAGGTGAAGACAAATGACCCCAGGATCTAGATTTTCACCGATTCGTAATCTGACCTTGGACAGTCGGATTTAAAGAACGGGTATTGCGGTGCAACTGTGCAAATTAGTCGTGATTCCGCGCTTTCTGTCGTATTTTGTGGACCCACTCCGACAAACTCCCGAAAACGGAATTAGCACTTCTGGAAGTGCGATACTATTAATGCCGTCAAAGGCGCCCCCTCCCCCCCCAAGATTAAATCCTCACGGTGGTAACACGCGCTATAATGGACCGTGTCCTTTTTGAATATACCTAGGGCTGAGGCGAAATCTGTCAAACTCTCGGATGTCCTTGACTGGACGAAGAATTAAATTAGAAGAATGTTTCTGGAAACGGCGCAAGGTCTTCACGACACGCTGAGGGCTTCAACAATAGCCTACAGCGCTATGGTTGTACTCTTCGTACTAAGCCTGATCTTCGTACTCGTCGTGCAAAATGGAGGCGCTTCAACAACCCGAAGGAAGCTCAAACACCTGCGCCAACAGGGCCTGTCGACCAGCAACATGGCAGACCAATATGACTCCCAATACGACGCACCAGAAGGTACCGTAACGGACGGACCCATACGAATCAAAGCGATAAACATCCACCCTATCAAGTCATGCGGACCTATCGAGCTCCATCGAGCCTTGCTCACCAAGACCGGCTTCATGTACGACAGATGCTTCGCTCTGGCAACGGAAATGGGCAAGAACAACGCTGCGATGGAGACAAAATGGCGATTCATCAGCCAGCGCACCAAGCCCGGCATGTCCCAGATCAGGCCAGAATTATGGCTTCCGCATAAAGAGAGCGATTCGCACGACCCGCTGGTCCAGGCCGGCGGATGTTTGCTAGTGAAATTCCCGGATCCTGACACGTCCAGCTGGGTCAATCGGCTCGAGGCTTTTTTTCACGCGGGGAGTCCGTTCGCGAAGCCGGAGGTATCCTGCATTGTACCGCTTGAACCCACGCCCGCCATGATCGACGAGTTCAAAATTCAGTTGAAAACATTCGGCATCCACTCCCGCGACGCAAAGGGCCTCGATATGGGCGCTATCCCTTCCGTTGCGGCGGCGTTGCCCAAATTGAAAAGATATCTGCGGATTGCAGATGATCAAGACCTCACGCTCTTGAGGTGTACACCGGATACTCTCACCCTTACGGATAAAAACCTGGCGCCACTCGAACACATCGGTACGCCGTCTGTGCACGGCTATACGGATCAGCAGCCGATCAATATCAACAGTCTGTCTTCGGTGCACGCCGCATCGGCACTTCTTCCACCGGAGAATCAGCCTCTCAATGCACTCCGTTTCCGTGCCAATATATGGATCACAGGTGCCCCTGCGTTCGAGGAGGAAAATTGGAAACGATACCGTATTTTGCCCAAGGGCACTAGCATAGAACCACGTGCTGATGTAGCCCCGACTGTTTCTGTTGTCTGTCGGACGTCGAGATGTACGATGCCTAACGTGAACCCGGAGACCGGGATACCCAGCACAGATAACCCAGCCCAAGACAAGAAGCGAGGTAAACCACAGCCAAGTACGACGTTAATCCAGCACCGTACGGTCGAAGACGGGAATAAGAGTGCGCTTGGCTATATAGGCATGCATTGTGTGCCTGAGGATCGATGTTTGAAAAAGGCCGCGGAGCAAAACGCGGGATTGTATGTCGCCGTTGGCGATGAGATTGAGGTCCTAGAACGAGGAGTACATCTATATGGGTCCACGGGTAATGACTACTAGAACTCTGTTATATAAAGATTACGAGACGATACAATAGATGTAGATTTTACGACTGATGTATTAACAAGCTCCGTCTTTGTTCTCGATATCTGGAGCGCCGACCCATACGGGGTAATGAAGTATTGCATTAAAAAACCGTGGGGAAGATTCTAATATCGCCGAGTGCTAATCTAGCGGCACAATGTACAAGAAGCAAATAGGGACACCCCCGACCCGACTCTGCGGCTACTCATTTCGTTTCTCCTCTTTCATTTCATCCCCCGATGCGGCGGAATCGGTTGTGCTTGGGGGCGCGTCGATCGTCATCTTTGGGCCTGTGTACCATTTTCTCGCGAAAAGGACGTAGTATGTCATCGAGGCGATCCAGACGAAGCCGTTGATGACAATTGTATAGTTCATATCCTTGGCTACAAGGGTCTTGTTAGTGTCCCGTCTGTCATTCACATTGGTAGGAGGAAACAAAGCAACATACCACTCGGATTTGGTCCCGTGCTAGGGAACATGGACAGGATTAATCCGAAGACCAACCAAACGACAGCAACGGTCGCAATGGGACGACTGAGTACACCGGTGTAGAATTCTCCCGGTCGGAAGCGCGCCTTGCCCCAGATCAATCGGCAGAGGATGGGTATGCCCCAGGCGACGTAGTTAGAAGCAACGAATAAGGAGAAGAGCGCGTTCGCGGCGACCGAATTGATTAGGCACAGTAGGCCGAAGATGATGGATATGACGACCAGGCCACAGATGGCACGCACGGGCTGGTAGCGGACGCGCTTGCTGACATGGCGGAAGTAACTTGAGAAGGGGAGGGCTCCGTCGCGGGAGAAGGCCCAGGCCTGGCGGGAGGCGGCGACGATCTGTCTCATGCCATAGACATTAGTTTTGGACTTTTGAATGGTGCTGGTCAAGTTCCAGGAGAGCGACGTACCAGACTGAGACCGATGAGGAATTGAATGACGATCAGCACGCCCATGAAGCCAAGAGCACCTCGCTTGCCCAGTGCGTCAAAGTAAATCTGTTGATTCCGTGAGTCACGTCCATGCGAATGAAATGGGGACAATATGCGAAGCCCTACCTGTGCCATCGGTTGGCCATAAACCGAACTCAATGTCGCGCTGACGTCGGGATTCATACAGGCTGCGATGATCGATAGAACCAGGAAGCCCAACACACACGCACAGCCCGCGGACCAGATGATTCCTAAGGGGACGGCCTTCGCAGCGTGCAGTGCCTCCTCGCTCATATGTACACATGAATCAAAGAACCCAATGGACCAGATAGGGGCCAAGAAGGAGAGGACAAACGTCCACCCGGTCGGCCAAGTGGTAAGATTATCGACGTGGCCATAGACAAATGATCCCGAATTGAGCGATCCGCCGCGTGTGACCTTGCCGACAGGAAGAGCGACAACGGTCGCGACGATGATGGCGATATTGATGAAGATGCAGAAGTTTTGGATCTTGGGCATAATCTGGTTGGTAAAGATAGCGCAGAGGGCATGGATGAGGATGAGGCCGACGTAGACGCCGTAGATGATACCGTTCGAGGCCGACCAGTCCCCATCACGCGTGATAGAGACACAGGCAAGGATCATCAGTGATAGTGTGTCTGTTCATTAGCCTGGTGCCTGTGCGACAAGGGAGGGTTGCCCATCCTTACAATCCACCGAGCATATTCCTCCAATCAACCCCAATGTATTGCTGTATCCGACCAGGAAGCTCAACACTTTCTTGTACTTGTCGCCGGCGAAGTAATGCGTCCACCAATAGAGACCTCCGGCAGTGGGCATCGCGGACGCCATATCAGCCTGTCATCATTAGTGCGTTGTTGCGATCGATGTTTTGTATCCGGGGGGAATTCTACCATCGCAAGGCCGACAGTGAAGATCAAGATACTCGCGGTGAACCAGCCCTACATCATTAGCGCCCAGCCAGCCTGATATAAGGAATACAGATTAGGGAAGAACAAACCCAAATCATACCCGCAGGCCCAGCAGGCAACGAAAACGCGATCGTCGAGGCGATTGACGGGACCAAACCCATGATACTGAACGCGACGGCGAAAATCTGCACGGTAGAATATTGTCGCCGCAGTTCCTGTTTGTAACCCATTTTCGCTGGGCAAGTTAGCGATAACAGGCCTACTTTTTGCCGTGTGCCATCGCATAGGATGTCGCTAGAAGGAAACACCCACCCAGTAACTCCAGATCTCCGGGATCCGCCAGACCGGCTTCACGAGCCTCGACAGCCGGTTGTGATTCCATCTTAGCCATGCTGCTCCCTTGACGGTGTGTATCGCGTCCAAAAGGGAGGGCTTCCGTGTGCAGAAATACACTGCTACCGCAGTTTCTGTTGTTGTCCGAGTCAAAAGACAGCCGCTGCGGAAGGCGTGGGGTCTTAAGGAATATGCATGGGAAAGCCAGGGAACAGGATCGCAGACTATTCAAGTGGATTCGTGGATACTCCGAAGTTTAAGCTGCGCCTGAAATGGGAACTATACCCCTATCGGCGTCGAGAATGTTGCAATACAGTGGAGTAGCGAACGGGTCGCCTCTCAATGGGGTAAGGATGGACATCTCTGGACCATCCAGTGCCAGTATCGGTTGGAATAAATCCCCCTTATTCAGCGACGCGACGGTCAGGGAATTGCAATTCCTTTGACCTTTTCCGCTCCGGACAAGCAGCCAAACCTTGCAAGCCGTATAACTATTACATGGGTAGCCAATAAGTTCGGGGATGCTCCACATGGCACCCAGACGTGGGTCTGTCGATCCGAGAAGTCAAGGAGTCTGGATTCTTATGCAACACTGTGACGAAAATCACCACGATGAGGTGGATTCCTCTAGTCTCCTCCGTAATCGGTTATTCTTACCTCCATCATAGGAGACATATCTATGGATAGACCACCGGGGAAGAAGATAATGGGTTTGCCGCGATCCTATACGATAGAAGGGGCGGAGTTAGGGTTCCGATGGCTCCCTGAGTTCCGCTAACTAATGCACCAATAATCAACTTAATACGAGTGATCGCAATTTCACTACGGATCAAGTCAAACCACAATGCCCTTGTCCGAGAGAGGATAGGACAAAGACTCCTTACGTCGACATTTTAACGTACAGGGATACTTGCAAGAGTTGCGCGTTCCCCCATGTCGATAGGGTTCGAACGGAATAGAATGACACATATTATTTAGTGAGTGTCACGCAACGGTAGAAAAATTGTGTCACACTTCCTGTTAGCATTCAAGAAGATCTTGGACATGATGGAAGGATTCCAACTTATGTCTCAAATCCATTTCATCTCAATAATGGACCTTTTGATCTGATTTGATGAGGTCCTTGTAAGTGGCTATCTGATTCGAGACTAATCCGAAATGGATACACGGAACGCCCAAAAGGGATTAGTACATGAAACGTGATCGCATTGACTCCCGAAGCCCCTTCTCCATCCTCTCCATCAAACACTACTTGCAGTCCCCACGCTATCAAACAGACATTAATCCTTACTTAATATGAATGTGATGAATACATGCCGAGAACTGGAATGGTCATAAGTTCCCCCATGTTGCACCGACTACGTTTTTAATCCATCATACGAGACACACCCGAGTACAGCCATTTCCAAGGATCATGGCGCCGGTTGTAAGGTTTGTGGCGTGTCGAAACCCAGATAAGGCCCCAGCATCTAGCCACTAAACCTGCTCCGCTCCATTGACCTGTTGTGGCTGCACTCCATGGCTAGTAGTCGGCGAGTGCGCCCGGTCCAATGTGGTCGTGTCGGAGAGTTGGGCCGACGCCCGATTCTGAGATCCATCCCACGATCCTGCTCCATTCTTGGCTTCCCACTCATTGAAGTCTTGTCCTGGATTAACGGTCTGGTATTCTAGCATCTTCAGGACTCCGAAGAAACCGCACGCTAGCAATGATCCTAGCAATGGCCCGACCCAATAGATCCAATGATAGCCCGGGAAGCTGCGGTTGATGACGTCTGGACCGAGGGAGCGAGCGGGATTGAGGGAGCCGCCGGTATAGTAGTCGCCTACGTCACTCAGCATTGGGGATATATCATTGCACTACACGCGGCAGACGTACCGATCATTTCAGTGACGAAGAAAACCATACCAATGCCCACCGGGGCCAGAAAGGTGGATTTATGCTTCACCACCGCTAGCATGATGATCACAAATACTAGTTGCGCAGTGAGGAACATCTCGATGAATAGCCCCTGGGATATGGAGGCACCCCCTCCCAGACGGGTTCCTACGTTCAAGTCTCCCGGGAACAGTGCGCTGACCACCCCGGCCGACGCAATGCCGCCCACGATCTGAGCTGCGAAGACCAGGACTCCACGAACGGGGGACAGGCCTCCCACGAGGCATAGCGCCAGCGTGACCTATAACCGTTAGTCTCGAAACAAGGGGGGGGGGGTGGATACACAACGTTACCGCTGGATTGAAGAGGCCCCCGGTCACTCGGTAAAAGGCCCAGACGTTGACCATCAAGGAAAACCCGAATGACAAGGACGAATATAGCAAATTCGATGTATTTGGCGGAGCACCATCGACCGGCTTGGGGGTATTGGATACCTGGGTGCCTGCAAACGAAAAGAATAAGAACAGGAAGGTCCCGACGAACTCTCCTATCACGGCAATGACATTGTTCCGCACAGTGTCTTTCAGTTGCAACATAGGCAGCTGCCTTCGAGTGGACCGGTACACCGGGGTGTCAGTGCGATCGGCGCGATCGGCGCGAGCTCCCCGCGAAAACTTCATCTTGCTGTGTGGACTTTCCGGTCCGGCTCGATCGTCAATCAACACGATTGTCACCGCCGACCAGCTTCTGCCAGACGCTCTTGATTATATAACTACTGACCACCCCCCGCTGACCGTGCAACCAGATTTTGTACTCCGGTGCAGCTTCGTGTCTGGGTGCAAGGTAGACGTCATGACTTCAGCTGATTCTTTTGACGACGAAGACTGAACTTTGATTAGCCCGGGTTGGCCCCAGACGCAGCGATTTCCCAGTAATTGGAGGCAAGCCGCAAGAGATATTTCCATGGCTATCGCCCGCCAACCCGACCTGATCGAGAGCTTTTATGGTAGGGATTCTTGCCCTTACTGGTCGGAGGGACCGAAATCTAGACCCGTCGACCGTGGGTGAGTATTTCTAGAACGAGATTTAACTTGTAGACCGAGTAGAGGAAGCTGCTAGTAAAGCAGGAATCTTTAGGAAAATGTGATCTCACATTTTTAAGCTACAGCATAGATATTTTCCTTTCCTTTCCTTTCCTTTCCTTTTCTTGTCTTTTGCTGTTCAATCCATTGAGTCGCAGATCTTTACATGGGATTCATAGAACATTAGGTCGAGTAGAACAATGAGCTGCCAAGCTATCACCCCGAGGGTCCACCAAGAATGCCGAAAGTGTGGGAGTCGAACATTGATGATCTCATGACTTGGGCTCTTGCGTCCTTGAAGGTTTCCGTCCTAGTCGACGGCCCTATTATGAATCATTTGATGATGATTATGAAAGTCTTACGGGATTTCTATATTCCGACTCGATCCTCGCCGTGAAAATGGTGCCACTGAACCAGGTCTTCCCACTCGAAACGCCGAGAATTCAGTGAACACGGACCACTTTCCGAGAACTCCCGACGAATGGGCTGACAAAATACGAAGAGTCTCAGGGTCTTCATGGCTATTCGCATCGCGAACTCTGCCAAGTTGAGCCCATGGACTTGCGGGGGAGAAGGCAACAAGGCAACATCAGTCCTGACGACGATTGTTCAACATGGGGGGATCTTCCTTGCTGGCCATATGGGGGGTTCGCTGTGCGATTCCTGACGATCTGCCAATCAGCATAGGCGAAGATAAGCGGCTTATCATCGTCTTGGCCCCGATTCCCTGAGGGAAGATTCCTTGAGCCACTTGAGGTCGTCCATACCCCGCGGAGATGCACCTGGAGCCGCGGAGATGCCCACCAAACAGCGGCGTTCGATAGAAAATTTTACCAGATCCACATCCCGGTGTTGACATTCGGCCGGAGACCAGGAACTAAAGGGGAAAAGGTAGAGAAAATGGCGACCAGGAGCCAGAGGGCATGGGCTACATCCGTGGTATAAATACCGTCGGAGGGGTATCCCTGGTGGACGACAGTTTCCCCTCTCATCGTTTCACCGCTATCACTGAACCGCACTTCAGCATGTCTCTCTCCCCCGAACAGATCCAGCTCATCAAGGCTACCGTGCCTGTCCTCCAGCAGCACGGCACGGACATCACTACCGTCTTCTACAATAACATGCTCACGGCCCACCCCGAATTGAATTCCGTCTTCAACAACGCCAACAAGGTCAACGGTCACCAGCCCCGCGCGCTGGCGGGGGCGCTCTTCGCCTATGCCTCGAATATCGATAACCTTGGAGCCCTCGGCCCGGCCGTTGAATTGATCTGCAACAAGCATGCGTCGCTGTACATCCAGCCCGACCAGTACCAGATTGTGGGCAAGTACCTGCTGGAGGCCATGGGCCAGGTCCTGGGCGCTGCGCTCACCCCCGAAATCCTCGATGCCTGGGCTACCGCATACTGGCAGCTGGCCAACATCATGATCGGTCGTGAGGCCGAACTATACAAGCAGGCCGACGGATGGACAGACTTCCGCGAGTTCCGCATCGCGAAGAAGGTTCCCGAGTCGTCAGAGATCACCTCATTCTACCTCGAGCCCGTCGATGGCAAGCCCCTCCCCAAGTTCCGGCCCGGCCAGTATATCTCGGTCCAGGTCTTCGTGGACTCCCTTAAGTTCCCCCAGTGCCGCCAGTACTCCCTGAGTGACGCCCCGCGGTCGGACTACTACCGGATCAGCGTCAAGAGGGAGGCAGGCCTCAACACCAGCGACCCGAACGCTACCGCACACCCAGGATATGTGTCGAACATCTTGCACGCCAAGATCAACGAGGGCGATGTCGTCAAGGTTTCCCACCCCTACGGTGACTTCTTCCTCTCTGACGCCGAGAGCCCCAGTCCCATTGTCCTCATCGCCGCTGGGGTCGGTCTGACGCCACTGACCTCCATCTTGAAAACCCTCACCTCGAACCCTCCGGATGCCCCCCAGCGCCAGATCCACTTCATCCACGGCGCACGCTCCACAGCTGCGCGCGCATTCAAGAAGGACATCGAGTCCCTGGCCGAGAAGTACCCGAGCCTGCACGCCACTTTCTTCAACACCCACCCCTCCGCCGAGGACCAGCAGGGTGTAGATTACGACTACGAAGGTCGTGTTGACCTGTCCAAGCTGGACAAGACCAAGGGCCTGTTCCTTGATGATGCCAAGACAGAATACTACGTCTGTGGCCCAGATAAGTTCATGACCTCGACCCGTGCTGCGCTGGCCGAGCTGGGTGTGAGCGAAGACCGCATCAAGCTGGAGCTCTTTGGCACCGGTGGTGTGCCCGCTTAAGTTTTTAGTTCTTTCTCTGTCCTTTCTAGATTTAGACTATACCTAGACCAAGCGTCTACAGTTTTTGTTCTCCTCTCTTGACGTTATGAGTTACGACATAGCATAATTAAAAATTCGAATTCAATCAATCAATGTAAATGCTACCTGGATGATAATGTATACAGTGCGCTCTGGCCCTAAATATAATGGAGTTCGCAGCAGAACTTGGTGGGCCTTGTTCGCCGATCACTGGGCGAGAGAAGTCGAAATCCAATTCCTTAGACAATTGTTATAAAAAAGGAAAACCTTTTTATGCCATCTGAAATAAACTCAGAGGTTCTTTTACTATTGCTTAATTTCAGAGACTTACTCAGTCGTATCACTCTGATTCTAGTCCAGGATTTCTACCTCTCGAGGTCACTCTTCCCCATTCATGTATATAAAATACAAACATAACCTCCACCAAAACTATGTCACATCCATCTCTCCTTGTCCATCTCTCCTTGTCCAACCTCCTAATCCTAATCCCTTCACCTAAAAACCGTACATTCAAACCTGTCTTCTACCTATTCCAAACAACCTCTTTTCGCTCGCACCGCCGTAGGAATGATATAATGTGTGTTATCCAGGGCGGGCTCGACCGAGGGGCTTTAGCGGGGATTACTTGGTTTGCTTCTCTGAAAAGAGGGGGGAGTGTTATTGACAGTAGTGAATTAAATTGGATCGTACAGGGTTGACGTGGCATGACTGAACTCCTTTCAACCTCACTTGATTGGCAATGGAACTATCCCAAGTTCTCCAGACCTTTGGACACCTGAACTAACCCAATTCCAAGGATATGAACCAACCCACTCTTCCAGCAAGTCAAAAGAACCCATCGCAAGCGGCTTCTAGTTTCCACTAGTCAACGTGGCCGACACTCTACCTGTTTCCCTATCCCACAAAAATGCGGCACAAGGGAACAGGGATCTTATGCAGAAATTCCTGGCCCACATTGGAGAAAAAACCCCAACCGCGGAGCTGATGTCGTTGTTCTCCGAGAAATATGTGGTGGTGTCCTTGCTTGCGCGGTATTCAACGAAATTCTTAGATGATGGGTCACCGGACGCAGAGAAATCGCTTATATCATCCCTGAAAGAGCCTCCTCTGGGATTCTCCAGAGCTCTGGGAGCTTTCCGTCAGAGGTGTAGTGGTGAAGTGAAGTGCAGTGAGGACATTGTCGCCAAAGTCATAACTGGGAATAAGCGATTGCACAGAATACACGAGCATGCAGTACTTAAAAATGAAACGTGCGCTTGGTATTCGCGCGCCCAGACCCCATGGCCTGATCGCGTTCGGTCCCTCTTTACGTTATATTCATGACATGCATCACAGACATGACGCTGACTGAAGGTATAGCCTAGCTTATCACGCGAAGCGAAAGTGTCCGTACAACGCCAGCTGAACGATATCTTCTCCCGGCTGAGAGCCATCCGAAAAGAGGGAGACAATGCACTCGGTGGTGTCTGCGGAGAAGGTGGCCAAGGAGATGCGTGTCGACGAATGCGCCCTGTTCAAGGATATCACAACGACGAAGCAGTACAGCTGGTGATGTTAGGACTGATAATATCATGGTGAAGCAGGATCCTGATTCCGATAGGGATTATATTGTTCCTGGGATCGTTGACTGGGAGGATAGCGGGTTTTATCCCCCGTATTATGAATGCACGGCGTTGACGAGGACTTTTGAGTGTGGTAGTAGACGAGAATGACTGGTACCTTTACCTGCCGGAGAGTATTGCGCCGTCGAAGTTTTGTGGTGCGTTGGGTGGTCGATCAGCTTTGGGGGGTTCATCTCTGGACTACGTAGATTGACTTGGGATAGATACTGGGATTTGGGATGATCAAGGGTAGTTTTCTGGGATCTCATTTAACTCATTTGCACAGATCAAGAAAAATAGGTCCTTTCATTTTCAAAAAGGTTAGGGTACATGAGAGTCGAAAACAGATTCCTCTCCGGACACACGTATTGTTTCTCGGCCCGTGCCCGAAAACTGCCCTAGTCTGCATTACGCTAGTCTACTAACTACCCCTGCTTAGCTGTATCGTGTCTTGAAATGTATTGGATATTAACGCTCAATGAGCCCATTATAAATTATTGTAAATATCCAACAGAATATATAGGCGGGTTCTGGAAGGGGTTAGGAGAGAGACCTGGCGATATGGCTTAATCCACCCCCAACGTCCTCCATTTTTCCTACCTCTCCATAGCTTTGGTCTTCCTCTATTTCTTCTCATGACGGAGACTGTGCTATTGTTGTAGACAATATGGCCTGGATGGTGATAGAATAAGACTTTTGAGTGGGCGCATCGGAATACAAAAATAAAGCTGTATTGGGAGTAACTAATCCCCCCAGATGTGACTAAACCCAACCTGCTACATGTATCATGCAACCACATTGCATTTCCTTGATAGCTTTTTGGAGTGCCACCGCCCGCTGATTGTCCTTATCATAGCAAAGCCACCGGCACCTTGCACCTTTCTGGGGTGAAATATATGCATCGGTTCTGTTTCGAGGGATGAAGTTCCTTGAATGGTTCAAAGAAGAAAACGCCGGGATTATAAGCCACTACGGGAGTAGGAGAAAGCCGCAAAACTAAGATTTGAAAAGAGATATGCAGAGTACAGAAGAGAAGTCAGCTCGCAAAGTACGCTCGACGCTTCAACCCCGTCTGAGCTGATGGAAATGGAGGGTAGAATGCTAAGAGCTTCCTATAATATACAGTATGGTAAATGATGTTAAGTCCCCACGGGGGAATCTGCTTTCGACTCTTACTGTATCGATTCGTTTCGTGCCTTTAGGAGAGTATTAATTTGATTGTTACACCTTATACTACGGCAGATACATCAAATGTCCATGCTACAGCTGGATGCAATACCGGTGCAAATATTTATACTTCTGATTTCTTTTCCGAAACCTCATTTAAAACAGAGCTAAACTGTAATTGGCAAGTCCATGGAATATCAATCTTCCGTGTATTTTAATGATAACGTATAAAACCGTAATCTGCAATAATAACATACGGATATACGTATGGATCCTGTACGGGCGATCCTTGGGTGCATGGAAGGTTCTATACTAGCCAAACCACTAACTAGAGTGCCTGGCGGATCTGGCAAACTGTCAACAGTGACTTTGCTGTCCGTATCCTGCCATCCACGAATTGAGGTGCTTACTACAGACTGTGCAGGAGCTAAGTGGTACGACACAATGATTCTGCTTGTTATTATTCTTAGCTTGTCAGCATCAGTCACCCCAATAGAAGATAAATTCCCATTAGAAAGCTAATGAACGATGTTAGGCTCCTTGGTGACATCCTATGCCTTGAGGTGCCACTCACACCTCTCAACAATTATATTGCTTCCCAAGCTAGGCACTTGGGAACCTTCTCCATCGTATTGCCCAACCCCGGTGACTTCGGCCGCGAACGTATGGCTTCCGAATATAGCTTTTCTCTCCGTGGTGAATGTTCTCCGCCACTAGATCAATCCCAATCTGGTCGACTGCGCTTCCTTGACCATGTCGAATCGGATGGTAGAACAACAGACGATGAACATCCGTCTTATATACTGTACCGTGTATAATTTGAGTGGAGGGTGACTCAACAACCGGGTCTTGGCTAAGGATACGGAACAAGACCTTGATTCAGCACCAAGGTCATACTGGCAGCAGATTAAGGAGAAGACTGAACGTGTACTACGCCCAACCGGCATGTGAAGCCGGATGACACCTCAGTCCCGGACCCCTAAACTAGGATCTTGAAGATCTGGAACTGATTGTGCGCGAAGAAATACTCAAAATGCCATTACTACAGTGTGGAAAATCTCCTGGAAATTCAAGATGTCACCAACAAATGCGATTCTCATTCAACTATTAAGGAGAGCATCCCAGTCAATCCGTTATTGTTATTTGCATTAACATCTGCACCTATAGCAATAAGCAGCTTTGCTACCTCCTCATGGCCACCCAGCAAGGCGCGTGATAGTGGAGTCCATCCGTTATTATCGCGGACATTGATATCTGCTCCCTTGTCAATAAGCAGCCTTACTACCTCCTCATGGCCCTTTTGTGAAGCATGTAAGAGTGGAGTCCATCCATCATTATCACGGACATTGACATCTGCTCCCTTGTCAATAAGCAGCTTTGCTACCTCCTCATGGCCACGCAATGAGGCATTTAAGAGC